AAATGCCGAAAATGCGGTGAGATTTTTCTTTTTTAAACTAACCTGATCCGTGACACGGTTAAAACCTGCAATCTCTTCTTTTCGCAGAACAAATGTTCGTTTTTTTGTTTTTTATACAACAGACAGACAGACGAATATTTATAAATAATAGGACTTTCGGATTGACTCTATAGTGATGAACATTTATAAGCTGAAAATCGAACGTGCGGTGAGTAATTTCAAGGATATTTTTCTCTTCGTTAAAATGTACCCTTTTTCGAGTGCTTTTTTTTTTTCTTTTTCTTCCCTCGCGTGGTTGGTTCGTCAGTCAGAAAAGACTGAATAATGAGAGCGTGGAATAGTGAATGAATTGTGTGTGGTTCTCGGTGACGGTCGCGTGCACGCGACCGCATATTGCACGAGTAATTGCACACGAACGAACGCTCGCGAGCTGTAAATTTCGCGTGTTACGCTGCTTAATTGTCACTTCTCATCCCTGATGTCGTCTCGTTCGACTTTTTTCGTATCGTTAAAACGAAAGAGAAAAAGAATCGTTATTAAAAGGTTCGCTCGTGATTGAAATAACAAACATGTAGATATCGATAACATTATCGATGCCAGTACTCGTTGAAAGTGGTGATTCCGATTGATTAGAGTTATCAGTCATTAACATACTTCTGTAATAGTGGTTTCGTAATTGAGAACTTTAATATACTCGACGGTGATTCCCGATAATTGTTATATCATCGTTGCATCTACATTTCATTAGCAAATCTGAATCACGATTATTTAACAGATTTAAACGGGAATCGTTCGACTCTCTTGCAATTCGATGACGTCTTTTATTATCGAGGAAATCCTATCTCCAAAATTACATCTCGAGCAACGAGCACTTAGACTGAATTAGAGGAGGAGTAATGGGAAAAGAAAGATTAAATTTCTTTCTCCCCCTCCGCTCTCAGTTTTCTCGATGTATTCGGATTAATCCAGTGTTCTTGTCTCTTTCGACGTCAACGGACGAACGAATCGAACTAATTTCCTTCTGATTTAACGTCTTTTTTCCTCGGTATCAAGAATACGAACGAGTATTTAAAAAGTAAAAAACAATTGATATTTATACCCTATGTATGCTCTAGCATGCATGTATGCACAATGTGCCTAAAAAATTGGTTATAACAAGGATGGACCAGACAAAAGGTTTTTCAGGTTACAAAACGTACAAAGTAAGCCATTGTATGGAAGTTCGAGGGGCTGTGTGCTTCCTCTCAAATGGGCATACTTTGACCCTTAGTTTCATAGATGTAAAATCAATGACGAAGCATTAACCGATAAATTGGCCTTTTAAGGGTATCCGCGGTGTAGAACCAACTAGCATTTTATTTTTTGAACATATTACATACTTGTTGTATCGTGTTAGTTATATTTTATTTTAAAAAACATTTGTAAAAAATAAGTGGCGTGGGTGGTCCTGTGCGTAGGGCGGTTGCCTCCTAATCTCGGGGTTAGGGTTCGATTCCTGTTGGGTGCATTTTCGGTTTTTCTTCGATATCCTTAATTTTCATTAAAATATCTTCATTATTGTAATGCAAATTCCAATTAAAATACGAGTAAATTAAAATAATCCTTTCTGTCGTAAAAAAAATATAATTAAATCGAATCAATGCAGTAGGAGGAGGGAGGTGTTTAGTAGTAATTGACATTAATAATGAAATTTACTCAATGTAACTAGGATAGAAATTCTTGAAGGATTTTTGAGGTTGATTTTCCGATGTCACAAAACGTTTAATTAAATTTGAATATGTTTAATGCTAATGTGAATACGTGTCTGTAAAATCACACAAATAAATGCGGGTCAGTATCAGTATAAATACGTTGGTTACTGCTGGCACGTGCGGTCATGGCTGATCCCTGAAAGGCGGCTAGGAGTAAGATACAACAACGGGGATCGACGGTGTTGTAAATTCTTTAAGGGGGTGAATCCAGAAATAAAAGACGGTACACGGTGCATAGGAGAACGTATAAGGGGGGTGTGTGCTGGTTTTCTTCTATCTGGTTCGAACACGTGAAACACTAATTATACACGGGCCTGTCCGTGTAGCGAGCAGCAAGTTGCATCGAAATAGAGCGATTTTATCCGATTCACTGAAGACTGATCCCGTGAGGCATTATAATTAGAGGCCGAGGAGTTATTGTTGGACGTTACCAGTTCGTAGAATTCCCGGGATTATTGATGGATCGATTGTCGTGTTAACACTTGATTGGCTACAGTTATCAATTTTTACGAAACACAAATTTCATTACTTTATTCTGTATCTCCTTTTGTTTGAAAAAGAAAAAGTAAGTTAAGAATTTGTTAATCGAGGGATCGTGCGGGAAAACGTAGCAGGAAAAAAGCGTAGAATTAAATGTTAAAACAACGTTGACTGAAAATAGGGGCAGTTACCACCTTTACGCTTAGTAAGGCAGTAGTTAGTCTTCCCATCAAATCAGCTTCTAATTAAGGAAGCCCTCCCCTGGTCAACAACTCCACACGCATCGTGCCTCTATACGTGGAGAAAGAGAGAGATTACTCGATTTCTCTGAGCTCTTTGCGTCATTAACAGTATGGTGTGAATAACCAAGGAAACGATATTGTAGTTTAGAAAATTCTTCAACGTCATTCAGACAACAGTCTTATAAAACTGTTTAAATTACAAGGAATATGACGTGCGAAGTTATATCTGAAAGTAGTTGGAATTTAATAACTCGATAACGATATGAAAGCAAATAGACATGAAAATAAACGTATCGCGATAAGCGTAAGTAAATTTTTCTTTAATGGTTGAAACAGTTGATTGAAAGTAGTCGAAAGTTTGATAATAAGAACTCGTTCGCAATTGGTGTAAACAATAGAATGAAATCCGCGTGAAAATAGGAAAATAGTTGGAATTGGATGGTAAAAGGGATTTCTTCTCTCTTCAATTCCCTCTTCTCTTGCTTTGCCGCTCTGTTTGCTTCGTATCGACTGTTGTGTGGGGCCCTTCAGTTCAATCAACAATATCGACACGTACTACTCTCTCTCCTTCGGCACCGAAATATATAGAACAGAGAAAATATCTCTCTTCTCCACGCGGCCAAGGAAAATGGCCTCTGACCGCTTCAAACAATTCCTTTCAGTTAAACGACGCTCTTTAAGTACGAGAGGCTATTCGAGTGAGGAAAAAGGACGTCGATTATTAATACCCACAATAACCGTATTGTTTTGTCGCGAATGAAAAGTCAAAGCAATTATATTACCCTTTCAGTAGTCGCTCGATAATAAATAAATTACTTTTTTTCACCCTAATATAAGCGTAGGAAGTATTAAACAGCTGTTAATGAATTGATTAGGTAATTTATGTTGAACACCGTTAAAATCCGTTTACCAGATTAGATCACCGCTTTTTGTCCTTATTTTGATGATGATGATGATGATGATGATGATCATGACGATAATGATGATGCTGTCACCATCGGTCGTTATAAAAAGGAATTTACAGTTAAAACTTGTTGTTTAGTGGAAGGTTGTCGTGTAATAGGATGAAAATAGAGTTGTGAGTAAAAATTACGTAAACGCGATGAATGAATCAGGTTGAACTTTCCAAGTGAAAATGTGCAGAACGAGTAGCTCAGTACATCGCGAGACTCGATGCGAGATGCGTCGGCTCTGCTGAATTCCGCATTGTGTATTCCACGCAACATCGTAAATCACATATTGCGAAACGTGTGTGTGCGTTCCTGCGACCTTTTTCTGGGAAAAAGATTAATTACATTCTTCGCGATAGTAACTTTCGACATAATTTATTTATCTAAAAATACAGATAGAAGATAACCGGGAGGTCCCAATCTTTAAAAAAAATTTTGAGGAATTTTTTCTCTTTTTTTTTTTTATTTTTATTTTTTTATTTTTTTAAATTGTCCTTTGAGATGCTTACGTAATTTTCTCTTATTATTCATTAGATTTTTGATGAAAATTGAAAAGTTGCATCTGCAGCATTGTTTTATACAACATTGAATGGTGAAACTGTGGAAGCTAAAAGGAAAATAGTGAAACTTTGCGCAGTACGTGTGCGAGCGGCTAGAGGGCAACACGAATCGATTACTACTTTGCTAATGGCTTATTTCACTTAACACGCCTTTCCGTGGAGAGCACGTTCGTTGCTACTGGTGTGTCACGATTAGGTTTTCGTGTTCGACAGATTGACAGAAAATAATGAAGTTCCGTGGGTTGTACCAGTGAAGAGAGATCGGTTTGCATGTCAATTGGCGATCCGCTCTCGGCGTCAACACGTAAACTGTCACCAGAAGGTAAACGGGTTTTCTCTGTTTCTCACTGTCTCCTCTATCTCTTTTCAACGGTCAATGTTATTTTTAGATAGCTATCGCTAGTGTTCGTTCAATCAGACGGTTCCATTACTCTTCTTCGTTGTGACATCATTTCGGAAGCGAATGTCTGGCACTTTTTATCGCTGCGGATCTTCCCTCGGTAATGACTCATTTGTCAGGATACATAACCTCAAAAGCATGTCGGCGTTCGATGACAGCCGCGGCTCCCAGCCGCTGATTTCTCTCCTCTTATCGATTCTTCCTCGATGATTTTTCTCATACATTCTACATATTTTCAGACAATCCCTACTCTTAGTTATTCTCAATCAATAATGTTCACTTATACAAACTACTTTTCTGTACTATCTCCAGAAATGTTTTCAACCTCATTTACACAGTAGATTTTTCTTTAAGCCGAATAAAGTATTCTCAGATTAAATTATCTACTTCTATTTATCAGCCTCTGACAATAAATACAGCTATGACATAATGATCCGTCCGTTTAAATAACTGTGACTCGCATTCCATTATTATATGCTAAATATTTATAGTGTGATCGGTATGCTTAATCGATGAGTAAAAAATCATGCATAATTAATGTGAGAAATATAATTATAATGTATGAGTAAGATGATTTTTTATGGCAGAACATAACTGTGTTTACTTATCCTTTTCAGCTGTTGGTTCTCCAATTACCTGGAGGCCAGTGGTGTCAGTGACACCAGAGAATAATACGAGCTGCTAGCGTGAAGAAGTATAGTAGAGTTGGCTTAGGCCAACACCGGTGGACCAGGCAAAATGGCAACAATAGATGGCCGACCAGCCCAATATGGTATCACTCTCAAGCAACTTCGTGAGCTCATGGAGCTCAGAGGACGCGAAGGTGTCAATAAAATCAATAGTTATGGTGGTGTGCAGGAGATTTGTAAAAAGCTATATACTTCACCTAACGAAGGTACTCTCTTTCTCTCTTATATAATCCAAAGAAATTTTCTATCATTTTTCGTTTACCTTCTATAAAAAACACAATTTTTTTGTAATGTTCAGGTCTTAGTGGATCGGCGGCAGATATCCAACATAGACGTGACACATTTGGTTCCAATATGATACCTCCAAAACCACCAAAAACGTTTCTACAATTAGTATGGGAAGCTTTGCAAGATGTAACATTAATCATCTTAGAAGTTGCGGCATTGGTTTCGTTAGGTCTTAGCTTTTATCACCCATCAGATGAAGAAGACGACGAAGAACACGGTAAGTACAGATTCTAATTTTGAAACTAATTCCTAAACTTAAACTCGTGAGAGATATTAAGAAAAGAAAAGAAACAAAAAAAATATGTCTTTCCTATGAATTTTCAGTGTCGATAGATGAAGATGAAGCAAAATACGGTTGGATCGAAGGACTTGCTATATTGATTTCTGTAATTGTGGTCGTATTAGTAACCGCTTTCAATGACTATTCTAAAGAAAGACAATTCAGGGGTCTCCAAAGTCGAATAGAAGGGGAACATAAATTTTCTGTCATTCGACAAGGAGAGGTTAAACAGATCTCTGTATCTGACATTGCTGTGGGTGACATATGTCAGGTATGTGTTTTCTGTTATCATAAATGAAAGTATAATCATTTGTTATTAAATTGGGTAATGTGTGATTTAGATAAAATATGGAGACCTGCTGCCTGCAGATGGTATCCTTATACAAAGCAACGATCTCAAGGTGGATGAATCCAGTTTAACCGGGGAATCGGACCATGTTAAAAAGGGAGAATCGTTCGATCCCATGGTACTCTCAGGTAAGAGTTCCCTACGAATAAGACGTTAGCAGCATCTTCTTGAAAATTACAATACCGATGATTTTTTTTTCTTCTTCTTCTTCTTCTTTTTGAAAGGTACACACGTGATGGAGGGCTCTGGAAAAATGTTAGTTACCGCAGTAGGTGTTAACTCACAGGCTGGTATTATCTTCACTTTGTTGGGTGCTGCTGTTGATCAGCAAGAGCAAGAAATCAAGAAGATGAAGAAAGGTATGACGTAAACTTGGTTTCGATAAACGATTACGGATAATAGGTACATTCGATTTCGGATTCTAAAGTTTGGGGATGATTGAAGTAGTGTAGTTTCTATACAGCTATCATTTTGAGAACAGACATCGAAAAGAGCATAGTTATATCATCTTTAGAAACTAATAGAAAGTATGTTTAATAATATTAATTTATGTAGAAATTTGTTTTCAGAATGGTACTAGTTAGAATTAAATACTACTATAGCAATTATTTTTAAAGTAATTTAAACTCGCTACTTCCTTTAATTTCTTATGAAGTAAAGGAATATACAAACATTCTGCATGGCACAAAATACGTGAAAAAAAGAAGAAAAAAAAAATGAAAGACATAGAAACAACGAAGAGAGCCGCATGGTTTTCATTTTGAATTGGTGTGACTTTAGTTTCTAGTTACTTGTTACCCTTTTGTCTCCCTTGGCATGTGGTTGCAATATTTTGAAACCGTTTACTAATTATTACTGGAGAGAAACATCATTTATGGTCACACAAAGTTAAAAAAACTACTGCCTTGTATATTTATACATGGAATATCTTTATCAAACGATTTTAAATAATCTTTAGTGCCCCACCATTGCATTAGGATTGATTCTTGCTGTTGAAAATATCACGTTGCCTAGTAAGAAAAGAAACGATTTAGAAATAAATTTATAAATTTGCTAGGAAGAATCAATCTTAAATTATTGCAATTAAAAAATATAATAAATCCAGTATGCTTTCTTGTGATATTTATGTTGTGTACGTCTTTTGTTGTTGTACAACCTGGAAGGCCCTTTATATGTTCTAAACCGTATTTATTTCTCGTTTTCTTCGCTAGATTACGCTCCGACAAAGTGATTAATTAATATTTGCAAATAGAGTAGAAAGTTTTCGGCCAGTGTTTTTGAAACCTTCTAGGCTGTTCACTTAAGATTAAACATTTTACAAATTTAAGAAGAGAATTTAGAGATATTTAAAGTAATTTTGCTAACGAAAGAAGAGAATTAACGTAACTTTTACAACGACTGGCATATTACATTTTTAGATAGACTGCTAATCAATTTTGTTTTGCATGCGTTTTTTTTATCTAGAGGCTAAGAAGCAGCGGAAGAAGAAGTCATTAACAGGTGAATAAAGTACTATCATAAATCATTACTGTTCATCATTTTCGGTGTTAAACGTGTACATTATGCGAGCACGCGCGCGTATTTTATTTTTTATTTTTATTCTTATCATTTCTTTTCTATCTTTAATTTTTATATATTCGATAGATATACATATACCACACGCGAAATTTCTTTTAGTCATTTGCAAAAATTAGGAACACTTTTAATTTAAGTCTTTGTCTTTTAATCGCTCTGTTATGTTGCATATTTTATCGCCTCTCTGCCTTTGTGTTTGTTAAAGCAGTCCATATTTTTTTTTTTTTTTTTTTAATTATTTTATTTTATTTTCCTTGTTTCCCTTTTTACTTGGTCCATTTGTTTCTTGTGCGAAGTAAATGGGAAGATTTTTCTAAGAGAGTATAAAGTAAAAATTGTCTCATCCGTGCTTCTCTGTACCTTCTATTTATAATTCTTTGAATGTTTCAACAGCAGTGGTTTATGCATTTGACAAGATACAGCAACTAATTAATTCTGTATAGTTTGTTCTCTCTTTACATTCCAGCAATGCTGTTTACCACTTTTACACATCTGTGTTCTTTAACTTGTAACTGTTGTGCCTTTTAAACAATTCTTGATTATTCTCTTTCTTGTCGGCTTATTCTACTGTCTACATTTCTTCTTCCCTTTCTTCGGTAGATACTGATTACTAAACATTAGTCGCCAGTATCATAGTAAGGAAAAATACAAATGTAAATGACTTTTAGTTATATATTAGTTTGTTGAAAAAGTTTGATTCCTATGGATCGCTCTCATTTGTGTACCATGGAAAAACGATTCAACTATTAATTGCCTTTACGTTGATAAGTTGTAAAGAAAGATAAAATAGGAATCAGGCTTTGCGATTGAGTATTTATGAAAGAACTCAGACCCAGTTTGTATGTTGCGAACGAAGGGGACGAAGCTGTAGAGATAACTGGAAACAGTCACGTGAGCGGAGGTGCGAAACACGAGGGCGGAGAGAACCATCAGGCACCGAGTCACGGAGGTGGTGGAGAAGGGAAGAAAGAAAAGAGTGTTCTTCAAGCCAAGCTAACTAAACTCGCCATACAAATCGGTTATGCCGGCTCGACCATAGCAGTGCTTACCGTTGTCATTCTAGTCATTCAGTTCTGCGTAACGACGTTTGTCATAGAGAAGAAACCTTGGAAAAATACGTACGCTAATGATCTGGTGCGGCATTTGATCATTGGTGTAACGGTACTCGTAGTCGCCGTTCCCGAAGGTCTTCCTCTAGCTGTCACCTTGTCTCTCGCTTATTCAGTTAAGGTAATTATTTTCAATTTCATTTTTATTTACATTATTTATTGTTGGATTTGTTATCCCGCGATATTAATAAATCTGTACGTTTGTATGATCGTAGAAAATGATGAAAGACAACAATTTGGTGCGACATTTGGATGCCTGCGAAACGATGGGTAACGCAACAGCAATTTGTTCGGACAAGACTGGTACCCTGACTACCAACCGGATGACGGTCGTTCAGTCGTACATATGCGAGAAGATGAGCAAGACGATTCCAAAGTTCTCGGATATACCGAGCCACGTTGGGAACCTGATAGTTCAAGCTATCTCTATTAATTCGGCGTACACATCCAGAATAATGCCCTCGCAGGATCCTACAGAGTTGCCGCTTCAAGTCGGCAATAAAACCGAATGTGCCTTACTTGGATTCGTAGTAGCCCTGGGCATGAACTATCAGACGATACGAGACGATCAACCTGAGGAAACCTTTACGCGGGTGTACACGTTCAATAGCGTTAGGAAGAGCATGTCTACCGTCGTCCCGAGGAAAGGTGGTGGATATAGGCTCTTCACCAAGGGCGCTTCCGAGATCATTATGAAGAAGTACGTTAATATAATATAATAATAATAATAATAATAATAATAAAAAATGATTGGAGCACGAAGGTAGAAATATATTAATATTATATATCTGAATAATGACGAGATTGTTGTAAATTACAGATGTGCCTTTATATATGGTCGCGAAGGTCATTTGGAGAAATTTACCAGAGAGATGCAGGACCGTCTGGTAAAGAACGTAATCGAGCCAATGGCGTGCGACGGACTTCGTACCATCTCCGTCGCTTATCGTGACTTCGTTCCTGGCAAGGCAGAGATCAATCAGGTTCACATCGACAACGAGCCAAATTGGGACGACGAGGAGAACATAGTGAACAATCTAACGTGTCTGTGCATCGTTGGTATCGAGGATCCGGTACGTCCGGAGGTGCCGGACGCGATTAGAAAGTGTCAGAAGGCGGGTATCACTGTGCGAATGGTGACGGGAGACAATATAAACACTGCACGTTCGATCGCTCTGAAATGTGGCATCCTGAAGCCGAACGAGGACTTCCTTATCTTGGAGGGTAAAGAGTTCAACAGGAGGATCAGAGATAGCAACGGTGAAGTACAACAGCATCTTTTGGACAAAGTGTGGCCAAAGTTGAGGGTGTTGGCTAGATCCTCGCCGACAGACAAATACACCCTGGTTAAGGGTATAATCGATAGTAAAGCGACCGTCAGTCGCGAGGTCGTTGCCGTTACCGGCGACGGTACGAACGACGGTCCAGCTTTGAAGAAAGCTGACGTCGGTTTCGCCATGGGTATCGCCGGTACCGACGTAGCAAAGGAAGCTTCCGATATTATTCTAACGGACGATAATTTCTCGTCGATCGTGAAAGCAGTTATGTGGGGTAGAAACGTCTACGATAGTATAGCAAAGTTCTTGCAGTTTCAGCTGACTGTCAATGTCGTCGCTGTTATAGTTGCTTTTATCGGGGCATGTGCCGTGCAAGATTCCCCCCTTAAAGCGGTGCAGATGTTGTGGGTGAATTTAATCATGGACACGTTAGCGTCTCTCGCATTGGCCACCGAATTGCCTACGTCTGATCTTCTTCTCCGCAGACCGTACGGTCGCACGAAACCGCTCATCTCCAGGACAATGATGAAGAACATTCTCGGTCAAGCTGTCTATCAGTTGACCGTCATTTTTATGCTTCTTTTCGTTGGTAAATATCTAACGCTGGTACCAATACACACCCCCGTTAAGTCATCTTAAAAAATCCAAAGAATTCGATCAAAGTGTATCGTGACACAAAAGTTTGAGTACGTGTATGTTAGTTCTTTAGTAGTGTCAGAGCGCAATCCGTTGAGTACTATATTCAGCCTAACTATTCGAACCATAGTTGAGATACACGTGTGTAAAAAAAAAAAAAAGAAAAAGAAAAAAAAAAGAAGCGTCGAGTGTGAGATAGTACTCAAAGTTTTGACCCGTGATGCGATGCGTGTCCCGTTACGTTGAAAGAATCGTTTGTCGTCTGAGAGTGATTTCTTTTTGGATTTTGAGATGACCGAGGCACTTGAAGACGCTTCGAGAGGCACATCCTTCTAACGATGAACCGTCTGATCGATAGGTGATAAGATGCTCGACATCGAAACAGGCCGAGGTGTAGCACAGGCTGGCGGCGGTCCCACGCAGCACTTCACCGTCATCTTCAACACGTTCGTCATGATGACTCTTTTCAACGAATTTAACGCCAGGAAAATCCATGGTCAGCGTAATGTCTTCCAAGGAATATTCACCAACCCCATCTTTTATTCTATCTGGGTCGGCACGTGTTTGTCACAGGTAAGTCTCATCGTTCGTCTCTCAACTTATTCTGTGATTCAATGAAATTCAGAAGCTGAAGGTTCAAGTTCAGATTCCTCCCCAAACAGAAAAGAGTTGAAAGAAATTCATTCTTCTTTTTTGATTACCCTCAACCTGCCGATAGGTTGGCAAATTGGAAGAGAAAGAAAAATAAACTCCAGCCAAGCAGAAATGAAATGAAATGAAATGAAATGAAATGAAATGAAGCGATGCGAGATACACGCATCCCCTTATTTATAGACGGGTGACGCTAATGCCCACCGCTTGTTTGTTTTCATTTAATAAAATTCTTTGTCTGTTTTCTAGGTACTTATCATACAGTACGGTAAAATGGCGTTCAGCACGAAAGCTCTCACATTAGAACAATGGATGTGGTGCCTGTTCTTCGGAGTCGGTACTCTATTGTGGGGCCAAATAATTACGACAATTCCTACGCGCAAGATTCCTAAAATCCTTTCGTAAGTTATACATTCACGTAGAAAAACGAAAAAAAATAATATGAAAAGACTACTACCATTTATTGTTTAGATGATGAGAGATACTTCTGTTCGGTTTACCGGGCACAGCCTTCGGCAATTTATAAAAATGATCTTCCGTTCGTGTTGTTACTCGTTTAAGGAATATTTCCGGGATATTTGACACACTCACCCTTGTAGAATACAGAATGGGTGTAATAACTTTGTCTTGTTTTAAAGTATTTCCATTATTTTTAGAGAATGGAAATATTTTATCTGCATCAAGTTACTATTCCACTTCTGTGTACATATTTAGATGTACTTTTTCGGTTTCTTTTTCTTTTTCAATATAATTTTCTGTCTTTTTCTTTTCTTTTCTTTCTTTTTATTTTATAACAATTTTTTTAAGTTGAAAACTCGAAAACGAGAATGCCGGAAGTAGTCACGGGCATTTTGGAGCTATAAAACCAGCCATACATCCGTGCACCCAATTGCTATAAACAGATAATAGAACAGGGAATATTAACATGATTAAAAAAGTGTGTGGATTTCTTGCTTTCTTGCATCGTGCGATGCGACAGGAACGCGTTGGTATTTATAACAGGGATACTTGTTGTTGAAAAAAGAGAAACCTCTTGAAGCTTCTTTAAGAATGTGTTGTTTTAACTTGTTTCAAAGTAACAACCAGTTTGGTAAACGCGTGGATTATGATTTCTATTTTTCATGGGTTCTGAAACGTGTGCCATGCCGTACACCATCTAGCTTTAATGAATTTTTATTCAAAGACCCTCCTGATACACGATAGTCGCCTTTGCATGAATCTGTTTGTTCTTGATTATATACACCGGTACTCTGAAGAATTATTTATGATAATATATTGATGTCTCAAACACACCTGTTCGATGAAATGAACACTATATCGTTCTGTGTGTATTACTCTACAGAATTTATTATTCAAGTATATATTTAGTTACGTAATGAAAATGGTTGTTGATTGTAAGACGAGGTATTGCACGAGTGTTGCACGTAATTCTTAATATTACTTTACATTAATTAAGTATTTTCAGTACAAGGGAAGAAGGTACATTGTCTCTTTTAAAAAATTTTATAGAAATTTGGTTTCTTATAAGAGATAATAATAATGTATCCTTTTACAATATTCAAGAGTATCTTTTACTTCTTTGTTACGTTTATTTATTGATAAAATTAATATTAAGAATTTTCTATGTTCACCCACGTGTACCATTCGTGTGATGCTTTTATTTATATCAAAGACAGTATTTTATGTAATAATTATTAAACACGTGTACAAAGTGGTGTAGCAAAGCTGCTCCATATCAGACAGAGTATCATTTGAAAGATAAGTATCATCCTAAATCGGTAATCGTGTAAAGGTGTTAAATAGAAGGGAGAGGCATGCATCGTGGAACTCATTATTATAGCTGTAAACCGTAGAGCTTCGATTGGTTTATGTTTTTTCGCTTAATTCGAGTCCTTTACTCAATTTGCTTTCTGCCCGTCAATATGTTTCTCATTCTCCACTGAGTTTAGCGTGTCGCTTTACGTAGCATGCTCCCTAGACGCCCAAGACGATGTCAAAAGATATAACCAAATAATTGGACATGTAGTCAGAGAGAATGATCACGCGTACTCTCAGCTATTCCCTCGCTCCCCTCTTTGTAGTTGTTAAGTTAGTGCTGGCCAAATAATCCTCTTCACGTTTCTAAAACATTATTCAAGGGTCATGAATTTCATGGGTACTTGAATGTTCGATTAAGAACAAATTGTTCAATCAGTATCCGAATAAATTGATCGAGATGGACATGTTTTGTTTTACAGAAAATCACCCACCATGGAAAGTTTAGAATATACTCTTGTACTTGGAAGAGCTTTTAATGGAAATAATTTATTCGGATACCGAAGTATCTCTTGGACCTTTGTCGTAGGCTTAGCCATTGCATGACTGAAAACCCTTCTCCAAGGTCTACGTACTTGTTTGTGTAAGAAGCAACTAACAAAAGTGGCGTCCCGACGATATCACTACACGCATATATATAATATTACATATATATATATATATATATTTTGGTGCAAGGGATCTCAGTGGCGCGCTTAAACCGATTGTCAGTGTCGGTTGACTAAAGACTAAAATAAGAGACCTTAGTTAACAAAACACCATAAGTGGTACTCTGTTGCGCTTAGCATTTATATCTGTAAATCACTTTGCTCTCTCGCTGGAGCTGTTAATTGACTCTGTTTTTCTCAGCGACTTTTTAACTATTTTATCTGTCTGTCTGTCTGTCTGTCTTCTTTCTTTCTTTCTTTCTTTCTGTCTGTATTTCCACCTGTGTTTCTTTAATTGTCTGTATCTATCTGTCTACCTAGTTTCGTAATTATTTTCTATCTTTCTCCTTCCATTTTCTCCATCAAGTGCACGGAATCAATTTTTCTCTCCTTCTGAACCAATTTTCCATCTATGCATCCGTTTCTCTGTCCGCTTAGATTGCCTCTTAATTCGCAAGCAGGAATAACTTGCCAATTCGGAATATTCTCGCTGCATCGAGCAAGCACTAACAACACACACATATATATGTATATAAAGAAAAAAAAAAAAAAATGAACAAGGGACATACGGTGATAAGATGCAGGATGATATATGTATATAACACATGTTGGGGTGCTTCTGTATGGTCCTGGTCCGTTAAATAACGAAACGTGTGCATACTAATCATCAGAAGCGAAGAGAAACTTCTTTAATCTCTCTTCTCTGCATCTAATTCGCTTGTTAAAGCTTTTACGAGCCACTTGTCGTAGGACAAATAGAGATGTAGTTGCGGTTTTCTCGAGCTTCACTTGTTAACCGTCCCTCCCGGAACAGGTAAGAGGGAGAGATCGCATCGTTGGATCACTAACGATCACACCACTCACACACGTACACAGGGAATTAAGAACAAGCGTGTCGCGTGATAAAACGAAACGAACCCTGTTGTCCAGAGGAGAAGGAAAGATATACGTTCGAATGATCGCACCTGGTCCTGTACAAAGTACATCCGTGTTTAAGGGTGCATCGTTCCTTGATCCTTCGCCTTCTCCTTCTCCTTCTCTCCCTCATCGTCATCGTTTCGATTCGTTTTCTTTATATTTATTTTATCTCTGTTCATCGCTGTCGCCCTTCTCCTGACAAGTACAAAAGTATCTCTTTCATCATACATATACAGACACTATACGCACAACATACAATGGTACAGACGGAACACACGCTTGTTTATAGAGCGTCATTCGTTTCAATTCCATCAGCAGATATCGCATATATCGCTCACTTTGTCCGCATTGCACCTCGCATCGCATCCCCTCGTTCGTTGGCTCATTATTTTTTACACGTCGCAACATTTTCTCTTGTATGTATGTATTATCTTACCGGCTGCTTTATTATCGCAGGATCTAACACCGTTTCGAACACGGACCATGCGTTTACTGGAAGCAATATTTCTTTGGAGAAGCTCGACGAGTCGATGTCGACCGTTCGCATGAATTACAGAAGAATTCGAACATCTGCTTCCAGTAATTTCAGCACGGACCACGTTAGAAGGATGGCTCTGCGATTTTCTAAAGCAGCCAGTTTATCTTTTCTTGTCCGTTTGCTTCCCTCTCTCGGCCATTTCCGATTCACCGTTGCGCCACCGATCCATTCTCGCCATTAAAAAAGACAGAGAATTCAATTAGCCAGCATCGTCATCGCCCGTTCGAGAGAACGCGATTAGGTGTCCAAGCTAAGGAGCGAGGGGAAAACCGTAAAAGTGACAAAAGCAAAAATAATTTGTTGGTGCAGTGCGTCGAGGAGCCGGCTCTGCGCGTGTCATCGGTCAACTAAACAAAAAAAAAAAAATCTCCCTTTAAAAAAAAAAAGAAAACTACCTACTTTGATTATAGCCAATGTGTAACAGGGATCGAGTGATGAAGAATTGGTTTCATGTTTTTTAAAAACAGATGGGGCCGCGGCCAGCCGGATGATATCGGTGTGATCAATCTCGGAGATGAGAAATTCGACCCTGACTCGGATAAAAAGCCGCGCACAGGACAAATTCTATGGATCCGTGGTCTAACGCGACTACAGACACAGGTAACTATCCCTATCTCTCACTCTCATGCCATCACTCGAAGTCAGCGTTCTCTCGCCCCCCTTCCCCCCGTGCCGCCGGGATAAACTTAGAGAAATCTGAAAAAGGATAACAGAGAGAAAAAAAAGAAAAAAAAAAAAAAAAATAAAAACAGGACCACAAGAGAACAACCCAACCAAGCGGACGTTTTCGAATTTTCTCTGGCCCTCGGGTCAACGAGAGTCCACCATACCCGTCCACCCGTGGCAATGGTCGTCCATGGGCCATTTTTCACCATCAACTTAACGCTGTGCTCAAGTTTCGAGGCACAAGTGTATATTACCACCATCGACTATATTACAATCAGTCCGATATACTATTATCATCGCAGATACAAGTTGTTCTCTATTTAATCATGATCCCTGTGCACAGGCTGACCACGTCGCATGGATGATTCTTCTTGTGTTTGTGTGTAGAAATGAAAGACAGTGATAAAAGTTCAGGTAAATGCGTGTGTTTTTCATTTGATATCAATTTGATTTTTCTTTTTTTTTTCTTTTTCTAATGATTGAATTACTTTCATCAGGATGTGTGAGAAGGAGACACCTGTCATAGGATCACACGTTTACCTGACACGCTATCTTTAAATTCCTTTCCATCTTTTGGATTCACCCTTGAAGAATCATCCACGTGCTCCTACCGTGTACAGCCTGTGCATATGCACAATCAGAAAGTATATATACGTGAGTTATATACTTTGTTCCATACATGTTTTTTTTTTATTTTTCGTTGGTATCATTTCGTTTTACTCGTTTACGTTCAGAACGTTCTTTACCTTGGTTTGCATTTTCATTTGAGTTCTTTGCCGTGTTACCTCGACGATGCGTACCTTGCGTTTTACCCTCTCGATAATTACTTCGCGTTAGCCACAGAAAGAAAGAAAGCTCGACGATTAAGCAAATTCCCCCTACAGCGTCTAATAGCTGGAGAGCCGTTTCTTTTCAAGCCGAACGATCTTCTTCGGGTACCTGTTCCTCGATAAACTTTTCTAGATTGTTTCATGAACATCAGATGTCTTCCAGATGCCATTAACTTTGAATAAAGTTCCTAAGGCGAAGGATACTCTGGGAGAAACATTACTTTTCCTCAATTAGAAGAGGCAATTGTACTTAAAGAAAGGTTTGAATCTTTAGTTAGAACTGTATTTTTTCAAATGGATAGGATACCTTATTAGGATAACACTCGTACAGACTTAACACGCTCACTGCCACATAGCAATTAGTGAATTATAGCGTTAATCTTACTTTCTCTTCAGAGAAGAAAGTCTTCGCGAAAGTACTCTGACCCTTCATCAGGGTTGAACAGATATTTACTTACACTTGAAAGTGTAGGATGGTTATGGTAGACCGACCTCTCCAGCTTGTGTCACCTTCGACGATCGTTGCCTGATCATTTGACACCCTTTAGAAGCACGTAGATGTTCTAGACTAGGCTAGAGTCATCAGTATGCTCGACGTAGAGGCACGAGTCTGATCATTAGTACCAAGTTAGCAGTGGTCCACGCAGTCCTCGTTCCATCTTTCTGTTCCAAAGCTTACGTCGAGTATCCATGTATAATTTTCTTTGAAATATATGCAACGTTTAAGGGTTCACGGTAGTCTATTATAAATGTACAAGGTACAAGAGTATTCTTTGATACTGAAAGGAGAGGAAAACGAAGACACGTTTAATCACAGGACAGAGTATAAAGGATCCTTGGAAAAGGATTTGATATTTCACGACTGACTGACATTTCTAGACTTGTAAGACAACGGACAGGGTGATGTGTTCAAGGATGAATTTTATTAATCGATGCTCGAGCGAGAGTCGGAAAGGACAAACAAGCTGCCCTTCCTCGTCGACGACGCCTCTGTGTCTCATATATTTTTCTGTTCCTTTTCTTTTTTCTCATTCTTTCATTTCTCTGTAAGGGAACGGGTTAAACCTGATGAAGCTAGCGCCATAAATAACGTAACCGCGGCTCGTGATCGTGTAAATTATTTACATATTACACCATTACGACCTTACCAATTTATTACGAGTACACCTTTTGGACATGCAAGAAACTCCATCTGAAGTATCTTACCGTACCAGTTACTGTTACAAGTTTGATGGAACGATTGCATGGTCCAAAGAAAACGAAAGAAATCTCTACCTTCTTTATTCTGTTGACTTACTTCGCTTTCTCTCTTATTTCCTTTCTTCTTATCCTCGTAACACTACTCTTCACTTTAGCAAGGTAAAGCAAAGAAACAATAAGTACAAAAATGATGATGATGATGAATGAACATACAAGTTTAATTCATTCAGTTCATGTGTATGTCCTTTTATGAATTACATTATTGTAAGCTATATTAAAAAAACAAACAAACAAAACAAGTATTATAGATACCACGAATCCAGTTAAGCTAATTATATAAATTGAATGTGTATAACCTACTTTCAGACGAGCAATAGAACTCTGGTGCAGAATGTATCTGTGACAGGCAGATCCCCCTCTCAGGATTACTATATGGTTAGTCCGCAAGTCCAATCTCCGCACTGTTTGACCGTTCTTTAAATATTAATTCTTTATAATTATTATCAGTTTGTTTTTTCTTTTCGTTTTGTTCTCTTACACTTTCGTTTTTTTTTTTCTTTTTCATTAACCAGTTTGGCTCTTTTGAGTTTCCCTTCTTACTGGTGACTTTCCGTTTGACGTACTTGGTTTTCTCTATCTTATTCCTATCTCTTCTCTTCTTAACATTGCTATTTTTAATGAACGTTGATTCACGCTCACCTTGGTTTCTCTGATTGAAAGAAATTCTGTATTTTTTTTTTTTATATTCATTTTGTATTCTTTGAATTTCATTTATATGATTGTCTGATGGCCTGTCCTTCTGTCAATTTTGCTTGCAAATTGCGAGCTTCTACTCGCTTCTTTCGCGTAATACATGCTATTTTTTAAAAATATTTTTTCATTGTTTTATCGTCTGTCAATCAATGAACTGCAAAGAAACATGTGCCATCCTTTTTTTTCATATTTTGTTTCAAACAGAGTTATCAATACTTCCTGTTTGAAGAGAAGAGAAATTAAATGTTGACGAGATTCTTGTTAACTTTTATGTCTTTATTACCTATGCACTTTATATTGAACTTTGCTGGCTATAGAACTTGATGTAATGCTACAAAGTTTCCAACTTTGCTACCACTTCTCTCACAGTAACAAGTTATTTTTAAAAATAATCAATACTATCTACAAATTCGCTTATAAAGAATTCTTACCTTAGAATATAAAATAAACTAGTTGTAGTCAGCAAAGTGTCGATAAATGCTTGGAGTAATTAGAAAATTCACTTAACTCTTCTCTTCAAGCATAAAGCACAATAATCTTTATTTAATTCACCAAAACTCACAATTTCTATTTCTGTTTTCTTATGTACGCAAAGAGAAAATCAAGCTGAAAGAAAATTTGCCCAAACATTCAGTTTGTTCTATTCCACCCAGATCCTAGTTTTGGTTTTCTCTTCTTTCCATTGATTCTAAAGTGTTGCATGCACGTCTGTGCGTATGTATGTACGTATATAAGTTGTCCGTATATACGTGATCATCGAGACGTTTTTTTTTTTTTTCATCTTTGAAAAATTAATTATACAGTACATTAACATTTACTAATTTTTCATATTAATTAAGTTCACTCCACTTTTTTTTCTTCCTCTTTTTTTTTTTATTGACACAATGTTCAGTTTCAGGGACTATTCAGTTTTACAGTGTGCTATTAAGTGATTTACCGATACCATATGATACAGGATATTGTCGAGCATTGAGAATGAATATGTACATGTTTTTGATGTTTGCTTCTGAAGTTCTTTTTTTTTTTTATTTATTTAATTTTTTTATTGAGCAAAGGTATTGCTGAAACTTCTCTACATTACACAAGTATACTTTTCAATGTGAGAACTCAATATCGTGAAGGTAAACGTTTTTCCATTTTTATTATTTAAAGAATCTCTGCTATGGCAGTAGACGTTGGATATTTTATATATACATATATATATATATATATATACACGCTTCAAGCAAAGTATATTATCAATCCATGATCTATGGTAAATGTGTCAAAAACATTCTTCGGTATCTCATCTAACATGCTCGCTTTCAGAACATTTTTTAGCTTTCTTAACAGAAATCTTATCTTTGACAATTAAAAATTTAAGGGACACAAGAAAGTTATTGTCGAAAGAACCCATCTACACAAATGTACCAGCTCCATCATTCAACTACTATGCTTACTTACTAAAAAATGAAGTACGTTTAACAAAAAGCTTTTGCCTCAGGTTCCGTCATCATTCTCATCAACATTTTACATACATGTATCCACGAGTAACTTCATGTCCAAGACATACAAGTGAAAAAAAAAAAAAAAAAGCAGCCACAATGATTCTGAACTCACAAGGCACAGGCAATTTCTTTCTTGCAGAAGCTTTCCCAAAGCTCAGAAGTTGATTCACAAGAGATGCACCTATGAAAATAAAGCAGCCTCAGAGTACCTTGTACGTGTGCTATGCGTGTAAACTGCATGCAGTATTCGCGCCAGGAAACTGTTAAGAAAAGATACATATATGGGCAAACAGTGTCGACATATTAACAATACTATGAACAAACAACTACAATAATACTCTGTTGCATCCTCTATGTTTCTCTTGCTCACAGAGAGACAAGCATTAACCACATGCTCCAGCAGAACACCTGCGATTCCGTTTGGCTGATTTGCTCCTTTTGTGTCTTATTTCTGTTCTTTACTTGTTGCAGTGTGTGTGCCGTTTTGCTGTAATATATATATATATATACCATTAACGTACAAACTGTGCATATGTGACAAATGCATTGTGTGTCTCTCAATGTGGGTGCGTGTGCTGTTAAGAATATATGATGTACGTGCACAGTCTGTTCATATCTGTCTGCCGTCTACACGACACCAAAAAGAAATATCTGCAAGAAACTGGCAGTCAGTTAACATGTACACAAACGTCACGTAACAACTGACAGCAGACACGAGAGATATTATATCTTGCACAACCAACCAAGCTCTCCAGGCACAGTACACATTGGTACAAAGTTTCTTTGGTGGAAAGAAAAGGGAAAGATATCAGGAAATACGTTTCCTGACCTTCCGGTCAAAGGAGTACAAAGAATGGTTCAGAAGGATGGTATTGGAGTTTTGGAACAAGGATCATTGAAACTGTGATTTTCAAAAAAGGTTTCAACAGATATTGTTAATTCCTCGTGAATATCATTCCTTTGATAACTTTTTATTCATGACTTTAGCATCAACTTCTAAACCATTCATCTTGTCATTTTGGGTTTGTAGAATCTACTGGACTCGTTACTTCTCTTATCCACAATATTCCACGGCTTCGCTTCTCGATACCACCAAGTAGAAGCTTTTAATGGGATGAACCGCGCTCATTGTTTCCTCGACACTCTTCGAGTCAAGGATCGAGAAACGAACTCGTCGAATCCAGAAACGCTTGCATGTAGCAATTGCCAGATTCAATTCTGTTGTTCGCAAGCTTTCAAGCTTCACTTCGATCACAGAAGCTCAGATTACTTGGTTTATTATTCAGAATTGATGTTTGAAACTACCGAAAAGAATTTAACTGTCTGAGAAACGATTTAATCATGCAAGTGATCCTTGAAAATTGATCAAGTTTGCTGAAGCAATTCTAGACAGTTAAATAATGAACAGTATTCCATAGTGACTGAGCTTACGGTCCCTCAGGACTGTCCTAACACTTCATCACACGTGCTATCCTATAAGAAACTTGTTCAGGAGGCGTAAAATAACGTTTGGAAGCTTGGCTGACAAGAGATAGGAGGCAAACAATAACAACAACGACAACAGCAACAGATACAATTTTACCAAAGAAACAGAATCAAATAAAAAAGACACACACGCCAGTGTACATAGGAATTAAATACTGACGCAAACGCAAAAAATAAAAAACACGCCTAAAAAAAAAAAAAAGTAATGATATTAAGAAGAGGATAGAAATTAAGACTGATGGTATGATTTGTGGTTTGTTAGCCAGCGGAACCCATTCGGGAGACTGAGGTATAACGGGGCGGCAGTCTTGCCCGCCGCCACACTTATCCTGTCGGAGTACAAACAAGTACGTAGCTCATGTAGATCGCCTGCCGTTAATAATTCGTTGTATCGTCAACTTTGCCATACGTACGCATACACAGGACGGATCGTCGACGTACGTACGGTGTGCCGATTGAAACGTCGCCGTCGGACTGGATGTGACCACTTGAAAAAGTCTCAGTTTTAAGGGCCCAAGGCCAGTGGAATCTATTTTGAAAGGTATAAAGAGAAAAGGAAGATTCTGTGCTACCGTACGTAGGACAAGTTGGATCAGTGAGTTCGATGCAAGAAATTCTAACTCTCTGTACAGTGTTTGAAATATTACATTTTAATCGTTTCATATTCTATACAAAGAAGACGATATAAGAAGAAAAGTGGAGCAGATACGACGGCGACGGTTTCATAGCACTGATACAGTGAACGATGTTTCGTTACACCACTGTGTTTTTGTGTAGCGAGTGTGGGCTGGCCGGTGAAGTCGATGGAAGAGCCTCTTGTGCTTCTAGACCACCGTCCGCCTGCTCTCTTTTTTTCAGTAGTCTATAGCTGTCTGATATGATTGTGTGCTGCGTGTACTCCCAATTGTATCGTATCCATACTTAATCCTATGATTCAATAACTGCGACTGTTAGAACAAACGCAAGCATTTTTTCGTGGCGGCCATGTGGTTCGTGCGTTCGTGTGTTTAACCAGCCAAAGTCAACGCGAATCCTTTTCGCATCAAGAGACTGTCTTAATAAGACATTCAGCTTGAAGTGTTACATCGTCAAGCAATGTCTCTTTCTCCTGTCCCGTCTCTGCTGCTTGTTTCTGTTCGCCTTTGTCCTTTCCTTGCATATTTTTCTAGACAGACAGGCCGTGAAAAGTCTTGTTTAAAAATCAACCGATATAACTGCTTTACCTTTCTCTTTTGCAGATCCTCTGTCTTGGAAGAAGTTTCACGGTGTGTCAGAAAGTTCCTATCTCTTCCTGCCTCTCAGAACAGAGTCTACTTTTTCCCTGACTTTTGAACAAGTCTGTTTCAACATTCTCAAGAGAACCACTCCATAACTCCTTCTGCCATTGTGTGTTTAGGTGCAGGTAGAGTTTGCTTCTTTTGTTCTTCTACTTCAGTTAACTGATCAACTTTATCAGTATTTATTGATTGCTGATTGGAATGTAAATTTTTCAGGCGTAAAGCTTTCTTTAGATATACATTGAGGAAAGGGCTGAAAGAAAGTTCCGTAACTGCTCTTTATTTCCTTCTATAGTCCACAAGTAAATGCTGGCTAATCTTGATCGCTGAAAGCTGAAAGAGAGCAATCTCCTTGACACCCGAGGCACACACCAATCATCCTCCTGTTTTAACCCCAATTGCGTTTGATCCATTCAGTGTGCGAGTGTGCACGATTGCTCATATTGTGCATTGTCTTTGCGTGGCGCGTGTGTGTTTTGTTCATTTGATTTCTAACACGGCATTGCGCGCGAGTGGCATAGAAAGGTTGACTTTGTTGCAGTGGTCCGCGTAATCCTTCAAAGGATCTCGTCGAGCAGAAGCTTTTAGTAGCTTTGCGATTACCACCTATGTTGTAACAAGCTATTTGCCGGCATGTAATCGGCTCCTCCCAGATATATCTCCATCACAGGACTGTTTCTGAATGAAACAAAGGGGATTAGGAGGAGGCATCTATGGGGAGCGAATAAGATACCATACTCTGTAATAGAGTATTGGGATTCAAGCGTTAAACTTTAATCGTCATGGATATATCGAATTGTGTACTTAATTGAAAGTGATACTTAATTAATGTGGGAACTGTTGACACTTAGAATAGTGTTATTTGGTTACTACAATGTCGTAGGACTGAAGGATCAGGAAATAAGCTAATTGAATTGGAAATCACGTGTCTCTGACTCTACTTGTTTAAGAATGAAAAATTAATTACAAAATAAGATTAAAATGAAAATATTAGCAAGTAGTATTAATCACCAAGAATTAGTGAAATTACTTTTCACTCTTTGCTTTCTGTAACTCTTTTTTCTTCTCCGTTTCTATTTCTTTCTCTTTACAATGTACACTTACACTATTTCTACCTTGTTTTCTACTTTCGCTTCATTCTCTCTCTTTCTCTCTCTCTCTTTTTCTCTCTGCAAGTTGTCACACTATTTCTTTCCTCGTGATCGTCGACAGGTTGCGGTTCAAGCGTGTGCTTCATCAAAGAATTAGAGCCCACACTGTAGCTTTCTGTTCAGGACTGTTACGGACCATTTCTAATTGGCTACAAACGGAAGTACCCTGTTTAATGTTTCTCATTCATCCTAGGTGTCTTTTCGATACCTGAAGTTGACATTTTGTGTATTATACTCTTTAAGTTAATTGTGGTTCTAGACTCAACCACCGTGTTGATTGTTTTTCAGGAAAATTTGTGAGTATTTTATTGATTTTATTCACTCTAGAGGGTTAATTCTTGCTCCAGAATTCTCCTTTTTTCTTGTTTCTGATATGTCCTTTCCTTTCAGGGAGTGAGCTCATTGATTCAGAAGCAAGAAGTAAGGATGATTCTGCTTTCAGGGAGTTTGACGAGATGTTCGATTTAGGTGTCCAGGTTGACTGATTAGTGGTCTGAAGAGAGAGGGGATAATTGTAGGTAGTTTATACCTTGCCCTTGCAAACTGCTGCGGCTTTCCGCCTGCCCGCGTAGGTAGGTACGCACAGTAAAAGGTAGACGCGTGCATGCGCACGCTAGGCGGTAGAGTTACGCCCCATAGCGCAGTTTATATAAGCCTGAACTCGGGTGAAATGCAACCAAGTCCACGACGAAGAGAATAATCCAACGATGTGCACCTCAACACCATACATCATACACATACACACACACACACACACGTCCAGTGTTCAGATATCTCCGCAAGAACCGGAACACTATACGTGTCCCTTTCCTATTGAAAAAGAAGAGGAGAGGAATACAAAAGAACAGACGCACAGACACTTGAAACAAACAAAACTGACAATGAGAACAACTGCACCACCAAAAGAAATATATATACATATATAAGTATATCTAGATATAGAGAGATATATACGTATATATACTTATATATGAGACACACACAAGATAAATACGAGTATGGCGTGCTTGTGTGTCGCTGGCTTGCCTCCTCGCTTCCTGATAGAACATCCTCTTCCCTGTTTTTGCAGCTTCGAGTAATCAGAGCGTTCAAGTCGACTCTGGAAGATTTGGAGGAGCGACGCTCTGTCCATAGTTTACACAGCTTACACAGTATGCGCAGCTCACGCAGCCACACCGGGCCCCGACCACTCTCTGACTTCACATACATTGACGAAGACCCGACAAACACCGCGCTGAACGCTGGCAAGTTGCCTAACAAGAGCGCCGATCAGAATCTCCTGGTGGACCATTCAGCAGCAGCCAGGATGCAGTCGGCTAACAACTTGACGTCGCCGTTGTTGCTCACCGTTACTGGATCAGCCAACGCGTACAACCATCATAATACCATTAACACCACCAATGACAATAGATCCTCGTCCAATAGCGCCCTAAACCAGGCCCTGAGCCCCAACCATACGCAGATGCAGAGTAGCAACAGCAACAACAAAGACAGCAACACAGGAAACTCCCTGCTTCTCAGCTCCAATAATCTGGCTCTCCCGGAATTGACGAAGCTCGTGCATGAGACCAGCATTTAAAGGCAGCTTTGCGTGTCGCCACTCTACACCCCCCTTTAGCCCTCTACCCCATCTTCTCACATTACTACTCTTTCTAACTTTCTATCGATCTTTGTCGCTTTTCATTTTACTTTTCATTTTCTCTCCCTCTCTCTCTCTCTCTCTCTCTCTCCCTCCCTTTCTCTTCCTTGATTTTTCTTTTCTCCACAGATCATCTGTTACCTCTGTTTCATGGCAACAAAGTGTCTTGTCTCTTTTAGTCGCGACTCTTCATGGTCGTTCGATGATACTCAATTAACTTGTCGCAGATTTTATTTTTTTACTTCTTGTATTTTAACGCGATTGCTTGCTCGAGATGTATCACCAGTCTTTTTTATTTTATTAGACTATCGACATTCTCTGTCCACATTGGACGCTGTACAGTGTTATTTACCCGCTTCTTGTACTCCGAAAGTCCAAAGGGACGTTTGTAGTTGTTTCTTACTCTTTGCATTTTAACTGATTACCTAACGAAGAGGAAGTTTCCTCCTGTTCTTCAATTTTATTCTGTGGAAAAAATTTTATTTCCTACTCTTGCTCTCAGAGACTTTTACTTTTATCCCGAGGACCGTCAGTTTCTGTTTCTCTTGCTCTGAGGGACTTTTTTAATTCGTCGTTCACTCCATCCTCATCTGCTTCTGGGAGAAAGAGAGAGAGCTACAAGTACTTAAGGCTCGTTTGGGAGACAGAGTACTGTTTCACGCGAGCTTCTATCCGAAGTGAACATAGTATACCAGCTTTGAAAATGTTCGTCTAGCATGAATTTCAATATATTAGACTGCTTGTTCAGCTTCCCTCTTGTTCCTTGTCTGGGGACCGAGTATCTTCATTCTTATTCAGGTGTAATTATTGCTCTGGCTTAATAATGATAAGGAATAATTCCATATGAAAAGTCCATGATCATAATTAGTCAGAGCCTTCGTCCTTTGATCATTTAATTCGTCTATTCACCTTCCCTAATTTATATCCTACCTGTGATTATTTTAATAATCATTTAATTGAAACGTGATAAAGCGAAAGCTAATTACAAATTATTCAAACATTTGTTAGGCTGACTGCCTATTATTTGTTCGCACGTTGATTCGGCTTAAGTACTTGCTTGCTTGATTAATTGTCTTCTCACATACCATACGTTCACCATTTACATGACGACCTGCTTGTTCACCATGAGATTGAATCTGAACTTGTATCCACCGTTAATGAAACGATTAACGTGATTAACTCTCATCCAGTTTTCATAAGAAACTTTTCTATGAACTATAAAATGAGTTGGGTTGAGTTGGAATATAGATTCAGCGCCTCCAGTACTTATCTTGTATTTTCTCTTCTTGAAGCCTGCATCTTTGTTCAGAGAATTCTATTCGTCATGAAAAATAGGCTTCTTGAATCAACAAAAACAGTAACCCTTGCAGTCTCATTCATTCTGTTGCAGTCAACTCTCTTCTCTGTTATAATTAATTGATTATTGTGACTTATCTGATTTGTAATCATCATTGCTCACTTGTTTAGTACCTAGTGTATACTTGGAAGTATTATACAGGGTGTTTGTAAAGTCTCCATTTGTTTCAGTTACTTGTTGAGAATTTGTATGCGTGATTGATTATGAAAACAAAGGCCTTTTTATGCGTATGTCTCGTTCCATTCTGAACCAATGGAAATTTGAAGTAAATCATGTTCAAGATTCAAGATGTTATTGCTGTATATGGTTGTTCGTTAAGCTCAGCACAAACTAATGACATCGGTGATTGTTCGAAACAATTTGAGGATCAAGAAAATTGTTATATATATTTAAGTTATGAAATTACATTTTAGGCTGAGTTAATGAAATGATTTCAAAGGGTGATCCTCAAATTATTTTGAGCAACTTATGATATAAAGAATCAACAGCTAAGAAGCTACAATGTATACATAGCTATATAAAAATGGGTCATTTTATTATTGTTAAGCGTGTTAAATTTAATTTTAAATTAACAAATATATTCATTATTGTTTTTAAGCAATTCACACGGAGTGGTTTAAATAATTATTTTATTCTTCTATGGAACTCTTGATTGTGACTGTGTACGAACACCCTGTGTACCATTTTCAGATCTTTCATTTTCATGTCTGGAAAGAAATTCTTTTATAGCTCGGTTTCCCTACAGCTTGTTGGGGTTTCCACACTTGCTTAACAGTGCAAGACAATTGCATGACACTGAAAATCATGGGAACAGGGCTAGCAGTAAAAGGGTCGACTTGTGGACTCTATAGTCTGCCTATAGAGAAGCTTTCATGAGAAGCCTTTTTTTTTTTTGTTAGAGAAAGGAGCCTCGTGAACAAAAATGGTGAAAGGACGTACTTAATTGCGAGATTGAATCTCGTCGCTGTCCTCGTCTCCCTTCCAGTTTCTCATTCAGAAGCACAGTGAAACCTTGATCCATCATTTTTCATACTGAATTACCAAACAGTTTCAAATTACAATAAGTGTTTCAAAATAAATAAAGTAAGTACTTTAAGTTTCTTTTCTTTTCTTTTCTTTTTTTTTAACTTTACATTTCTAAAATTTCATACAGTTAAAGATCAGGAGATTAAACGATTCTTAAATATTTACAGAGGATCAAAGAAGGCAAAGCGATAAGGTGATCAAGGTTTCACTTTGTAGTTGAACCAAAAGTCACTATAAAGGACATCGTCATCTTAGTTTCTTTCCACACTCCAAAGATGGATAGCGAACGAGGAACACAGCACTTATATTTTACTTGTCATTGGTGATACAAAGTGTCGCCTACTTAATACACCAGGTGTGTACATTGCACTCTAACTTCCGTTCTTGATTAACAGGTTTTATAAAAAAAAAAGAATCCTCTCAGTACTCCTCTGCTTGCATATGATAAACGAGGCTTTGAGGGATTTCTTTTTGCATTACCTTTTAATCACAGGAAAGATAGCGTGCACCCAGTAAGTGTACACCTTGATTTAAAACCGATCTCCACTGCCAGGATTGTGCGCGATTGGAAAACAAAATTGAGGACAACTAAAAGGCTAAAGATCATTAGAAGTTAGGTCTTTTCTGATGGCTAAGAATTTTTCAAGTCCAGTTGCACTTGTTGATGAAATACGCGTTAGCATCAGATGATTTTGTTAATTCTTTGTTGATCAGTTTGCAACTGGACTGTTGGTCGTTTCTGAAAATCTCATTAAAATTTTGCTTAACTGATAGTAATTTTCTATTGTGCCTCTGATCAGGCCTTGAAAAACTTGAGCCCAGAAATTTGAATGCATTGTAATCTGTGGATATAGGTGCATTGACAAAAGTACTATAATTTCAGTGGGTCGTTATTGCTGTACATAAATCAGCCACTTTTTGCTTGTTTTATTTTTCACGTGCTCACCTCTTGTTTCATTTGAAAATCCGTTAAATATACAATATGGGACATTCGAAGGGTTCAGTTTCCAAGTGTTCCAATCAATGAATTCAACAAAAGCCATCTTGTTCCTATCGCTGATCCATTCTGTATAGGATTCCTCGCGGTGAGATGGAAAAGTTAATCAGTACGCTTCGCGATAACGATATTTGTTGTGGAAAAGGTATGCCGAGAGACTTAATAGAGAGACTTTGGCACGTGTACATAAAACTATTTAACAAAGTCTCGTTGCAGAAAGAAACTATATTTCTAATACGCGCAGTAGGACTGAATAATTGCTTGCTATAATTTTCTTGTCAGTATAAAGAAAAAGAAAATACATATATAAATCTTGTGAAAAACCCTATGTATTCGCAAGTTACCATCCGGTGCAGATATGCGTTGAATATACAATAGACAAAGATAAAATATTAAACGTTTTTTAATATTAACGCATTAATAAATTAATCTGTTACATTGAAACGATGATGATAATTGATTATAACAATTACACGTAGGGAATATAACATTTATATATTTATATATATTTATATATACCATACATACATATATATATATATATATACACATATAAATATATATTATTAATTTTTAATTAATTATTATTAGCGACTATTATTATTGTTATTATTATAAAATAAAGTTTAAGACACGTTATTCGAATGTTATTTGATTAAAGCCGATCAGTAGAGGGCATACAAACATTTCCAAGTATCTTCACTACAATTGCTTTCTAAGTACAGATTTCAAAATTGAAAAATGGTAGCACAAAAATATAGTCAGACAGTGCAGAAGATTAATTTCTTTTTACCAAATGGTGAAAATTATTTGAATCACTCAGAGTGGAGAAGGTCTGCAGAAATAAAACAGAACTCTGATTCTTAATGGCAATTGTAGCTCGTCTGTAAATTTGTCTCTGGATCGTTTTCTATTTGCCTTAAATGTATCATTGTAACTACTACTCCAAGCGTTGTTAAATGATATTTTTTTACTCACTCTTATATTCTGATAATGTTACAAAGGTATGGAATGTTAAGGAGAGTATGGAAAGTTAGTCTTTTAGAGTCAGAGAGTACAGCAAAAAGAATTTTATTTTTTGTTTGCTTCTCACTTTAAATTAAATTTCACACTATACGCTTGCACCTGTAAGGCTCTGAACAAAAGTCACCTTGGCTCTTCAAACTTCATTTTCACTCTGGTTCTTAGCTACTACGTTCCCGTACTAAATTCGTTATAAGACATTGCATGTCATTAATTATTAATATTAAAGGAACATTCGAGTACCTAATAATAATTCAAAATTAAGATCAAAGTGAAAATGCTACTTAAAATGATATATGCACATATTGATAGAAGTATTTCTGTGGTGCTTGGCTTATATTAGATAACATATTCTCTTGCACACAAACTCACAATGTTCTTTCAAAGACAAAATGAATACTCAGGTTTACCTTCACACAATATTTTCATTCCTTTTTATGAATGAAGATTATATCAACTGTTCTTAGAGAATAAATTAATCATTAATCAATGTCAATGGTACTAAATATTGTTCTAATTTCAACATGCTAAGTGATAAAAACAAGCAAGCTCTTCAAGAGCACACTATTTGCGGCTGAACCACCAGCACGTAGCTCTCACTTAATATTTCACTGCATTTGTTGAACCATTCGGTTAATTAGGATTACCTGCGTGTTTTGTAACTCGCCGCTCTCGCTCGTAAATCGATTTATATCATAAGATCTACATACATGATATTCAGAAAGCACTTTGCAATATATTGCATTGATTCAGTGGAATTCTGCATGGCTGACCATTCGCAGAATGTATCACTGAATCGCGTTGCGCCAATCGTTGTCTTGTACTACTGACCGGTGGCGCATCAGTTACGGAGTATTCTACTAGCATGCGTCTGACCAAACACGCGATATTCTACTTCCGCACGTCTGACTAGACGCGCGGTATTCTACTGACCCGAGGCCGAGTCTTTTCAAGTACATTCTACTTAAGTTGATGTTCTCATACATTCTTGAAGGCTTGTACAGAATATTCTATCGACTTATATAACGCTTAATCAGTGTTTTACTCTTTTTATTATGACACAATTTATAGAATACTCTCTAATAAAATCAGTGTTATTACATATCACTGTTAACACTTTGAATTTGAACATTATAAAGAAACAATGCTAGGCGTAAATCGAGGACCTTACTTTATCAGATGTTAAAAGGATGTTCAAGTAGCGGTTCTCATTGTAATATTTAACGAGGGTGAAATTTCGAAAATGTTATTATCTTGCGTTGCATGTTACAAAGCTATTCTCGGTTTCTGCTTATATGAATCTCTGTTAATTTGTTTTTTTTTTTTACTTTCATTTTCTCCACACAATTCATAACAATCGAATTTCGCTGACTTACATGCATCTAATCTCACATGAATATAATCTTATAATACATATTATGGAGGGTTTCTAGTTTTAATGTACAGTTTCTTCTTTTGGTGATTATGGATATTCAGGCACTTTTTAGCTTTATGAAATATTGCTTTTACACAAAGTGATCTATGTCAATGAAATTGTTTATAATTAGAGCAGTACAGTTAAGAAATAGATTGACAAAGGAGACCAAGTATCATTAGTTAAAAGGTGCCGAAAAGGTATAGTAACGGTGTTGTTAAAAATTTCGGACAAATATTTAAAGAAAACGAATTTAATTAAACTGATTATCGAGAAGTGGTGTACTGCTAAGCGCGTACTGCTCGTTGCGTTCAGTTATAACCATGATATTATCCTTTGCTCTTGAAGGTAATAGGTGGCGAGTTGCAGGAACGTTTGATACCAGTACCCTACAGCAAGAGTTCGACAGACCAAGCTGTAAGCGCTCCTCTCTGCTCTATCTTTCTCACTTTCGCTAATTCTAATCTTTTACTATGTCTGTCTGTCTGTCTGTCCGTCTGTCCGTCTGTCTGTCTGCCTATTCTTAATCTATCTGTTTGTTACTCAATGTATACTAAATAGACGTCACTTATACAAACACATGCAAGCACAACAGACACACATACGTACAGAGTTTTTGTCTGTCTATTGATTTTTCTTTTTACCTTTACTCTAATCTATTCTGTTTTACATTTCACTGTTAAAGCTTTTTTACTTGCTCTTTGTGTGATAACGTTCGCAATCAGTCCTCTTTGCTGCAAAAATGCTTCCTTCTTCTGTCTTTACACTGTTTCTCTTCTTTTTCTATGATATTTGTTTATCTCTAGTTTTTTCATTTTTTTTTATAACAATGTTCGTTTATAATTAGAAGTACAAATTTGTTGGTAAAACATAAAGTGTACATGAAAAGACTAGAGACTTGGTTTTTATCTTCTTGCTCTACTATTCAGTTACAGTTCTATGTAATTCTCTGTCCCCTTTTTTTTCTTGCTAGTCTGCAATGTACAAAATGTACAAACTTATCTTTTCTTCCTGTTACTCATACACATTACAAACACGGACCACATTTACACTTGAGCCTAGAGCTTTTGCTCGTTCGCTTCTCTGTCCCCCCAGTTACATCTTGTTCTTTATTTTATATTCTTCACGAATCTCGACAACCGATGATGTTTCATGCGAGTCGATTCTTTGTCCTCACTGTTGAATTAAATTCAATTAGAAATTGATTACATATAAATTCCTTCGCGTAACGTTTACTTGGACAGTACACGATACACTGCAATTTATTAATTAGCATACTTATGACGTAGCACTACGTTCTCACTGAGTTGACCTCAAGTCAGTAGTTTACAATTAGTAGCATACACAAGGTAGATCGAGCACTTCACTGATCACCTAGTACTACGTGCATGATGACATACATACCTACACAAGTGTTATACAATAACAAATAGATTTGAGGTTTAAAACGGCTCGCTAGAAGAACATTGATGTCGAGAATGTACAACTGCTTATCGATTGATCCAAATGAGGCCACTATCTCTCTGAAAGAAAAAAAAAAAAAGGAATCATTTACAAGTCTTTCTTGTTTCAATGGAAAAAATTCTTTTAAAATTATTGTTACTGCCTTAAAATTCTATCTTAATAAAGAGAAATTGAATTGAGACTTCTTTTCTGGATAAGCTAGTTATTTTTCATCGAAATAAGATTCTTGATCGCAAGGCTGAATGAAAAGGGCACGAGGTGTAGTTTCAGAGGCAATATTTTCGTTTTCACAAGTTATTGAAATTTGCTGTATCAGTAGCATTTGCTGCTCGATTTTCAAAGGCAACATTTTCTACTTAATTGGACTTGCTGATCCTTCGGCCAATTCTGCTTACGTGTAAGCAAGTAGTAATACTTTTTTTATTGCATTTACAGTACGACGTGGTTCGTTTTCCTATGTTAAATATTTTCATCTACGGTTCAAACACTAAAGGTGAAAGTAGTACAAAGTACAAATTTAGTTGATCAACCATGTAACTAATTAGAATTTGGAAATGAACAATCTTCTGGTTTTCTTGCACGATCCACGTCGTGTTTGTAGGCACGTTACTATTGTTCCATGCATCATGATCTTACCACGTTTAATACTTACAAATTTTTTTCTAAGCAGACGTTTCTAATCATTTACATGTACCATCGTTCAATTACAAAGAAAGTTTCTAAACGAACTGATGATCTTGAGAGATAGCAGACTTCACGAGCTATTTCCATAGCGTTGATCGAACGTTTTCCATCAACAAACTATCGTTGACTAATGGTTTCCTCTATTGTTTGTGTGTACTTGTATGTGTGTATGAAACATGATACCAGAAACGTTCGATCGACCCAATTTTCACCCTATAATTTGATTAGCAGTTTCTCTTAAAAGCCTGGAGTCTGTTCTGATAAAATAAACTTCTCGTGGAAGATGCTTCGATACAAGAACGCCCGCTAGAGCAATCTATTACATTGTAACAGTTTGAAAGTCAAAACAAATTCATGGATATTGATCAATTGAACTGAATTGACAATAATAAAGAGGCAAAGAAACGTTAACTTTTCTTTTGATGATCTTCAAATAGCGTATCAAGGTCTGTCGCATTCTCATATAGAGTCACTCATCAAAAGATCCTTCTTTTCTTCTCTTCATACTGTCGACTTTCTCTCCACCCCCTCTCACTCTCTCTCTCTATTCTCTTACAATGTCTATATTTCTGAATGATTCTTGCGACACGATCGATACGACTTTTGTCTGAATCATCGGGATTAAACTCTGTATCAAGAACAATCCCTATCCGACAGAAGGTTCTTCGAGCAAGCGAATTATTCTCTACTCGCGTTGGACAGAAAGTTTTCAATTGTATATAGAAAGCAGAGGGGAGACGTATCGCTCGTGAAACGGGGAATCATGAGGAGGTCATGTGTCGACCTGTGAGCTGCTTAAAGAGAAACAAAATGAAAAGAGTCCATTTTTTTTGTGGAACAACCGTCGTTATCTCTCTGCCCGGGAGTGCACAGAGTTGTGTTGGTCAGCAGAGCGCGGTGGTATTGCGTGCATGTTTAAAATGTACCGGAGAGACGCATTTAGTGAAACGCTAAACCGGATATTCGGCCAGGTTAAACAGTGTCTGACCGTCAGCCTAATGGTTTAGGGGACCTCTCTCCACGGCGTATCGTGTAAGTATTCCCTCAATGTTTTCTGTCAAACAAACGAATGAGCAAATTAAAAAAAAGCGACACATTTTCCTGCCACTTCCATGAAAATGCAAGAAAGGAAGGAAGAAAAAAAAAGAGAGAGAGATATCAGTGTATCTAATTAACATACATACCTACATGTATTTATTAAGAAAACTCGGGTGTTTTCTTTTTTTTTTCTTTTTTTTTTTTTTGGGGATGGGGGTTGTTTCTTTCCACGCAGGGGAGGTACCATCATGAATGATTGAATAGCATTGTTCAAAAACGTGACTACGCCAATGCATGTGAGTTCGCAGCCTGCAATTTGTCACGCTGGATTACAGCTCACCATACGATGCCAGGTGTATATGCGTGGAATTATTTTTCTTTTCTTTTGCTGTTGTTGTTTTAGACACGATGATCGTACCAGCTTTTTGTCGATCATTCGTATCTGTAACAAGCGTGTGTTGGCTTAAGAATATTTTTAAGAGAGAGAGAAAAAAAAATAAAAAGAAAATAAGGAGTATCGAGGAATCGTGAGGAGCTTTTCAGCAAAGCCTCGCATATCCGCTTACTGCATCGAAACCGATGATCGTGTGTCTGAAGCATTCGACGATTTCGTTTCTTCTGGGCCGTTATCCAAGCAACAAGACCAGACGGAGGAACGAAATCGCGTGGAAGATTCGGCCATCGACGGGTGCATGTGGTGTTGCGTGACATTGCAAGTATAGTTTGAGGCGGTGATGTCGGTGAGTTATAAATTTCAATTATTTCTATAAAGAAAATCAACAGACAATGGTTTAAGAGATAAATATTATATATATATATATATATATATATATAAATATAAAAAAAAATAAGAGATACTTGTGTTAACTTGTAAAAAGTACTTTAAGTATGGTGCCATCGATGTCGCTTCCTTAAATTCTGTGTCTTAACTATTTTGCCTTGCTACGCAGGGTATCGAAGCCCCGCCTAGTTCTTCTAGTAATTCGTGTGGCCGCTGCTTTCTGTCTCTTTATACATACACATAATTATACCTCTATATTTACATAAACGTCCCTTTTTAATCTGTTTAGAGATTGATCATCTTAATCCTGAAAAGAAAAGACAAAATTATTATCAAATATTTCTTATGTTCCAAAGTTACACTTGTATCATCTATATTGAACGAAGATGATACAAGTGTTGTTTATGAAATAAAATAATAAATAGAGAGGATCAATCTCAGTCCCCTAAATGGATTTTGATCTAACGGTGTATCTGCCAATCTTGTGGTAAAGGAGGAGACGGTTGAGCATGTACTGATAGAAAGGTTTCCGTTTCCAGATCCGCGTAGTGAACGCATTTCGGCAGGGCCTAGACGCGCGCTACACGAGCGAGCACAGCAGCACTCCCTTGGCGGAGGTACTGAGAAAGCAGTCGTCCTTAAGCAAGCGGCTCTCGCAGACGAGCAGCATCGAATACGCCGACAACAACCCAGACGAGCTGACCATACCTGAGATAGACGTGGAAAGGCTCTCGAGTCACAGTCACACCGAGACTGCCGTTTAGAAAGAGAATGTCCAGCAGCCACAACGGTCATAGATAATGTGTTGTTACGTTGACAAATCTTTTCGACGATGTGTAATAATCCTCATCCTTATTTTCTCGTGGCCAGCGCGTTCAAAAAGAGAGATATATATATATATATAAAAAAAAAAAAAAAAACTGCGACTAGAAGCGTGCTTTGTGATCCTCGACGAGAAGAAAAGAGAGGATCGATTTTCCTGACCGAGTCAAAAGAAAGAAATATTAAGAGAAATCGTGACGCGGGGTTGGGTCGTCGTCATTACCATAGCCACGTTCAGTCGAGAGACGGTGAATCTAGAAAAGAAAATAAGAAACGATGACGATGACGATGACCTTCTATCCACGAGAACATCGTCGCGGACCTCAGTTGATCCGTGCGAAACACCAATTATAAAATACCAAAGTAACGCACCACTGCCTTCCTTCTGTTTAGTTGTTACTTACGTTTCTTCTTTTCTCTCCTTGCCCCCCCCCCCCCCCCCCCCCTATCCTCCCTCTCTATTTCTCTATTTCCCATTGCAACACCATAGTCTCCTTCCTTGTTTCTTTTTCTTTTTTTATCCATCATTTCATGAAAACGCTGTTGTTTCAAGTTGCACCGCATGGAATTGTAGTAAGGGGCAGAGAGAAATACCTGTGAGAAGACGTTACTTTGATTAGCGTGATAAGAAACTTATTCTCATTTCTTGTTACTCTTTTATTTTACTTACTTAACTTCTCGCCTATTCTCTCTGCTTCTTTCGTTTGATTGTTTACCCAATATGTTTTTTACTGCCATCTGTCCTTCTGTCATCCATCACATTTCTATTCTACTCCTCTCTCGTTACCTCGCACAATCTTCGCAATACTCTTCTTCTCTTGCTTTCTCTGTCCTTTCTAATTGTTAACTTCTCTATCTTCTCTCGCCCCCCTGTCTCTCTCTCTCTCTCTCTTCCTCGCTCTTTCTCGCGTGACTTAAAAATGATCTAGTCACTAGTTTGTATCGCTAAATACTTCCGTGAATATACTCATCATTGGGGGTGCCTTACCGAAAACAAAGTTGAAAAGAATGCGCATTGTTTTTTAGCCTTACTTCGCGTGTTAAAATGAAAAACAAACGACAGAATATTCGCACCGATTCTTCTTTACTATGTCGCGTAATTAAGGGGAAAGAGTAATTCAACGAAAGTAAAAAAGAAAAATGAAAAATAATAAGCGAAGCATATAGAAGGGAAAATGGTTGCCACGACATTGCCATTATTACGCTTAAATTGATACAAAGATCCTGATAGTAAAGACGTAATCACGCCACGGTACGAAAACCCGCATGTACTTTTAGTAATAAATATATAGCTACGATCTACCAACAAAAAAGGAACAATTTTTTCGACGAGTCACCTATTTTATTTTATTTTTTTTTCTTATTTTTTTTATTAAATTCAGTTATCCGTACACACTGTGCAAAGGAATGAGAAAACGTGTCTGGCCATACTAATCTTTCATTATTTTCTTCCATTATTCGTGTGGCTATACTGTAATTATTCTCAGGACCTGTCGATTTCAATCGAGAACGAAGCGCGCCTGTTTGAACGATTTTCTCTGTTATCCAATGCTGTTCGATTGCGGTGACGCGTTCGCGGTCTTGACACGTTGAGCCCGGGATGATATGTCTAAAAGTTGTAGATCTACGCTGTCGGCAGTTACAGTTTGTTTTACAGTACCGTAGATCTACCAGCTTCGGTCGCAACGTGTTAAGAGATATGTATAATACGTCGTTCGAGAACGGGCCTTTAAAGGGCAGTTACGTCTACGGACCCCGAATCGCATTGCAAATGCCGGTATAAATAAGTTGTACGTTTTTAAGAACCGCTGCCAAATAAAATCCAAAAAAGACAACGTGACGCGTGTTTACCAACGTCTCCATGAAGTCAGTAGCCAGTTTTTTATTCGACAGAAGTAGCATTATGATTCGTTTGTACGTGTCGCGACAAAGGAAATCGATCCATTCGAAAGATAAATGATTTCCTTTGTACGCGCGCGCCTTTGGTGTCACGGAAATTCGTAATTCGTCGTTGCGTTACGCGGACACAGATTTTTTCGTAGGGTCCGTTTAAACATGTAGGACTTAGTTTGAACAGGCTTTTAAGAGGCCTATTTACTGCACCGTATTCTAGTCTTAAGCACTCTATATGCCTTACACTGCCAATTATAAAGACGCGCTGTTCTTACGGATACCTGTACGGTACACATACAACGATGCCATCGTCGTCGACGTCGTCGTCGTCCTCGCAGTCATCGTGATATATACTATCGTCTTCATTGGTCGTTTTAAATCATCGTTCCTCCTCTCTAGATATCATCCTTTTAAATTTTCCTTTCTTCTCTATTTCCTGTTTCAAAGAAATTATCATTACATTTTTATTATTCATTTATCATCGTTCTTCTTACCCTTTCTTTGTTGATCTCACTGCCATTTTATTTACTTAGATTTTTGTTTTCAAAAAGATCCCATGCACTTCTCTATTTCTCTTTCATCCATCTTCATTTTTCTTGTAATCCGAGCGGTGATCTCTCTATTCTGTTAAAGCTTAGTCTCATGAGAATTTAATTAAAAAAAAAAAAACACAAAAAAAAGACCGCTACTAATTTCACGTAGGCTTTGATAGACACGGTCGCGTCCCGCGAAGGTGCGAATTGTCGCAAACGACGGTTCCAATTGATGCATCTACGATATATTAACAAAGAAAATGTCAGAGGCAAAAAAAAAAAACGAGGAGGAAAGTAGATGATAAACGTTTAAAAAGAAAAAAAAATTGAAGTATCGAGAGAAAATAATTAGTGTCGCGGCTAAAATAAAAGTTATGGTCGTACATCGCGTACGCTCATTCATTTAATAGGTATATACAGTATATAAGTAACTTTTACAAGTGAGAACAAAAAAAAGAGAAATGTTTTAAAAGGAGGATAAGCAAATTAAAAAAAAAAAAAAAAATACATAAACACAAGAACACACATTAACGATATCTTGCTGTTACGATATCTGCATGCTCGGTACCACACTGTTATCGTTATTGCCGTTATCTCACCCCATCATCATCCTCGTTGTACCTTTTTACGTTGATTTTTTGCCCGCCGTCAAGATCGCACCGATCATCCGAGTGAACTCTATAAAATAATCGACTCGTCACACGTCCCGTCCCTTAAAAAGAAAAAACTGCATTAAGTATGTTTTTACGCTCCGGTTGTTCTTACTCTGTACTCTATTATATTTAACGCATTTCGCGAATATTTAAGATTGTGTAGATTAATAATATGCGGAAAACAAAAAAAAAAAATGAATAGTTTCGATAGTCTGAGTGGACAGTAACAAAAAAAAAAAAATTAATAATAATAAAAAACAGGGGAGTCGTGTTCTCCTTTGATCGGGTTATTAGGTGAGTCATGTGTTGCGAGAAGAATGGGTGAGAAGGGAAAATGTCTCCCCACGGTAATTTGATTCCACTGGAAGACTACGAACGCTTGTGTCAGATTACAGCCATTAAAACAAAAGAGTTTTCGTAGCATCGATACGAAGCAGAGAAAGAAGCTGCTGTCCTTGTACATACCTCGCGACGACTACTCTCACCGATGTGAATCCTATCAGCTGCTCTGCCGGGACATCTGTATCTATAGATTCTTCGCTTTCTCTCGACAATGCTACGAGCAAGAACCTAAAAGAAGAACGAAGATGGATGAAAAAAAGAAGAGGACTAATGGTGTTCAAAAAAAAATACATTTACCGTGAAAGTGAAAACCGTTCGTGCAGCGGTATGATATTGCACCGATTCGTAGTATCGTTTAACGTCTCATGCTTCGAACCGATTATAGATTTCGACACGAGGTCGACCTGTCTTCACATAATGTAAATATATTATATATATATATATATATACACACATATACATCTAAGCTTTGAGCCTTTTTATCGATTAGCGATCATTGGGGCTTTTTTTGTGCTGGTATTTTTCAACATGACTTTTCTTTCAAGTGGAAACTTTAACACCATACCTACTGCCTACAAATCAAATAGATAATCACTACCAGCTTGTAACCATATATTGAAAGGTGTAACCCTTACTTAGAATTCCTCTTCACTGGAGTAGTATACCAGAATTTTATTATTTCAATTGAGTTATAGGTGAATCTGTAATAATCAAGAGATTATTCATTCCTGTTCCGGTAGGTAAGGTGTTGAATAAAGCACAGTGACTTCACTCGTTCCCCTGCAACAAGATCATTATATTTTTTCTGCAATTGTTAAACCGAAACATGTTACTGTGTGTTTGATTGTATGCGAGTGTAGAAGTCAAAGAAATTGTTCTTTCTTTTTACCGTTTTTTTTTTCTGAAGGTGAATTAACACACTTGTATAACCTTGTAAAGTAACCTCGTCGCTGTCCAATGAGTTTAAAATAGGCGGCGAAAGGGAGCGCGATCTTAGGTCCTCTGATCGCAGACTTTCTCGCATTGAAAACGCCCTCGTCGCTAATCGAAGTATAATCGGTATTTCCAGATTGTAGGATTAATTCTTTTGCTGCGTATAAATAATTTTCTGGTACATTTACAACGCTGTATATTTATACGATTTATTCTTACCTCATGTTTTGTGTCCCATGTAATTTATTATTCAGTTCATAGATTATTTGAAATGGCGGCGAAGGAATTAATCTTGTATGCGTGCGAGCAGCGTGTGTGGTGAGTGCGTGCGCGAGTGAGATTTGTGGAGCATGCGCAGACAGAAATTTTACATTATAAATCATTCTCATTGTCAGAATAATTGCAGTAATACTTTTCGTCTATAACGAAATAAATACCTTTGTTCTTCGTTCTGTCATCGTTGACACCGCATATCCACAAACGTTTCATTTTCAATCTGGCCTTGCCGATGTACCATAAGACCGAAACGTGCCACTGCCCGCAATATCGAGGAGCCGGTTATTGACACCTTTCGTGCTGGCATTTAAACGTACGCTGCAATTTCTCTTGGTTTCGCGCCCCGCCATTGTTCGATAATCGCGTTGCATCTTGAACATCGTGCGTCGACATTTTTCTTAATCCTAAAAGTATTGTACATTGACTTAAAAGGGGTTACCTTTAATCGATCACTGAATTCGTCTGGAAAATTAGGAAAAATTCGGCTCACGTTGTCAGAGAAAACAACTTTACGTTTAATAACGAAAAGTTGAACAGCGTTAATCGCGTCCTTATAACATAAGCAATAAAAAAAAAAAAAGAGAGAGAGAGATGCAAGACGATTCGAAAATCGATACTAGCGATCGATACGCTGCAATATCTTACTGCTAGATCGATCGTCATCGCTCGAAGCAGCGACGAATTTCTTTTAGACAGGGGGTAGGGAAGATTTCGTAGGGCCGTGACGAACTTTCTTGGACAAAGGCTACTTTAGACGCGTCGATACTTGTATTTAAACTATGCGGATCTATCAAGATAATTATATTTTACACATCTAGCGACTTTATTCGCCTCGTTGTTAGAATCTTGTCGTTTATTTCAGTAATTAAAGTACAATGTTACTTATGAGATATAAGATATAATTTTCTGTAAACATTCAATCTCGCCGACACTGTCGCGCCTTCGTCATTATCCTTGCGGCCATTAGGCAAATCATTGTTCTGTGCATCCTTCCCGCCGTTTTTACGTCCGCGATTATCGATTATCGATAAAAAGAAGGAGCTCAGCTTTGTAACTATTAAAACTTTAAAGTAATACAACTTTTTGTTTCTTACTTTCTTGTTCTCAATTCAATCGTTTAACAAAATGTAGTATTGATATTTGAAATCGCTCTTATTTTCCGCGAATATTCCTTTTAGATCGATCTTATCGATAATCGACTGGCTCGAAACGTGATTGGCTATTTCAAATTTGATTTTCGAGCTAACCGGAAATTTAAAAATTAAGTCAAATTTCCGTTTTATTTGTTAACGAAATTTTGAAAAATAACATAGCCTGTGTCGCGAGACTGATAAACGGCCGGAATTTCGAGTCGATGATCGATCGTTATTAGTGGATCCAGAGTGACATGAGAAAACTCACCATTGCGGTTGGGACCAAGTCTCGACGATCGTCAAGAGTAATTAGAAAGAAAAAAAAAACTAGAGCTAGCGAAAGAGACAATTTCTTTTAACAGCTTAGTTGTGTCTCGTCGTTTCTAAAGCCGCGTCTTTATTTGTAATAAACCCGCGTAACGCGATCGGCTCGGTTTCAATGTTATCATGCGTCAGTGTGAATGTAACGCACAGTATAAACACGAGTTGGTTATTGAGCTTGAAAATAAAATGAAAGATTTCTCTACGAAATGTATAAATGTTTGTAACGCGACAAGATTCGGCTTTCTATGTGTTACGCGTAACATTATTTACGTTGCGTTACTCGAGTTTATTGCGAACGTAGACGCGACTTAATAATACGTAAATTCTAGCTATGTCGTGCACGCGCTCAGAATCGAGATATAAAATAAAATACTTGTTATTATTCCGTCGTTTTCTCGACGACTGGATTTCCGGGCTATCGATCGACGCTTTGCCAATTGCGGAAGCCGGTGGCAGATAATGACAGCGTGTCAGGAATGCACATTAAGCCTGCGAGTAATTGCTTGGAATGTGTATATTTTTACGTGTGAATATAATAAGAAGGAAGGTTAAAAACCATTGAAAGAACAAACAAGTTGATAGTGAAAAAGGAACATGACAACAGTGTCATAATATTGACATTGTGAATAATAAGGATTTAATGATATGGAAGATGATAAAGGAAAGGAGCTAAACGATGAAGGAAATTGAAGAACTGAATCTTGGTATAAGCCTTTGTTTCCAAGTAAGAAATTTTAGAATTAACACAGATTGTTTTTGCAAATGTATCGAGCGCAACATTTGGCAAATATTAAATATATTAAGCTAGTTATTTATAGCGAGTTTCACCCAAATGTTTTGGGGGTATTCGAGTTTATTCCATTGTCAATGGGTTATGCCAGTACCGATGCTGAGAGGAAGTGAGAGCGTGCGTTTTAATTCTCACAGTTTGCATCAAAGACATACCGAGCAACAATTGGAAAGGTATGACCATATAAGATAAATATATATATATATATACATAAAATTATACATATATATTTATATATGTTCAGAATATATGTATCTTGTATGTGTATATACGTATATATATTCTGAATATGTATACATGTATATTTATATGTATATTCAGCAGTAATAAAACAGGAGAGTTGTACTGTGCCAGAATATGTAATATCCTGTGTTATGATTGGAACTTGTTGTAATTCAGAAGTATTTTGAGAGAGTATCCTTTCTAGCGATGAGTCGGAACTTAACTGGTTATAATTAAGCAAGTAATATATTTATTGAAGTTAAAGTGTGGTAAATTTTAGAAAAGTTGGAATTATGTTTCATATAACGAGTTATTGATTTGTTTCACATGTGCAATCATATAATGTGAAATGATATATTGTGAACACTAAAATAGATAATGGAAAATTATATTATGAATTTGAAATTTACAAAAGTTTAATTGAACGTTATAAATAAAGAGAAATACACAATTATACAAAAACATTAAGGTAGAACAGTTTTTGCTATTGTTGGCTTTCATAATAGATGTCCAATAATTTCAAACTTATAAATTGCAATTTCAATACAACAAATTACAATAGATTTTCCACTCATATGTTAATTCCTTGTATTTCTCATTTAGCATCCAATTCTATTATGTTTATCCAGTTATCGTATTACCATTCTTGGCATGCATCATTTCTCTAGAATTAAATTAAAATTAATAAACAATATAAGTACATATAAATGAGAGGATGATACTTTCTTATAAGAATTGTACGACGGCATCATCTGTGCGAGGGTAGTTGAATCGTATCTTTATAAGAACTTTTGACATTTACGTTTGGCGCCATCATAGGCAAAGTAGGTAATACAGAGATCAACTCTGTCGTTATTAGATAAGTAGTACTTAAATGTCCTTTTGCAAGTATTTATTTTCCTTTCCTTTTTTTTTGGTACATACATCTAATAATTTAACTTGTGTTAGTCTATTTCAATTTTAACCACTCGTTAATTCTATATACACTAATAAGTACAGGCTAAAATTATATGTCGAATGGAAAATATAAAGTATGTATACAATTTCGTCGCAATATACAATTGTATTTTACAGTATAGATCTCGATTTGCTTGATAGCGATTCCTCGATGCACTCACAAGCGCATTTCATTTACATTGCATATATAATATACACACAAATATAGAATTGAACACTTCATGGAGATATGTTAAAAAAGATTCGTCATACCATTAACATGAAAGATTTTTAAATATAAAAATCACTGTTCTGCGGTTTGCTCTTTCTGTAGCAAACCGTACCTACGTTGAAACTCTTCTTCCATGGCTTCTAATTGTTCCCTATTCTGTTCCTGTGTCATTTGTTCCATTAATTCATGATTATAAGTAGAATGTAACATCAAAGCTAATACACCAGCGCGAGTAGCCATGTTCGCTCTAATTTGTCTTTCCTGTTCAACCAGTTCATCTATTTTCAACCATTGTCTTACTCTTTCCATATCAATCTCTGCCCGCCGCAGTTTCTCCCACACGTAATGCTTCACACAGCTCTTCTTTGGAGCACGACAAAATTCTCCAGTTGTATCAAATACATTTGTAACTAAGGGACAACCGCACACCTCAGTTTCACTTATCTTAGGATCCTTACAGTGTTCAGGACAAAGGACCCTCAATCTTTTACAATAAGTCCTGTTTGCAGGATTATAAAAATCACAGAACATCACTTGCCCTTCTATTCGGGTTTTGAAAATTGAACCAAAGGATGCTTGAGACTCGTACTGCAAGATAAATATATAAAAAATATAGTGATTAAACAAGGTCTAAAGATTCCATTCCGTTATAAAGTTACCTTGTTGAAGCATTTTTCCATATGTTTAATAGATGTTCGGGAATGAATCTCATGGCCACAGGTAATACAGTACATGCTCATTTCGGTGTCATCGTTATCGTCCACTTCCGCTTGTGGATCAATCGTCGCATGCTTTGCGCGTTCTATAATCCTATCTAACTCCGCGTGTCTTTTATCCAATTCCTGGAGTATTCTTCTAACATCCTGCTGCTGTTTCCTAATTGCCTCTAACTGTCTTCTATTATTTTGTTCAGCGATGCACGGTGTCAATGACCACTCTTGTAGTCGCTGAGGTAGTACTTGGTAAATTCTGTTTGTTGCTAACTTTAATCCACATTCGTCAGAACAATATTTACTACCTGGCCTTGAGCATTTTGTACAAGCAGGTCCATAACAATGTCTCGGTACATCGAGATAATCGTTTCTTTCATTGCTTGAATCTCTTTTTCTTTTTTTGATGAATTTTGAACTTTTGTTAAAACTCTTTGAGGGTTTTAATGGATCGCCTAATACTCGACAAGTTCGTTGTATACATCTGAGCTTCAGTCGTACCGAGGGTCCAAATTTTTTTAGATGTCTAATAATTAAATTGTAATAAGTATCAACATAGTTATGATTTCCCATTCTTACTTGTACATTACATTACCTGCACGCGTCACATTTTCCACAATTCTCAGTTCTCAAACAACCTGTGCATTCTCCGCAACGTTTAGACGATTTTTTTATCACCGTAGGATCCCAAGGTGCATCGTACTCGTATCGATGAGCTCGTTCCTTTTCTTTATGTTTCTTATATTTACGATCTTCCTGATCAGTTTTCCTTGGCTTGTAACGCGTTATCAATGTTGGATCTTCTTCTCTACACCGCTGCAAATATATCTTATTAATATAATTTGTTAAATAAAAATCGTTAACATTGACCAAGAGGGTTCTTACAATACAGAAAAACTGTTTTATGTGTTTGGCATCCTTTTCTGTTATATTTATACAGTCACCATGATACCATTCTTCGCAAGCATCGCATCCTCTAGAATTAAATTAATATCCATGAATATCTTAGCAAATTACATTCGTTTCTTGTAACTTACATCATAAAACGTGAACTGTCAGAGCTTCTACAAATGCAATACGCTTGTCCATCCTGTTTTAGTAAAGTTGCAATCTTACTCTTTCTCTCTGGTAGCATAAACTGTTTTGCTATTTCTTCTTTCTAAAAAATATATAAAGATATACTTATTTCTCTGAAATGTAAGTTAAACATAGTTTACAATTAAATTTTAATTGTAAATTATCTAAAGAGTAATACAAGCATGACAATGCTACTTACTGATAAATTTTGCTGCCTCTTGTCAGCCATGATTGCATATAATTATTCTGCAAAACCTTTCTAAAAAGCAATTATTTTATATTTAAATGTCTTGCAATTTTAAGTAGAACTTAACACAACGAGACAATCTATTGCCATTTTGGAGCGTATACTAGAGGCAGCTGGAGGTAAACAACTGTACCAGGTACCATTCAAGTTTAGGAATTTTTTGGTTGGAAGTAGTGGCAACATTTGATACTCCATAACGACTTGATCTGATATAACAAGCTCTTGTAATCCCCCTGTGGCTGGGGGGTTTAGAATACAGCCACGGTATCCCCTGCCTGTCGTAAGAGGCGACTAAAAGGGGGCGCAAGAGAAAGACAGGAAAGAAGAATAAAAAGTACAGATATAATGTAAGGAAGGAAAATGTAACACGAAAAGCAGAATAATGTAAATCAAAAATGGATTGGCAACAATGCCAATCTTGTAGGCACGCGTGGCCGACAACTTTTCGGTGGGCAAAATGGGATAGATGCAAAGTCCCTGGAGTACGCCACCCCTAGATGGCAGCTGTATCTTTTTGAACAACTGTTATTAGATAATGATCTGAACTTGAACGTCAATAAAAGAATCATGTGTTTTAAATAAGGCTATGGTTCTGTTACAGCCTTAGTAATTCAATCGTATAATAAAATCACGTTATCATTATATTGTATCTGATCAGTGATATCATTGATTAAGATGGTCGCAACGAAGGACACTGTTTTTCCTTCGGATGAGGAATTAACCGTACAGGAGATAAATGTTAGCTGGCCCGGTTTGCAAGCTGCTTCTGTCTATATTGGAAAGAAATGCGAATGGCATAATAATGTGAGGTTTCTTCTTTCTATTCATTTTCCATTAATTTTCATTAATTTCACTCTCTTTGATTTTTGCAATTCCAACTTCTGTTTCTAGGGATTACATAACATTCTCGAGTTTTTCATGAAGTAGTTGACATTCATTTGTCAATTACAATGATGTTTTTTTACATAGTATTGTTATTGCATTCTCTGATTTCCTTGTAGGAATTTATGTTATGTAAAAAAGAATTGCACGACCCCCGACAATGCATCAACGAAGGGAAAAATGTAACTTCTTGCGCGATGGAAGTGTTTCGGGGTATCAAGAAACATTGTAAAAACGAATTTAATAATTATTCGCATTGTCTTGAGAGATCTTCTAGTAGTATGGAGCTTGATAGGTATGTTTTTAGTAAAAGAAAAAAAAATAATGCTTTGATATTTTAAACATGTTTTGATTGTAATAATCTGGATGTAATTAGATGCAGAAATACGCAAAAGGTATTTGATAATTGTGCTCTAAAGAACTTAAACATAGAACGACCATCTTTCGGATATTTTTGCGAAGCTAAAGTACACGATTCACCGAGACCAGAACCAGTACCGGAGCAAACGGTATATCCAGATGCTACGCCTAAGATGATACGTCGTCCATATCGTCCACCAAATTATGGTTACAGAACCTATTGGTCGAACTAATTTGTTAGTATCGTTGTAAATCTGTTTTTATAGTTAATATATCTATGGGAAACAAATATAATTCATCCATTAGGAACTGTACAAGGTAAAGAATAAATACAGTTATATATCAGCTGTAAGTTTTATATAATGTATATTCACATTTTCATGCATAAAAATGTCCTTGAAGGAACTTAATTTACAGTTCAAAGTTAAAAGTTAAAAATAAAGGTACAAAATCGTTATAATCAAAAGGTACAAAAGAAGAAATTGTTGTCCCAAGAAACTTCGATAACAGATAGATAATTTTGATTTTCATTTTTTAGAGGAAGCCCACATTTGGAATAAACTAAATTACATTAATATCATGGTTTTTATATATTAATAGTTATGTTTCTTTTATTAATGTAACTGTTCTTTACCATTAGATGATAAAGATATCAGTAGACAATCAATTAGTAACTTATTTTGTCATCTTATGCTTTATCAATATTCTTAAATAACATTCGAAACAATTTAATGAATTTACATATCTGATTCTTCGTTTATCACCCATGAGCAAAACATAAATTGTAGAATCAGAAATTATACTGACCACCTATCTTCTTTTACAGTTTTCATTTGTAAGTTTTACGTTACGAGAAGTGAATGCAAATGAAAGCAAGCAAAAGAAAAATTGCATTATCAAACTATACATATACAATATATAAACATTATGTACACAGTAATAGAATCCAGATCATTCGCGCAAAACGATTGCACAAATAGTTCTCTAGAATTTCATATCTGTGTAGAACTATGTACAAACAGTGGGTACGATTTTTCAGGCACTATGCAAATCTCTTATTATGTAACAATGTTCATTTAAATTTCGCTTGCAAATATTCTACAAAAAGAAATTATAAGCAAACATTGTTTTCCAATTAATCCATCGATCCATGTTTCATCTTAACTGTGACAAGAGATCTCAGTTAACCAACTGACTCTAATCGTTCACACTGGTGCATTCAACATAATCAAAATATTCGTTCAACTTTGTTGAATATTATGGAAGCAATTTATCTGAAAAAATAAATCTGTGTTGACGGATTTTTTGTTAGCTCCAAGTAATATCGTAACCATTCCAATTTGCACTGGGTGCTAAATGTACTCTTCTTCCTTTGTAGAAAAACGTAACCACTCCACGATATCCGGTTCTCGGTACTCCACTCTATAAAAATGTCGTTTCATAAAATTACTAATGTGATTTTTAAACCATTAGGAAATTACAGTTCGTACCCTGAAATCATCCATTAATCCAAACTGCTTGGCAGTATTTTTATATGCTTGACGAGAATAATAAGGTATCCGTACGGCGCCTGGTGCCATAACTTTACCATTTTTTAATTCTGAAAAACTTACTACGGTGGACTGGTATACATCGTTCACAAAACTAATGTCATAATTGTCCTACAAAATTATTATATGCAATGACTACTTTTCTTAGCAGAATTACAAGGTAATATATGCAATTAATATATTGGCTTACTTTTAATAAATAAGTTAAATTCATCTTAGTGAAATGCACAAATTCTGTATTCAGTTTTATGTATTTTAAATGCCTTTCATAAAACATTCCACTGCAAACAATATATCAATTATCAACATACCACACCTCCCTTCTTTAGTTACCTGTTAGGAATTTAAATACATACTTGCTGACTCCAGTTTTACCAAACGTTCTTGTTCTAGATATTTCTGGTCGAATGCAAGCTCTGTTTCGACGTTGTTCGGGTTGTCTTATCCAGTCGTCCCAATATCTGTCGCATTAAAGATCAAGAAACAATATTTATCAATCATTTGATGAATTTTCAACTTACGATTTCGGCCATTTCGGTGATAATTCTGCCCACAATTGACGCGTTAACATCCATCCTAATCCAGGAAAGAAGTCTGTTCTATATAATATATCTGACCCGTTTTCATCGACCAAGCCGGCTTTACCGTTATCGTTCCACGCCGATACACACCACAGAGTATTATCAGATACCAGTAAAGGATAAGTACCCAAAAAGTATTCAAAAAAATCTGGGGCTACATCCAAATCATCTGAAGTAAATGAATTTTACGTAAAATAATTGAATAATTAAAGATGTGTATGGTAGCTTGATGGATCTACCTTCAACTATTATCACAGTATCATATCCAAGCTGAAAAAAGACATAATTAAGAGCCCATCCATAATGGCGTGCAATTTTGAAGTACCCCTTAAACTTTTTCTCTTTTGGCGGTACTTCAATATCGGATTGATCAGGTTGCTGAAACACATTATTATTAAAGTCTGAATCATTTTTTTTATTAATCAAAAAATCGTATACAATACCTGTATATGCATTATCTGATTTCCATATCTATTAATAATTTCAGCCGTTTGACGATGCTGACAATCTTCTGATACAATTATTGGAAACTGTTCTACGCTAGGTCTATACTTGATCAGTTGATCAAGACATCTTTTTACAGTAACACGATTACAAGAAAATACCAAAACTGCTATTATTGGAGATCCATTTGGTAATTTTCCTTTTGTAGGAACATTGCGGGAGATTTCGTTCTATGGGTAAAAGAAATAATTAGAAATTCTAGATATTTTAACTATAGTCTTACAAATCATAATGTTTACAGGTTCTGTGTATAAGGGTTGCGCATTCTTATCGACATTTCCCTCTTCCTTTTCCTCCTTTTCAGGGGAAACCTTTTCTGAATTGTAGTTTGCATCTTTCTGTTTTTCATTTGGGTTTGTATTTACTGTGTCTAATTTTTCTAAGTCAAAGAAAAATTGAAGGATTAAATATTTGATGAAATATAGCTAAATAATACTTGTTATAAAAGCATACTTTTACGTTGTTTATCCTCTTTGATATCTTGAAGAAGCTCCTGATTCAATATTATTTCTTGCTTTATTCTTCTTTCCAATTTACTAATTTGATTGGATACTCTAGCCTAAAGAACAAATATATTTTAGTTATACTCTAAACATTGCTATAATCTTTATACGTACAGTGTCTTGCTCCTTATTCACTGGTTGATCAGAAATCAAAAAGTACGTAGTAATTAAACCCCACAGAACAAGAGAGCCAAAAATAATACTGACTGACCTGTTCCGCATGGCAGAACCAGGTGTCACCTCATCTGAAATATCAAATTTATTATTAATATGTATTTATATTAATTGCATTAATAATAACAAACTCTCTAAGAAGGTGGATCTAAAGCATAGAGAGAATTTTACCAAGAGGCAGTTAGAAATCTATTAGATAAATTTCATCAACAAACATGTAATATATTATTTATATAAAACACTTTTTTGGGTCTATAAGGTTACGTACCATTATGTTACCCACGTAACCACTTATTATCGTTATACTACGACAAGCATTTTTCCTTATATGAAAGATAATTGGCTCACGATATTATCGTCTATAAACCGATAATTTCGTAAAGGCAATAAATATATCTGTAACGTCAAACAATACATCAACAAAGTCCTCTATAAATTAAACGACCATGTCTTGTGTCTGACGCACTGACAATATAACTCCATTGTTAAGTTACGCGGTAGACGTAGAAAAAATTTCTCCAAGAAGGAAACCTATGGTTTTTCCTTCTGAACCTTTAGGAACTTGCGAATTTTTATCCAGAAAAATTTATTCCGACCGTCTAGCGGAGCCACGTTCGTAAGATACATGTTTCGCCGCTACCGGCAATATATACTGCGTAAAAATTGATTTTAATCTAAAACGTATTACGTGAATATTATTTTTTAAATGATGTAAAAAGTAACAGTTGTAAGAATTGGTCAACCAACTTAGCTAGCAGAACTGCGTGTATGTAAATATATAGAAAGGAAAGAAATTATATAAATTTGTTGTAAGAAAGAATAAAGCGTAAAGAGGATTCCATTCAACCTTATTTGGCGGTAAATTTACATTAGAAACAATGTCAGATAACGAGGATGAACAACACAGAATCTATAGGGAAGACGCGCGAATTCCGTGCAGGTATGGAACAAAGTGTTATCAGAAAAATTCGGCACACCATGAGAAATATAAACATCCACCTACAAAAGACACGGTATTTATAATTTTATACTGTATACATAGGTACTTTTTTATTATTGTAATATTAATTCTACATTACTATTGTGTAGAATACAAAAGGGACAGGTATGAAATGCACTGTAAGAAATAAAAAAAGAAAAATCAAAGACAGAAATGAAGTACCAAAAGATTCTCCAAAAAAGAAGATGCAAAAGAAAGATGATGATGATGATGATGATACAGTTGATGAGAACTTACATAATACTGTTTCAGATGCAGATAATATGGTAAAAAATGATGAGAAACATGAAACAGTTGATAGAGAATCAAGTCCAGATGACACAAATAATGTAAAACATGTAACCGATCGATGCACCATTGCATCACTGTTGAAAGACTGTAACATTAGTACCGAGGATGATACACTGTCCAAAGATGATGTAAAAATAGTCATTTCTTATTTGTTCTTAACTGAAATGCCAGATGACTTTTATCAGTTTTACGAATTCTGTAAAAGTATTAATGAGAAAGATTGTTTCAATGCATTGAAAGATCTTCATATACAATTAGTAGGTCCTTATGATGTATTCAGAGACAAATTTTTAAATTTCAAAGTTGAAAGTAAAGAGGCATTATTGAGACATTGGAGATACTATTATGATCCACCAGAATTTCAAGTAAGTAAACTGTAATATACGTATTCTCTTTGTTTATATTATATTTAATAATCGTATAATTCCTTACAGACCATTGTTAAAGTGGATGGTAAGGATGGTTTACATTTTGGTTACTGGAGAGACGAAATCGCTGAGAAACCTGTATTTGTAGCAAAGAATAAAGCAGCTATCAACGGTCTAATCGAAGCAGCGGCAGAAAATATATTTGAAGCAATCGAGTAAGAATTGTGAAACATAAAGGAAAGCGATAATAGGGATATGACTGAAATCTTAAATTTATGTTACAGTGCCTACATAGGAAACAAATTGAAATTAGCAAATCCATTTGAAAAAACTCGTATATCCCAGTTGCATAAGAAATTGAGAAATTTTGTTAAAGAGAATCAAATACAATTTGATAAGAAAACAGGTAATATGCAAGCTAGGGAAAGGAAAGTAGTTGCAAGAACTTTACATAAAGCTGGTATTGTAGTACCATACAATAAAAAAACCGAATTAGGATATAGAAATTTGGCAGTGACCGATAGTAAGTCATTATTTTAGATAATTATGCCAATGGTTTCAATTATAATTAAATTCTTGCATTATAGGTGAATTACGAAAAATCCTGGATCAAATGAAACAAGCTTCAACAGACGAAGGTAGAAAAACGCCGCTGTCGAAATTGGAGGAAGTAATAAGACTGGCAACGATCGCTGCCGATGAATGTGATTTTGGCACCTGCTTAGAATTAGGTCATGATTTATTTACCAGCGGTGTTTCTATCGTTCAAACGAAAGCTCTAAACATGCTTTCTCTCGCGTATACTCTTTTACAAAGGCCGCAATTTCTGGAAATTGTTGAGGCGCATTTGAAAGGCAGAACGAAAAGTTTGAATCCAAGTGTCCTTTCAATTAACAATTAATGAATAGGAATAAAAACAATCGTTACTTTATTGTATTTTAAATTGTAACATATGAAATAACGAAAAAAAAAAATTTATAAATGATAATTAATACAGAAAATAAGTTACATATTTATTAAAAAAGAATTAAATTTTGTATACAGATTAATCATATTATTTTCTATTCGTTGTTTGAACCTGTTCTTACAGAAAAATGGTACAGAGAAAATGGGAGAAGGTAACGGTGTCCATGTTACCTGATGTTGATGCTTTTTAGTATATCGTGATGAACGAATGCAATCTCACTATAGCAACTATAGCAATGTACGGAATATGAAAACGGCAAACGAAGAGGAAAACGTAAAGAAATTATGCAGGATGATTCGTGCAGGGGGATATACCGTGATTTCATTTTGGATGAGAAAGTGAATCTTTACTGTGAATTTAAAAATGTCTGCTCCTCGATTAACAATAATAATTTATAGAAACAATAGAGAATGGAGTTAAAGGAAAATTAAGTAGAAGCGGGGTGTTGAGCGATTTTATTTTCTATGCTTTTAGTTCGATGCAATCAACGGCAATCGTTGAAACGTTCGCGATGGAAAGTAAAAATTACAACAATTTTGTAAGTTATGTCGGCCTGGAGGAACATGAAATGCAGGTAATTGTCTGTTTCATCCTATGTAAACATTCAACCATAACCTCAATCGTGACAACTTATAAATTTTTTTCTTACTAATAATTAATTATTTCATTTGTTCTTCATCTAATGTAATCAATTGTCCACAGCCACTGGGTTCTAGTCGACGCAATTCTTTATCCGAAAGTAATATCAAACTGCTACCCGGTGAAATTCTAGTCACCAATGCGCAAAATGTTCTTATGTTCTCTCCTGTCAGTGATTTGAAGCAAGGAACGTCTGGTATTTTGTCAGTTACAAATTTCAAGCTCACCTTTATTACAAGCGAAGACACAAATGGAGAAGTATGTTACCATTACCAAATATTAAAGACATCCGTGTATCCGTAACTCTTTTATCTTTACATTAATAACGTGTCTTGTTTGTAGGACACGAGTCGACAACAGAATCATCTTTATGGTTATATGGATACGTGTTTAATAAACATAGAGGATATTTATATAACAGTAGGGGATAAGAAAAGAAAATTGGTACCTGGCAATACTGTACCGTCTAAAATAAAAGGAATATTTATTGTTTGCAAAGTAACTATATATTTGTTTAATGCTAACAACTTATATTATGCTACAGATGTTTACTATAATATATTATGGATTTTAGAATTTTAGAACTTGGTCCTTCTCTTTCAAATTTTCACCCAGTGGACAAGTGAAAAAACTTCTGACAGCCCTGTTACTCCATGCTTTTCCCAGCAGACACCAATTATTATTTGCTTACGATTACCAGTCAGTACTTGGAATGAAAATGCTGATTTAACATAATATGGGAAACAAATTTAATTAAAATTTTTCCTTCCAGGGAAGCTTATTATAGTAGTCTCGACAAAGCTGTCCGTTTATTTCGAGACATTTCCGACTGGCATAATGAATTAGAACGAACCATATGTAACGAAAAACTTAGAAAATATTGGAGATTGTCTACTGTTAATGTAGATTTCAAACTTTGTCGTAGGTAAATATAACGTATAATGAAATTTTTAATGGCATTTCAAATGATATATAATAACATAGAATTTATGAACAGTTTGTCGCGGTATATAATTGTACCAGCATCCATTACCGATAATCAATTATTGGACGCAGCTAAGCACTTCCAAGGCAACCGTCCACCAATTTGGTCTTGGTCAAGTGCTCACGGCGCAGCATTAGTAAAAATGTCTGAGCTTTCGCCGTTAATTACCAATAGAATGCAAGAGAATATCATGTTTGAAAATGTTCGAAAAAGTCATCCTCAAAAAATGCCACCAATCGTTTTAGAATTAAATAAAGAAATTAGCATAAAGTTAGTGGCTGTAGCATTTTCGAAATTGGCCAATTTATGTTCTCCAGGTAAATTCTATAAGTTATTTTAATATTTTTCAATAAATATTTTATGAACTCTTATGAACTTTAGATCTTTTTCAGAGAACATTAGGCAGTTCTGGCTACAGGATAATAATTTTTATTCATTAGTAGAAAATACGAAATGGTTCAAGTATGTATCGTATTGTTTACAAAAAACTGTTGAAGCTTGCGAGCATCTTCACTTAGGATTCTCTGTTATATTACAAGGTAATCAATCGAAAGAAAAATAGTACTTGCCAGTTATTTTCTAATAAGTCTAATAAGAATTCTTTTTTAGAAGGTGCTGGCACAGATATTTGCTGCGTTATATCGAGCTTAGTCCAGCTACTACTTGATCCTTATTTTCGGACAATCAATGGATTTCAGTCGCTTTTACAAAAAGAATGGGTTGCCGGTGGGCATCCATTTTGTGATAGATTAGGTCATATAGTAAAGAGGAATTCAGAGAAGGTACATTAAATTAAATTGATCCAGCTATTCATCATTTTATAGTATTCACTTGAAATTCACTTGGATTCAATTTTTATTTCAATAGTCTCCGTTATTCCTTTTATTTCTTGACTGTGTCTGGCAGTTGAGTCAACAATTCCCGGCGGAATTCGAATTCACAGAAACGTACCTGACGACGTTATGGGATGCTGCCCATGTTTCAATCTTCGACACGTTCATTTTTAATTGCGAGAAAGACAGGGTGGCGGCAGCTACGGTAAGATTTTACAAATTACTTTTTATCCAAGAGAATATTAATAAATATTCGCATTTTAGGAACCAAACAATCCACTCGTTCTTCGAAGCGTCTGGGATTGGAGAGAACAGTTCAGTGATCAGGATATTTTGTTGTTTTACAATCCTCTTTATAATTCTCGCGAGGCAGACTCAACAGACAAATGCATAATAAAACCTTGGTACAATATTGCAAGTTTAGAACTTTGGACACAGTGTTATTTTCGTTGGATACCCACTCTGGAGATTCGCAATGGTGGACAGAATCACATAGAACTTTACGCGAGGCTGTTACGAAACGACGTGAACCAGTTGAAGATCAGCATAGATGGCAATTGTGGATCGCCGATCGCCAAATCAAACATCTATTCCGTTCAGATGAACATAGACAGTTTCTATCCATTTTCCAATAAAAAATCTGGAAATGCAATTAGCACTCCTATTATGAATAGCTCGATTCTCGTGACCGAGAGCTTGTTAGACGCGCAGTCTTTGATAACTGCATCCGACTGATGTACATATCGCTCCAATATTAGATTTTTAACTTTTTTAAAGTTCATAAAAACGTAGATAAATATATATCTGTTACATAGTTGAATCAGGCTTGCTCGGATGTAAAGGATATCAAGGAAAATGTTTCTTAATCCTTTTAATGCCAAGTATATATAAGTAGTATTTGTTTAAAACTGCCGGCCATTTTATAAACACATAATTTCATGTGATCTATTTATACTGTAAATAAGAATCAAATGTTGTGAAAAAAAGAAAGTTACAGTTAATGCGTTTTATAAATTATTGTTTTTCTAATTTAAACTCATTTCTTCTCCTTCGTTTGGTACTCGAAGGATTAAATAATGCCGATCTGCATCGTAAGTAATAATATCTAGGATTTCATTTATGTATTGTAATAACAAACTGATGAAACAAGTAATAATAAAATTATTTTTTGTACAAAATGTACATAAAACGATTCTTTTTTCATTCTTATTTCCCAACCCTTTATCGCTGCATCCCTTACATGTCTGCATCCTTAACATCCCTGTATCCCTTACATCACTACATTTCCTATATTCCTGCATCTCTTGTATCCTTTCAACGCTTATAATAAATATATTATAAATATAACAATATATTATAAATAATACACTTATGGCCACTGCTTCGAGTAAAGGTAAGTAAAGGTGAGTAAAGTCTCGTGAGAAATAATGTAAACTTTAAATTTTTGCTAAATTTAGTTCCTTTTTGACCGCCAGAGGGCGCTGATTCGACGTCGAAAATTTAGTTCACATTTTTGCCGCTAGAGGGCCAAAATTGATGCAAGGTTTAGTTCCTTTTTCCGAAACCAGATGGCGCTGATTCGAAATCGAAAATTTAGTTCACATTTTTGCCGCTAGAGGGCCAAAATTGATGCAAGGTTTAGTTCCTTTTTCCGAAACCAGATGGCGCTGATTCGACATCGAAAATTTAGTTCACATTTTTGCCGCTAGAGGGCCAAAATTGGTGCAAGGTTTAGTTCCTTTTTCCGAAACCAGATGGCGCTGATTCGACATCGAAAATTTAGTTCACATTTTTGCCGCTAGAGGGCCAAAATTGATGCAAGGTTTAGTTCCTTTTCCCGAAACCAGATGGCGCTGATTCGACATCGAAAATTTGGTTCGCATTTTTGCCGCTAGAGGGCGCTATTACGAACACCGAAAGGGTCATTTTAAGGATATATGGGATGTAAGGGATGCAGGGATGTAAGGTATTCAGGGATGTAAGGGATGCAGAGATGTAAAGGATGCAGTGATGTAAGGTATTCAGGGATGTAAGGGTTGCAGGGATGTAAGGGATGCAGAGATGTAAAGGATGCAGTGATGTAAGATATTCAGGGATGTAAGGGACGCAGGGATATAAGGGATGCAGGGATGTAAGGGCTGCAGAGATGTAAAGGATGCAGTGATGTAAGGAATACTGGGATGTAAATAATGCAGGTTTATAAGGGATGCAGAGATGTGATGGAATCTGGGATGTAAAGGGTACAGACGGGAATAATAAAATCAACACGTTTTCCCTTCTAATGAGTTTATTCAATAAGTTAAGAAGATAAATACAGCAAATACATTCTTTTAATAACGTGGAAACATGTCCTGAGCAAAAAATTTTCGAACAAATCAAATGTTAATTTAATTTAACTTAATTCTTGATGTATTTCAGCAAACATCATCGGGGTCCCTGACACCCCAAAATGATATTTTATCGATACGTGGAAAGAGTCGCAGGGGTCCCCGAAACCCCACGTGGTTACGAACAAAGAGTGGCAGGGGTCCTCGAAACCCCAGTATAAAATTACGTCGGTACGCAAACTGAGTTGTTGGGGTCCTCGAAACCCCAAAAAGATATTTTATCGATGCGTGGACAGAGTTGCCGGGGTCCTCGAAACCCCAGTATTAAATTATATCGGTACGCAAACTGAGTCGCTGGGGACCTCGAAACCCCAAAAAATATTTTATCGAAACGTGGAAAGTGTTACCGGGGTCCTTGGAACCCCAGTATAAAATTATATCGGTACGTAAACTGAGTCGCTGGGGTCCTCGAAACCCCAATATGATAATTTATCGAAGCCTAGAAAGAGTTACCGGGGTCCTCGAAACCCCAGTATAAAATTATATCGGTACGTAAACTGAGTCGCTGGGGTCCTCGAAACCCCAAAATGATAATTTATCGAAGCCTGGAAAGAGTTACCGGGGTCCTCGAAACCCCAGTATAAAATTATGTCGGTATGCAAACCGAGTCGCTGGGGTCCTCGAAACCCCAAATGATATTTTATCGAAACGTGGAAAGTGTTACCGGGTTCCTTGGAACCCCAGTATAAAATTATATCGGTACGTAAACTGAGTCGCTGGGGTCCTCGAAACCCCAAAATGATACTTTATCGAGGCGTGGAAAGAGTTACCGGGGTCCTCGAAACCCCAAAATGATACTTTATCGAGGCGTGGAAAGAGTTACCGGGGTCCTCGAAACCCCATAATGATATTTTATCGAAACGTGGAAAGTGTTGCCGGGTTCCTCGGAACCCCAGGTCGGTATGCAAACCGAGTCGCAGGGGTCCTCGGAACCCCGGAATGATATTTTATCGAAACGTGGAAAGTATTACCGGGTTCCTCGGAACCCCAGTATAAAATTATATCGGTACGTAAACTGAGTCGCTGGGGTCCTCGAAACCCCATAATGATACTTTATCGATGCGTGGAAAGAGTTGCCGGGGTCCTCGAAACCCCAGTATAAAGTTATATCGGTAGGCAAATTGAGTCGCTGGGGTCCTCGAAACCCCAAATGATATTTTATCGAAACGTGGAAAGTGTTACCGGGTTCCTCGGAACCCCAGGTCGGTATGCAAACCGAGTCGCAGGGGTCCTCGGAACCCCGGAATGATATTTTATCGAAACGTGGAAAGTATTACCGGGTTCCTCGGAACCCCAGGTCGGTATGCAAACCGAGTCGCTGGGGTCCTCGGAACCCCGGAATGATATTTTATCGAAACGTGGAAAGTGTTAACGGGGTCCTCGGAACCCCTGGTCGTTATGCAAGTAGAGTTGCAGGGGTCCTTGAAACCCCAGAAAAGAATTATGTCGGTACGGAAACCGAATCGCAGGGGTCCTCGAAACCCCAAAATGATATTTTATCGATACGTGGAAAAAGTCACCGGTGCGCTAACACCCCGATACCATGATGTCGGTATCTAAAAAAACTAATTATGCCGTCATTAAGAGTGCTTCATTTGCACTTTCCTCATTAACTTATTTACTTGTCTATCTCCTACGATTTAGAACTGCGAAGGATCAAAGTTTTCATTAAGGAATGCAGGGATGTAAAGGATTTTCTTTTTAACGTGCGAAATCTTGCATGAAACCCTCCGCCAACCCTTGCCGCCCGCCGGCGGGGGAGTGTCAGCTATTATATCTATAGACGGGATACATGCACAGTGATATTGGGGTATTTGGGACCCCCTAAATCATGACCGCTTGAAAACCAAGGCATGCCAGTCTCTTGCCTCTGTAGTCACTGGTCGTAGACATGGCGGCGTGGCTAAAAACTGCGATACAAGCTGCGAGTAAGTTTATCAATACTGCTGGTTTGTTGCCTAAATTGATGTTATTTTGTTAATGGTAATGCATCATCACTCGCTATGATTGTTCGTTTGTAACATGAATTATATCATAATTATGTTAATATCTTTTGCAATTATGTAACGATGATGATCTGTATTGTGCAGAAAGCCAAAATGTGTACGCAGCAAGTTATGCGATACAGAGCCGTGATTGCTCTTCAAAACCGTACATTATCAAAAATCCGACTACTGCCAGCTTGAAAAGGGGTACCGGTGGTCGTAGCTCCTTCAACGGTGTGGTATGTACGATATTTGGATGCAGTGGTTTTATTGGATCATACGTATGTAACCGTCTTGGAAAAATTGGTACACAGGTAAGCAAATGCAGGATTACAAAAAATGTTGTAGACAGTAGGTACTTAGTTTTAAATAACTGCAAGTTAAATGTTATCAATGTTAATGACACGTGTTTTTTTATAGCTTATTCTTCCATACAGAGGTGACCATTACCATGTTCGGCCCCTAAAAGTATGCGGAGACCTTGGACAAGTTTTATTCCACCCCTTTCATCTTAAAGATGAAGAATCTATACTCAAGAGCATGAAGTATTCTAATGTTGTCATTAATTTGATTTCATCATACTATCCAACTTCTAACTTCAGTTACCATGATGTTAATGTGAAGGGTGCCAGAAGAATAGCTAGACTTGCCAAGGAATGTGGGGTGGAACGATTTATTCATGTATCTTGTTTGAATGCAAGCGAAAAACCTAAGGTATATTTTTTATTAAATATGTATTAATAGTAAGCTGGTGGACTATGCAAATAATACAGATTTTATTTTCTTTGTATAAGCCATTAATGATAAAAAACGGTTCAGAAATTCTTAAAACAAAATGGGAAGGAGAGTGTGCAGTGAAAGAAGAATTTCCAGAAGCTACCATTATTCGACCCGCGACTATATATGGACAAGAGGATAATTTTATAACACACTATATGAATGCATGGAGACGAAATTTGAAGTAAATTAATGAATTCCATTGAGAATGTTTGTAATTCATTATTCAACTGGTTCAATTATTAATTAAATATTTTATAGAACGGTACCGTTATGGGAGGGAGGAGAAAAAACCGAGAAACAACCTGTTCATATTTCTGATGTAGCTGCTGGAATCACTGCTGTTGCAACAAACCCATTAACAGCTGGTAAAACTTACGAGTTTATCGGGTATGTATAATTAATAATTTGAACCATGAAATCTTATCTAGAAAAATGTAAGAATACTTGTTTTAGCCCAAGGAGGTATAAACTGATTGCACTGGTCAAATGGTTTTACGAAATAGCGTCACGTGGACAAGGAGATTATTACAAAATTATAGACATGAAATATAATCCATTGTTTAGATTGAAAATTGAATTGAATGAATTCATACATAGACTTCATAGAACTCAGCCTATGAATTGGGAAATTTTAGAAATAGTAAGTTTATCTCTATAACTTTTACAATGAAATTATTAAGAATATAATTCTAAAAAAACCTATAATTTCTATTTCATTTAGAATCACACTAGCGACAATATAAATCCTGGAGTGCCAACTCTAGAAGATTTAGGCATAACTCCATGCACCATGGAATCTCGAATGCAATGGGAGTTGATGCCGTATAGATTCGAAAACCATTTCATAGAAACTGTGGACGAACAAAAAGCATCTGATCCAGAAACAATTCCAATAAAATGAAGATTTTATATTTAATTAAAATTAGTATGTAAATACAACGTGTTCTAATCGTAATAAAGAATGTATCGTTTCAGTTTCTAACACTCGGTATATTTATTTTTTAGACCTGTCAGTTCTCGTTCTTTAGTTGATGACATAAAAAACAACGACAAAGCATATTATCAGGAATATGCGAGTGTTGACATTTGTCGTTTATTAAATGACAGACCATTCTAACTACAATAAAAGGTTACACTATTTAATTATTAATTTCGTTATACTGTTACAATATTAGATGTTGGTAAAAAATATAAGCTAGTTTGGTCCTCGGTTACTATGCTGACCGAAGGCCACGCAAATTTTACATTACAAATGGCAAGGGAAAAACTATTTCCCTTTTATTTTATAGTCAGAAGCATAATACATCGATTATCCAATCTTCAGTCAAAAAGTTGATCAGTAAAACAGTGTAAATTTAACCATCTGTTAAAAATAATAAATATACATATAAAATGGTTTTGGAATATTAACAACTTCACGTGCTATAATTAGTAAAGAAATATACATACATATTACGAGTTGCTTAAAAATATAATAAAATTTCTAAATAAAGAAACAGTTGCTCCCGAAACGCAAGAAGTGACTGCTTGCAGTTCAATAGGAAATTCTGGCTAGCATTAAAATATGTTCTTGCATAATAAATCTGATCTTTTTAAATGGTTCTTTTATGCACGGAAGACTACGTATACGTAGAACAATCATTCGTTAAGTTAACTCTAAGAGTATCGTGTCAGCAACTATATTATTAAATATAAATGATACAAGTATACATATATGTATATCAATCAATAATACAAATTTATAAATGGAACACTACACATCCTCGAAGAGTTAACTTTTCAAGCATAAATTATAGTTACTTATCTTTTTTGAATCACGCAAATTTTATCCCTTCGTACAAGGTGAATTTATTATATCCTTAATTTCTATATACTTTCATTATCGTCATCGAAAGTTATTTATTTAAATCTGATTGTTAACCCCTTGTTTTGTACACTTTACATAAATTAATATTAAATACATGGAACTATATCAATCAGACTTACTTATATACGAACAATAAGATATCTAGAATGAACATTTTAAAAGTAATTGATAAAAATCAAAATACAAAACGAGAGGTCAACATGACATGAAGTATTAAGTGTGATAAAATCACCACTAATTTACAGAATAAATCCATAACATATGCAGTTTCGTTGATCCATTTACATGGATCAGTTAAAGCTCGTAGTCGTGCGAATTACAATAATCGAGAACGTGGTGAATGTTAATAAGAGATCTTGATAACATTTTAATAGCAGTTTCATAAAGTGAAATTACAACAATAATCCATCACGTAAGTCTTACTTTTACAAATTGAAAGGCGGCTGTTTAGATGTTATTCACCTTATATTTTCAATAAAATACAAGTAACAATCACCCGCCTTAATAATTAAAGTACAATCATATTTTTCTACTTGTGACTTTTTTAAACAAAGTCTAACTCTATCAAATAAGATATGTAAATGGCAGTAATATGTAAATTTCACGAATGAAGAAAATGATACATACGTATTTATACAAGGTAATAAATCTTTCTTATTGCTATTAAGTCTTATTTCTTTTAAACTAAATATGTCCTAATACTAGAAAATCACAAATTAAAAAACTACTTTGAAATGCAGACACGATGGAAGTCACCCAGGCTAATACTACAACCCCAATAGCGATACGTTTGTCCTAAACATTTGACTCATTGAAAAAGATTCATGGAGAACAGAAGAATAAGAAACAAAGTCGTCGGCAGTGTAAAAATCCCGACAACGCCAGAGCCAAGGTTGTCTTGTACAACATTATCATGACATCTTGCAATCAGATCAAAGTCGACGAGGTTCATAGGCTTTCCATTGTACTCGATAGGCGAGATACAGTAATTTTTCTTCTGAAATTCGTGGACAGTGCCATTGACAAAATCGCTCTCTAGGATATTATGAGCCTGGCAATCACAGGGAAAATGATTATCAATGGCGCTGATGGAGGCTACTTCAAGGTTCACGTCCTTAGCGTGTCGAGGTGCCTCCAATACATGATTTCCATGGAACCTTAGCAACTCGATATTATTCTCGTACTTTAGGAACAGTCTTTCGATGAGATCAATCTTGTTGTTCAATATATTCAGCCGATCGACGCGAGACAGGCCAGTGAAGGCGTCCTTTTCAATAATACCTAAGTCGCTTTCTTGGATATTTAACGAATGCACATAGAAGAGACCACGGAACGTGTAGGACTGAAGGGAAGACAGATCCATGTAGGTTAATTTAAGTAGGCCAACATGCTGGAGACCATCGAAAGCGTCCGGTTCGATGGTTCTGATTCCCGAGGGAAAAATCAAGCGAACGACATTCGTTAGGCCTGAGAATGCGTGACTCTGAATTCTGAGCAATGGATTATTGCTTAACAGTATCACACGTATGTTCGACGTGCCGGCGAAAGAGTATCCCTCGATGTACCGGATCTTATTATTCGCCAGTAGCAATACGGATACATTTTGCAAAGCAGCAAAGGAAAACTTCTCGATGAACGGTAGAGGTGTATATTGGATAGAGAGTTCACGTAATCGGCTCAATCCACGGAACGCGAATGGACGTATCGTGGAGATGTTGTTACCATCCATTGTTAGCTTCCTCAGGACTCTCAGACCGGCGAACGCATCGCCTTTTATTATCGGGAAGTTGTTCTTCGTCAGAGAGAGTTCCTCCACTGTTGGAGACAACTGTTGCGTGGGAATGTCTTTTAGCCCACCTGTGTTGCAAAGAACCTGCACATAATTAATCATTTTTACTCTGATCACTCTACACCGTCTACGGTGAACCATGAGGCTCCTTATCGGTAATTACCTGTTTCGGGGAAAGACAAATGCATTCTGCAGGACAGTCCCAATTTTTCGCAGTACTGGTTTCCTGTTCTAAGGTAAGTCTCGGGCTCAGCGTTGCTGTCCACAGCAGGTAATAAATGCAGATCTGCAATTGAAATGGAAAAAATGTTAGTAAAAAAGAATTGGAAAAACTTTTATTTATAACATTTCTTAAGTTAACAAACTCCGAAACATTTACTTCCAGGATTAACGGTACGAGAATCGTTCCAATTAAACGAATCCTATCTTACTGCTCTACTTTCCTCCAGCGAATTAATTGCGACCGAGATTTATTGATTTAGTAATTTCAGACGGATAGGTGATTATTTGAAACCGATATCTACCAAATATTCATTCCTCGGCTGACTGAAAAAAGATAAGTATCCTTCCTCTGCCTCCGTAATTACTTGAAAATTATCTTCAGCACATCGATATATCTTAATTTTCTATTAAACCTATGCGTTATCTGTAATTAATTAATGGACTTTAGTTGTAGACAACGAATTAACCAGTTATTTGTAAACAACAGGATTGCCCAGGGATGTTTAGAATTGAAATGTAAGCAAATAGAAAGATCCTCCCAGGGGGATAAGGGTATCTGGATGAAGAGAAGCGTCAAAAAAGGGTTCCTCTCTCGGCATGCAATTGTCTGGGTAGGAACCGCGGTACCGTAGGTAAGTACATACACGCGAAACTATCTGATTTGTACCTGCGCTCTGCAATACATCAATCCCAGAGTTTTTAGGGCGCATGCCTCGGCATCCAGGAAAACGTTGCGACCAGCTGCCGATGTTCCAGCGTGTCCTGAAACATACAAGTATAAGATGAAAAAATGTTCGACGCACTGTTGCTTCAACTTTTTATACTTATTGGAATAGAAACAACGAACGAGAGCTTACCGTACCAGCAGAACGATAAACTTTGAAGCAAGTAGAGGTTCTCTGATTTCTGGGAGAACGAGACGGATCGGAGAAATTTCGCTATTCGCGGCCGCATTCACCGGCTGGGCTCGAGGCTTTATTTCTCCTTAGTCACCCACCCCCCCACCCCCGACCGACGATCTGCGCAAGCCCATAATTATTCTCTCTGTGTGCGTAATCCTGGAATGAGACTTATTAGAGAGATGTATAGAAATATTCAGAATATGGGATGATCAAAGCGTACTGACCTGGGATAATACTCTACGGCTTTGAATTTCACTTTATATCCCGCTATCGATGTATCGATACCTTCTCTGTTTAAGTTAATCGCATTGTACCTGAAGGTATTAAATACATGCTTTAGAATGTAATGTTATTAAAGAAATAATGCATTCAAAGAATATAAATAATAAGGTTAAATAATATGCGTCTCTCTTGGTCTGCACTACGGGCGGTACTGATTAAGGGGGCGCCTGGCACACGCAACATTACCTGCATCAATTTTTTTTAATCAATTCAATGCTACTTTAATTAATTACCTTGCATCTCTAATTATAATAATTGTTAACTGTATTCACTGTAGCGTGAAATTGTTCTCCACCGTTATTACGTACTCGTTCTTTGTATGTCTCGTGGCCTGATTGAAATTTTTCCTTGCGGCGATATTGGTCCGCTGTTTTCGACGTCCTGACGATCAAACGAAAACAACGCTTAAAAGAGAAATTAAAAGTTGTTGAAGGGTTAATGTAGTTTGATAACAATTTAAAGTAGAACTTGAATTAATAATTAACTTGTCACATCACTTGTATGTATTATTAAATAAATTTTCGTACCTGTATTCATGATACGTTGTGTTTTAATTATAAAATCAAATTATTGCACATCCAGGCGAGAGTAGATGGTAGTACAACTTGAAAAAGAGTAATGATGATTTGAAACTTCCGGTGCGCGTACACGGTTCGCCGAGGCGGCAAATTAAAGTAAATTCAAATGAAGCGTAACATTTGAATTTATGTAACAAAACGATTTAACAATGAAATCATTAAACATTCATTTCTAAACACCATTGAAAGGTAAATGTTTATTGATATTTAATTGACGAAGATCAGTTTACAAAACTGCATATATCGTTTAATCAAATTATACAATCAAATTACGATGATTAAAATTCTAAAATATATCAAATAATTATCGATAACATTTAATTAATAAAGACAAATTTATCTAACAACATATCATCACCGGTTTATTATAGAAAAATCAAGTTCTTAAACATCTATTTGCACACAAGAGACAGAAATTATATAGAGTTTTTCAGGATGATATATTTCATAACAAACTTTTACAGTTCTAATAACATATGTCCACATAGTGGAAATGGGAAATGACCCGTATATTTTATGGTGTTAAAGTGTAAAACGTAGAATGGCTTACAATTAATCGAAAGTGCAATTTCGTGTATTTTTATGTCTTTGTGTACGTGCAAATTCTCAACGTAGCAAAAAAAAATCAGTCTTAAAAAATAATACGGCGCTAGATTTACATACAATAAAAGATAACTTTTGCCCCCCATCCCTTCCGTACCCCATTTTTATCTCCTCATGATTATTTACAATTCTAGTTCCGTAATTAATATATCTAAAGTACTTAAATTCTCATAAGGCATCGAGGATTGCGTCTACGCAGAAGTTTATAATCTAAACGTGTAAAAAAAATTCATTTATCAATAACCGGTTCATCGTTTTTTGTACACACATGTATTTGTCTGGACCATTTCAAATATGGCATAACCATAGACGCTAAATTTTCATGTTATTTTTCAAATTATATTCAATGTTTTGCGTAGAAATATTAAAAAAGGACATCTCCGCGGATTGTGAAATGCTGATACTGATATGTATTCAAGCACCTCTTCAAATTAGTTTCCCTATATACTTTCCCTTTAAATTAAAACTATATACTCTTCTTTACTTTGAACACACTGTTTCCATACGCTTTTGTAATAAAAATAAACATATACACAGTCTTCTACATTTATTTCAGTCTAAGTATATCCTATGCTTTTGTTTCTTCAATTGGACTATTCTTCTTTGTTTGTATAGACACCTTTCAATTAAATTATTCTTGCTACTTAAGTTTAATTACTGCTATACGTTCCTATGTGGTCTTCAGAATTATTTACTATTTTCTTTTGTTCATTGTTGCATTCTTCTATTATGTAATTGCATTGCAATTAATGCACAGGTACTGTGTTACACATTCTATTATAATACTATAAGAGGCTCGAATTATTTACCACTATTTAAGTTTCATTTAAAACGGTTATGGAATGCCCTATATACATTATTCTGAGGTAAAAAAGTTTCAAGGCAGCTTTGGTTTGTACTTATCAATGAGTATCATATAGCTGTACGGGATTGAAGTACAGTGAAATTTGTTCCAAGTTTAAGCAAAAAACAAAAACAATGGATTGTGAACGAATTTCACTGTACACTTATAGAGAATTCTTTAATATTCGCTGTTTAACACGACGCCTATTTGTACTTTATGTGGTTTCTGAAATCTATAACAAACTTGGTACAGACGTGTCTTATATTTCCTCAGCTTCTATTATGAATAATCTACGGTTTCCGCGTCGAGAAGATCCTTATAATTGTATATAAAACCTGAGATCTATAGTAAGAGCTTAGCGCGCATTGAACACCATTTAGTTGCGTCCTGATTTATGTAACAAGAAACATCAAACATTCAAACTGATTGCGCAAAAGATGCTTTAACTCAACATCAATGAATTTAAAAGATCCATATAAAATTCAGACTAAAATCAATTATCAATTTCTTGTATATGCAATGTGATATGATGACAAAAGAGAAAACAATTAATTTTCAAGTCTGCTGCTTCTTGAGGGCGGACAACGTCAAATAAGGATACACTGATTTACAGAAAACTTTGAGAATATACCATTCACGCTCCTTACATAGAAATTCTATAAATCATTGCATCCAATCATAGCAGAGATCTCAACATACGCGAGATAACTTCAACTCTTGTATTCCTAAAACTTATATCATAATTAAAAATTTATATCTGTTTATAATATAATTGTTTTATAACTTATATATAATATATACTCTTCTCTTGTGTGTATGTGTGTGTATATATATATATATATATCAGCGTTTGTAAAATAAAAACGTACGGTTTCATTTGAGGTGGTAACGCAGATTCGGCTTATCAGTCTTAACGTTAATGAACAATCTTGTTCGTTGTACAATGAGGTAGTTCGTTCTATGTCTATTGTAATTGTAACGTGCATAATATTGAGCAATATTGCAGCTGTATCCCAGGGCCATGATCAGTAACGATAATGTAATCTTATAATTACCAACAAATTAACAGTCGATATCTCAGTCATTAACACGAAATTCTTCAAAGTGTACAAACTCTATCTTTCCTTTCATTAATTCTCAGATTATATATATATATCACTTGTATATATATAATCATCTCCTATTGACAGCATTTAATGCTAAAGATAGGAATACATCTTTCTTAAAAGAAAAATATGAAAACAAAATTGTTAAAATAATATACAATCTTTCTTTTTACGCGGTATATAAAATCGATTAAGGCTCTAAATAGTACTACTACCGTTGATTGCAAATGAAAAAATTGAAAACATTTGAATCACAATAGAAAATAATTAATAAAACTTCATGCATATTCACTGGTCCAAAAGTGTTTAAAGCTTAATGCAATTCGAATATTCGTTAATCTTTTACGAATATTTTCTTTACACGCGTTTTGTCAAATATCTAATCGTAAGAAACAAAAAGAAAAAAAAAAAAACAAGATATAAAATTAATCTTTTCAACTGTTTGTTGAAAATATTTGCATCTAGTTAACTGATATTTTTATTGAATCAACAACTTTTAAGTTGTTAATATCATTCTTTTTTCTCAAAATTCTTACAAGCTGCAATGATAATAGGGAAAGGCACAATTCACTGATTGTCAGCATTAGGCTTTAACAACTTTGGAACGCGTGTGCTGATTATGTTTCAGTCTCTTGAATCCATGACGTATGAATCAGTCTTGTGCAAAGTAATTTTAGAAGAGGATTCCAAGAATCCCTATTCCAGTACTCGTATAAATGCACATATTGTTTTCAATACATACATTTTATAACTTACTATTGCTATTCCCTGAGTCTTTTGTCAAATGCTGACTTAACTGGCTTTAATTCAATTGTATCCCTCCAGTTTCTCCCTAAGAAGCATAGGCATACGATTATCCCTACGTATGATGTCCGGCAAAACAAGAAATAGTATCTTCCTAATAGAGTAACAATCAACTATTCTGCTTTGCAAGACATCATTTAATTTCTGCAAATAGTCTTTTCAGTTTTAAAACCTTGTATTCGCGTTGTTATACCAAGGAATAGTACGTTTAGTTTTTGCTAGGGAAAATTTGCATCAGTTAATACACCCTCCAATGTCTTAGTCAACGTCTTCTTCATTTTTGACTACCGACGTTGGTGGGACTATCACGCGTACATCCGACTTGCGAGTTACGGAAAGATCTTCTACTTGATCTTCGTTGCTCTGTTGTTTTACAGAATGGATAATGGGAGTGGAGCTACAACGAGTGACGTCCAACATATCTCGATCCATAGGACCATCTCTGGCCTTATATGCATCGAGAATCGAGCCAGGGCTGTCTATCGCACTGCTATTTTCGTTTTCATTTTCGGAGAGGGCGCCACTATAGATGCCGCCGTTTGCGTTACCGCCAATTCCATACGGAAAACAGGCGCCACTACCGTTCGAACCGCGTTTGAACGGTCGTGACGTGGTAATACCTAATTTCTTTACTTTGTCGTAAAGGGTTCGCGAAGGTACACCATACTTACGTGCCGCTTGCAACGCGCTCATTCCTGTACGAACCGCTTCGATCGCAGACATTATGTCTTTCCTCGTGTATTGCTTGTATCGCTTCCATTCTGGCTTTTGTGCCGGTACATAGTTGACGATCCCTAAAATAAAATTTAAATCAATCAAATTGTTCTCTACAATTAAATACATTTTGCATAGAGTAATACAAGATAGGCGGGAAGTATTCCTTCTCCTGGAAGCAGCAAGCACTGGACATCCTTTCTTATATTGTATACCTGGCTTATCCGGAGGATACGACTGCGGCGATGGCTGCTTATCGTCCTCGTCCATCATAGACACATCGGTGTAAGGACTATGCGCGGGTTCTCCGTGAGGTATATCGGTACTACTGCGTCTGTCGTTGTCGTTCGATGATCCATTACTATTGTTTCTAAAGTGGTTTTCATGGCTGTCTGGGTGTAACAAAGGAATACCCTGAGAGCTGTCTGCGTGACCTTGACCTAGCACCGTTCGTAGGATCGGTGTGTCCCTGTTCATTAATATGTTGGAAAGCTTCTTCCGTTTCAGGGGGGACGTTTCAAAGCCATTGTCGTAGGAACCGGTTAAAGTAGAGGAATGCTGCGGATGCGAGGTCGTTTGGTAATTAGAACTGGAATGGGAAATGGGCAGACCGGAAAGTGGCCACATCGGTAATGGCATTTGATTGGTTCGATCCACTGGCGATCTACCGTAGACGTACGAGGTGCCAGTGGAATGCGGAGGTGATGCGAGACCACTGCTGTGCGCCGCGCTACTCGTCGTGCTTGTGGTTATCGCTGGTGGAGGCGACATCGAAGTCTCCACCTCTTCGCGACGACTTTGCGAACCATTCTCTTCCACCAAGCCCTTCACCTTCAATACTTCCGCGACTTTAAGCAATCCGGCCAGCTGTTCCTGGGCCACGTTCACCTCGCCCCGGTACATGTACTCCAGGATCGCTTTAATTTCAGAGTACTTCACATCCTTTAATACCACGATCGGATGTTTACATGGAAGATCGATGAAGAGGGTTTGGAAATAGGAGGAACAAGCTGCCAGGACCATCTTATGGCATTTCACTGAGGCGCCTCCGTCGACCGCCAGGGTCACGTCGGTGAATGACTCATTTTGAAGTAGCTCGTCAAATACCGTCAGCAGATTCGAACGATGATTGTTCCAACGTAAACAATATTGTTGAGATGTGCTCGCCATTTCGATCTATTTTATTTCCTAACAAGTCAAATCTGAAAACAATTTGAACTAGTTGAAATCTTGTTTACGTTAAATTCTATTCTCTTTGTAAATATAATAGAATTTAAATGATGTAAAAGTATTTTTTATAAATCTACTTTGATAATAAATTTCAAACGATTAAAATGAAAGAATTCTTCTTAATTTACAACACGTTGAAAATAAACGTTTCCATGGGGTATGAGTCACTCCGCACGGAGTTACCCCTAATTTCATTTACCCACTTGCTTAATTTCTAGAAAACGAGTAAAAAAAAACGATCACTAGTACGCGTGCGCGTAACGCATTTCTTGCGTGCAACATACGCGGAAGTTGAAATTCAAGCGGTTAAATCGATTACAAATCGTAAACAAAAATCAATTTGTTCTACTTAATAACAAAGTATTTTATAATAGATTAATAACTTAAATATCTACATATTAAACTTTTCAGACAATTTGCTATTTTATGCAAGCAGAAAACTTTCATTATTATAGGATAAACATATGAAATTTGTATCCAATGTGAATCAAGAACTGTATTAGGAATTGTATAGTAAGAAATTAAGGTAGAAAAATCGTAGAAATGTTTTCGACGTAATATTGCGAAAACTTACTCGCCAAGACGATGTCCCTTTCTCGAAAACGATGGCGCCGCGCCGTGTGACGACGATGTTCAAATGGCCGCCGAGGAGTACGCTAGGAGACGTACGGTATTAGCATGTGTGTGCACTCGCATTCGTCACACTTGGTCACTTGGTCACTTGATCACTCTTCGAATCACCCTGATGAACGTAGCCTTCAACTTCCAACCCTTAGTGGGTTCGCATGGCGTGCGGGGGCGCGTCTGTGCGCGAAACCGCCGATCAAAACAAACTTCTTTCTATCTTTTTCATTCTCGCGAAATCATTATTTCCATCCCAAACAGAGAGTGGCGCATTTACGACATCCACTGTGCATCCACTGTGTTTTCTCTCGAAAGAAAGATAAAAAAAGAAATAAATGTTCCTCTTCTTTCTTTCACCCCTCGGTGTTTTTTTTTTTATATTTCCTCTTCTATCCTTCTCCTACAATGACTGTACGGTTCTCTTTCTTCCTCCCACAGTCTTTTTTCGGAGTTCGGCTACATTCATTGGCACTAGTGTTTTATTTATCGTTTCTTGTGAATTTAGATTTGATTGACGAGTATCTTTTGATCATCAACAGTTTCGTTGATCAAACGTGATACGAGTGCACACCCACAGTAGAGGAGAAAGTCAAAGCGAAAACGGAAATCCTCTCCCACGGCCTACTCGGCGACCACTGACGAGCCGTGCGTAGAAAGACGCACTCGGCCGAGCTGGTCATGGCTCGACTCTCGCATAGGGGTGGCCGCAAACGTGTGGTAGTGTGTTGCTCTATCTCTGCTTCTCTTTCTACACGTTGCTACACGGCATACCGTTTCTGTGTGCGTTCTTACAGTGGCGTAAACGGGAAACGACGACGACGACTACGACGACGACAACCAGTTCTCGATGCAAAATATTCGGCAGGATTTTAAACTCGATTCCTGAATGAAACAATGAAAGATACAGTCACGTACACGATCGGAGAGAATATATTTTCTATTGTGAAGAAACTTGGAACGAGGCAGATAGGCGATTAGGAGATTTATTTAACGAGCCGATTATCTTTACGCGAACTGCAACCTTCTGATAAGGGGACAAGCAACGGACAAGTTTTAAAAAAATAGTACAGTGTTTGGAGACATTTTTAAGAAGTTGAAATTAATTTTGCAATTTGATTATGTAATATATGTACATTGCAAAAATGAATACATATCACCAAACGCTACCTCTTCCAAGTATCTTTATACTAATAACTAAAAATTCAATTACAAATGCAATTATAATTATAGTTGTGGAAATATGCACTTTGTATGCTATCATTTGGTGCCCTACTTGAACGTGCATCATGTAACTTTTCGTTGATAGAAGTTCTGCGAAAAAGAATTTCTTTAAAAAAGGTAAAAAACCTATAATGGTGAAAAGTTACGCCACTGAATAGCACGTACAAGAAGACTTGCACAGCCATCGTCGTCCCTGGTTGCACGATCGGCCAATCACGCTGCGTCTAGGCCAATATCCTGCGGGGTACAACACACACATGTGCAATCGGTGCATCCTTGCATGCATGTGCGCGCGTAGATGACGATGCGTCGCCGTATGTGTACACCCACGTCTTTTGCTCACATATCAACGTTAGTGGCCGCCACTGAATTCATTTTCCCACCAGTTTTTCAGCAATTTTTCATTTGGAATTCCTACAACAATTCTATTATTATTTCATATGTTCCAATAGTCCTTTTAACGTTACAAATTTATATTGTTACACATAAAACATTTTGAAACTCATTCATAAAAGCTACAACGTATAATATACGTTTCAATTGCCAATTACTTTTACAGATTAAAATAAAAGTTTATACCTGATAAATTTTTAGTTTTGAAAATTGCAATACATTACATATGTAGTTCTTCAAGAAGATTGAGGTTTCATCCATATAGAAGTTAAAATATTATTTAATTAAAATTAAAGTTAATTATAAGCAGCAAGTATTTATTGAAATTATTTAATAAAATTCTTAGATTTTAAACTCTGAACGGCATTTGAACACTTGTACGTGTTTCAAGGGACTTGAAACCTCTTAAGGCCATCGCTAATCAACGGTGCCGTTTATGTGTGACGAGGAACGAAAAACCTGTATGTATGTATGCGTTCCCGAAAATTGCCACCACGCCCTGCCTTCGATGCGACCGCTGATTGCGCCTGCGTTCTCTTATAAAATCTTCCAAAATTTTCTTCATATTCATGCTTTTCTTCTTCTTTTAAAACTTATACCATTTTATCCTATTCTTTGTCTTTCATCCCCTGTAAAAGGAACACATAAAAATAAATAAATAACTATTTACACGTTGTATAAATCCTTATTATATAATACAAAGTATAGTAAAGTGAAAATTAGTAATAATAGAAAATAGAGAATATTCTGTTCTAGTGGAATAAATCAAAATAAACAAATTGATAACGTGATTGAATGAGACAGAACTAAATGTAAAAAGCTTATCTGTTCTCTTTGTCTTTTCCTATTCTCGTTGACGCCACGTGCAAGTCGTTTCCTGTTTATCAGGGCTCGCGAAGTGGCGTATTAAAAACAGGCCGAAAAAGTATGCGGCTCGATTCCCGTCTTATCTAGTCTTCGCTTCGTACAACGAAAAGAAGAAGACACGATAAAAACGGGCTCGATAAAAGAAAATCGTTTCTCTGCGTGCTCACACGCACGCATGCATAACCGCACACTATTCGAGGGTATAGTAGTGTGCGTGAATGCGCCATCGGACCGGGCCCTAGGCGAAGAAAAAGACGAAGGAAAAGGGGGAATGCGAAGCTGCTAAGGTGAATCCTTGTACCGTTGCGCCATCGAAAAATTCCATATCCAAAGCCAGCTGAATACGTCGGCCCCGACCAGCTTCTTTAACTTCTAGACCCTGAACTTTTCCAATCACGCTAATTTACAGAATCACAATTCAATATATCAGCGACATCAGCTTGCTTTCATTGTTGTATTTTCACGCTGAGGATATCTGAAATTACATTACTAATTATTATTGCTCAGAAATACTGTTGGCATAATTGTTAAGGACATTACTTTAATTTGCTCTGTGATCTAATAAATGAAATTCTCCTAGTTATAGAAAAATACTGTTGTAGTTATACCGTTGGTGGTACGGATCCACTTAATGGAACATCCACCCTGCTCCACATTTAGCAGCTCTTGCTCCCTCTTGTTTCAGGACGACCAAGGTTTTCGATAAAAAAAACACAGGACGAGCGAAAAGTTTTCAAGGGACTGCCATGCGTTCTGGGAAGCTATTAAAAGGAAGTTCGTGAAAAAAAAAAGCAGAGAGACGAAGTGATTCTTGAGAAAAAATAAAAAAGATCGAAAGTCAGAGAATATATTAGTGATAACTATAGCAACGTTGCACATTATCTATCACGAGCAAAGCGATGATAGAGGGATACCAACTGTTTGCTTATCGCCTTTACAGATAGCATGAAAGTCTTGATTCCATATTCTCGCGTATTTCTAGCTCTTCATGTGATTCCATGAGTTTCATAAACAAGGAAATTCATTCTACAGGAAAGGAAAAAAAAGAAACAATTAAACTTACATTTGCATGGTAATAGTTTTGCAATTTGAATAAAGAATAAACCGTTAGATTTACCCTGTGCATCTTCTTTATATAAAACATAAGAAGCACGTAGATGGAAGTTTTCTAGGGGGGAAAATGAAGAGGGGGGGACTTTCACATGGGCCCTAGACCGCTTTCAGTTGAAAAGGTGGATGCAAGCGGTTTTGAATCCCTCCAAGGAACCTGTTTCTCTTCATATGTGTTTCTCTATCATCCTCGCGATAGGTTCAATGTGCCCCTGACTTCCTTTCAAAACAGTCTCAAATTTTGCTTCAAATTCATCCAAGTAGAAAAGAACTCATGCATCTACAATTTCATTTTTTATTAAATATCTTGTGATTATTAAATAAACAAAAATATTTGTAGTCAACCATCCAAGTATCTAATCAATTTAATCAATGATTTTTACAAGATTAGATTCACAGCGATCCTGACTACATTAAACAACTATTTATAGAACTAATGATTGACCTTAAGTAATTGTTTGTGTTTGTATGAAAAGATATTGGGTGTTGATCCGTGTGACACAGGTGAATGGGGCGTTGCACCCGGTAGTTACAATGAATGGCTTAACCACAGGCAAAGCAGATCTTAAACTACGGGAACGAAGTGCATTCGGTTACACGGAATAATTGCACTTGACGCCCGAGGGTTCCCATCGGACCAAGAATGCTTTTGCCATTGTATGGTCAACAATGTATCAGCAGGTAGCTGATCATCGATCGGGGGTCCCTTCGGTCAATGGCCTTGCAATATACCACCGAATGTCGGGGCATTTTTTTATATACAAGATGTTAATGTAAAAGTCATACTTTCCATTTTTCCATACTAAAAGAGTTATCTTCCATTTTATATATCCATGTATTTATATTGTATATCAACAAAAATCATTCGCTACTTAGTACCTGCGATTCATTTTCTAATAACATTTCTCTAAAATTAAAAGGAAATCTTGTTATTTTATGAGTGTAAATCAATGTTGCAATTAAAAAAAAGAACATATATGGTATATCCTACATACAGGGCTAAGGTTTATCTATCGTAGACGAGTGTCAGTAGGTCGACACCCGCAAACCGGTCCTGATCACGTGGAATGTGAACCCGCAGTGCGATGTTGCCACGTATATGCATGATTTCCCAAAAGTGCATCCACCAGGCCTACTGCGCGCATGCAACACGCATGCACACACGCACTCTCCTTTCTCGGCTTTCGTACGATTTCGGGAAAACTAACGCGCCCGAGACCTCGGTTTCACCAACCAGCCACTGAAATAATATTCAACAGTCATTTCCAATCAGCACACTCTCAATGCACTTGCTCTTTTTTACATTTTTTCATCCTAATTCTAATATTTCTTGTTTTTTCTTTTTTTTTTTTTATTTTACAATAATTTTACACTTATAAATATTTTAATAAAACAATGTTGAAACATTGCAATTATTTGATGAAATCTATCTCTGAACAAAATAATAAATTACAATTTAAAATAGGAGGAAGTTTGTATGTACAATTAACTAAATTAAATGGAATTCATTGTACTATTATATTATTATAGCTCTTCAAATAGCTTACCGTTAGCACATAAAAATACAACAATGTATGTATATTACTGTTCCTAGTTCGTTTAGAAAGTGACGCATAATTTACGCATCTATGCGCACGTTATTCCCGCTCGTTGGACAACCCTACCTTTCAAGGTCATCCTTCTTCTATTCTCCCGCGCCCTTTTTATGCCTGCTCGAATAGGATAGAAAAGTTTTTATAGCGGCGTGTCCTTGGAGCCTGACAATACCAACGTGTTTCCTATATGAGGCACCTGTTGTATCGGTGCTCTTTTCGTGCCACGCCTAATGTGCACATCCAGTGCTGTCCGGACCATTATTTCTTGTTTTTCTCATTCTCTTCTCCGTTACCTCTGCCACGTACGATAGCTAAAAATAGCATCGGACTAAATGGCGGATAGATCTTTGAAATTGTACGAAGGGAACTGTGCAAAAGTGTGAAGGGTGAGACGACAGAAATAACATACAGAAGCTCAGGGCTTTCGTTTAAATAACGAAGCGATGCGATGGTTCGTTAATCGGTGATAATTTCGAAAGCGTTCTGCGTGCCTCTAAGTTGCGCAACTTTCAGAGTATCTCAAGTTGAATGAAAAATCCTAGGGGGAAAAGGTTGAGAAATGTTAATGATGCAGAATAAAAAGAAATGATGATACAAAAAAGAAAAATTTTAACCTTATTAATAGGAAAATATTTATTTCTCAAGTCCTACGACGTTGCATGATTTTCCTAATACCAGCGTCCCTTTTATGCATCCTATCTCCGGTTAAAAAAACGCAGTAGCCGATTATAGATATGTGATATAATCCGCGCGAGATCGTTCCTCCCGTCTAGGAAGGTCAAAGAAATGTCCGCTGGTGTGTTTTCTACACAGAGGAAAGTCGTTGAACCAGATCGCCGGAGCATCGACCACGAAGTCGACGGCCGGTAAGTAGAAGCCTGCGAATAGAAACCTGTTTCTTCTTGATTGCGAGTGCCATGCCCTTTCTTTCGGCTACTCTTAGGGACATCCTTTATGTGTGTTACAGGGTCAGTCCTCGGTAAGACGTTGCAAGACGGAAGTGTTGTTCAGACACCTGAAAAGATGTATGCATCAGTCACGTGGGAAACTTTACATTATGTACTTTTCCTTATTGAATTACAGCTTCCAAAAAAAAAACCTATCTAATCTTATAGAAATAAAGTATCATTACTATTATTGTATATACATATGTATGTACTTAGTTACAAGTAATTATAATATTCAATATCTAAGCAATAATACTTTACTATCACTTCCGCCATTTTGCTATTAATATTATTGGACACATCCAATAGTTATTGCTCTACGTGCAAACTTTGTAATTTTACTAATAAAATTGAAAAACTGACAACTGCCATTACCTTCTGAAATTTGAAACCCGCATGTGCCTCACCACGATTTCAAATGACCTCGATAATCATTCAATTGCTGTTTGAAATCTTATTCAACAAGTATCAACCCTAAATCAATTATATATTTTGAATTAGTTTTCTGCTATAACAAAATATAATAGCTTGGAAATATTTAAATAAACTTACTTCTCCAGCTTTTGATCTTTTGTTTTTTCAGCAGTTCATCTTGCGCAGATGGCGCTGTATTACGTTATCCCATTTGATCCTATTCTATGAACGTCATTCGCTTGTGTAACCCTATTTTTTGAATTTTTATCCTTTACAATTATTACTTTTTGAAATTTTTAGAAAAATAACATGTTCATAGCAAGATGGATTCGTTGGTAAAAGAAATAATCTCTGACACAGCTGATAAATTTGCAAATGATGTTATTACCTTTCAAAATAATGTAAGTTTAAATTATCTATCATTGTGTTATTACTTATAAATTATGTACAAATAATTCTATCATTTTAGTATGGAACTAGAACTACATTTGAAGAATTGAACAAGGACCACTTAAGAGAGAAACTGTGGGAAACGTTGTTTTCTTATTTGTCAAATAGTTCAGAATCATCTGTTCACCATAACTGTTTGTCCATGTTACGGATACTTAGGTATTAGATTGTAGCCTAATTGTATATACTTGTATTAGATATTTTGTGTAGTTTCATGCTTTTATTTAAACTTGCCAAGCTCGTACAAAAAATAAACACATTTTTATTTCTAGCAGAGCATTAAAACTTCTATGAAACCGCTTATTATTGCTTTAGACGTATTGGTAGCTTTTGCAATTAACATAAAGTAATCTTATTGTTTTTCTTCATTAACATAGCCGAGATAAAACAGACTTGAATTACTTAATCACAAATGAAAGAATAAATATTATATTAGAAAATGCAGCTTTAAAAGACACCGATGTAGATCAAGTTTCTTATAACAATGGTAAGAAATCCCTGCTTCATAATGAATTACTATAATAAAATATAAAACTACATTGCTTCTTGTGTTATTTTGCAGTTATCATTGAAGCTCTGAAGCTTCTATGTAACCTTATATTTAATAGCACAAAAGTGCTGCAAATATTGCCAAACACATCCTGTTTACCGTGTCTAATCAAACGTATGATAAAATATGACAATGACATTCCTTATGAAGTAATGCTATTCAACATAAGAATTATATTTTTAATCACTGCTCTAAACATATCTACAAGACAATTTGTTAAAACAGTACTAAATGGCAACGAATGTCTTATAAATATTTTGGAAAATATAAAAATTCGAAGTGAACAAAAAAACACCATAGAGGTATATTCATGGTTAAGAAAGGAGTAAACATATGAAAGTATATAGAGAATGTAATATTTGAATTTTACTTTTAGGCAGATGATGCGACATTAGCATGTGAAATCTTGAAAGCTCTCTTCAATTTGTATATACAATCAGATGATACAACACAGGAAAAAGAAACTGATGAAAGCTTGGTTTCAATTCTGTATAAATTACTGTTATTTCAATGTGAAAAAGAAAATGATCTTCAAAGGTATACATTACCTTATACTACTGATAGTTATATGATTTTATATAATTATTATTTGTGTTTCAGTAACATTGCAAACTTATTAACAGTGATACCGTACGATTGCTATTCAACAATCATACCTCGTTGTAACGAAAAATGCAAACACGTGTATCAAGACGTTGACATGAGTGCAATATCCGTTTTATTACAGTTCCTTGATAGAAGATTAAATTGCAAGGAGGATCTGATAGGAAATCTTAGTCCAATCGTTACTGCTTTTATTAGACTTATCAAGGCTGAGAGATTAATAAGAAAATATACTAGATTAAAAGTAAATGAAAGGAAACTGTTTCCTTGTCTATTGAAATTTCATTCAAGAATCTGTACTATAGTTTATTTTTTTTTTTCAGATTTTACCTCCTTTGAAAGATGTAATGCATCGTCCAGAAGAAGGTACAACTTTAAGAGCAAAATTGTGTAAATTATTAACTTCTCCTTTAACAGAGCTACGCGATCTTGTCGCAGAGTTTCTGTTCATACTATGCAAAGAAAATGGTAAATTACATTGGACGGAGGATGTAAGTACCCAGCATTATGTAAATTCAGTCCTTCAAAAAAGAATATTATTTTTAGTTGTTCGTATGGTAAAGTACACCGGATATGGAAATGCAGCTGGCATGTTTGCAAATAAAGGATTACTGGGTCCGAACAAAGGAAAGTCAGCCTATTCTTCTGAATCAGAAGATAGTGAAACTGAAGAGTATCTGAAACATAAGGAACAGTGAGTATTTTGCAGTAACTTAATTTGTTAGTAAAGTTTTGATACTAATAATATATTATTTGAAGGATCAATCCGGTAATCGGTTGTTTCGAGCAACCAAAACCGAATCCTTTGGAAGGAATGACGGAGGAACAAAAAGAGTACGAAGCGTTAAAGCTTGTAGGTCTTGTTGATAAATTAACAAGGTCAGTACATGCACATGATATTGAATATGTGTTTTACTTAATTTCTTATATGGATTTTGTTGCCTCAGGGAAGGATTGGTGCAGCCTTGTCGAATTGGAGATGATGGAAAACCAAAGGCAATTGAACATGTTTTGGAGTTACAGGAAGAATTACCAAAGCAACAGTACGGCCGTCAAGATTCTGATTCTGATTGAACGAATAGAAATACTTGTTATACATAGATAATTTGTATAATAATATATGCATTATGAAATACAAGCAGTATTATATATAGTATTGAAATACGTATTCTTTTTATTTATTCTTACCTTGCGTACACGTTAAGTACATGAAAAATGTATAACAGTCCAGGAATCCAGGTTGACTGTAATGGAAATGACATGAACACAGAAAAGAAACTGGTGCTTGGTTCGCTTACTTTATTGGAAAAAGAACAAAGAACAACATTACAAATTAAACAATTGGCAGGAAATAAAAAATATAACAGTTTCCAAAATCACATGAAATATTTTAAACATTACAATTTTGGTAAATTATGTTATGTGCTTTTGTGAGCATCACAATATATTTATTATTGCATTTTGCAGCCACGCGTAGACAAGAACGTATGTTTCCTACATGTTTTAAAGAACTGCAATAGTTTGAGTAAACTTGGAAACGTTTCACCGCGGGCCGTGACACGGGCGATGTGACAAGGTAAATGACGTGAAAAATAAAAAAAAAAAATTCTTTAAAACAGTTGCACTCGTAGAAAAAAAACGCAAAACGTCTTAACATACAACAATATAACATCTCCTTAAAAAAAAAAAAAAAGGTTGAAAACCAACTATAATAGGCTATATAGTAGATGGTTCATTCAGCCTTTCTTGTCCGTCCCGCGAGAATACCTTCCCAAATTGGAACGCGATATACATTTGACAAATATATAAGTAGCAAATGTCTTCATATATCTTTAAATAGATAATAATATATAGTATGTAGATTAAAATATTTATTCATTTATATATATATATTTTTTTCTTTTTATTATTGTAAAAGTGTATATAGATGTGTATACGTATAATACCATAAATTTGAATATTCCATATAAAAATGAAACTAAAATTTAGTAGGTACCGACGTAGAAGAAAGAAAAATAAAAAGTATTAATAATAATTATATGATAAGCGAATAATCCGCATTAAACGAAAAGGAAAAACCTCGCGGGTAGAGGATGGATTAAAATTAGAATCGTCAAAGATATCGCTTCTTTTTTTTCTGTTTAAGGACTTAATCGAGAAACGGATATACATACATATATGTATGTATGCAATATATGCATGTGTATATGTGTATATATATATATATATATATATATATTTATATAAATATCGAAATACTTTGAAAAGAAAACTCGCGACTATAAATAAATATATGTATATATATATTTAATCTAAAGGCTTGAATAGTCTTGGGGAACTGACAATTGAATTACACGTTCAATATATGCCGGTACATTACATACAAACGAACGTGTAATTTTAAATAATACAATATTTTTTACGTTTACAACGTGACCATGCTCCTTCGCATCCCATTAGCATATATAAAAAATATATTTGGAATACACGCTTTCTCCATATTGCATTTACGATTTACCATTTCTCTTGTCTTGTACTATCCTTTTATACAGTTTACAGTTTTGAAATATTTAAGCAACTTGTCGGAACATTTAAAATCCATTCCATTTCACGAATAATCCCGTCTCTAATAAAAAAATACCAATGGTGGTTTTAGGAAAACATGGTTTACGCTCAGCGAACCGGGGATTTTTTTTTTTTTTTGTTTGTTTGTTTGTTTGTTTTTCATTAAATTTTCACTCTTTTACTTTTTTTTCAGCTTCTGTTCCTGTTTTAAAATGTATTCACGAAATATCTAACGGATATTGTGTTAGTTTAAATTCTAGCATTAAAGAACATCGTTTCCTTATTTAATTCCAGCGTATAAGGTATATTATATTATACTTAATATATGGCTCGGCGTTTATTTCTCTTTCATATATCTTTTTCTTGCAGTATATTTATCTCACCCTGCCTGCAGGACCCTGACTTTTCCTATTTGAAATAGGTTTTGATTTTAGTTCTTTCTCTTAAAGAAGAAATATTATAAAATTGTATAGCAAAACTCCTTAATGATTCAGATCTGGGTTCAAGAATCAATGGATCTTTTTGAAATAAGGAAATCCTTTTGATGCGTCGCGTCGTTCGAGGTACTAGGGAAAGGTACAGTTCTGAGCCGTTACTGTTTGAACAAAAAGTTTTCTCAACTTTTTGTGACTAGATTGTTACCGAAGACTCTATTTTCCAGGTACAAGACCTAACCATTATCAAAGAAACCTGAACAAGTTTATCGAGAGCAAAGACACAAGTCTGACTTAATACACAGAAAATATATAATATTAAATTATGACATTTGTCCATTCGAATAGTAATGGAACTCTAAGGATAACTTACAAATGATAGATTATAAATTAAAAATAATATTTGATTGCAACATTGCACGTAGAGTAACATAGATATTATATATTTTCCCTTCATTTTTGTACCCTGCGCTGAAGTATCAAAAACCCAGCGTATCATTAATTTGATTCGTTTTCTTTGCAGAAACGTCAAATCATATCATGCTCCGAAAAGAAACGCCGAGCCAAACACCAAGCCAAAAAATTGTCCTATCTATAGGTAGAACTACCAGTTTGATACTGGATATAAAAGGATCTCTCCTTAGAAGAATCATTTCTAATGTGCATCGAGGACGTTTAAAATTGTCTTCTAGTCTCAATGGAGTGTTACCTCAGACAAGGGGAGACTCCTTGTTGGAACATGTTTAACAATGTCGTTGGAAACACGAATAAACACAAAAGAGATCGCGGAAAACATTGAAGAGCGTCCACCGACGCTGATGGAATGCAACGGTTTCTTAATAGTGTGTCCATTTGTTTGTGGTCAATTTGATATGTCAAAGAAAACATCTCCGAAAAAAAAGGAACGTGTCTTCATATTTTATAATATCAAAGTAAACGTAGCTTTGTATACATATATGTGTGTGTGTATATATATATATATATATATATATAATATATATATTATATATCGCATATTATGGGAGAAGAAACAAAAAGGTCCTTCTTTCTTTTTTTCTTTTATCGCCCTCCCTCACCTTTTTTTCGTTTTTTTTTTTCTGTTTTTGTTTTCTTTTAAGTATTATTAACGTCAAGTAACTAATGCAAATATAAATAAAGCTATCAGAGGCTTATTAAGGAATGAAACCAAGTTTATACGCGGCTACGCGTTTTGCTTTCTCGCATCTCTCATTTTCTCTTTCTTACCCTTTCACTCTCCCATTCTCTCTTTCGTTTCGCTTATTACCTAATCATAGAATACATTTAAACATTTGTACTTTAACTGACTAAGCAAGGATTTTTTATAATCGTTTAATATTCTTTAATTTTTCACTTTTTTTTTTCTTCTTTTACGTGTGTGTCTGTGTGTGTATGTATATACATATATATCCTTTCTTTCTTTCTTTCTTCGTATTTCCCTTAACTCTAGAACCACTGATACACCCCGTAATTATTACGTGTAAACGGAACTCAACAAACGAATTATCATAAATAAATATTAACGAGAAATAAAACATTAAAATATATATAAAAAAAAAAAAAAAATTCATTGCGAACAAAGCGCTTTTCTCCCTCTTTGTTTCATTCGTTACATTACACCGAGAGCAGTCTGTCTCTTATTTCCCTTCGCTACCTTTCTTTTCAATTTTCATTTTGGCACTAAAGAATTTGACCATGTAAAGTGGATGAAAAGAAAAAAAAAAAAAAAATATAAAGAGAAGAAAATAAAATAAAAGATCGTCGGAATGCGTGGTCAACTTAAACGCAAGATTTACCACATTCTTTTACTTCCTCTCGCAAATAAAATATAAGCTGCTCGTTTTTTCCCGCAAATAAAAAATAAACTGCTCGTTTCCTCTCGATTTAAAGCCACACAAGTAAAATGATGATCACACAGTTTTAAGGGAATCTTATTTCGATGAAATGGAGTTAGAGAGGGAAGGAGAAGGGTTCAAACGGTTAACGAGAATATATTTGGCTTGAGATCTGCACGTTGTCTTTAAAAGAGAAAAAAAAAAAAAAAAGAAAAATAAACAAAGAAATGCAAAGTCTTAATGCTAATTATTCTTAAATTAATCTACATCTACCGAAGGAATTTATGGTTAAAAATAGGATATAATATTAGTAATAATAATAATAATAATTTGTAAAAACGTAGCGTAAATGAATTAACAAAAATAAAATTCTAAGGTTCGATTGAAAGATATTAGGGAGTGGGTGGTGGCACGGAGTTGAGAGGCAACGAAATACTTCAAAATTCATGCCTTTCGTCACTTCTGTCGTGAGTATTCGAAAAACAAGAACAGGAAGAATATTTGAATCATTAAAGGAAAAAAGAAAACAAAACACGAAGAGAATTTAAAAAAAAAAAAGAACAATGATCAAAATGGGATGGATAAAGGAGAGGTAAAGGGTGGAAAACAAAAAAAAAAAAATTACAAAAGAATAAAAAAACGTCAAAGTCATGTGGGAAAGAAGAAAAATAAACATAAAAGAAAAACACTACAAAGTGCGTAAATAATACAAAATGAACCGGAAACTATATTCCCTATTCATTGAATGATCGTCATGAATGGTAAAAACGCACACATCCAGAAGAACAAACAATAAATTCATGTCAGCAAAAAAAAAAAAAAAAAGAAAAAAGAAAAAACACTACCACAAATTGTATTAGAGTAAGTGTTCCCTAATCTTGATACAGAACACATATATAATGCCTCAACAAAAGTAAAATTAATATGACTTAAATGATGACTTACAAGAAACGAGTAAAGCAATGGAAAAAATGCTATTAAAAAGAAGAAAAAATAAAGAGAAAAAAAGCAACAAAGAAACGCACTTGTTTTACGTAATGAACTAATGAAATACGATTCCTCTGCGAACTTGTTCTATTATTTTTTCCCTTTCTTGTTATACAATACCGAGCAAAGTAGGCTTCCCTTAATTTTAAAGATTTTAATTTAGAAGAGAATTAGTGTTATTTTTATTAGCGATTAAGTGTATAATTAGGAGATATGGATAAATGAAATAAATATTAAAGTGGTAGGGGTAACAGGCCCCTGTATGTATGGAACCCTTTCGACGCTCGCGTTATTCTCCCCGGGGAAGCCATCGTGCAGGGTACCGTTCCGATGCTAAAGAAGATATATGTATGAATGGTTCTCCTTTTAAATGGATTTTTATATAACGGATAAGTCATGTTCGATAAAAGATCTAAACCAATCTGTTCGACTTGCCAATTCTTGTTAGCACAAACACCGTTGGGGGGAGGCTAAGTTTCATTTAATTACGCTCTGTTCTAGCTAGTAATCGGCCACGACACAGCTTCTGGAAAACCATGACTTAAAAAAAAAAAAAAAAAAGAGAATTAGTAATCGAAAAAAGATGAACTTTTTCCTTTTTTTTTTCTCTCTTTTCCAGAACTCTAGGAAGACTATGATTAACCGTAGGCTAGAATTCAGTTAATGTTGCGTCTTTTTTTCATTTTCAAATCTTATCGTTAACGTGTATATGTATATATATATATATATTATATTATATATCATGTGTGTATGTGTGTATATAGATATATTATATATATATATATATAAATAATTGTATGCGTAGATGCCCCCGTCGATATTCGCAAAAAACACGCGAGTTATTTTACTTTATTGTAGTGTTTAAATATGATACGATCTTCGAAATCAGGAACATGTTTCTTTTTAATTCATATTTCTCGATTTGAATCGTCGGTTCTTTTTCTTTCTTTAAAAGCGTTTTCTGTTTTTCTATTACGCAATATAAATTTCCTGTTCTTCGTCAACTTTACGGTTGGCAGACAACGGCTTTTTATAACTCAATACATTCGTACACTTTCATGACACGGCTTTTCTTTTATGGTTGCAGCAATTTATATCGCAAATGTATTTTTTTCCCCTCACTCTCGCGGGCTTTCGATCCATAAAAAATTTAAGTAACCAGACTATGCGTTACAAGATCGATGGACCAAGCGTTATAACGTGAAGAGAAATAAAAATGTGATGATAAATAGATAATAAATAAAAATCCGATATTTATATCTGAGGTAAAACTTCATCATGGCTAAATTCTTAAAATGCCATGACTTAAGCGCGCCATTTTTCTTTGAACGTTTGGTCTAACGATAAATAACACTGGGAAATTTGTAAGAGCCCAAAGTTATGTACTCTGTTACATCCTGGATCTTACAAATGTCGTATAGAATAAAATACACATTTGTTGATCATTGCTACAGAGACATCTTGGATGCACATTGCAGAAACAATAAATATTTCTTGTAAATTTTTTTTCCCCTTGTTTTTCCTTTCTTTGAAGCTGCATATAGATAAATATCGAAAAAGAATACAAAAAACGATTAGAGAAACCGAAATCGTGTCGAAGTTTTTAGGTGGCACCCAAAAAAGGCCTTGGAAACTATGATTTGTTTTTGTTTTGCGATAAAAATATTAGATTAGTTAAAAGTATAGTACATAGAACATATCTGAATATATCATTCGATAGACTGTATTTCTCTTGTCTCATAAACTGCTTACAATAGAGTGATATATTCATTATTTTTTTGTCATTTAATAATTATTAGTTTTTAACAATGTAAGCAGAGCTTTTTTATTTTTTTATGTAGTTTATGTAGAGAGTGACTATTATAATTCTATACATATTAGGATAATAAGACTTTTGAGATTGTAAAAATCATCAAAAAATCTATCACAATTACCATTTACGTAACAAGTAATCCTCGTTTCTTTTTTTTTTTTATATTATTATTGTAATTTAAACATCAAGGCAAATAAGGGGTGAATTTCAACAGTGGCCTAAATTAGCCAAGTAGTCTTCCACAGATAAAAATATGTAAATAGAGTAAATCTATACTAAAATATTCAAGTATATATAAGGTGAGCGTAATATAATAATTTTGTGAGGTAAAAGACCCTCTTCATTAATGGTCATCCATTCGTTACACTATGAGTTCATTTTTTTTTCTTCTTCTTCTTCTTCTTCTTCTTTAAATACGACTGGCAAAATTTTTTGCAACATATTCTCTTTATTTTTTTTTCTCAATATTTTCTTTTTTTTTTCTTTTTTTTTATTCTTATATTCAATGTACCACTAGAGACCATTGATGGCATTGTGTCGGGTGTTATTGTGCATTAAACAGAAATACACCTTCCACAAGGCATTGCTAACAGCATCTCATTGGTACCTCTAATCATATTTACCTAGCAACAACATCAGAGACTCTGTAAGGACACAACTTATCCTGACGATACTATTATCACAGGCATTATTTATATAACTCTGCTAACCATGACTATTAAATACTTCAGAATTACTTTTTTTTTTTTTTTTAATATATATAAAATTAAAACTTCTAATAATAAAAGATGATTACGACTGATTAGCTTAGGTGTACATATGTAGGCTTCGTGCAACTTACTAGAAATTTTACGCGGAAATTTTTTTTCGAGTAACCCTCTATTATTATTCCTGCATTTCTTTTTTCACGTTTCCCCCATAGTTTAACTCTTTCTCTCCTCTCATCTCTTATCTCAGCTGTTCCCTCTACGATAACGACCAATTCTCTATTTAGCATAGCCAATTGTCTGTATGCAAAAAACAAATTTGTTGAAGCTATTCAAATAGAAATATGTATATGGATGTGCTTTCTAACATTTGGTATGGCAAGATAGTTATTCACATTCAATCATTATTGTAGGTAATGTAACACAGTATAGCTCTGCCCATTATATCCGTATTACATGTTGTATACACATTGCATTTTTATAATTTCAATTAAATCTTAAGGCTGATCATGTAAACAACCCTAAAAAATATGTGTATTTCTATATATATATATGTATGTGTTTTACGTGGATTTTTTTTCATCTTTATGGATCATGTTTAATATATACATAAATAGAAGTTATTTAGCAAACTGTACGTTGTTTTTTAATTTTTGTTTTTAAATATAGATAAAGTATTGTTCCTATGATACCGGTGGTATAATTTACTTATGAACCTTGTATAATATATTACACGACCGTTCCACAGTATAGTAAAATGTCGGAACGATTCTGTAATTTTTATAACAAATACATTTACATGGTATGGATGTATTATTCGCTAGCACCACGAACCAATTATTCACACACGCATATATATTGTATTTATATGGTGGACCATAATAAAGCATCCTGAGTAAATATTGTAACCATTATGTGTCTCGCCTATTATTTTTTTTGTTCTTTCTTTTAACAATGTATAGACAGGATCTATTATCAGTGGCAAGTCTAGACAATTGTTTTCTATTTATTTATCCTCGAATATACGTCGTGTACGATTCCTCGTTTTGTAAGACATTTAAATGTTTGATTTTTCAACGTATTGTAATCTATACCTTTCGCATTAACGTTACATCATATAATCTCTTTCCCTCTCCCACCCCCTTTTGAACTACTAATTTCCAAATGCACAGAGAAAAATCGCCAGTTTGTGTTTTTCAGTTTTAGTTTTTTTTTTTTTTCTTTTCTTTTCTTTTCTTTTCCTATGTTAAGCTTCGTGCCTGCCACAACGAGGGGTACTGTTTCCTTTCTTTATTCGTTTCTTTAGAGATATGATATGATAAGAGCAGGAAGTACTACTATGTGTCGCAGCATGCAACAATTCTCTTCCTTTTGCATTAAGCAAAGGAACCTCCTTTTCTATTTTCCTAATTATACTCTCTCATTTCTTGACGAGCTTACTGGATTACCTAACGATTCTTAACGAAACCTTAGAAACATAGTGCGTCTACGAATATATCTCGAAGTAACGTAACGAAAGAAAGAATTCGTATTATTGGTTTTTCTTTCTTCCCTATGTGTATATACTTATTGGTTCCACCGAAGGACCAAGATAAAAAAAAAAAAAAAAAAAAAATGAAACAAATATACGTTGCTTCGAGTACGGATAAAAATCAACGTGTAAACAGTGCTCATTAGAGACTAGAATAATTTGATTTGTAAACATACCTAAAATACTGACGAGTCGAAGATGAATCAATCGATTGTGACGGAAAACTATTGTTCTGTAAGTTCCTTCCCCCTCTCTTCCATCTTCATTTTTGTTTCTTCTCACTGTGTGTAGTGATCCGATTCGATTTCATGGTTGACACGGTTGTTGACTTTCTGTCGCTGCTTTCCTTTATTGCTTCGTTTTCGTTCTTTTTTTTTTTTTTTTTTGTTTTTAAATTTATCTTGGCAGTTTACCAAATGCAACTCGCTAAATCACTATTTATACTGTTTTTTGGTCGGAGACGTACGTTCACCTTTTTCTTCTTTCAAATATTGTTGTTACTTTCATAAAACAGGGACGCATTTATATATGTGTGTATATATATATGTATGTATGTTTTTTGTTTTCTTTTTACAGACTATTAAAAAGCTGCATGCTGCACTTGTTTTTCTATTACTTCGATAGGCCCAAATCTCAAAGCACTCGATGCCACGTATTTAGTTTGTTGGTTGTATAGTATTTAATCGATTCGTCCTTCGTTGATAGCAGAGCGATCCACAAGGAAGTTCCACTCGCTGAAGAAAATTACGACATACTTGTTTGGTCTGCTTCCTCGCTTCATGATATGTAAAGAGTGTTCAGTACGAGGACGTGGTGATTATTTTTAGCCAAAGTTACGATATACCCTTCGGAAGTTATTTTCAAGCCACAACATCGAGATACCTGTTAAATAATTAATAATTGTACAAATTTAAAAAAAAGAAAAAGAAAAAACAACAGAGAGAAGAACGAGACTATATAGTAGAGAAGAAAAATGGAAACAAATCAAAGCACATCTCTGTTTCCCCAATAAATATTAAGATTTACCTTGACATACGGACACTCAAATTCAGAAATCAAGGAACCATCTCTTGAGAAAACAGCCACGTGAAAACGATTACCATGCGAATCTCCTATTAATATATCTCCTGCATCGCTAATATCGATCCCATTCGGGAAGTTTGTTACATTGTCACAGCCAATGCGACGCAAAAACTTGCCCTCTTCGTTGAACACCACAACACAATGTCCTTTGAAGTCGCAAACAAAATATTCTTTACCTGTGAATCACGATTCTTCATATAATTAAATCTTACTTTTGTACCGATTTATAGAAGAATCGTTTGCTCACCACTAATTGCAATATCACTTGGTTCCCTCATGTATTCACTGCAATCAAACCACCTTAAAAGGTCTCCTGTATCACTGATTACAAACACTGTTGGTGATACACTATCAACAGCCAAAATGTGGCCCTCGCTAGTAACAGCTAGGCCAGCTACAATATCGATGTAACGAATTGCTATTTTTTTCATAAAGTGACCGTTTTTCGTAAATATCTGCATCCTAGATCGTTCGTTTCCACGGTCGCAAACAACAAATTTACCGCTGTTTCTCATCACAGCGACTTTTCTCGGATACCACAGTTGTCCCTCTTCTTTACCAGGAACACCAAATTGGAATTTGAAAATACCAGTCTTTTCGAATATCTGAAACGAAATATTTTATTACAGATACTCTTCACTCATCCTTATTCTTTATAGGTACGCCTTAATACCTGAATTCTATGATTATTTGTGTCAGCAACAATAATATCCTCATCGGCGCTTAAACAAAATCCATGAGGCGAGCTGAATTGACCTTTGCTGGGACCTAATTGCCCAAATTTACACCTAATGTGCATGGGTGTTAACTTTGTGTTATTTGAACGTGGATGAGCATAATTTCCAGATCCGGAACCGGTTACATTGCCAACAGTATTCCCTCCTACCACTACAGGCATATTATGCATCGAATCCCCGATTAAATCGTCTACAACAAACATTTAGATAGAATCAACTGCAAGGAGATTAAATTATAAATGATAAATTATAAAGGCGATCTTCTTACCAGCCCCCTGTGAAAGTATGGGTGATGTGGAGGAAGATAAAGACTGAAATCCTCCATTCAAAAGACTGTTGGCAGTTAAACCCAAATTTGGCGTATCTACAATCGCGGGCGAAGGACCTCTACCCAATACTAGACCACTACCACCATTAATTGTCGCGTTTCCGAGATCTATTGATAATTCAAAAGTATTATCCAATCTATGAGAGGAGAAAAAATAAAATCAATGTCACCCCGGCTTTCTTACCTTGATTGCCAAGAGTATTTCCTAATTTTGCAAGAGCTTGCAAGTTATTAATTGCATGACTGGTGGAACTCAGATCACCAGCAAACAAATCCGCTAAAGTGAACGGTGGAGTTGGGCTAGGATTTGAGCTAGGTCCAACTACGTTTGACTCTCCAACCATTTCAACCTTTTCTGCTAAACTGGCTAGCTGCTGTAGATTGTACTCTTGAATACTGGTAAGGCCGTGAATAGGACCTGGAGGAAGGGATACAGGAGGTGGTGGAGGAGGAATATTTTGAGGACTGGACGTAGGGGGTATAACAAACGATGGATCACCTTCAAACGAGGATTGCATGGAAGCGGGAAGAGAGATAGGAGATCTTGTACTAATTGAACGCGGACAGCCCATTGAAGTATGAACGATCTGCTGAGTTGTAGAAACCCCTGGTACTGTTGAGATTGGTTCGGGAGTAGATTTCGTCACCGGTGTCCTCTCAGTATGAAATTTTCCAAATACATCCTGAAATTATCCATTTTATATAAGATTTCAGCTAATTTGAAACTTATACCATCTTTTTTTTCATACATACTTTTACCGTTTTTTCAAACTGGATATAATCAGTTTGAAATTCGATAGAAGAAGAAACATTTGGCTTTGGTGTGTTTTTTATTAAATTCATTAACTGTGTTCCTACGATACGGCGAAGTGCGAGGATCTCCACAGCGTCACCATGCTCCAAAAGTCTAGAGGTAAAACGACAAGCATCTTCTATTTTCTCCACAGTTTTCTCAACGCTGCAAAAACAAAAGAGTATTTTAGTATATTAGAAAAAATATTTAACGTATTCTTTGGTATAAATAACACTCGTCTGACCTATGAAACGTGTCCATTATTTCTAATTCTCTATCAGAATGTAACTTTTCAAGCTCAACCAAGGCATTATCACGACATTTTTCTAAAACAGCTTTATAACTCTGAAACGTCTCTACGATTAGATCTTTAGCCTGATCGTGTTGCGCTTGTAGTTCGCTAAGTGCATTTTCTAACTGTGCAGACATCTGGTCACAGTCTGCGATCCTTGCTTTACTTTCATTCATCAACTTTATCAGTTCTTCTTTTTGACGCGGCTCTGCGTCTACCAATCTTTCATACTGATGGTCTGGAGCTTTGTGTTCAACCAGTAAACATTCATTGCATATAGGTTCCTGACGAAACAAGTAAAATAAAAAAAAATTAAACATAACGAATGACACAATAATAATAACAATAATCCATACTATGTACGGGCTCGGTTAAACTGTTAAATGAATAATTTAATATTTCAATTTATTACCTCGCATGTTTCAATAAAAATATTTCTTGCATAAAATGTTGAAACGATAAGTATACTAATTACCTGACAAGTATAGCAGTAAAACTTCATATTTTCAGCTGGATGATACTCGCAAAAAATAGGTTTATGTATCGGGATAGCTTCGTTGGATTGCTTCAAATCTTCAAAAGCCACTACCTTGTGACTTTCAAAACAGCGCATAAACTGGTGCGCAGTGTTGCAATTCGGGCATAAGAAGTTGGCACAGTCCGAACAACGCGCAACTGCGCTTTCTTTGGCTTTACACGAGGTACAGAGTACAGCCATGTTCTCGATCGCAGACATGTCAAGTATATTAGTTAAAACATAGTCGCACGTCAATGACGCGGCACCCTTAGAACTAATGGAAGTTTCTTGTTGACATAGAGGACAGATTAGGACAGAGCTGACCTTGGAGTCGCCCGCCTCATCCATCAAAAGCTTGTCCAGGCAAGCCTCGCAAAACACATGAAGACAAGAAAGCACTCGTGGAGAACAAAGTTTGCTCATACAAATAGCACATTCTTGATCACCGGACTCGCCGGTACCACAATTTATCTCTTCTAGAGCATCCCCAGGATTAGAAGTTTCGTTGCAGCCATTAACGCTGTTAATGTTTCGCTCGCTGAAAACATCTCCGTGTTCAACCTCCTCGTTCTGTGTAATACCAGTTCCAGCTGCTGAAACTGATGCTGCTCCGGATGGAACAGCTACCATAGATGATGCCATTCCGCGATCTCCCTTTTCTTTTGAACGATTGTATTCTTGTTCCGAATATCTTTAGTAAATTCGTGTCGAGAAATAATGGAACTTAAGTTTTTCCTTCAACGTTCCGCTCTAGCAAACAAGACGATGAATACCTATAAAAAAGAAAAAGTTCCACAGATTTTTCAGATTACGAAATACGGGAGCCAAAGACATCGCAGCACCGATTGCGATCACGAAACAAAACACTGTTTCACAGTTGACTTCTAATGATTAATTTTATAGGTGTGCACAAAATAATACTTCGGGTGTTGCAATGCACACAGAAAAAATTGAATTAATCTGCAATGTTCGTTATGACAACTGAATTTCCGTTTTGTGTATTCAGTTCTGCACCAACAACTAACTTCGCTTTTTCTATTTTTTTTTTTTTTTTTTTTTTTTTTTCTTTTGTATGGAGACAAAAATTACCCTTAATCTATTTGATATCGTACGCGTGTAACTTTATTCGATGTTAATTTCCTATTTTTTTTATTTACATTTACACTGTTTCACTAACTCTCAAATGCTTACCACTGAATTTGTATTAAATTTCCGTTTTGAACACGATCAACGTTTTGGCTTGCGTATCGAGTGTACTAACAAACATTATTGATCACGCGAATTCCCGATTTCCTTGTAACTGTACACAACGATCGTTTTAATTTCAATCGTTATCGATACTTCGATCGGAAATATTTCAAACTTTTTCATATGTAGAGCGAAGAAATAAATCATTCGAATCCAGAAGAGTTGACCCCAATGCAGGAGCCCTGCAAACAATTAGTATAATGATGGTGTACTTATAGACCCGTGCATCAGGGCTCAAAAAAACTCCCCCAAATTTCGTCAAGTCGACGACTGCAGCGACATCTTCTAATTATTCTACGAACCATCAAATGTTACCGTTCTGAACTATGAATGGTCACATTGATCTATTTTCTAAATGAAAGATTACAAGATATGACAATTTTTCAAACAAAATTTGTATTATCAATGAAACATTTGTTATTTACTACTACAAAATCTATGATTCTGTCATCGAGAACATCTTCAAATAAAAAGATGCAACCAAATGATTTCAGTTCTTTTCTCCATACATTTCTATAAAATTGTTTAATATACTCTTTAAACAATTGAGAATCTCTTGTAAATCTTCAATATTTATAATTTTGTTTTTCTAAAAGTAATGAAAAATATAAAACTTGTATGTACCATTCTAGAAAGTTTCATATTACAATTTAGGAATCACTGATTGTGATTTTATGGTGCAATGTTCAAGGAAAACGGTATGTTACGTGCATATCACATACCAGAATAAAGGAATTGAAAAAATTATCAGGTTGATTAATTTTTTTTTCTATGAAAAAAGCTCTTTGTCAGATATATAAAAAGCAATTGATTGATAAGAAAAAATCTGTTTTCCTTCCTTTTTTCTTTTGCTGTTTCGATTAGTCAGAAGTCGCGGGATTTTGTAGATAATTCAATTAATTTAATTAAGCGGAACACTATTTTCCATAGCCTACCTCGTATCCGGCATTGTCGCTACTTTTTGGAACGCACAGTCACAGATATTCTTATATACGTGTAATTGAATTAATATTATTATTTAATTAAATAACGCACGACCTAGCTCCGAACAGTTTGCTTTTTCTATTCTACCATCGACTGAGAAATTGATTAAACGACTGAATCCGGTAAGAAAATTCACACTTTCTCTCATAATATATATATCTATCAATAAATAATACATTAAAGGCAATAACTTTTCATTTTTCGATTCATTTAACGTGCTCTACTCTATTTTCAGGAATATGAAATGGCCAGAATTATAGCAAACATAATTATATATTTGTGCTTGGTGTGTAGTATTATTAGTGCTAATGAAGATAACGATAACATAGTTGAAAATGTAAGATCCGAAACGGTATACAAAACACCAGAGGTGCCACTGGTTGAGACTTCTTATTTAGTGGAGACATTTAATGATGAAGAAAAGTTTAAAAATAGATGGGTGTTGTCAGAAGCAAAGAAAGATTCTATAGATGAGGATATAGCTAAATACGATGGTTTGCATTCTATTATTTGGCTTATTTATTTATACCTTTAAAGTAGAACTATAATATGTATCGTTTAAACAGGAATCTGGTCTGTAGAAGAGCCCAAAAAACATGCACAAGAGGGTGATCTAGGATTAGTGCTTAAAAGCAAGGCTAGACACGCCGCTATAGCTGCTGAATTATCTGAACCATTTTATCTTAAGGATAAGCCATTAGTTGTACAGTATGAAGTAAACTTTCAAGAAGGTCAAGAATGTGGTGGAGCTTATTTAAAGTTACTCACTTTGGCCCAGGGGCATGAAGATTTAAAAAAGTTCCATGATAAAACTCCTTATACTATAATGTTTGGACCTGACAAGTGTGGAAACGATCATAAGGTGTATAATATAAAAGCAAATTTCACTCTTACAGAATCATTCAACAAATTGACTAACTCATTGTTTTTATCTAGCTGCATTTTATCTTCCGGCATAAAAATCCTTTGAATGGTTCTATAGAAGAGAAACACTGTAAGAAGCCAAGAGAAAGATTAGAAGATTTCTTCAAAGATAAACAACCTCATTTATACACTTTGATTGTTCGACCAGATAATAGTTTTGAAATCAAAGTTGATAATAAGGTTGTAAATTCTGGCTCTCTGTTGGATGACTTTACTCCACCTGTTAATCCACCTTTGGAAATTGAAGATCCTACCGATGTTCAACCAGAAGACTGGGATGATAGAGAAAAGATTCCCGATTTATCAGCTGTTAAACCAGACGACTGGGACGAAGATGCCCCGGCACAAATAGTCGACGAGGATGATGTTATGCCTAAGGGATGGCTCGAAGATGAACCACCCATGATACCTAATCCCGATTCCGTTAAACCCGAAGATTGGGATGTCGAGATGGATGGGGATTGGGAACCTCCCGAGATACCAAATCCAAAATGTGCAGATGTGCCAGGTTGTGGACCATATAAACAAAAGATGAAGAAAAATCCACGATACAAGGGTAGATGGTCGCCGCCCCTGATCAACAACCCTAATTACAAGGGAAAATGGAAGCCTAGACTGATACACAATCCTGATTACTTTAATGATGAACATCCATTCCGGATGATGCCTATTGTAAGATTTTTTTTTTTTTTTTATTTTTTTATACGTTGCTTATATGTATCTTGTAAACCCAAGATATAGTATTAAACGTTTGCATTTTGTAGTTTGCTATTGGTTTTGAACTTTGGTCTATGTCCACGGATATTTTCTTTGACAATATTCTTATCACGGACGACGAGGAAGTAGCGGCAAAATGGGCAGAGGAAACATTTGAAGTACGTCGTGCTAGAATTGCGGAAGAGAGCGTAAGTAATTTTCTTTTTCTGTTCAACGATTAATTATACAATTTATTTGGACGTTTCTTTAAGACTGATTTAATAAGCACTGTGGTGCGACTGGAAGAATTATGATTAATGTTCACTATGCCATATAGGTAACTTTATGGGGTCGCATATTGAAAGCTACAAATTATAAACCAGGCTGGTGGGCGCTATATTTCTTATATTGCGCGATACCAGTCGTATTATATGTTTGGTACCTACTGAAACGACTTCGTGAGGTATATTTGATAGTCATTCAAATATACGAATTGTTTGCATTATTGATACATAAGCGTAACAGTATGATGCTTAAACCAGTAATGCATTTCCATAGACCATTTGCAAATTAGTAGAGTGTTATTAATCATACCATGTATGTACATATTTCTTTGCTATAAATTAAAGCAGTAGTAATACCAGTTACAGTATCAAATTTCTGCTGAAGAAACAAAGTTGAAACAAGGATGTACACACTCAAGAGTGTTTCAATATATTATAAAAGGAAACACTAAAAATCCGTTCATAACATTTGAATTTGAATCTAGAAGGAGCACAGTGTGAATTGTACAATTGTGGAATTCACATGTAAGTTAACTTGTAATTTTATAATTATTTTACATAGTGGAGTATATGGCGTCAGATTGGCACATTTACCGCGGAACATCCTTGGATATGGGCTGTATATATAATAGCTGCTGGTTTACCTATTCTGCTAGTAATATATTGTTGCTGCTTTGCTTCTCAGGTATAATAAATCACAAACCCTTATTTTTTTTTTTTACATGAAGAATAATAATCAAACACGTACAATATTTTTAATTCAATGATTTGTAGTTATATTTTAAACTGACTAAACGAGTGGCAAATATTAAACCTATATCTTGCTTAATTTTTATTTATGAATTTCTGACTTATTAAAGGTACTTAAGATTTTAAGTATCATTATAAGAATTATTTAACTGGCTTTTTAGGACAAATATGACTTAAAGGATGAAGATAAGCAACCTTTAGAGGTGAATGAAGAAACTGAATCCAAACAAGAAGAAAACGAAAATCCACCTCCTATTAAAGAACCAGAAGGAGAAGGAGAAGGGGGGGAAGAAGAAGAAGAAGAAGAAGAAGGAGGAGGAGAAGGAGAAGAAGAAGGGAAGCAGAATGAAATTGAAGAAATGATTGAAAGTGAAGAAAATGTTAGTAAAATTCTTACGTATCAATGCAATACATTTTGACGATTCGTTTAAATAATTAATCTGCTTCTATCTTAGGATAAGCCAGCAGTGGGTGGTGATGGACCACGACGAAGAAAACCGAATAAAGAATAGAGTTTATTAAACTTAAATGAAAGAAATTCATATTACTGATATTTATGTAAAATTCACATTCCACTTAACACTTGCCATTGTGGACATTAGGATTTTTCAGTGTTAATTACACGCAATATGATCACCAAGAACCAGACTTTTTAATAGGTATCTGGTTCTAAAACATAAGTTTTCATTACATCATAGCTTGATGCAAATGATTTCACGTCGAACATGTTTCTTACGTATGAATGAAATACTTACACAAAAATTTGTAAGAATGATGTTCAGTGTAACTGTTTATGCCTTAATAATATGTAGCAACATAATTTTGTTAATTGTATATTAAAAACGAATAATAGAATAAGTTTCTTCACAATTTCTGTACAACAAACGAATGATCGTGTGTTTAAACTTCCGTGAATTATGTCACGTGGTATTTTAAACACACTATCTATACGAAACTTATAATATTTAGTTAATGTTCTATTAGGTATTTATTATAATATTATTCAGTGTAATAGACTTTCTTAAATGTTTCATTCTTTTGCCACTATGTTAATAAAGTGTACGATGTGAATGAAATACTTTTATGTAGTATACAAAGTTGTATTATTTATAAATGTTAAGTTTGAAATTGTTTAAAAAGTAATTAAATTAATACTTTACGAAGACCTTTTCTTCTTTCATAGCAAACTCATTTTTGTTTGTTTAGTGTACGGAACTAACGTTACAGAATTATAATTCATATTTTTCTAAAATCACAATTATATTAACTAAAATTAGATTTACACGAAAACAAATTACTTACTGTATATAAAAAGAATTTTATTTTGAAAGACTTTGTTTTAATTTCAAAGGAAACAAACGAATTATTTTACAATATAAAATAAAAGCAGTCTTTTTTTAAAAGTGATTGTGCATTTTTTATAAGAATATCTATTATAATACAATTTGTATTGAACCATTAAAATAAAGTCGTATTTTTATTTGTAATACTTTCCTACTTGTATATCCTTTTCATTTAAGATTGACATGCTTTGGTTATTCATTTTCATCAGAGTAAATTTTTTAAGTTCACTAACACTTCTTGAACTGTGTCTTAATGATACATTATCTAATCGTTATACGTCATATGTATGTATACATCTTAGGTACAGATCACAAAGTTAGATAAACATCGGAAGGAATTAACTTAGGGACTAGCAGAAGGAATACTGGAATTTTGTATACATGACTTACAAGTAGGTACTGCACGTTGTGAAAAGTGTCCAGCTAGAACAGTATGCGCACCCATACATCGTGTACACAGCACTTCTCCACACGACCAACAGTGATGCTAAAAAAATGTTTTTTCTTCAATTTTTCAAAGCTTAGTTATGCTACATTTAATCTTACCTTTCTATTAAATGCATCAAACGTGGTAGAACATGTGCACTCCTCTATATTTCGTAATAATTTCCAATCTAAAGAAACCGTTTTCAGTTCATTTTCTAACTGAGCAATTTTTAATTTGGATTTCGTCTTTTCCTCGTGATTTGCTGTATTTTCTATGATCGTATCAGATAACGGATCCTTAGTAAATTTATTATCAAATTTCATTTTTCCTTGTATGCCTTTCTTTTGAACATTATTTAAATTGATTATTGAATTTAAAGAACCAACTCTCTACAATGGTTACAAATAATATTAGGAACCAGGTGAACGATTAAGTCATAAAAAGATGGTTAATTTATATCTTCACCTTTAGAAGAAGCTTGACGTGATCTTCTAAGCAACTAGTATGATCGTGCATTACTAAGAGAAAGTCTTCGTATGTTTCTCTCGGATGAATACCATTTTCAAATCTAAAATACATCCCTCGCCACAAACTATAAAATTATATTACTAATTAATTTGCAATTTTTTACTACATGAAAATGAAAGTATAAAAAATATATATTACGCGATGCTGTGCGGTGCCAATTTAGGTTGAAGTACAAAATTAGATTCTTTATTAAAACGATTGCATTTATAAAGCGGGTTTATATATTCGTGCATATTATTTGCTAGGTATCCCCATAGAGAATATGTTCTCTCTGATACTCTGAAAGAATTGTAAATAAACAAAATAATACCTTTTCATGAATCATGTAAAACCGTTCGAATCGTTATAACAGTACCTAAGAAGGTGCCTTTCTTTTTCAGAATTTCCTATAAAAGTACCATGTTGACAGCTGTGTACATGATCATGAAGGGTCAATAAAAAAAATTCATTAAATTGGAATTTGTGTGGATACTGTTGTAATAATTGGTACGTTGCATCGATAAACTGCGTAAATATTGGCGCTAACTCTTTACTATCACAGTTGATATGACCACAACGGTCGCTAAATTTATGTCCAAACGATAGCCAATCTTTTTCTATCAATGCCTAAAATATTAATGTATATACGTTTAACAAGAAATATGAGCTTCGTAGAAAGTTAAAACTTTTAGAACACTAATTAACTTCTTACTTGGAAACCTTGAATCGTTCTATAAAATGGATCCAACAACAATGCGCTCAATGAACATACTTGGGCAGTGCGATCCCATCCATCGCTACAATGAACTACAACACTGACGCCATTTGAAACCGCTCTAGCGATAAACCAAGCAGTTTCCAATATGGATCGTATGTGTTTTAACCATCCACTACTTTCCAATCCGCTTAAAAACGCAGACATCGTTGTCGTCCTTTGTACTAAATAAAAGTTGTTACATTTGAATGATAATTTTAGGGATAATATTAAAGATAACAAAATACGTACATTCTATCAGCTTATTTAAGCTGGTTCTCATTACATGTATGTTCTCAATACCAAAGAAATGAAACTTTATATTGTCATAAAAGTTTTCATTTTCATATCCTTTCCCTGCTGCCCTGTTGGCAAAGGCATTGATCTAAATGAACAACATTAAGGATTAATTTTTAGTCTGTTTTATATATATATATATATATATATATATATATATATATATATATATATATATCAAATTAATGATGAACTAACAAAATACTTAACAAAATTAGTTACAAAAATACCTTGGATGATGTTTATAAACTTACGCGCGGTCGTGTATCCACAACATACATATACTTTGAATTAAAGTTTGTACGTAAAATATTATACATCATTTGTTCATCCTCAGGACACCTTGCACTGAATCCTGATAAAGGTTGACTGCAACGACAAACGGCAGCCTGCAAAATATTTGATTCATAAACACATATGCTTCTAAACTTGCTTTTTAATATTTATACCTTGTTAGAGTGCAAGTATGTTAAAACTGGTAATCTTCCTCTACTTCTAAACTTTGCACTGCCTATTAAAGTGCTATTAGCACACGTGCTAGGTACATATAAATATTTTGGATAAGTGTCACAAAGCTGAAAATATGATTATTATTGTTATAAACTTTAAACACATTTATAAATCTTATAATAATCATTATTATATTATGTACTTCATAATTTGTATTTAAGTATGTCAAAGACCATTCATCATTTGGGACTCCCTGCCTTTGAAATTCACTTTGTACATTAAAAAAATTCCATCCTGCATGCTGTGGTAAAGTATCTTTACTTGCTTGATAATTAAAACAATAAAGGTCCTCTATATTTGCTAGAAACCCAATATAAGTATAATGTTAAACATTCCAATTATTCAAAATCAATGAATCTGTGCATTTACCTGGACAAGATAATTTTGATAATGTAAGATATATGTCATGGCAATCTCTTTCTTTTGGAATAACAAATGTTACAATAAAAAAATGTTTACATTTAATACACAACGGAGAACCTGTTGTAGTTAATGGTTGTTTTTCTATGTTTGAAATATGCGTATATAAAACCTGCAATATAGAATATGTTAATCACTTTTATAATTTACATCACAACTTGTAATGCTATGCTATAGTTGTCTCTTATTCTTACCCAAATTTTTTTCTTTCCACTTTGTTCTGTGAATATAAGATGCGTTACAGTTAAATAGAGAGTACCAATAGAATGATTATTACTGTACTTGTCTAATATTCTTACATTTTCCACCTAAAATTAGAAATATTTAAGTAACAGTGACAGGTAGCATAACCCAACATAGTTATGTTTCATACACTCCTGAATGAAAAAAAGAAATTATAAATTTACATATTTTATGAAAGATATGAACTTTTGAAGCAAACATATGAGATATAAAGGAAAACTTTTTATCAATACTGACATATATAATGCGTAATAAGTATGGAATAACATATTGACAGATGTTCGAAATCATAGTATATACTGAGAGAGCTTTGTAATAAATAAAATAGATATTTATTTTGATACCTTTGGAATCTTTATTTGATCCATTTCGATCTCTATTCACAATTGTTTACACCTGCTCAACCATCTGATAATTTGTATATAAATTGGGTACCACTGACACAGACTTATCTTAAAATCCGTGGTGCTCAACTTAAATACTTGATAAAAAAAATATTATTTTCACCTCGATAAATAATTATTTATTGAATATTTTGTTATAAAACTTGTATGAAAAAGAATAATTTGACGACAGTGATGGTTATCGATGAACAGCATTAAAAGTTTTCATGTTTTTATGTGTTCATTGTAGGTGGCAGCATAAAAATAATCAGAAGTTTTGCAGAGGTGTGCAAAGGCATCAAAAGGCACTGAGCTGCAAAAATAAACAAGACTGGTCCTATGTTATTTATCATTCAATTGATTTAATATATTCTTCTTTAATTGCATATTGTTTTGAGGAAGATTAATATTTTTGAAATGCTGATAAGAACGATATAAACATTGAATTAATCTTCATAAATTGTATGTTATTTGAAAAGTTAAACCATGACCAATAAAACTGGTAATGCAGGTGATTTTCCTTACATAAAAGTAACCTGTGTTTGAAGTACAAAAACATGTATTATAATATTTCCTTTGTATAGGAGAAATAGATCCTGTTCAAGAGGAATTAGCTGGTCGTGTACACGAAGTTGGAAATCATGCAATTTGGAGTTTATCCAGTTGCAAACCTGGTTTTGGTGTAGATCAGTTACGCGATGATATCACAGAAACTTATTGGCAATCGGATGGGCAACTTCCACACCTGGTAAATATACAGTTCAAAAGGAAAACTACAATACGTGACATATGTATTTATACAGATTATAAGCTAGATGAAAGTTATACCCCTAGTAGGTAAGAAATTTATATTATATTTTATATTAAAAATAATACCTGTGATTCTTGATATAATTATGGGATCATTTTTTAGAATAAGCATCAGAGCTGGAACAAATTTTAATGATCTCCAAGAGGTAGAAGTTATGGATTTGAATGAACCAAGTGGTTGGGTTATAATTCCAATAAAAGATATTAATGATAGACCTATTAGAACATTTATGATACAAATAGCTGTAATAAGCAATCATCAAAATGGAAGAGATACACACATGAGACAGATAAAAGTTCACAGCCCAACACAGGATGTTCTTGGGCCACCAGCTTCTTATATTCCAGGCCAATTTCTTACCAACGAATTTTTGCGTTATGCTACTGTTAGATAAAATGAGATTTCATGCTATTCTTTTGTATATTACTAACTGTTACTTAAATGTTAATAAAATATTTATTAGAAATTGAAGATAAATCTCATTCGAATCTGTGTGTTGTGTATATACATACATAGATTTGAATTAAATTTAGTTTCTATTATCAAGCACTGATATAAAAAAAATATAAACATACAGTTTAAGAACTTTCATCCAAGTGTGTTCAGTTGTGAGCTGATAATCTAACTGGCAATTTCAAGTGATACAATGTTAAAACTCTTATTGTTTCTAATGTTAATTAATGCAATAGAATATCATGCATATACGCAAGAAAATTATGTTTTAAATGCTGCATTGAAACATACATCTAACGTTTTTAAAAAGTTAAAATTAAACGAGGGTAACAAAACTTCCATTAAAATTTAAAAGAAAGTCTAAATATTTGTGTGTAATATTTAAAAATATTATTTTTAGGTACTGAAGATTTAAACGAAAATGTGATACTTCGAATTAATCAGACAGTTGTGGAACATGTTAGAAATACATCAAAAATAATTCTTTCTCGTCGTAAACGAGAATTATCAGAAGACTTTAACAAAGGTATATATTTATTACTATTTATTAAAAATAATAAGAGTCCGTACGTACATACATGTATAATGTTCTTAATAATATCTACTTATATTATGATAATTTTATTGTTAATCATCAATGAGCAGTTAAGTAGTTTTACCCTCAATTCCAAAGAGTTCTTTAAATGCGTACTGTACTTCATGTTCCTTTAAGTATTTTAATACTTGACCCATATCATTATGACGCTCAGAAGAGGGAAAAGATATTTCTCGGAAATCACTAAATTTACGAATGCTATCTATGCCACTATGGTTTTCCTCTTTTTCCAACAGTCTTATTAGTATTTTCTGCCAATTCATAGATTTAATCTAAAATGAAAAGTACGTAGAAATAAACGAATATTACAAAATGAATAAAGTATAAAGAATAAATACTTTTTGCCAACAATAATCACAGTCTTCAAAGACCCCTTCCATACAAATGATACCAGGCTTTCCTGCTAGGCAAAAGCCTGTAATAGAGTTCTCTTTTGCTAAATCAATTATGTCTTTTCTTTTACTTTTACCATATATGTGATGACTATAGATCCAATATCTAGCAAAAGTTATAGATTTTTCTTCTTTATTTTTACTTATGTCAGTTAATTCTTTCTCCTGATTTTCATTAGAAGCTACAAGATAATCTTCACCATTATCTTGTAACCATAATATCAACACGTAAATACAAGGCTCGCCTGGTTCTTGATTTTCAACAACATTCTTTAATGCTTTATTTAATTGCAACTGTTGGATTCGATTTAACAGTGAATTCCTTGCATAAATCTCAGGTTTATCATTAGGATAATTTGGTGGTAGACTAACTAATAATTCAATTGTTCCCTGTAGAAGATTTTTTCTATTAATAGTTAGTAATGTTTATTTATATGTTTTATAATCTTACATTGCTTAACGAAATTTCAACTGAATATTCTAATCTATGGGGAAAATCTTGCGTAGGATTTTTTAAAAAATCATGTATATCAGCTAATACTCCATGGTCGGTAATAACTATTTCCTTTGGGTAAACAGATTGTAATGTTTCTAGTTCGCAAACTTGTGCCGTCAGATTTTCGCTTATTTCCTCGTGTGTACACATATCGTAGGTTAAAATATCTTTTACACATATGGATGTATTATTAAAATTACTTATAAATAGGAAAAAATAAAGAATAATGTCGAGGTTATCACAATATCAGCTGATATCAACAATTTTGTATTTTGACAACTCGAATCGAATCGAATCGAATCGAATCGAATCAATTGGAATTGATTTGAATCGAATATCGATTATCATTTGAATTTAAACTTGAATAAAGTTAAGTTTCATGCGCGCCTAAATTAATACCTGTTAATTTGATAAAATATATTATAACATTTTGCAGGTATCAATACACTAAATGGATTTAAAGATTTTATTCAATTAAATTTCCGAAATGTCCGTGATGTCAACATTTTTTCTCTTAAAAATGGATACGAAGTAATTTGGTTCGCTGCGATTTTAGATGGCTTTGGAGTATCTCTACTTCAAATAAATGTATGGTCTGCTAATGTTATAAAGTAAATTATAAATATTCATTTACTAAGTTAATTATATTTATTTCAGAAAGACTCTCTTTTTCACGTTACTGCTTATCCTGTAACTAATGGGACACGGTTAATTGTAAATGAGTGCAATTATGGAACACTCTTAATAATTCAAAATCAGGATAATTCTATTCATGTTTTGCGCCTCAGTAAAGTTAATGATAAATACTATTTACATTTAATTCAAGACTTGGAGTCCAATGATATTAGTCATTTAACAATATGGAATGGAATGAATCAATTACATCTAGGCATTTCATCACAGTCAAGTACCTCAATTTTCACCTGGTTTGGGGATTATTTTGATTTAGTACAAGTTATAAATCTTAACACCAAGAAATTAGTGCCTTTTCAAAACAAGGGATTCATGTATTTAGCAGCAACTGGATCTGTTACTCTTATTTTTAAACATTTTTTAAAATCCGATGAGTTTTTGGTAATACAGAAATTACCAGCAAGTAAAGATGCCTCATTTTTTCAATTAAGAGAAGGCCATTTTACAGATAACTATCTAAGCTTATCCACAGAGTCATCTGTTGTGATATACAAAGATATCCATGGTCGGTTTGTACCATTTCAGCAGATTCCTTCTGGTAAACCTACAGTACCAATTGTTTCAAACAAAGCAATTTTATTCTTTACTTTACAAGAAGATACACTATTGACTTATCAATACAATGGCTGGAGATTTATAGAATTGGATGTGAAATTGCATGGAGTTCATCGATTGCAGACAGTTAATTTATATGGAAAACAACTGTTGTTAATGAAATATAAAAATGATACATGGACACTGAAACAATTGATATGGACTAAAAGGAAAACTTATAAAGATATACAAGAAGAAATCAAAGCATGGAATATTAAAGCTAAGAACATAGCTCAGAGACAATTAAATGAAATTTCAAATCTAAACAATTCTGTTCAAATTTTGAATGGTCATATTGATCAGCTGTTTGTTCACAATGTAATATTTGATCATATCTTATATAAAATAATATAAATTACACTGGTATAAAATTGATACATATCCTTTAATGTTTTGCAGGTAAATCAGCATAATTCAAAAGCATTAAAGAATGTATCAGTACAGTATAATAAAGTGAGTTCCAAGCTTCAAGAACAGAGTAGCGTTATAAATAATAAGTGGCACTCGGGCAATGTAACTGTTACTTCTCTTAGCGCAAAGAAGATTCAAATGAGATGTAAAACAACATGTAGGATTAATAAAGTAAATATTAAAGGCAATACCGATCTTCTGTTAAAGTTAAAAGTGCTGCCTAACAAAAATGAAGTGTCAAGCTTCAAGACATTGAAAGTTAAAGAGATCAAGAATTGGAAGTGTCCAATTTTTAATTTACTTATAGATAATATTGTTGTTAGTAAGTCAATAAATGGAATGTTATTGGAAAATTTACATAAAAATACCTTAAAAATAACTGGTAATCAAACAATCTTAGGTAAGGTGTATTAACTTTTATTTGCTTACAATAAAATATAATTTTCTTTTTTTTTTTTTTTATGTTAAAAAGAAAATATGTTTCAGGGAGACACAGTTTTATCAGTATCAATGTTACAAATACTGTGATGCCACTGAATATTGCTTCGTATTTTGCAAAGAAAGAAATACAAGCAAAAAAGGTGAAAGTTAAAGAATTAACTTTAACAGAAGGTGGAATTTTACTGCCATTAAATGGTTCGTCTACAGTGATCACTGGTTCGATAAGTGCATCTAGAATAACAGTAAAAGATAAAATTCGTTTACAAGGATCAGTAACAGGCAGCTGGGCAAAAAATTTTTCACCCATAAAATACATTCCTGATTCCATCAGCATATACCACGATGTTAATATAGAAAATGCTAGGATTGAAAATTTGCAATCTACAGATTTAATTAATAATAAAACAGGATCAGTCAAGGATATTTTGTCAAATGCAATAACTTTGCATGAGAATGTACCAGTATCCTTAGTATTTTCAAGCCAAAAAACTGTAAGAACTATTTTGTAATCAATTTTTTAAATGTGTAGTTTGTAAATATGTAACTAATGATAATGAATTTCAATTCAGAAATGGAATAATATTACTATACACGGTCCTCAAAATTGGGTCACCGCAAATTCTCAAAATGTAATAACAGGAAAGAAGCACATGCTGCATAATGTAGAAATAACAAAGTTTTCCTATGAAAATTTGAGATTTCCACGGTAAGCTAAACTTAATATTCATTGTATGTATATTATTATTATTAAAGGATAATTTTTTTTCATTTCAAGGATTGAAACAGCCTTATGTGGTGCTTCTATAATTGTACCTGAGATCAAAGCCACAGTACTAACAGTAAATAATGTTACAGTGAAAAGTCTAACAAGTCCACATGTCTTTGGAAATTTGGCTGATAAATCAGGATTTATTTTTAAACCACTTAATTCATCTGCTGAACGTTACTACTATTACTACAATGTTAAAGCGAAAAATATATTTACATCACACACCAGTAACATAAATTTAACAAGTAAAGGTATACTAATATTTAAACACTGCATTTTTGTTTAATACTGATAATTTACTAATATTTTATTTTACATAGCATTAGAACGATTTACAAATTCGTGGGTTGAACCTAACATTCTAAAAAGTTCAATTGAAGCAACAGATTTAACGATTAATGTTCTTCAATCGTCTATGAAATTTTATCCAAAGTGGTCCAGAGTAATAAGAAATGTGGTATCAAAAAAAAATATTTATGTAGGTAACATCAATAAAATTAATTTTACTGATTTCTTAGTCAAAGCTATAAAGCTTGAGGATATAATATCTTTGAGAAACGTAACATTCAGTAAGTTGCAATCATTAATTTCCTAATCAATTTATTATTAACATTTATTATTATCAATTACCCTAAAATTTGCTTTTAGATAATGGTTTCACTACGAATCACATACACATTTCCTATCCCTTATTACCATTAATTCAAACAGATAAAGATCTTATTCTTCATAAAAAAAGAATTTCTGGAAATATAGAAGTTAATGTGATAAATCTACCCTACCTTTTTGGACTCGAGAAAAATCATACCTCAGCTAATATTATTATTAAAGGATCAGCAATATTTCCAACTGAGCCAAACATACATAATATAAATAAAAATAATTTAAAAGACTTGTTTATGCGAACGTGGATAATAACAACTGCTACAACTTTTGTTGGGAAAAATCTACATGTTACAGATGTTGTATTAAAGGGAAATATTACTATAAATGTAAGTAAATTAAATTTAAATTTCAAACACCTGAGCGAACAGCTACTGCATAGTCACGCATGCGCAAGGGTAGACGTCGCACTCAAAGACAACACTAATCCCTCGTACCTCGTACTGCGCTGTTACGCAACTGCCACGAGTAGCAGCGCGTACCCCCCTATATAGACTTCTCCCAGCGTATGCGCGCGCATCAGCGCAGGCGCAGTAGCTCTTCGCGCAAGTAGCTTGAAATCAAAAAATTTTCGAATCGAAAATTCTTATCTGTTTTAGAATTCTACTAATATATTATATCGTGAAGCATGGAAAAATATTTCAGAACGTGTTCTAAGTAAAACAAAAGTACAAACAATAATAGTTGATGCTTCTTTAAATACTGTAGAAACTAGTTCGATTGTAGGTTCAAATACTTCAACAATAGTGTCTTCAGTGTCAGATTTTAATTATATGTTTAATAATTCTTTAATGAAAGGTCGAGCACAAGATGTGAAGGCAAAATGGACATTTGATAAATTAATAATTCTAGGTAATAATACTTTTACACCTGATGAAAAAAAGCTACCTCTAAAGAAAATAACACTTTATTTCAGGTAAAATGAATGCAAGAAAGAAAATTAATAATATGAATCTTAAAACGGATGTTATGAGATATGATTCTAGAAGAAATATTGTAACAGGAAAGAAAACGGTGCTAATTTTGACTACAAAAAATTTGAATGGTTTAAATTTTGCCGAATGGGCTGATAGTGCTTTAATACCAAAAGAGAATCGTGTAATAATCAAAGGGCAGAAGCATTTTCTAACTGCTGCGTTCAACGATATAACGTAATCGATAAAATAAATTTAACCATTATTAACCATTATTAAGTTAATTACAACTGATTTTATGTTTGCAGCTTATCTGGCACTATAATGGGGCACTCTGTGGATGAAGCATTATTACAATTCAGAAACCAAACAATACATGGTCAAAAAATAATTCATGGATCTATTCGTGTATCAAGAATTTTCATCGATGGTCTAGTGAATGATGTAAATTTAACTAACTTAATAGACCATCAATTAAAGAAACAAAGTTCATTGCAAAAGATAGAAACAACTATTGAGTTACAAAAAAAATTAATTATAACTGGAAATCTCATCGTTAATGATACTTATGGAGGAGCAAACATGAAGAACTTTGAAAAAAGTTATTCATATATACCATTTATTACTGATAAATCAAATAACTACTCAAAAATAGCTGAAACAATTAATCTAGCATTGAGAAGTATGTTATTTTTATGTTTATTAATATTGCAATAGATCCCAATAAGTTATCTGAATATTTTGTAACATTTCAGATCATGCAAATTACATACACAAATTGGAAATTGTAAAAAATATTACCAGTATTTCTCGTCAAGGTACAATAATGCAAAGAGAACAGTGTAAAGTTAGAAATTTCTCTAAATATTGTGTAAGTGAACATATAGAAAATATCGTCTTTCGATCAGACACAAAGAACTCTATACTAATAAAATCAATTTTCCTGGAAGAAACCGAGTTCGTTGTCTGGATAAAATTCCATTTCGTTTCTATTTATAAATACAATAATGTAAACAAGAATCTTATTCGTGTAAAAGGTTTGTACATCGTTTTATACAAAGTTAATATTGAAGCAATTATTAGAAACTGTAATAATATATTTAATGAAATTTACAGATTTACATATTCCAAGAATAATAGACGCCTTTGTAGAGCAAATGTTTAATTCTTTATGGATCATTTTACGATTAACTTCGCAAACTTTGGTGTTACATTATCAGCCGTGGCAAGAGTTACAAGAATACGTGTTACCAGCGACAGACGTATTTGCACTGAGCCGGTCTCCGAATAATCAGTTATTATTATTCTTATCGAGCGGTGTTTGGAATCTCAAAGGTCTCGCCAGCCCCCAAAATATTATTGAAATTCCTTTGAAAGGACAGGTACAAACTTTTGTTAATGGCTTCGATTATTTTGTCAAATATACTTCAAGTAATAATACCATTTTAACGAAAGTTCGATACGTAGGAAATTGTTAATTTTATTTAATATATACTTTGTTTGAACGTGTATCATTATTATTATTATTATTATTATTATTATTATTATTATTATTATTATTATCATTATTATTATTGTATTAATGTTTAACTTTTATTACCCTAGTGTACAACCGCCATTATTTAGCCCTAAGGAGTGTATTTAAATATTGTAAAATATATGTAAAATTACTTAAAATGTATAATGTAGAAATGGTGGTATACTTAATTCCTGGGAAAATTTCAGCAGAATTAATCTCCGTACTTTTCACATTTTACTTCTTAAAAATAGATCCAGTTGTAATGGAAGACATTACTGCCTAAAATATCAAGAGAAAAGTTTCCTATACTCATTCAAAGAATAAATAATTAATAAAATTACAAACTTTTGCAGCTTTCTTGATCACTGTAACTTCTGCTTTCGTTTTAGCCGTGTCTGCGTCTAGTGTCTTCTTCTCCTCCACCTTGAACAGTTTCTAGAAAATAAATATTTCGATAGAGTAAATATCATTAACTCTCGTTTCTATCTTGTCTCACTGGATCTGTCTGTATAAATTTCCCTTCCAATTTTTTCTTCTCTTCAATAGCATTGTTAAGGGCAATTTGCTCAGCTGGTGTGAGGACCAGAAGTCGTGGATCCATAGCGATCCAATCGCTGTTAATTACTTGAGTCAGCTTCCAACGTTTATGGGGATCAGGCTCAAGAAGATGCGTTACCAGTTTCTTTACATGCTCGCTCAAACTGCCAGCAACTTTACTCCGAAACTTCCATTTACGATTCGTCTGCTGTTCGTAGAGACTCTTGATGTCGGTGTCGTCAAAGGGCATTGCTTTATTCAGTAAAATGTATAGAATGACGCCGAGGGACCAAACATCAGCCATCTTAGGGTTGTACGGAGAGGCACGAAGAATCTCTGGAGCGGCATAAGACAAAGAACCGCAGTAGGTGTCGCTTAATATTCGTTTACCACGATTGTCTATCACGTAACGAGCGAAGCCGAAATCGGCGAGCTTGACGTTGTGATTCGATGTAAGGAGAACGTTTTCACATTTCATGTCTCGGTGGGCAATTTCCATTTCATGGAGATATTGAAGACCTAAGTAAAGATAACAGTTCTTAAAACGATAATACAGTAGTTGGTGGAAATTTTCTAAATATGTACCCAGTGCAAGCTGCCGGAGCCAGACACGCGCCTGTCCCTCTGCAACCGCGCCATTCTTCAGGACGAAATCAAGAAGGTCGCCGTTCTCGGCGTAACGCATGAATATAAAATATTTCGATCGCCTCTGGAATATACTGTGCACGTGCACTACGTGAGGGTGATTCAATTTTGCCAAGATGTCCAGTTCACGGGGTAGAAATTTTCGAACAAAGTCTTTCGGGGCGTTTACAGTGTTTATTACTTTACAAGCCAACGTGCTGCACCTTTCGGGCTCGGTTTCTGGTTTGTATTCAGCGAGATATACCTGAAAATTGAATATTAATATGCAGAGGCTGTTCAAACGAGAATTAGCTATATGTATTAAATTTGCAAAATGCGCGGTTTCGTTTTATTATGTATCTAATAACAGCGCTACAGAGCACTTACTCACTTTAGCATAAGAACCTTCGCCCAACTTTTTTACAAATTTGTAGCCTCTTGCGAGTAGAACAGCTTCCTCAGATGGTGTCTGATTCAAATCCGTCATGAGATTTCAAGATCCGCGGCTGACATCCTACCGGTCCAATGATCATAACTTACACAATTAAGTTACTTTTCCATCTATAGAAAATAAGTATTATTAATACTAATTTCGTAGAGATCAGCAAGTAATGTCTTTACCTAATTTCTTAGAAAAACTATTAAAACAAAAAATGATATACTTTGTATTCCTGCACTCATACATGTTTAAATGTTTTCTGCTCCATCGTACATAACATTTTTGTGCAGAGACATTAACTAATCAATGATTCATTAACAGAAACTTAGTTTTAATAACTATAGCGACCTAGAAATGTTGTGGAATCTTCTGTAAGGTTAGTTATTGCTTATTTTTTGGTTAAAAGATGAAGTCAAAAGGAGGAATGTGATTCAAGCGGTAAAGATACTTGCTTTTTTACTTAACAATTTTGTCTAATTAAACGTCATGATGTTCGTAAAATATGACAAAAGATTTCATGGCCTACGTTGTTCAGTAATATTTATAAAACAAGATTAAATTAAGAAATATTTCGTTCGCGATTAGTTTTACAGATTCAACAACACTGAACATGCTTTTGTCAAAGAGAAGGTATGAGACAGGTTATGAATGGACAAAATTTGGTATCCCTCGGATCTACTTTTTATAAATCAGTCAAAATCAGCACAAAACAGAAAAATTATTAAAATCATTTTTTGACAAACTTGGAATTTAAAAGGGACCGCCATAAATTATTTCAAAATTCGATCCTTGCGCCATCTATACGAAAACGGCGGAAACTACTCAATGACTTACCAACTGGGACTTACCAACCTGGGAGCGCAAGCGCCATCTATCGGGGATTCACGGAACTTACTTGTCGACTAGTTTCCGCCGTTTTTGTATAGATGGCGCTAGTTTTGGCGGTCTTTTTAAAACGCAAGATCGTCAAACAATTATTTCAATAATTTTTCGCTTTTGTGCTGATCTTGATTGATTTCTAAAAAATAGGAATTAGTAAATTAGGCACGACTGTTACACCAATTCTGTTCATGCAGGCGTAACTTCGCCTGAGGGGGAGCGGGGACCCCAAAATCATGATCCTTCGAGAACACAGCATGTCCAGCTCGTAGTCACTGCTTCGAGGAAGGGGTTCGATCCTTTTTTCATAATTGAAGAAAGAATACAGGTTCGGTGTTACAAATTATTCTGTAATTTTAATATAAAAATAAATATCTATCATATTTTAATGACACTATTATGAGTAAAAGGCACTTTGACTGCAGTAAATTAAAAAAAAATAAATAAATTGCTAGTTAAATGATTTCTGCAAATCAACAGACATAGCTATATGGTTGAAGGTTAATTTAGCGTCGCTATTCTAAAAAAAAAAACATCAAATTCTTTGAAGCACAGAGACATCAATATTAATCCTATTTTTTGTACTTAATAATCGCGAAAATCCATTTTTTAATCATATAAAAATAGAATGGCGGACAACGCTCCAGCCGCGCGTGGAGGTTTTCGTGGAGGATTTGGTTCTCGCGGTGGTGATCGCGGTGGCCCAAGAGGTAGAGGACGCGGAGGCAGAGGAAGAGGACGCGGCCGTGGACGTGGTAAAGAAGACAGCAAAGAATGGATTCCAGTGACCAAACTTGGCCGTCTCGTCAGAGATGGAAAGATTGAATCGTTGGAACACATCTATCTTTTTTCTTTACCTATCAAAGAATACGAAATCATTGATAAGTTCCTTGGACCTGAACTAAAAGATGAGGTCTTGAAGATCATGCCTGTTCAGAAGCAAACTAGAGCTGGTCAACGTACACGTTTTAAGGTAAACTTGCACAATTATATAATTTATGTTGATGGAAACACTGTTAACATCATAACACTGTCTTTTATTGATTTTAGGCTTTTGTAGCCATCGGTGACTATAAGGGTCACATTGGTCTGGGTGTGAAATGTTCCAAAGAAGTAGCTACTGCTATCCGTGGTGCTATTATCTTGGCTAAGCTTTCGGTTGTACCTGTACGCCGTGGTTATTGGGGAAACAAAATTGGTGATCCTCATACTGTACCCTGCAAGGTCACAGGTAAATGTGGATCTGTTCAGGTGCGTTTAATCCCAGCCCCAAGAGGTACAGGCATTGTTTCTGCACCTGTGCCTAAGAAATTACTGCAGATGGCTGGTATAGAAGATTGCTATACATCTGCAAGAGGATCAACCTGTACTCTTGGCAACTTTGCCAAAGCCACCTATGCTGCTATTGCCAAGACTTATGCATACTTAACACCAGATCTTTGGCATGATCAGGCATTGAGGAAGGCACCCTATCAAGAATTTGCTGATTTCTTATCTAAGAACCATAAAGCTGTGGGTGGACAGAGGTCTGCTGAGGTTGTTTAAATAATAAACCTCCATGCAAAGTCTATCTAATTGTAGTTTTATTTATTTTCCTTGTTCATGCTTTTATCTTCCTTGAGATTATCCATCTTTCATGCTTTGTAGCAAAGGTAGTAATTTATATGTAAAGTAATATATTTATTATTGATTTAGTAAAAAAAAGTAGGAAATGTAACAATAACATCACGTGCTATCAACAGATGTATCTTTGGAACTTTTAAACTGTTCATAAGCACCATTGAAAGTTTCTAAAGTGTAATCACAAATTTTTTCAAAGTCTTGTAATCCTTTCCTTAGTACATCAACAGCTTTTCCCTTCTTTGCTTGAATTCTCAAATAAATATTTCCCTCGGCTGGGTGATTGACGAAACAAGCACAGAACTCCACATCAGGACTGTAAAAAGTAAACTTTTAATAACAATTACAAAGGATATATTGATACAACATACTTTTGTGAAATTACAGTCACCAAAGCATTTCCTAAGGTGTAACCTTCATTCATGAACACAAAAGTCTTGTTTTGTTCAGACGAGTGTTCACTAGCTACCTGCGCATAGAATTAAATTTAAAAACTAAATTTATTTGAACAATAAATCAGATACCATAACCATAAACTGTTTTATATTTATAAATAACATACCTCAGCCAGCCGTCCCATTTCTCATCAGTTATTTACTTTGAACAATTAATTAAAATATTATAGATTATCAATTTGATATTTACATTAGCACATTAATACAAAATTAAAATGTAATCTTAATTAAATACTCTTGCATGGTTGGTGGGGAAACCTAGCATCAGCATGACACCATACTTAACCTAAACTTTTGTGCTAATAACATGATCTCATCAGTTTGATTGAGGAAATAAGTTAATGCTATAAACAAAACAGGTAAACATTTTACATATCAAATAAAAAAGATGTTATTTAATAATGCATCGTTTAACCCTTTTAGGAAACATAAATAAACAACCAAAATAAGTGAAACAGCATAATACAAAATGTCTCTTAAAGAATTATTCTTTAAATCATCATTACAATTAAAAATTCAACATGTTATTGGCAAAAGATGTTTCTCTTCAAAACCAGTAAAGGATATTCTTGAAACTGTTGAAGAAACACCAATTTATATAGAGGAAAAAGATGAGCACGCTGGACTAGAAGAGAAAAGGAACAAATCAAGATTAAATCCTGCACACAGAAATATGTTACACGATCTAAAACCGTACGATGAATCTCAGGCTTGGTATCATGATTCAGTGAAATATAAAAAACGAATATTAGGTAGGTATGGCATTGAAGCTTTAGGAAGACCTGCAGGACTGGCATGGCCTACACCTGAAGAAGTAAAAGAGATAAATGAGTATGAAAAAATTGCTTTTCCATTAACAATTCAAGAGAGATTGAGTAAGATTAAAGAAGAAAAGAGACTGAATGAAGAAATGATAATGGCTAGGTATGCTAGCTGTTGCATATAATACAAAAATAAAGTAATATTTATGTATATACTTGCATACATTCATTTTTTTATTTTTTTTTTTTTATTATATTTACAGACAACAAGAGATTGGCAAGAAAATGGCAAACATGAATAAAATGATAGCCGATATACAAGAAAAGGTTGCCGAAAAGGAAGCAAAATTGTTGACAGCTCAGATGACAAAGGAACGTAAAATCGAAGAAATTAGACGTAAATTACTGGCTGAAGGCCATGTAGGCACAGACAAAATTGAAGAAGAATTGACTCAAATGGAGAAAGCAGAAAAGAAGAAGAAGAAAGAGGCTAAGAAAACCAAATTACTCGAAAAACAAAAGGAATGGGCAATGAAATTGATGCGGGAGGCTAAGCAAGAAGGTCAAAAAGACGAAACGGTAGAAGATAAAGAAAAGACAAAAGAAGATAATTGAAAAATGTAACGTAGATACTTTGACTAAAATGTATTTGAAAATAATTTCTATATAGTTAGTAAATTCAATACTTTACAAAACGTCGTTATCTTTGATTTCTGTCTACAATATACATATGTAGAATAACTGAAATTTATATTAAAAAAAAGAATTTTAAATAAAAAACAATATTTACATTTCATAGTAAATATTGTATTTCCTTTGCTAATACAAAAAACGTTACATTGTTACTCTGCAAGAGCTAGAAGGAATTATACTAATATATAGCAGTAAATGATTTAGTAAGACACATATTCAGGCACAATTCAGACATTAATAAATTAGACCGAACTTTCTGTTGGTCATCATATAAATGGCAGCACTATTGAAAAAAATCAGCTTTCAGCTATCGAAGATGCGTCACAATTTCCGGTGACGCGTTCACAAACCGAGGATGATTTTTGATCGATAAAAACCTGTTGAAATTCTTTGATTTTAGTAACATCGGCGTTTTCAGTTTGATATAAATCCTGAATATTTTGTACATGCAACTCATCGATCACGATCAATCGTACTTTATTTTTTTCGGTGTGTCAGGCCGATTGAATCTGTGACGGAGAGGACAGTTCGTAAAACTGAAAACTTAATTCTTCTCCAAATAGATTCTCCGGTGTGATAATTTCTGGTTCAACTATATTCAGACCTAAGGTTGTGGGATTTAAGTCTGTAACTAAATACCCTTCGCTTATTAATCCACATTCTTCTGCCACTACTTCCTTGGACACTGGATTAAGAAAATCTACAAAGGGCAATCTCATATGTAATAAATTTATTGGCCTTCTAATTAAAGAATAAATGATTAATCGCGTTACCACTCTCTTTTACTGGATAATGAAGTTCTTGTGTTTGTTGATCAGATTGAGTGGAATTATGTTCATTGTTGGAAACCATCATAGGAACAAGATACTGGACTTCCACTTCTTTTTTTATACCACTTAGGATTTCCTCTGCACAATGTTCCAATGTTACAGAATTCACTATGTTCTCAGTCTCTTCCTCGGAAGGCTGTTGTATAATGCTGGCAGTTGCAGCTTCCACCTCATCTATAGGATTGATTTGACTAAAAAATGAACAATTTTTTTTTAATTAAGGTAACTTTTAAAGTTTTAAACAAGGAGGAATATATGTATACAGGAATTTCACTTCAGCTTGTAGAAGCTTAAAAATTGATCACCTAATATTTTTCCAATTATTCTCAGCTTCTATAGCGCTCTTAACAACTTGTTTTATGGAAGAACTAGTGTTGATAGTTTGTCTGGGTCTAGAATCTCCGGATCTGTTTGCAATAGCCCATAAGTGTCCAGCTCCATGAGGTGCCTTTGATCCTTTTCTGAAGTGAGGATTTATCGAAAGGTTGTGCCGCACCGAGTTTTTCCAACGATCATCGTTGCTTTTGTAATAAGGAAAATGCTCACTGAAAATAATAAAAAAATTCAACGCTTATTACTATATCCTACAGTTGTATTATAAGAGACGTTTAAACGATTCCAATTCCTAATTATGCCTAATTCCTAATTTACTGTCGACAAACATGTACCCCAATGGAAATAAGTTTCTTCACCTGCTCGCGGCGACGTCACGGCGTGTTACACACACCCCCTAATTAATTCTCTTCGTCTTTGATAAGAAAAGACAAAAGATTCAGTGGAATGCCCTGAGCACGTGGCAGTTTTATTTGAAAAGAAATTCACCCTCAAGGTAAAATAATAAATTCTCTTCCAATAGTTTTGAAATCAATACGTGTACTTTAACTTAATAATTAAGAAAAGTATTATTTAAATAAATAGTAATCTTCAAAATAAAAATAGGGTCAAAGGGAAATTGATTCTATCTGGAAATCAATTATTCTATTATTGTAATTCTTTCTATTCGTATTATATGCTTGATCACTTTCTTTCAGTCGCAAATGTAGGGTGCTCTACGAATTTACGAGAACGTAGCCCACGCTGATGCGGGGTGGTGTGTTGGACAGAGAGGGTCAGCTCTTAGATGGTACCCCTTGGCACCGCTACTCTCGCTACATGGTACCGACCGGTACCGCCTTCGTTCGTTGCAACCCCCAACACAAATGCGCGCAATTTACTGGCTCTGAGCTTTCACCTGTTCGATCGCAGTCTCATGAGAAACTATAATATACATATAGACAGTCGAGCCCCTGAACTCCTTTTCAACCAATTTTCCTCCTCTCCTACTCAATGTTCTCACGAAATGATTTCCTTCTTCCATTTATTCCTTTTTGTTTTTTTGTTTTTTTTGTTTTTTTTTTAAATATACAAAACTAAAGAAAAAGCTAAACTAAAATAAAAAATTTTGTTGATCCAATAAAAATGATTGAGAAATTTCTAATGATTAAAATCCAACTTAAAATACAAACTGAGCTATTAAACGGCACTTACGAGATCCACTGATAAATTGCTGATACTGTAAGTTCTCCCCTTTCCCGAAGAGCGTGTTCAATGAGTTCTGTGTACGTGAAGGGTGGTTTCTTCGGCCCGTTGCACCGTGAACTGGCAAAGTTTCTGTTATCGAAATTCGAGTAACTCTGATTCAAATCCTGATGCGACGAGCCATTCTCATTGTAACTTCTTTTAACGTCATTGCTACAGAGAGATCCGTAAGAACGACCGTTTATTTTTGCCTTGTTCCCTGAAAAGAAAGCAAGAAACAGTTGTTGAAGAACCTTAGTAGTATTTCAAAGGGGAACTTTCGTGTTTAACAAGCTGAGCAAAGAATTTCACACCAATATAATTGTTTCTGGCGGGTGTCGCGGTGGACTTTTCATCCGCAGCTTCAATGAAGGGGTCCAATTTGAAGTCCAGCAACCAGGAAAGGTTCCCAGTCTCTTGATCGTCAAACTGTTGTTGCTGTTGTTGGCCGTTACAAGATCCTCCAATTTTATTCTGTGGTAGATTCAATGAAGGCACCGTGACAACAGATTCCCAGTAATCGGAGCCAACTGGGTAGCTCATTTCTTCTATCTGCACTTCCTGGATCACCTGTTCCTGACGGTGCTCCGAGGAAGAGGAAGACGCAGAGGGGGAGGTCGCAACTTCGGTAACGTTCTGCTGAGACTCCAGTTCAGAGACGGTTGTCCAAGTGTAATTCGTACCGTCCACCAATAGAACTTCCAATCGTGCTACTGGACACTCGTCCACGACTTCCTGACTAGATAATGGTGAGAAAAACGCTGCAGTGTCGCTTATCCCTTGATTAGAAGCGACCATTTCCATCGGAGTTTCTATCTCTTGATACTGGTACCGCTTGCGACTGTTCTGTACCTCCTCGCAGAAGTTCTCGATGTCCAGGTCTTCAAAGATGCGCTTCTTCCCCGATCTGGACTGATTGTCCGACACCTCGTGCTCCGAAACGCCTCCCGTACCCGAAGACGGTCCGATCATGCTGTCAATGGGAGTTTTAAATCATATTTATGTCTTTCTTTTTGGTGTCAGCAAACTGCAGTAAATTAAATAAACATATAATTCGGTAAAGAGAATAATTTTCTTGCTACATAAAAGATGGATCGGTTAAAATGAAAGGTAAAAAAAAAAATTGATATAAAATAATATGTAAAAAACAAAGCAAGAAATTGCTTTAATATGTGTTCTCACCTCGATATTCTGTCTTACGATTTCGACGAATTATTTTGCAATCTTCAAAAAGGCACAAGTCAACGTAAAATTTCTGACTATCATCACGAGGTCCCGTTGTCAGCAAAGAAACAATAATTGTTTAGAGACTTTGAACGATTCATTGATGAAGTGCTTAGCTTATTCTTTGAAAGTTTCTCGTCTATGATCGGAGCCGGAGAAAACTAGAGAACGTACCCACCTTTCTACACAATTTAAGGATAGTTCATCGCGAATTGCACACAGGTTCTCAATTGATACTAATTGCTTTTCGCATGCGGTCTGTGAACCTCCACTTTGTACACGAAATCACCTTGCGATCAGACGTTATTGGAATATCTACATGATCCACCACGAAGTGCGACTATCCCTTGTTTCGTATTTCAACTGCTATCGCGGTGTGATGCGCACGCATCTATATGTCCCGATCAAACTAGAGGGGATATTTGCGCATGCACATTTGGGACGATAAAACCCTTAAATTCAGGGCTGTATGTATGTACATACATATGCATATATACGACCGACATACAGCTTCGTTGAAGTAAGATGTCCAAATTGGAATTAACTTTAAGGACGGTGTGTCTCTTATCTGTAAAAAAAAAAATGTAAAGTTTAGAAGACTCATTCAAAACATTTTTTAAATAGTATACGAAGTATGACTTTCTGCGCATGCGCAGGAAATCACTGAAATTCTATATTTTTAAAATATTTATTCTTACTTATATTTAATATATAATTTTGTCTTATTTCTATAACGTAATACAGTCGAGTCTTGATTATCCGAGACTCCACTGTACTACAAATTCATATATGTAGTTTTTTAATAAAAATTTAAATGTTACCTTTATAAACGTTATCATTTTAATGTATGGTATATATGTATATCACGTTTTTAACTAATAATAGCGCTCCCAGCAATAAAAACGCCATAATTTGATTTATACTAGTAAGTTGAATGGATTTAAATCCTTATCTTGTAAATGCGATTAATATATTTCACACTGAAACATATCAAAACTATAAATAAATAAAAGATGTGAATGAAAGGTATCTATAGAATCCCTGCATTCGTGCAACCCAAAGTGCACGGGAGCAAAGACGCATTAAAGAAATGGACGAGTCAACTTTGTAATCATACATAACAGTTTAGCGCGTTCGTTTATCAACTATAAAAACTTGATATCTCGTAGTGTTCAAAGTCAAAGGTGACTTCGTGGGACGTAAAGAAGTTGAATTCATCTTAACTGCAGTTGCCACAGGTGTATGAAAACAATTTGTGTGGATTACACTTTTTATGCGGAGTGTACCATAGATGCATGCATTCATTGCGCACGGATGAACGTCACGAAGAATGACATTTAAAATTTGCAGTTAAAGATCAGACGATAAAAACGCATTTACGAGATTGTGTGTGTGACAATTGCGTTACACAGAGTATCGAACGAGCCACAGAGTGCATCATGAACATGGACAACGATTTGGATCAGCATTTGTTGCACCAGTTCAGCTGTTTAGGTACAACCGACAAGGAAGATCTGGTGAAGCAATTACAGAGGCTACTGCCTGGTAGCCAGCTGAATGAAACAACAGCTACGTTTTTCCTTGATATGAACAACTGGTAAAATGTTGTTTAGAATGTTGTTCTACGTTGATCCAGCTTCAATATGCAACCTAACCCTAACGTCGCCATGTTTACGTGTTTTGTCTTCGACTTTTATCTTGATCTGATTGACAGCTTATATGTATTTGCAAATGCAATGTTTCGTTTTTATGCTCGGTCTCGTCTAGCTTTTCTTTATGCAATTGCTTTCAATATTTAGATCCATTTGGTGGGACACAATCCTGTTAAATTATATTTAACTTAAAAAGAGATCAGAAAACTTTGAATCCTTTGTTAGACTTTCAAAATATAAGAATTGTATATGTATGTGATGTAATGTATGAATAAATGTTAACAATAGATATAAAATGAAGGCACCTTAGAAACAATACGATGGTATTGTTGTTATCCTTGTATAAGTATTAAGTATTTTGTTTGTAATTACAGGAATCTTCAAGCAGCTGTATGCAGTTACTTAGACTTTGAGTCCCCAGTTCAAAATAAATTTCCTTGTATGACATTAATATGCGATAGTACCATTGGTGAAGGAGAAGCAATACCACCTCTTACTAATTTTCGAAAATCATGGCATATACAAAACAGTGGTACAGAAGCATGGCCTGATGGAGTATGTCTACAGCATGTAGGAGGTGTACAAATGGGAGAATGTACAAGAGTACCAGTTCCATCTTTAGGACCCAAAGAAACAACAGAAGTAAGCGTGAACCTCCAAAGTCCTTCTAACTGTGGTCTGTTTCGAAGTAAATGGAGAATGATGGTGAAATCTACAGAAACCTTTTTTGGAGGTAGATACACATACCTTTCTTATCAGATGATACCTGTATGATATTTTTAATGTTGTAATCTTTCTTTTGTGTTTAGATGTGATTTGGATGCTGCTTGTAGTAAGTGAAAGTGGTACCTTAGCAGTTACTCAACAACTTCATCAGTTAAGTACAACAACTGAAACAACTAATGATACATCTACAGATGTAACAACATTATCCAGTGATTTAACAACATTGTACCCCCATGGTATTCCGTAAGGATTTTCCTTAAACTTTTTAAAAGAGCTTTCTGATTGTTTTGTATCAAGTGAGTGAAAATAACATATTTGTTTAAAATACTGCTTTAAACAATAAAAGTAATATTTTACCGGCAATACAAGGAATAATATTTTCAGCAGATATTTATGATTTAAGAACGTATTGGATTTAAATATTGTATAGAAATAACGATTTTATTAAATTAGGAGTTCCATACATAAGGCCTTTTATCGTCCATGCTTGTCAGTTGCATCCTTGAAACATTCTTTTTAGTTTTTTTTTCTCTGTAATGTAAAATGAAACACTTATGATTTATGATCGTTAAATTTAGAACTGTAACAGGCATGTATGGACCACATTAAGAACTGGTACTGAAAAAAAAAAAAAAATGGATATAGATATAAATATATAAATATAAATATAAATATAAATATAAATATAAATACAAATAAATATATCAAATTGCTAAGATACGAGTATATTAAAAATATAATTTTTATTAGAAAATAAATTATAGACTAAAATAAAGATTATAATACTGATTTAATATCATTCGAAAAATTACATTTTTAATATTAATATTGAATTTAGAAAAAAGCGTAAAAACCTGTTTAATTATAATTTTATTCATCTTGGTGCAATTTCAACATGATTTAAACAGCCATTGGCATAGGTATTTTTGCATGTGGTTCGTATCCGATTAGTTTAAAATCTTCGGCTATAAAATCATCAATAGTTTCAACGTTTCTAACTATTTTTAATTGTGGAAATGGTTTTGGCACACGTTTAATTTGTTCTTCAAGTGCAGATATGTGATTAAGGTAGACATGACAGTCACCCATTGTATGTACAAATTCACCTGGCTAAGAATAAACAAAGAAATACAAGTTTCTGTTAAATATTTGTGAACCTTTCTTTTTTTTATATAAAGTTACCTTTAAATTTGTAATGTGAGCTAACATATAAGTTAAGAGGGAATATGATGCTATGTTGAATGGTACCCCAAGACCCATGTCAGCACTTCTTTGATACAAGTGACTCGATAATTCCCCATTGCTTACATAAAACTGTACAAAACAATGACACGGAGGTAAAGCCATTTTTGGAATATCAAGTGGGTTCCATGCTGATATTATTATTCTTCTATCATTGGGAGTATGTTTTATTTTCTCTATAACTTCTTTCAACTGATCGATACCTACAAAAATAAAATTGAACGTTAGAGTATTCTTAATTGATTAATTTCGGGTATAACATTTACCTTGTCCCTCATAATTAGCGTGCATATCCTTGTATTCTGCTCCATAATGTCTCCATTGAAATCCATAAACAGGTCCTAAGTCTCCCTCTTCCCTATCAGTGAACCCACAAGAATCTAAATACGCACGTGAACTGTTAGCATCCCAAATATGAACATTCTTCTCTGATAATTCTTTGGCATTTGTTGATCCTTTTATGAACCATAACAATTCTTCTACCACTCCCTTCCAGAATACTCGTTTTGTAGTTAATAATGGAAATACATCTGTAATAATGAATGTTTTCATCATTAGTTTATGATTATACGAACAAATGTGTTAGAGAAAGAACGAAACAGAAAGTACACATAGAAAAAAATCATAAGAGATTATTTGTAATGTTCTTTAGAAAAGATAATGGTTTGCAAAAGATATATTAATTATATAAATTTCGTTACTATTTCGCAAATTAAATCGCATATGAGTTCCAAAGATAGATAATGTGCCTATGCTGGTTCGATCATTCTTTTCAGCTCCTGTTTTAATTACTCTCTTAATCAAATTCAAATATTGATACTCCTCGTGTTCCTCCATTTCGACACGTGTTACTTCACTTTTCTTTCCATTTCCATTTCCATTCATCTCTATTATTTTGTCAATCATATCATGTGCGACGTTTTGGTTTAACGAAATTACTTTATTTTCACTCATAATTAGACGAAAATCATGGCAAAATACCAAATAAAAAGAAAGGAATTACGTTCTTAACGCGTTTACTTTAGACTTTATTTATTTTTCTCTGCGATACAACGGGAAGGAAGGTGCGAATCGGTGATATACTAAATTCGCCGTTACAAAAATTTGAAATTCAAAATGCCCATGGTAATTGAAAGGAAATTTAGTTAAAAATAAAAAATTCATTTTTCAAATCTTATTATTTCTTATTCTGAATTTTTCAAAAATGTATTAATGGTACGTTTTCACAAGAGTCATGATAATTTTGGCTCTAGAAAAAAAATTAATAATATCGTAACATTATGTGTAACGAATAAAGTGTTAATACCGAATAACGAAAGAAAATTATTATAAACAATCGGTATATCGGTTGTGAAAGAAAAAGTAATGTTTTTTCTCTCTCTATCTTTCGTTCCATCGAAACAAACCAATGATGATTTTTCAGAAACGTCACACACGGGGTTAATTACGAGAAAGTTTTATTACATTATTTGACCGATCAAGATGGTATTTGATACTGTAAATTCATCTGTATTGAAAGTTATTGAACCATACAGAAGATGGATAATAGAAAATCCTCAATTATTGGCAGATGTGGAAAACACAGTACAATGTTTATCTTATTTTACAGCTGGTTAGAAAACTTGTTATACTTTTTAACAGATAAATATTTTCAATTTGATTTACATCAAGAATATTCTTTTAGGTCAATTTAATAATTCTACATTTGTATCGGAGCTTCTTTATTCTTTATCAAACTTAATTGTACTTTTTAACGATTTGTTAATGTGTAGCGGAAAGTGTATGCGTTTAAAATTTCCGCAATTTGAATCTAAAATTAAAATTTGGTTGACTGTGGTAGAATATACGGAGACTTTATTTGAAATCTCTGCTAAAAAATTATGGGGACAAACTGGCAAGTGGTATATAATCACTATTATACAAATATTTAAGTGAGTCAGTGATAACAAATTTTAAACTACAAATCTTTATTCCATAACTTATGCGAATAATCTTATTATAGGACTGTCTTGAGGCTTTTGTTAGTTCACTTGTACAAAGAACGGATAACAAAAAGTCCTCCTATTCAACCACTCAACAGAGGAAAGTTAAACGAGTCTGATGATGATAAACTGAAAGAAGGATTTAAGTTGAAACGATGCGGTACTGTTGTCAGAAGTATAAGGGGCACAAATAATGCACCTATGCGTATATGGGAACCTTTATCTTCTACCATTAGCGATAATGATAATTTGAATTGTTCATCTGCATCAGAAAAGAATTTACTTTTGGCAGAGGTACACCTTGATGCTGAATTGAATTAATTATGATACAACTATATTCTGTCCTTTAATATGCGTTATGTTTCATGTTTAGAGTCTTTACATTGTGAAACCATTACTTCATTTAGGATGTATATCTCTTACCGGAGAAAAACAATGGCTACCATGGTTATTGTCATTTGCCATTGATTCGCTTAGGTAAATAACTGGTTATCGATGATTTATGAAAATAAACAATCTAATATGACATTTTTGTTTCAGTTTAAAAATATTTAGCAACGAAGCACAAAATATGTTGTTCAGTAAAGAGGAAGAGAAAGAGATTTTTAGAAGAAGACTTGCTTTGCTTCTTTATATACTGAAGTCACCATTTTATGACAGATATAGTTGTATTAGGATATATGCGATTCTCACTGCTTTGTCCAATAAAGTGCCTTTAGCTAAATTTGTAACAGAAAGGATAAAAACATATCTACCACATTGGCAAAGCACATACTTTTACACGTGGTCAAGCTAGTTTATATAAGATTAGCGAATATTTTATAAAACTAAAATTATTAGTACAAAATATTATTTCAGGGTGGGATTATAAATAATAATAGGTAATTAGAAATATAAGAAATAGGTGTAACTTGAAGAATTGATTCGTTACAGATGTTTATTTATTACAGGTGAAGGTAATAAAAAAACACGTAATTCTTATACTTTAATTAAGCATTTAGGAATATATTTATTATATTACTGATATATCTTATATTGGATAAAAAATACAAATATTTTTTATTTGTATAATCGAAATAATATTTTGCAAATGTTTCGTTTTGCTTAAAATAATATAGAATATTTTTATCACTTCAGATTTTTTTACTTAAACCTATATTAACACAGCTGTTATGATCCATTTATGCCTTTAAACATAAAAGATTTGTACACATTTATTTTTTATACTACTTAATAATTCTTTTATAAACTATGAATTTCATAAGGCGTATATAACAAATATGTAGAGAGGATAAATGAATACATATAAAACGTAAAAAACGATACTTTCTTATAAAATATATTTCCCTGTCCAATATATTTTATGAATTCTTTTACATTAAAGTTTCTAAGTGTTAAATTACGGTAAAATGCGTAGCAATAGTTTGCAAATATATTACATTTAAAAAGAAACATAGCATAGCAGAAACTATAAATATGGCCTTTGGAATTCAGTAACAGCAAAATTTGCATAAAAAATTACTTATTCACACATTTGGAGTAATGAATTTATAGTTACATCCTTTTTCCCGTGATTCGCATCATAAACTGACTTAATCACTTCCTTGTCCACGTTTGGGAACATCTCCGAAATCTGTAAATCGTATACTCGCAGAAATGATTATAATATGGAAACGAGCACTTATTTTGAGAACCATTATTTTTATACCTGTTTTAATTCAACTTCAGCATTTGGCATAGAACTGGGTACAACAGGTGTGGCTGCAGCAGCAGTAGGTGGTGCAGTGTAAACGTTTACCGGCGCATACTGTGTCATACCAAACATTGTTGAGGAGGGAACCATCATAATTGGAGGTGCAGCACTCATATATGGATGGCATTTCGTCTATGAATATACCATATCCATAATCACAATACCAGAAAGAAATTAATTTCTTGTAATATATATTTAAGAATCTTTACCGTATAACTGAAAACTAGATTTATCATTCCTTCTTGATTGTCTCCTTGTTTTCCACTAAGCATATACCAATCTTCGTGTATTTCTCCTTTTTGCAAAACTTGGGGTGGAATATCTATGTGACCCCATGCAATTAATTCATCCATTACAAAAGAGCATTCATCATAGATTTCTATATATATTTGTGTAACTCCTGGTGGCAAATAGCTGTAACAATAAAAAGAATATACATGTAGTAGGTAAATATAATGGAACAAATATATTGTATAAAAAGTATACCATTGAATAACTTTGTTCCAATGAGGATTTTTTGCTCCATTCGAGCATGTATGCGTTTCATAAACTGCATGACCAACTCTTAATCTCACATAAGGATCCATTCTTGTCATTCCATAGTTTTTCACTAGTTTAGCCTACAGGAAGTATCTTTTTGAAATTATGAATAACGTATTATTACAAATAAGATATATTGCTACTCTATGAAATTAAGATGAAATTCACAAATTGGTAGCAAAGTCATAGGAAAATTACCTGAACAATTGTTATACTAAGTCTACCAACATGCGGTTCATGCATGGCTGGCATATTTTGCATTTGCAACTGATGAAGCGCAAGAGCAGCTTGTTGATCCGCTGCTTCTTGTTGTTGTTGAGCATTGCGCTCTTCTAATCTAAGAAATCCCTGAGGAAGAGGGCCCAGAAAGGCCTGAAATAATAATCATTATAATAGTATCCTTATTATGGATTCAGATAAAATAACCACCATTATTTGTACTTAATTCAAAAGAAATTACAAGATTTGGTCTAGAAATTGCATTATTTACCCGTCGTTTCCATTCTTCGTATAAATCTGATCGCCTCTCGGTTTCCATAACAAAATTCTTCCAACTTTCAATGGACTTAAAACGCTTTTCTACACCGTTTTCTCTACGTCTATCTTTGCTTTAACTGAAACCTATCAAACTACACCTATTTTTTTAATACATTGGATTAATCATAACATGCATTTGACACAGTGACAGTACGCCATCTTAAGAGACTTGCGAAGAATGCAATTTACCTGTATGTATGTATATACCTAACTAAGTAAATATGTAACTTTCAAATCAAATGACGATACTTGAAATTTCAATTTAAAATAACAATCGTACAGCAAGTATTTATAGAGTAATAAAAATGTTTGAAATCAGTACTCTGATCAACATTTTATTGATAACAGTTAATGAAATCACGCAAGCGATAAAATGCAATATGATTAATGAAAAGGGAAAACAATGATAGCATAAGCACTAGTGACGTTTACGAATGAGTACCACTGAAATTGGAGAACATCTTGGAATAAGAGTATACTCGGTAAGAGATTAATGATGTGAAGAGTACTTAGCAAATTGTGTTTCTTTAATCCTGTTTAAGCGATTTTATCAGAATAATATTCATTCTAGTACCATGGCATCGGTCCTCTCTATCGGTGTCTCTAAAATCACTCCAGCCGCCTTTTTACCTCGGTTATGTAAGGTTAGTATCTCTCATAATATTATATCATAATGTACTTTTGAAAGTTATCGTCTTTGTGAAAATAATAACTGAAGGTATTATTAAAATGTTCTTATTAACATTTTCATAACAGCTGAAAAAAAGAATGTCCTCTATCTCATTATTTTTCCAGATACCAAAAAATCACAATGCGATACAAGTAGCTTTTATGAAAAGATTAGCGCTATGCGATCCTGTTCGTAAGCCTGCCCCATTTAAATATTGGGAAAAATTGTATTCTGCATTTCAAATGGCAAAGACTTCAATTGTAATGAGGTATGATGAAAATACCAGAATAATAGTTGTGGATGGTCCTCCAGCAGTTGGGAAGTCCAAACTCTGTGAAAAATTGGCAGAAGAATTTGGAATGATGTACATGCCACCACCAGGGCACGACGAGCTTTACATAAATCCTTATGGGTATGACTTGCGTGAAATGGATTCAAAGTTACCGCTTCATGCTCAGAGTTATGATCTAGAAAGATTTTTAGCAAAACCAAATGATGTAAGAGTACCATTCTTTCAATTAATGTATTATCTAATGAGATTCGAGCAATATGCAAATGCAATACTCCATGTACTATCAACTGGTCAAGGAGTAGTGCTTAATAGATGTGCTTACTCAGATATTGCATTTACGGAAGCTATGCTAAAATCTGGTTATATCAGTAAAGAAGCAATGTCACAGTACATGTTTATGAAAAACAAAGGATGCAAAAAACTCTTTAGGCCACATTTGGTAATATATTTAGATGTACCTCCGGAGCTTGTTAAGGTAGATTCTTCTTACTTGTCTCTTTCAATTGGATTCCAACACTGTTTGTTTTAAAGTAATCTGACTACAATTAATTTACATTAATTTATCACAGGAGAAGATTAAGAAAAGAGGTAATCCTCATGAAGTAAATTCCAAAGTCTTTACAACGAAATTTTTATCGGATTTAGAAAATGCGTACAAAGAAAAATATTTAAAAACATTAAAAGAACATTCGCAATTATTAATTTACGATTGGTCCAAAGAGGGCAATTTTAATGATGTTATTCACGACGTAGAAGAAGTTGATCTAGATACTTTTAAAAAACCAAGATTAGCAGATTGGATATTTGGTTCTGTAGCTGAAATATATGACGCGATACAAATATTTCAAGAAAAAGTTCCAATCGTATTGGACATGTATAACAATATGGAAGTTCCACCTCGTGAGTTGTATTGGACAGCTGAAGAGTTTGATCTAATAGAGTCAACAATGAATAGTGTAAGTATACCATCTTGTATGTACGTATTTGAGAGACAAGATATTAATACTTACAAATTTTCTGTATTTTTTCAGATTCCCACTGAAAAATATGACTATGGATTTTTTCCAAAGATTGATAAAAATCTTTGGTTCAAATATGACCAACCAGAACTTCATCCATTTCGTCGAACTCCTCGTGATTTTGTAAATCTTAATAAAAGTATGTAGTAAAAGATAATAATAATCTAACGTAATTCTAGAGTTTGAGAAATAATGTTTTCCTGTAATAAACAAAAGAATTACAAGCAGCATTATAGGAACGTAACCTTAACTTTAGCGAGTTTCGTTCTACCACCCTTTTGTCAATTTTAATATTCTTTATAATTTATTTCATACTTACACTTGTAATATATTTTCAAATGTATATAATAAATCCGTTTATGAGATATGATATTTCAAAATGTCGTTATTATTATTATTATTATTATTTCATTTCTGCGTTAATACATGTTAAAAATATAAATATATTTCCAAAATTACATCCATACATATACATGAAGATTACGAACAGTTTAAATATATTTCATCTCGTTTGGTATTATATCTCTAAACACATATTTTTCAGAACTAGAACGCTAATATAAGAAAACTAAAAAGAAAGGGAATGAAAGTACCATTCCTATGTTTTTAGTTATTATGTAGCAAAATTTGCACAATTCATACAAATACTTTGGCTTGCACAAACATCAACAACGGTAGTTTACAAATATATTACGTTAAATCTTTACAGTTTTTATACTTCTGTGCTCGATTATAAAATCATATCTAAACTGCTTTACTTTTTTTTTTTTATCTTTATCAATAGTATTTCTGTAAAAATAGTAAACCTTAGTTGTTTTTAACCATCTTTTCAAATTTTCAATATTTTAGTAGTATATTCTTAATAGAAAACACTACAACATAATAAAAAAATGTTAACAAATATGATTATTTACCAAAAATATTATTCATTTTCATTATTATTACGTTATAAACAAACGTTAAAATAATCGTTTATAAATTTACACCATGCACTTAATTTTGTCAATAGAACGTTTACAATTAATTTATTTGTACTTCGTCTTTATATCTTTCATTATTGCATGAACAAAATAGAATAAAATTTAGTTGGAACAAAGTATTTTCCAGTCACAACATATTGAACACATTTTAACAAAAGATTTATAGAAATCATTAAGCATATTAGAAACAATTGGGCAACTCTGATAGTAGCTTGCTATACCATTTAAGTGCATTCATGTTTTATATATAAAAAATCTGTACATAAAATATTAAACTTAACTCGTTATACCAATTATGGAATTTGTAAAATGTTTCTGTAATCAAACATACATAATACTAATTTCCTTTTTTGCATTTGCCACTCTGGTTATGACAGTAATATTTCGTGCAATCGATTGATGATATCGATTAATCTAAGGTTTTAAGGAGCTAAACTGCAACAAGAATTAGTTTTTCGAGCAGTTTTGTAAAATGCTTTCGACTGAGCGCTAAGACCCTCTGATTTTGAAACAAGATCATCCAATTTCTCTCCTCTTTGAAGAACAGCTTCCAATGTATTGTGCTAAAAAATAGATAAAGTGAAAAAGTGAATTTAATTTATCTATTACTCTTAACATCCTGTACCTACCAAAATGATTTTGGTTTCATCTAAATCATTCTGCATTTTGGTAAGAGCATCAGCTTCATTAGGATTTTGATATTTTGCTAAATATACATTAAGCTGTGCAAAGTCAATGGTAGTTTCGCTTAAAGTATCCCATGTTGACTGTGGATACTTCAATGAAAACTCATCCATAACTTTTGTAATTAATGTATGAGCCACTCTTCTTGGATATTCATGATCCGATATAAGAACTGCAGCAAGATTATCAGCTCTAACATATACATGACACATGTAATCTGTAAAAACATTGATATACATAAAATATTATTTTATCAAAACCAAACAAAAATTTGCTTTATTAATAGTTATACCTCCTTCTTTCACGCTTTGTCTCGAACTGTTCTGAGTTCTTTCTACGATAGTTTTACTTACAAAGCTCATAAATTCTTTAACGCTTCCTCTTTGAAAAAAAGAGAATGATTCTACATCATAGGCAGATTTTAAGGTTGTTGCCGATGTAGGATTTTTATATAAAACTGATAATGCATATAATTTTACCATGTTTTGGCTACAAAATAAAAAGAGATCTATTTGTTTTTTTTTTTTTGCTTTTTTTTTATCAGGTTAGAACATTTGACATTTTGTATAAAATATAATTTATTTTTTCAGTGTGTTGCAGTTTTCTATAGACCTTTGTTACCAAAGAAAAAGAGACATTTTCTGTTCAATCTGAATACGTCAAACCTATCACAAGTAAAACATATTTCTACTTTAATTCTTTAAAACATGCAACACACATCAGACATACACTTACTGTTAAACCTGTTTTGTTCCTAATAATAATTTAGTGACTATTCCTATATTTCATTTACGACTACACCTACTTCAACCTTAAGAAGCAAGGAAATCGCCATGTTGCTCATTTAAACAGCGGTTCTCAATTACTCAAATTCATTGATCGATTTCATTGGTAAATTTGACATTTATTGTCAAGGTATAAACATAATTATGACAAACATATGTATGTAAATATCTACATACATATGTACATATGTGTGTTAATTACATAATAATACTGTTTCAAGTTTTTCATTCAACATTTTATACACACACTATATGTGTAAAAGCCAGTGCACAGTAATGCAATGATTCTTTCTATTATAAATTCAAATTACATGACAGTATTAGAATAATCATTCGAATAATCAATTAATAGAAATCTACACATACGCATTGATCTACAGTTTGCCGCCAAAAAAGTGGGATGATGAAGTATATATAGTTGGTAGCCATGATAGTAATGTCTTACTTTTCACAATTCACAACCATTGATCGTTCATTTTGAAGAAATCTCATCAGTTTTTTACCAATATTAGTTGCAAAAACTTCAAACAAATTAGAGTTAATCTCCGTTGTCCACAAGAGGTGTATGATTTTTCATTAGTCTTTGGTTCAGTGAGAATAAACATGACTGCACTCTACTTGGAACACTATTTAGATAGTAAGTATTTTTTTTTTATCTGCTGTAAAATAGAAAAAACAAAACACATAAATGATATAAAATTATGTTAGGCTCACATATCATAGTACTTTTAATGTAAATATTTAAGTTTATTTAAGTTTATCAAAAGGTATATTGAAATATGACAAACAAATTGATATCGTGTAAAAGGTATAAAACATCTTTTTTACTAGCTGAATTTTGTTTACTTAGGTTTAGAGCATTTACCTATTGAATTACAAAGGAATTTCACGCTGATGCGTGATTTAGATGCCAGGGCACAAGGATTAATGAAAGATATAGATAAACTAGCTGATGACTATTTAAAAAATGTGAAGAAAGAGTCTCCAGAAAAGAAGAAAGAACAATTGACTCATATTCAAAACCTGTTTAACAAAGCAAAAGAATATGGTGATGACAAAGTTCAATTAGCAATACAAACATATGAATTAGTCGATAAACATATCAGGAGGTTAGATTCAGATTTGGCAAGGTTTGAAGCTGAAATACAAGATAAGGCTTTGAATAGTAGTAGAGCACAAGAAGAAAACAATGCCAGTAAAAAAGGTAGAAAAAAGTTGAAAGAGAAAGAGAAACGAAAAAAAGGTGCTGCAGGTGCCAGTAGTGAAGATGAATCAAAAACAGCTAGGAAAAAACAGAAGAAGGGTAAAATTTATTATTATTGTTATATTTGAGCTAAAAAAAAATGGTAACTTGTTGCTAAATGTATATACCTATTCTAGGTGGATCTGTTGCTTCTGCTTCATCTGCTGGTGCTGTAGGAAGTGGTGCACAAGTTGACTCAACTGCACTTGGCCATCCAGCAGATGTTTTAGATATGCCAGTGGATCCTAATGAACCAACTTATTGTCTTTGTCACCAAGTTTCTTACGGAGAAATGATCGGTTGTGATAACCCAGATGTAAGTCCATATTACATGTTTCTCCAAACATTTTATAAATTTATATCGATTATCATAAATAATTTTCTTTTCTTTTTTTCTGTAGTGTCCTATAGAATGGTTCCATTTTGCTTGTGTCGGATTAACTACAAAACCTAAAGGGAAATGGTACTGTCCTAAATGCACACAAGATAGGAAAAAAAAATAAGTTTTAGGATAATGTATAAATATATTCAACTATTTAAAAAAAATACTCAAATATCGTTTCTAAAATTAGGATATTGCACTTTTCATGATTTAACACGAAACGAAGTTAAATTGTATGAAAAGAAAATGAGAAGTTTGTAAAAAAATACAAAGTACTGAAGTCTGCATTTGCATTGCATCTAATGTTATTGAAAAAATGTTTACATCTTAATCAATGTGGTATTATTTAAAAACGGATATGTTGGGAAGTAAATATTCTTCTTTTTTAAACATTATATGAAACTATTAACTACATACATGTAATGAACAACACTAAAATATTATACTCAAAACATTGATTATTGTTAACAGTATTAGATGTAATGGAAAAACAGCGAAATATCAGCTTATCACAGAAAAGAAGATTTGAGAATCGGCCATAACTATTATCATCTTTATATATTTCTTTTTTATGTACAAAATAGTAATTTATTATAAATGGGCCGTTTTTTGAATGTCTGTGATTTGCTTGTTAACTTTATACTTATTACATAAGTATTGAATCATAATTATAGTATTAAAGTAAAATTATTACTGTTTTTATATTTTATAAATGTAAATGATATTGTATAGAATAAATTTTTGTTGAAATAAAGTATACTATATGTATAAATAAACCTTGTGTATACACAAGTGAAAACAAAATATATGTATTGATTCACAAGAACACATTTTTAATAGCAACATCTGTTAAAGGATATATAAGCTATATGTACAAGAGATAACTGTAAATGTACTTAATTCTGATGAGAATGAAAAATTTTAATATACTAGAGTAATATTTCGATTACTATTAATTACTATTTAAATGACTAACTGTAAGATTTTTAAAACTGTAATTAGTTTGTGAAATGATTTTTTAATGATTTTCACTACTAATAAAATAATATTTACCAACAAAATTAATTGATTAGATAATCACGATAGTTTAATAAAAAAAAAAAAAAAAAAATGACTAGAAAGTTGAATGTAATAAAAGAAAAAATTTGTTTACTATGGGATGCCAGATTGTAAATTACAACACTGACTAGGAGGAACAGTCCAATTATAATGATAGCTCATACGATATCGTATCTCTTTCATGCATAATGCTCCAGATGCTTGATAGTATTCATGCAGATTTTTCATATTTTCAATGGTTTGTTTGTGTGTAACTATATACTGATTGGAACATCCACGTGATCTGTATTCTGTGTCAAAACGTACATCGTGTTTTCTTTCAATGTTTGCCAAAGGAGCCAACCAAAGACCAACAGATACATCTTCTGCTTTATGCAATCTAAAAATACAAAATGTTAAAATATATTTTATAACTGATATTGCGAATTAAATTTTCTATTAAAACTCACTTGAGAATATCCATGTTTGAAGCAATAAATTTGACTAAATTATATGATAAGACATATCCACCACCTAGAGCATAAGGCAAATAATAATCACACAATACCCAGTCTGTTTCTTTCCAAGGTCCGCTTCTTTTAACTTGTGCCTTTCCATTAAAGAAACCCCAATATAATTCTTTCCTTGTACCTTTGCTCTCCCATTTATCTAGTTCTTTTAAAAGTTTATGTACCAAAACGAATGTATCATCGTCGCATTTCAATAAAAAGTTAAAATCATAATTCTTATAAGTCTCTTTAAGAGCATACAAAAGTTTTTTTGTTAAAGTTCCATAAGAGTCAGTTAACCTTGGTAACAACAATAAGTCATTGAACTTTTGTTTTTCAGATTGCAAAGTTTCCTTTTGCTCTGCCAATAAATCTAAAGTTCCTATTACAAACAAATGTTTAACCGTAGCTTGTTTCTGTGGTAACCAAGTTTTCCTGATAGTTGCTCTTTGTTCCAAATTGTCAGGACTAGAGAGTATAAGTATTATCAGTCTGAATTTCGATTTAGCTTTAATTTCTTTGTCATTCTGCGAACATCTTGTTGCAGATAAATAATGTATACATAGGAAAACTACCATGACAATTATCAATAAGGTTGGAATGTTCAGTTTTACATGCAGTTTTTTCCTGATCATCATGTATAAATTTTTTGATGAAGGCCTTAATGGCAAAAGCGTTACAGAATCCATGAGGTAAACAAATTTATGTCAGTAAGGATTCTTCTTAACCTTTTAAACATTACCTTCTTATATGCATGTTCGATACTTTGCAGCTCTTTAAATGCTTGCTTCTACGATGAATATAATATATTGTTGCATTCTTCTTTTAAAGATAGGCAATTATCTTTTATAATGACGTTTAAAAGTAATTGTTTGAACGAAGACCTAACTCCATCCATCAATAGGAAGATTCAGCTGTTTAAACCTAACTTTCTGTGAATTATCCCCACCATATAATGTACATACACGTCACCATCATTCGAATTCTTCTAAAGAATTGAAGATTTTTATTTTACTTTACAATTAATACTATAATTGATGTAGAAATAAATTATATACACACGTAAGTTTGTCAGTGAACGTTTTTTTTTTTATTGCTTTCAGAAAATTTAATTTAGATATAAAACAGCTGTAAAAAATCGACTGCTCTTTATCATTAACAATTAAATTAGCATGGATTTTTGTATCATTATTGTTGAACTAAATAACCTGTTAATAAATAACCACCTGTATCGCTAGTTAAAATATCAGGGTGTGTTCTATCTGGTAAAACTTGATACGAACGTAAAAAATTGGAATTAAGTCTTAGATTAATAACATTCTGCTTCTGTTTCAGCATCATATAAGTTTCTTGCAAAGGTTCTCGATGTACATGATAAATTACAAATGGTCTAGATGCTCCTAAGAAAGACAGTAAAGCAGTAGCAATATTTAAAGGATGTTCTTTAGCTACAATAACTAACCCTCGAGCTTTTGAATTCTGTACAAGTTCTACCGCACGTTGCGTTTCAAAAAACCATTTTGGTTTTTTCATTGGTATAATTTCTGTAGATTCATCTTCGTTAGACTCGTCTAATTTTCGTTTCAATGTAGTTAAATTACTATCTGTATCCTCTTCTTTAATAATTTCACTTGATTTATTAGTATTCTCTAAACAGTTTTCAATATCTGTCTTTTCATCTTTTAAAATTTCATTATCAGTCAACATATTTTTGCTATTTTTACTTTCATTTCCTTTTGACTTATTTTTCCTATTATGTATCTTTTTTGAAATGTTATCTAAGAGGGTACTTTCACCCTGATAATGTAATCTTAAAAAGCTATAAATATTAACATTAACAAGCCTGTTTAATTGTTCTTCAGGAAAATTCATGCTGTTAATTAGCATGGCCTGATGTACATTTCCAGGATGCAAATTGATTAAGCATCCTTCAGTATTTGTACCAATTCTGTTCAGCATTGCAGCTGCTGGTAAACCTTGAGATCCACTATCATATAATATGTATAATCCCTCTGACTGAACATCACTATATGACAATAATTGTGCTAAGGTATCCATTCTTAAATTTGCAATTTTACTATGATCTAATTGAAAGTATACATCGTGTAAAGAACTTATATTTGGTTTACATACAGTTAAATACCGAAGATACTTCTTTTCCTTTTTCTTTAAATACTTTTCTTGCGAGTATCCTGTTCGATCTAAGAAACATTTATTGTTTTCAATCAAACTACCCACTATCTCTTTACCACTTTTACCAGACTCTTGAAGCTGAAGAATTTCTTCCTTGGAAAGTTTCTGTGATGTGCCATCATCGTTAATGGTACGATTATCATTACCACTTGGTAGCTCATTCAATAAATCATTCAATGATTCAGTTTCTGTTGTTTCTTTCAAGGTATGTGTCCGTTTTCCATGTTTTGCTGGTATCATTTCAAAAGTAGTCCAAAAACGCTTCCCAATAATTTGACTCATATCTACTAAATCTCTTCCTAGAGTTAAATTACCATTAGTGGTTACCTTGTAGATTTTTTTAAAGTTCTGTTTCTTCACTATCACATATTTTCCTTCTGTAATTATATTGTCTTCGCTTTCACACATGTTTTTTAACTTCATAAACTTCTTCAAAAAAGACGTTTCTATGTATTTATAATATGTTAACGTGTCATTTATAGGTTAAAAATATTTGATACGCCTTTCTCTCAGTTTGATAGAACAAGTTTCATGATATTTTACTTTTATGTATTCATACAGATTTATATATTAAAAAAAAAATGATACAATTAAGAATGAATTTGGATTATGACTTGATCTAACCTATTATAATCCTATACAAGTATTTACTAACACGTTGCTGAGAACATATCAGGAACATCTGTCATTAAAGGTTAATGAAGTAATGTTAAAAAGAAAATTTTCTTTCTTCTCTATTATATATTAAATTTGTTTAAATGTTGATATAAACAAACTTGAGACTCATAATATAAAATATTTGTAATCTTCATATTTATTTGAATCAAACAAATTATGATTTTTAATTTTGATTACCTTTTTATTGCAGCAAATAAATAAAAATGTTCCCTTATAAAGAATTTCAAGCAATTGTACTTGCTGGTGGAGGAGGATCACGTATGACTGAACTTACTCATGGGCAACATAAATGTTTATTACCAATTGGAAATGTACCAATGGTTTGGTATCCACTTCAATTGTTGGAACACACTGGCTTTAAGGAAGCTATTGTTGTTGTATCTGAAAATATGGAGAATAATGTATCATTAGCTATAAATAAGTTGAATCTTAAAATTAAGGTGGATATTGTTTCTGTCGAAGATGCAGAAGAACTTGGAACCGCAGATTCTATTCGACTTATTCATGAAAAAATTTATACAGATTTTTTGGTAATCTCCTGTGATTTAATTACCGACGTTGATATATCCGAAGTTTTAAATCTATATAGAAAACACAATGCTAGTATTACCGCACTGATGTTGCCCACACCGAAGGTGCCAGATGATTTTGTAACTCCAGGCCCTAAAAACAAACAGAAACCTGAGACTGATTTGATCGGTATTGATAATGAAACAGGACGTTTAATTTTCCTAGCATCAGGTTCAGATTTTGAAGAAACTATTAATATTTCACAAACTCTGATTAAAAAACATCCAAGCTTTACTCTTTATTCAAAATTAATGGATGCTCATTTGTATATTATCAGTAAGTGGGTTTTAGACTTACTGATGCACAACAAGTAAGTAATATTGTATAAAAAATACATTTAATGCATAATTAAAATTTTTTTTTTCTTTATAGAAATTTAACTACATTGAAAGGTGAACTTCTTCCATATATTGTTAGTAAACAATTTTCTAAGCCTCCTAATAAACAGTGTGCGGATGATAAGAACACCTCCATAGTACAAGTAGATTTGAAAGAGGACATCTACCGTTTTGCAGTTGAGAAATCACTAGATGAGTTAATTAGGAAAATGTCAGCATATAACGATCATAGTACTGATTTAGAGGATGCATATAATGGAGACATAATTAGGTGTTATGCTTATATTGGTAATGGAAAATTTGGTTTAAGAGCAAACACCATACAGATGTACCATTTTATTAACACCAAGGTAAAAATGAAAAGGTGCAATTTTTTGCAGTTGATCAGTTTGTAACAAATGAAATATTTTAGATATTTGAGTGGTGGAATGCTGATAACTCTTATCAACACCCTTACTTTCGCTCTGAACAATCTCTTTTAATGAAGATTTCACCTACAGCTATTGTACATAGCACACAAATTCAAGGTTGCAGTGTAGATGATAATGCTTTAATTAATGAAAAAACCTCCCTTAAAGAAAGTCACATTGGACCAAATGTACTTGTTGAATCTAAGACTAGAGTATCATCCAGTATTGTAATGGAAAATGTAACAATTAAGCAAAGGTATTTTAAATTAACTAAATTTTGCATTTACATTTTATGTTCAAAGGACAATATTTTTATTTGAGTCAACATTTCCAGATGTGCGATACACAATTGCATATTGTGCAATGGTTGTGTCATAGAAGAAGGTACAGAATTAAAAGATTGCATTGTTGGTCCTCAACATACTGTAATAGCTGGAAGTCAACATTCTCGTGAAGTCCTTACAGATCCAGATAAGCTCATTGAAATTTAATTGTTTAAAACTATCTTTAATATATTAATTGCTTAAATAATAAAATAAGTCTAGAAAAATAACTGTCTTATCTATAAAATAATACTTTTTATCTATTGAGTTTAATTTAAGTAATAAATAGAAAATCTCCTAATTTAAAAGTTAACGATCTTGTAGCTACATATAAACATATACATATAAAAATTTTTTAATACAATTATGAGATAATAAAATTTTATTTGAACGATTAACTTTTAAAATGAGAACCACTGTTGTCGACCCGAACATAGGAACGAGACTTGGCTTAACGTCTCTTTTGTATCGTTCCGTTGAGTGAAATGGTAAGCGTGTATTGAAAATATTAAAATCTATTTATTTCCAAGTAATCGTAGAGATTTATTAGCCCGGATAAGTTAGAAATGACTTATCAGATATTCTGAAAGTAATATAAAGTTGTAGTTGTGATGTAAATAATCGAAATAAATATATATTAGCGGTGTACGATATTTGGGGTTACACGAAAGAATGAACAATCTGACACAACGTTTAACTTTTGAAAAACTTAATTTTCATTACATTCAGTTTCGTTAACGCGAAGATTATACTTTTGTTCAACTTTCAAAGTTCTTTTATTGGTATAATTAAAATCTGATGAAGTTAAAATGATGTATATTCATAAAATTTTTTTTTTACTTTCACACAGACGAAAGGTACGTCGAGTTTTGGTAAGCGGAGGAACAAGACACACACATTGTGCAGACGATGTGGCCGTAGTTCCTACCACATTCAGAAGTCACAATGCGCTCAGTGTGGATATCCACAGAAAAAAATGCGATCTTGTAAGTACATTTATGAAGAATTTTTGTTTATGTTTTGTAAGAGACAGTGCCTACTTGCATGTTATTTCAACATAAATATGTAACTTTGGAGATTTAGAAGACTCTTGTACATATGTACTTGTATTATCCAATAAACTGTTTCATTAAATTTGGAATTGATGAACTTTAGATAATTGGTCGATAAAAGCTAAGAGGAGGAAAACCACTGGCACTGGTCGTATGCGTTACTTGAAAATTGTTCGCAGGAAATTCAAGTGAGTTTTTTCATAAAAATATATTAAAGCAAGAAATTATTAAAAGAGAAAATATTAAGTATTTCTTCATATTTTTTTCAGAAATGGATTCAGAGAAGGTTTGCCAAAGCCTAAAACAGTTCAATCCAAGTAATCTTACACTTTGTCATTCTGTTATATATCTATATAATTTTGACTATCAATAAAATAATTTGAAAAGTCCAAAAAAATAATCTGTATTATTTGTTTTAAAATAATCCTAGCGTATTACGTACTAACTGTGTTAATATTTTATCAAAGTGCAGAATAAAAAGTCATGACAGCAAAATGTAAAAAAAATACTGAAAGGTGGGGTTGTGCAATGACTGCGCAAACGCGGCGGAACTTTCGATTGCATTCGAGCGTATAATTACCGCGGTTCCGTCAATTTTTCTTCAGTAACTCGCGAATTTGTAACGCAAAATGATACCTTACGTTCGCTCTTAAAATCAATTTAAGAGACGATCGGTCTTTGGTGTTAATAAGAACGGTATGTTACGGAGCCGTGTTCTACCAAGATTCCGCCTTCATAAACATCGTAGAATCAAGAACAACCGTATGATCATATAGCATTAAATAAAAAAGGAATTTAAAGAATCGCTTAAAATAGACGAAGATAAAGCAGGGTGGTTTTGAAGTTTGAAAATTGAATTGATAAAAATATTACCAAGTACAGACACTTGGAAGTTCATTATACAAATGACTGTTTTCAAGAAATTATTTGGTGTGTATAGAAATATTTTCTACTTTTAAATGCTATTATTAAACAATTATATTTGACGAACAAAAGAATTAATAAATATTTTATGTTTTCAGGCAAGTACCTTTTGATCACAAACACTGTTAGTTGTGGCTTGATGATGGCAGGGGCGGATATGATCCAGCAACGTCGTGAACACTGGAAAAAGAGCAATGAGTACTTGTCAAGCAGAAGTTGTGTAATAGCAGCCTCCCTGGACGATGAACAGGAAGAGGAGTTCAGCAACACCGCAGTCTCCAAAGCGAACATGTATATGCACAATTATATGCGAACTAGAAACATGACAGCCGTGGGCTTACTTCAAGGACCTTTCCACCATTGGTTCTACATGATGCTGGACAAAATGTTACCTGGCAGGACTGCGCTGTCCGTTGTTAAAAAGATGTGTCTCGATCAAACGATCGCCAGTCCCACTTGCTTAGGTATATTCTTCGTAGGTCTTGGCGTGTTAGAGCATCGCCAGATCAAGGAGATCTACGAGGAGTTGAAAATGAAATTATACGACACGTGGAAAGTATGTAACTAAAATTTCCAATTTACCTACGTCAGAAATTGTAAATATGTACATGAACAGCAGTATCCCCTTTTTTTTTTCCAAGGTTGATTGCTGTTTTTGGCCTCCTACTCAATCCGTGAATTTTTTCTTCATTCCTCTCCGCTATCGAGTACTATACACGAACTTTATGACAATGATCTATGATATTTTCTTGTCGTATATTAAATACGTAAGTACTATTTTCCTTGCATGTTCAGATACAATTTTTCTCTTACAATTCATTAATTTCACAGGATGCTCAATATGACCAATGACAAATCTCAGGGGACTGAACCAGTTGAAATCACTGGAATTATTAATATTCGTTTCATTGTAATTACTTATAGCTAGTATTGTAATGCCATTCAATGTATGTTGTATATGTATTATAAGAAACAAAGCTAACTGCAAATAAACTAACTTTTGTATAATATTTCCCATGTCTAATTTTATAATCCCATTATCGATTTAGTTATGTAAAATTAGATATCTTAAGCCTTTTCGTTCGTTTGATTATATTAGCCGTTAATAACATCAAATAAACAATGCAGTATTCATTCAGACTTACAGCGGCGTCAAGAGTTTCGAAACGCTGCTTATCAAAACATTTATCACCAGAGATGATAAGTATATGCAACAGTGTGATGAATCTTCAAAGAATTTTCATTCGTTCTCTTATCGCACACAATAATCGTCTATTGAAAGTAAGTTGTTTATTAGAATGACAGCTTTTGTTTGTCATTTGGCGGCACTGGGATATAGTCTTCTAAGCCGCCAGTCGCCAACGAGCAAATACCGATTATGGAAATGTAAATACAAACAATAAACCGAGCAAATGATAAACAAGACCAGCAGATATCTGTACACTTCCCATAATTAAGCATTATGGAAAGTTGTACAAGATTAAATTAATGCGTCAGTTTATAATAGTTTTGTCTTTATAGAAATTTTACAAAACAATAACAGTTGTTAGTTTAAAATATAGTTAGAATTTGCTCTCTTTTCTGCTTGTAAACAAATCTATTTTTCTCCCTGCAAAATACTACTTTACATTTATGGATTACACAATGCAATAACATTTCCATAAAAACAAATACTTGTTCTAAAAATGCATTAATTTATTAAATACGGTAAAGATGAACAAAATATATGATTTCTATACCTTGTATTTGATGTTAAAATTATATCAACTTCACTGAAATATAATTTTTGAATAAAGACGGATCGAAGTAAGCGGTAAACAAAAAAGTTATTATAATGTTTATATAAACAATAAACATATCATAAATATACATCCATGATTATCCATGATTAAATTGATTGCGAAATGGTGGTAGATCCAAAAGTCGAGCAGTGCCAAGGAATATCAATGCTGGAAAACATACATTAAATTCAGCAACAAATTTATTACATGAATTACTCAGAATTAACCTTAAATTATCATTAATTAAACACGTTGAAAGCATGACTGATGCAAAACATTTTCATATAGAAAAGGTGAAAAGAAAATGAATTACCGCTTCCAATTGTATACATTATAGATTTTCCAATATTTCTTTGAAATTTCTTTGAATGATGTGAAACATATAAGCCAGAACCGATAAGACCACAACCGCTAACAATTCTACATCCCAAACAATCACGATTTCGGTGATTAATAATATTATCCACTGTGCTTGATGTTTCTGGCATTTTATAATAAACAATTATGTGATCAAATATGTAAGAGATGTGTATATATGTACATATATATATATATATATATGTATGTCTGATGAAACTTTTTATCAGCACAACTTTGCTATGATTTTCTTTTAGGTTATATGTTTAAACCGCCATATTTCTTAACAATGAACCAGAAACAAGTCGAATACATTGAATTGATCTTTCGTCTTAAAATATATCAGTATTTATTATCCACCCCTTAAATCGAATACAAATACAATTTATTTATTAATAATTCACAATTAAATAGAAGCTAAATAAATTGAAACGACTTACATTTACTGTTTTACTGAAAGAAATTATTTCTTTTCAAATTTGTTCTTTATAAATCGTTTTTTTCTGACGATTCGGATAATCTATATTTTATTATTTATTTAAAAAAAAGACACGAGCAAATAAATAAAATTTTGTAAAGTGTAAAAATTGTAAATTTGATAAGTTCCATTCTTTTCTATTGCTATTTACTCAATGAGCTTCTTTGCTTTGAAGAAACGTCTTAAATAGAGAACCTGCCAAGTAGAGAGTACCAAAAGCCAACACATGGAGAATATACTGAAATACAATACTCGAGTATTTGTTGCCTCTGAAAGTATTAAACAATTTAGTTAGTACATTTTTAAAGGATCTAATTGTTGAAAAAATGAATTACATCTGTTGATTTTTACCATTAGTATCTCTCATTTCCTCCTCGTTCTTTCTCATTCGAGCAAAATCCTGAACAATAGCATAAGATAAATCCTCTAAACGTTTCAGTTCTACCTCAGAAGGTTTTAGTTTTGCTGCTTCACCTATCTGTTAAACAAAATCAATTATCTTTTAGAATTTAAACATAACTGTTTAGAATTTGAATTCAAAAGAAATAAATCAAACATTTTAAGAGCAAATATTTTCATTTTAGTAGAATGTTAAGTATCTAGGAGAATATAACTCTACACACACAACTTTTCCTACGCTACTACATGCTAAACTCATATTATTAAAAGCCATTTTGCTGATATCTAATAAAATCAATCTCACTACATTACCAGCTGCGCGCCCATACAAGTCACATATAGAAAAAAGAGAAGAGATAAAATATTCTGAATTTACTTTATGAATTTAAATAAATAAAAAACTTACTCCTTCATAGTTTTTTGCTTCTATACCACGTTTTGTGATCAAGTGAATTTCCTGTTTAATTTGTTTAATATCTGAAACAGTTTGTTCTTTTTAGTAGGATTTAAAAACAAAAAAATGAAGAAGATATAACTGTTTTCATTGAACAATAAATAACAATAAATAAGTCATTTTTATTAATTAATAGAATACATGTGTACGTACTGCCTGAGAAAGATGGTTGTATAGCATATGATTTAAAGCAAATCTCAAAGGTATCATATATTTCAGTAACAAATGAGAATTTTAACAATCTTCCATGAGGTATATCTTCCTTTCTTGAAAGAATATGTCCTTTGGAATCCCTTATCTATTGAGTTATAACAAATATGTACATGTTAATTCACAGTTAAGTAGTTTTGAACGAAAGTGAATACTGAAATGATAATTTTTCTTCCAATTTATCAATATCTATTTAGACACTGCTGATTAACATTGTAATAATGCTTAAATAAAATCATATATATATATATATATATATATTGATTGGAATGAAGAAACGGTAACATATGTAGAAAGAGGTTAGAAGAACATAACCTTAAAATGCTGTACTATAACATGTTGGAAATGTTAAGAATAACATTAGAACTTACGGTATATTCAGTTTTAACAGACGGAGTAGCTGAGACCTCATATTCTCCGGCAACTAGGACGTTTGCTTGAACTTCTTCCTTTAGGCATTTCATTGAATTTGGTTCAAGGTAGAATCTAATACAACTTACATGTGCGATCAACGTCACAAGCAGAAATATTACGTTTTTCATTTTTAAGCAATTTCTTAAAACTACGTTAAAAAGACTTCAGACGAAGTTTTTAACAATATCAGACTTTTAACAGTAAACCGTCAACATATCGATGAGTTGGCAGCCATTAAACATTTTGGGTGTATCATACGAGTCAAGAACGTCACACGTGTATGTAAACAGGCAGGCGTTTCAAAATTTCAATATGAGTCACCTTTCACGGTATTAATCTTTCTTATTGACATTTATCAACCAAATTGTAACACATCTGAAACAGAATAATGATTAAATTAGTACTTTATATAATAAAATAATTGAAATATTTATTTATAAAGAAGAAAGAAATTCATGGAAATTTGTCACAAGCCCAAACCAATGGCGCCATCTGGGAACAGTTTTGAATCGAATTTAAATTTACGAATCGTGGTCAACGAATTTATATTTGTGGCTGTGCACATTATTCTTCATTATTTATATGATAAAATGTATTATCTGTAGTTATTTGTTATCATATGTGGTAGCGTAGTTGTTATAAAGTTTTTTGAGCAGCAAATAGTGCTGATTTATCACTTTCGTTACATTGGTCTCAAGAAGTACATAGAATTTTGAAATGGCAACCTCTTGTTTTTTGGAAAAAATTTTAGAACAACAATGTGAGAAATTAAAAGTTCTTGAAATTGCTACGATATTTATTGACAGTAAAAAGGAAATAAAGGAAGAGCTTTTTGAAATGTACAAGCAAGTTGAAGATATGCATCGTGATATTGAAATTATGAAAAATAGATTAAACAAGATAAAAGAACAAAGTAATAGATGTGTTGTAAGTTTTAACAGTTTTTTTCACTTACAGTAATTTTTACCTAATGTCACTGTTTAATAATAAAAGTGTAATTTAAATTTTGTATAGGAATTGTCGTTGCTTCTTAAGGAATTAGATAAAAAGATTATTCACATGGAAAAAAATATCTCCTCTGAGCTAATTGATGATTATCACCATAGTGAGAATTCTTTGTGTATGAGCATACTTTCCGAAGATGAACTTTTAAAACAATCACTGATAATAACAGACATTGATACAGAAGAGCAAATGACTCCATTGAAAGATTGTAAAAAGATATTATTTAATGAACCTGAAGTTTGCCCAATAATACCTGCAATAAGGGAAGATGAGTTCAAAACAATTCCAAAATATCTCATAGGAAGGCAACCTATAGAAATTGTAAATAATTTGATAGATACTATTAATCAAGTATTAAAAGCAAAATATACATTCTTATCACAAGGGAAAGCTCATGCTAGGAAACAAGGCACTATGAGTCTCTACTTACATTATAAAAAACAAGAATTAGACGTTTGTACCAATAAAGGTAAGATCATTTTTGAAACTCTAAGTAATACCTCTGATTAGTCTAATAATAATAGTATACAATTGATTATGTTTCAGAATATGTATACTTCTTTACAGCCAGTGATTATGAAAAATATGCTAATTCAAAACTGAACAAAACCAAGTTAAATTTAATGACCGTTTTGCGACATTGTAAACGATTACGACAATATACGGTAAAGAGTGACATACACTATGTCATACAAACAAAGTAATGATTGCTTGAAGTATAGCAAATGTAACAGATAAAATAATTATACAATAAATCTAACAATAAGTAAAAAGATGCCTTTTTAAACTTAAAGATGAATATCTTTGTATTAGCAGAAACATAAGAAAGAGAGTAATGTATGAGAATAAATAATTTTATCGTGATGTACTATAAATGATATTCTTTGTATAATGTTTAATATCACTGTAAAATAGATTTTTATTACTAATATTTATGTTTTCTTTATTTCTAGTTGATCCTGTAATATCAGTTTGAACATACTTAAATTTAAAATTAAAAAATATTTGTGGAGATTCGTTTTTGTTTCGGTCGTCGTGACAACACGTTAACTGGAAACACTAAATCACAAAAAGTTCTCTTTCTGTCGGATTGTTTCGACAGCATAAAGATTCAAGTTTAGTTTGCCATGAAAAAATCCTTCCCCTATCATTTCCAAGGAACGAGGTAATCTGCTCCGAAATACTTACGATCGTGCACCCTTCGATTCAACCTACTTGCGAAAAATAATATGAAGCGCAACGATTTTTTTTTTCTATTATTATTCAATAACAACCGTTTTGTTTGATCACAAACAGATGTGAAATGACTAAAGTTATAAGTAATAAAATATTTCAAATTAAATGAAGCAAACAATGTACATTTGATATTTAAATTATTTGAATGAAAAAAAAAAAAACATTTTAAATATGGATGGATTTATAAATTATTTAATAAATTTCAGATAAAGATTTATACATACATACATACACACATACATACACACATACATATATACATATAGCCTAATACTATGAATATTAGAAAAGCAGAATCGATTAGCACATTGACCGAGCACGAAGACGAACTCGATGATTTCGAAGGATCAATTGTTTGGTCCCAGGAAGAACCATTATCTTCGAATGAAATTCTGGAATTAACATCTGATACCGAGAAGCAAAATCGTTTAAAATCTCTATGCCGTTTATGCGCAGGAGAAACTCCTAATCCAATTTACATTTATTCCGAATTTGGCGAATCTCTGAGACTATTAGACAAAATAAATACATGCTTAAGCATTAAGGTAATTAATCATTTAATTTTATATTTATCTACGTTTTTAATATATTATAGCGCACGTAAATGACCCTTAGGTGAAGAAAACAGATCCTCTTCCAAAACAGATTTGTCCAATGTGTGTAGAGAAGATTACTTGGTGCAACGAATTTGATGCTCAATGTATCAGAGCTGAAGAAACCCTTTTTGAGATTTTAAAGGATAAACATTCATTTACAAATACTCAGAATTCGGAGAATGCTCAGGGAAATACTGATTCGTGCCCTTTGTGCATAGAAGGGCGAATGAGAGTTTACGAAGAGGACAAAGAAAATCGAACAGATATTGAATTATACGATAGCGATATTGTTCTTGAAAGTAGCGATGAAGAACAAATTCCAAACGAGATCAAGGCCGATGAAGACCTTGCAAACGAATCTATAACATTGTTTTGCTTGGGTACCAAACAAAAGTATTTAAAATGTGGAGCTTGCATGAATCTTTATCATACAAAAGAAACTCTGGATGAGCATAAATGTAAACCCAATTTACAATGTACTTCTAAGCCGTATAAGTGTGATGTTTGTTTCGCTACTTTTACATTTGAAGAACGATTACAATTTCATCAACATTTTCACAGAAATGCAAAAGCATTATACTGTGAAATTTGTAAAATTACATTTGGGAAAGAATTAAAATTATTTTACCATTATAAAAGGTATAATAGGAGTATGAAGAATTTTCTTGTTACTTGTCAAAAGTTTACTAATTATTTATATTATTTTTATTAGATACCATTGTAAAGATGGTAGAGTATCGTGCTTGCAATGCGGAAAGTTATTTGAAAATCAAGAAGGATTGAAGAAACACGTTTGCGTGGATGGAAAAACAAGACCTCATGTATGTGAGGTTTGTTCTAAGGGCTTTTGCGATGGGTACATAGTGCAATTTATTAACTAAATATTGTTCTGTAACGAGAATCGATGTCGTAATCATACGTTTATATTGCTACTTTTAGATACACTTTGAAGCGGCATGTAGTAACTCATCTTCCAGAAAAGCCATACAAGTGCCCTGAATGCTCAAAAAGCTTTACACAAAAATCAAGGTTGAATAAACATGTAGCTGGACACAGCATTGTTTTTGAAAATAGTCAAACAATTTGGAGGTAATCTATTCTTTTACTTTTCTATCGTGTTTGATCGACGTAAGAAATTTTCTTTTTACAAATATAGATGCATTCACTGCGGAGAAGTGTTTGGAAGTTGCGAGTGTGCGGATGAGCATTGCAAAAATCATGAAGAGAAAGTTGTTAATTGTATCGAAGAATTACAAGTACTGAAATTATATCATTGTGAATTCTGCAATAGTCATTTCGCAGATATGGATCATTTAAAAAATCACAGGGAGTCGCACACGATTGAGAAACCATATTCGTGTAATAATTGTACCTCTTCGTTCAAGTCTTTTGCAGAGGCTGTTCTTCATTGGAAGGAACATCCAAGAATATTCAAAGTACTAGTGGTATTTGTGTGCGAGATATGCGATAGAGATGTTAAGGAATTGTCTCTTCTGTACAAGCATAAACAAAAGAGACATCAACCTATACCCAGAAAATCAGAGAAAGGTGAAAAGAAGTTCATCTGTGAACTCTGTGGAAATATTTTTGCAATTATCGAAGAATTTCAAGAACATGGAAAATACAGGTGTTCCAAATTTCCATGCGATATCTGTGGCAGTCTTCTGCCAACTGCAAATTCTTTGAATGCTCATAAAAGAAGGCATAGTGGATTAAGACCGTACGTATAATGTTTGTATCGTTTTAACATAATTTTTTTAATTTATTAATGTTTCTATTTATACAGATACGTCTGCAATATCTGTGGCAAGAGTTACACTCAGTCCAGCCATATGTGGACTCACAAAAGATTTCATATGGGTGTAAAACCGTATGCTTGTGAGTATTGTGATCAAAGATTCACGATAAAACCAGACCTAGCGGATCACACTAGGAAGAAACATACCAGAGAACGACCGTTTAAATGCGATGTTTGTAACAAAGCTTTCTTAACCGGTTCTGTTTTTTATCAACATCGTTTAATACATAGAGGAGACCGCAGATACAAATGCCATCATTGCGAAAAAGCATTTACCAGAACTGAAGCTTTGAATAATCACATAAAGATTCATACTGGAGAGAAACCGCATGCCTGTGATGTTTGTGGAAGATGTTTCAGGCAAAAAGGAGACATGAGAAAACACAGACGTACTCAACATACCGCTAAACAAGATACAAAATAAAAGAAAATAGTTATTAAATATTATTATGTATAAGATAATGTATTTGCCGCGTACTGATAGTTGTTTTAACCGTTCCAACAAAGTTGATAAAATGTAAATAAAGAATTTCATAATTTTCGATATTTTATTGTTTAAAATTGTAAAAACAGTTTTAGACAGAACTCGCGCTTCTTTAAATGAACGCGCTGTTATAAATATGTACATACGTACATATATGTATGTACATATATTCGTTACGTAGAGGCAGGTGCGCAAAAGCGATACGTGCAGAACAGGTGATACAACCGATGTCTCGTGATTCGTATTGTCGAATCCTACGTTTTTAACAACTTGCAATCGTCATTGATAAAGATTGCATACATCGATGAAAAGCGATTTCAATAAAATTGAAATCATGACAAACAACAGATAAAATCATTTTCGAAAGGTGCTCCACGTACCTATTAACTCCTTTGTAAGTTAAGGTTCAATTATACCTCAATTCTTTCAAACGATTACTCATCCTATTTTCAACGTAGATAATATATAATTATAAAAAATGTTCTGATAATCAATGAAATGTTGTGAGTACGTGTCAGAATTATTTTATGTAACATATTCACTCATCATCAATCAACTATACCTAACCTGAAACAAATTAGACATATGCGTTTTATCGCGGTAAAAGACAAATTAGTATGAAAGCTTTTATATACAGTATTTGTTTAGTAAATGGTATACACTGTTTAAATCATATTAAACATTTCAGAACTCTGACAAAGAATGGCATTTCCACCACTGGTTAGTTCTACGCCTCCACCACTTGATAATTTTGGGGATTCTGAAGAAGATGAATTTGGAGATTTTACTACTGGTGGCATAGATGGTAATTCTTTGATCGTTTATAAAATATTTCTATGTTGAAATTCCATTAAGTTTCCTTATTGTATGATGCATTTAATTAGAGAATTCAATATGTTAATAATAAAATTTCATTTTAGGGCTATCCGTATCATCGGATTCACCACAGAAGCCTATCACACCAATTCAAACACCGCTAACATCTCAAAATCCTTCGCCAAAAGTAAATGGTGTTCTAGAAAATGATAATAATCAATCAAGCATACATGTGAAAACAACAGTTCCAGAAGAGTTTTTAATACTTGAGAAAATAGATGAAACTATAAGCAACATTAAGCTAAAGACAGAAGTTGAAAATATTTACGAATCGCACGATAGAAAAAAGAATGTAGAAAATGCGAACATAAGTAGTACTAGTAGTAGTAATAGTACTAGTAGTAGCAGCGAAGACGCTACGGAAAAAGGAGTTAATTTAACTAGTGGGAGCAGTAGCTTTGGAGGAAGCGAACAAGAAACATCTCCTAACCATTTAGAAGATATAGAACCTTTAAGTCTAGATTTAGGAGATCCATCTGCTGCTGCTGCTGCTGCTGCTACTGCTGCTGCTGCTGCTGACACGGTGCAATCGATAGACGATGATTTTTATGACTATGAGCAATTTGAGGATTCTCAAAATTGGGTTCCTAACAACGAAGAATCCACAGGTGTTTCTAACACAGATTATTTTAAGTTCCAAGAACCTGAAAACATTACAAATAATTTAAATGCTTTAAACAAAGATATTAATGTAAGTGATAAGAAAGATGTAAATTTGAAATTCGAACAGTCGGTTGAAGAATCAAAATTAGATCATTGTGTAGAAAATAAAGATGTGCCTACCGAAGATAAAAATGTTTTTGAATTCAAGGTGAATGATCCGAAATTCAGCAGTACTGAGAATCCAGTTTTTCATGATTCCAGTAATGAAACTTTCAATGAAACTGTCAATGAAAATGAAAATGAAACTGAAGTTGCCGACGACTTGCACGAGTTCTCTGAAAATGAAAATAATACAGTTGAAAATAATTTTTTATCTTCTGCACCTTTAGCAAACGTTTCAAATTGTTCGAGCGAAGAATTCGATGATTTTAAGTATGACTTTGTATTTGGAACTTCAACTAAAACTTCCCAGCCAGAATTTTCTAATTGTTCAACTGTAGAAACAAATGTGAAAAGAAAAGAAACAATGGGGGAAGATGATGATTTTGGTGATTTTACGAACTTTGCGAATCAAACGCAATTTGATGAAAATGTCGATGAAACGAATGTACCTGATAAAGATGACGATGATGATTTTGGTGACTTCAATGACTTTGAATCAGCTGTTGAACCAGCTGTTGAGCCAGCTGTTGTAGAACAACCACAATTTAGTTTGAAAGAGTCCATTTGTCGGATAGAAAATAAAAATGTAAGCTGTTTTACTTAATTTTTCTCTGTTCTCTTAATGTCCAATTATTAGAAACTTGAATAAATTTTTATAGGCTGCTAATAAAATAGAAGACATAATAACAACAATGTTCTTAATGGATGTAAACCAACTGGAAATTGAAGCGCAACCCTTGATAAGCGAAACGGATAAAGTCTGGAAAAGTATAAAGAATGTTGAAGAAACAAATGCTTTAACATATCAATGGGCAAACAGTAGCAGTAACAAAATGCTATTAAACTCCCTTGGCATTGACTCTCGTAATATTGTAAATATCAGTTGTTTATATGCAATGTTATCAGTGTAATGAAAAATATTAAATTCAAGTGTTTTCAGTTGTTTGGGCCAAGGTGGAATCCAAACGTTCCCAGATTTGCTGCAAACCTTGGTTTTACTCCATTAGAACCAATCAAAGCTACAACTGATATTCAATCAGCTACTACTTCAAATATCAATAAAACTCAAACTTCAACAAATTCAGAAGTAAGTTTTTAACCATCAACTAATGCAATAGTTTTGATTGTTGCAATATTGACTGTTAGATTGGAAAAATACCAATATTGACAGCAATTGAACTCGCTGCATTAATATTACAAAGTAATTAATTATAATTAATTACAATGTAACCCCTATAGGAAGTACCTGCTGCTCAATTTGATTGGAATAGTTCTGGGCTTGTTAATCCTTTAGAAGCTAGTAAGTACGCAACACGTTTGTTGTTATCGTTTAATTTCTCCTTTGTTACCACTTTTATAAGGTAATTAGTCAAATTCAGAGATAGCAGAATACAAGATTAGAAATATTTTAAGTATTTTTATCGTTCACGCTAGCACTGTGTGAGTGTGTGTGTGCGTGTGTGTGTGTGTGTTTTAGGATTAAAAATGTACATTCATCTTTTCATTTAGTTCGCTTCCCTGAAATTCCTATATAAAGCGTGCTAATCACTGGGCAAAATCTTTGATAAATCATGTAATCTAGGTGGTGGGTTATCCGCTCTTCTGCCTCTGGACTTTCTGTGTCCTTTCGATCCTTTACTAACATCCCACAACTCCAACAATTCTGAATCCTATCGTCGACCAAGTAGCGCAAGGAATCCTGCTAATCACCGTAAGTCTTAAGCTTACACTTTGTAATTGATGTGCTATATACATATATATATATATATATATATAAAATATATATGTATAGATTAGAGTGTTAAGTACACGTAATTCATTTAAAACGCATGCTTGTATCTATTTCCTTAATGTATTTCATTTCATAATTATTCAATGAAATTATTCTTTTATGATAAAAACAGATATCACCGAAATGAATAGGGAGAGATGCAACTCTGTTTCTAAAGTGGAGACGATAGATCGTTTGGAAGGTGATGGTTTGAAATCACAGAAACGTTCACAAACGTCAAAGATAATCGAGCCACTACCAGCTCCTCGTACAACAGAATGGAAGAGAAAAGGGGACTTTGAGTCAGGACAAAAAGTGAGAAGCAGCACAGGTGGCCAGAGAAGTGTTCAAACGGAAAAGCAGTGCTTACCCATGGATAAGCAATTCTTAACGAATGAGAGGCAATACGTGTCAGCTGAGAAGTCGTCAACTTTAGGAGATAGCTATCGTGGGAAGTCGATGAACAAGAGATCAACCTCTGAACATGTGGTGATGGACAGATTTGGTCGAGCCGTACCGATCCAAGCGGAAACGGCAAGAGTATTGAATCGTTTGCCAGATCTTTCGTTTCTCAGCGCTAGAACTTTAATGCTCGATAGAGAGCAGAAGCAACTTGCCTGTGAAATCGGTATCATGAGTCGTAAGATGCCTGGCTGAGTAACGTCGGTCTGAGCGCGAGTTTGAAAGGTCAGAACATTCGATAAATCTCTGTCCTGTGGACGTATCGACGAGGCATAGAAACAAAGGAGAAAAGATGTTCCGTTAACCTTTCAAATCCGCGCTTGGACCGACCTTCGATTCAAACTTTTTCCCCCCTTTGTAAACACTGACTGATAATGTATTCTGTACTCTCTACTTCCCGTTGTGAAATAGGGATTCTCTACGGAGTGTACGAGGTAGAAAAACGTCTATCTTCTATACTTAGAAAGAAAGAAAGAAAACAGACAGAAAAAATAGGGACAAAACACTCTACAGTAAAGGTCATTGTTTTTGCACGATAAGAACAGTGAAATAGAATATTGTTACTTCGTTCACGAAATGGAGTCATGGTCCTTTGTTGTGTATAGTTATATAAAATCGAAGTTTCTTTTATTCAGTTTCACTGTTACTCACTTACTGATATAAACACATCACTTAAAACATGTGATATTCAATTTATGTATATTATTTGCTAATATGTTTCTTAATGTTACTTTATCTTTCCTTATTTTCTTTCTTAGCTTTAAACGAGACGCGGACCAATTTATAGTTTATCGTATTGCGTATAGTCAAGTACTAATTGACTTAACAGTATTTAAAATGATCATCGTTTCAATTGTATTTTATCTGATTATTAATTGAAATTATGATGATAACAAGAGGTAGATGGGTCACTGTATTATTGTATGTGGTATTCGTAAATATTTATAATCGGCTAACATCTTTCTTGTTTTTATTATTTCTATTAATGCCTCCAAATTGTTTCATTAAGAATATGTTACTATATATTGAAGCAATTAAGTTCGTTGTTGATCGATGTGATTTAATACAATGTGATTTTAAGTGTTCAGCCAGTTATTTATGCAACCTATAGGATTTATAAAATTATGTACTTAATGTTTTATACAATTGACTCTATTCCATGAACAGGCACAAAGACGTGCAAGTTAGTGGCGCAGCCAAAAAATTTCTCATGAAACCATAATATAATGCCACACGATGTATATACATATAACGTATGCAAATAAATAAATGAATGTTACAAGTTACCCATATTTTTGGCTGGAAAAAGACTTTTAAAAAACATTTGGAAACTCTTCTTATAATTAGAAATTAGAATGATTAAACTTACAATTAGTCTCCAGTTTTCTTGTTTACTAAAAGTGCTACTTTATACTTCATTTTTACACAGTATTAATTAAATAGCTAGATTTTTACAACAGAAGATTAACTCACGGTCAGAAAGATATTTCTACATCCTTTAGGTCTTTATAATGTATTTTAAACAAATCATTGAAAATGTATATTTTTAATTTATGTAAAAGGGGGGTAATTACCAATAATAATGAATCAATAACTATCACGTTTTAATTATTGTACCTGTACCTTTTATGCACCTGAAATACCTTCAATATTTGGTAAGTAGATAAAAATCTTGTTATGTTAATATAGAAAAGGGGTAAAAAAGAATTGATAGGGAAGAATATGAAAGTTTGAAAATTGAAAATTTGACTAAGTTAGTAGTGCGCGGTTTAACAATTCGAATCATGCCCATTACTATACGTCACTATACGTCAGGCGGAGTCATGCGCCGACTGGTACAGCCAGGTACCAAATGCCACAAGGTCACGACTCGTGTGCCCGTATACGCAGAGGAATAGAGCTAGCACGAGAGGAGGAGAGAGACCTTCTATTGTGTAGCTTAGCTTGCAGCCGTAAGGTGCGCAACCAATGAATAATGAAATAACAGGTGAAAGAACACACACGTTGCGTCCGAGACGTAGATGCTGTATTCTCATTAAAAATATGAATGTCTATTATTAAAAAAATCTTCTTGTTTTAATTATCTTAACACAAGATATATATATATATATATATATATATATATATATAAGCAGAATTGTTAAAAATAATTTATTATATGATTTTTAAACTTTAAATAATAAAATCAATAAAAATAATTTGATGTAATCATTAAATAAACGTGTGAGTGTAATGAGAATTGTAGAATAACGACTAATTTTAATACAGTAAAGGAAGCACAATGAAATGTGCCACGTTGAAGCTAATCTTAAGACAACAGGAAAGATCGCGAGCACGGACTGTGGCATTTACTTCGGCTAATAAATGTGTTTGCAGGAAAACGCAGAAGTCGGCAGCAACGTGTCGTTCTCTCGACCGGCACCACCGGGCACGGGTGGCACAACTTAACGATACAACTTCATTCATAAAGAGTGTTCTACATATATGCAAAGATAAATTACCATTTTCCTTTCAGATAGAGTATGCTCCCTCGTTTTGTTTCTTCTCCCTTATATGTACTTATAGGATTAATATTTTTCATTTTCTTAATTGTATCCTTTTGATAAAACTCGACTCGTTTACCTGTAAATAACGAATAAGTTACATAAAATAAATAAAGAAATTTCAATAATTTCAATAATTTCTATAATCTTAATTATTCAGTTTTAATGCGAACAACATTTTTGAAAAGCTCTGTATATGTATGTACATAATTGAAGTTATTGATGATTTCTTTGTGTTAAAAATAACATGCCTCTAATTGTAGTCAATTGACTGTACTATGAATACAAAAAAATAAACTGTTTGAATGTCTAAAAACAGGTTGAATCATTTACGTTAATATGCCTTGACGCGCAAGAGAATCTGAAGAAGAAACGCAGGTGAAGGTCTGGAATGTTTCAGGTCTACTATGGTCGCAGAAAAAGCCACGAAAGAGCTTTAAGGGATAGCATTACCTCAGGTCAGGTAAGTTCATCTTGTTTACATTCGCTTTCTATGCATCCTTCGAGGAACAGGTAAAAGAATTTTTTGCGTACCTCACGCCAGACCCTAAAAACACCGATGGATTTGTAAATCACAGAATTGAAATTAAAAAAAAAGAAAATGGTAATCGTGTATCCTATAGTGTTAATTAATCTCTAATCATCAGAGGTGGTTAACTTAAAGATTAAATTTTCTTTTTCAGTAAGATTTAGTAGCCAAAGTTGAAATAATTGTTATAGAAAAAAAGATTATCAGATGCATTATGTATGTTGGTCATTAATGAATTATTTTGAATGATCGGATTTTATGTCGTGTTTAAGATTCGTGTCACACCGGTCGCAGGTATTCGCTAGCCGAATACTATCCCGGACAGGATTTACCACACGTGGTCCTTAGAATCCCTTCTCTGCGCATGCCTGGTAAATCGAGTGTTGGGAAGAAACCCCTCCATCCGGTAAAGTACGCGCCATCAAGTTAGTCGTTCGCTGACCGCGGCCGCGTAAATGTCGTTTACGCGAGAGCTATGAACTGATTCCGAGAGTCGTTGATGCTTTTCGCGTTTTTTTTCCCTTCATTTTTTCGTACTTTTGTTCCTTTTTTCTTTTATCTTAAGAATTGCACGTTTTATTTTGAAAAGCGTGTATACGTGTAATAAATTATTCCACTTCGTTGAAACAAGTGTCGTTCGTCTTCGAGAAGAAGATTCTCATTTTTCATTCTCACCTGAAACATTGATTATTAATATTGCTTTTGACATTCTTGTATTTTGGCCTCGATTAAAGTTCGGAAGAAATAATAAAATTTCGTCGCGGTCACAGATAAAGGATTTACCTCGAGAATCGTTGTGCCGGCAGAATAACAGTGGAGATAGAAAAATTAAAGTGAACGGTGTGCGGTGAGAAGGACGGTGCGATGGCAGTGGCTGCGGGGCCACGCCGGCCACGCACGCTCCTCGTTGGTGGTAACCGCGCTTCCGGGAATACTTTAGGAACGAAAACTTTGTACTCGGTCCTTGATGGATTTCTGCTAATCCTAGCGTTGGCCGGGATCGCACAGGTTGCCGCCATCAGACTGGGTAAGAAGATTTCAGGATTTTCAACGACACAACTTTCCAATAGAAAATTATTTTCTTGATATTACACCGAAACATCAGAACAATACCGAATGTTAGTTCATTCTACTGTTCTGCGTACTTTCATGTCAACTAATTACTAATTCTATCTAAAGTTGGATGTATGTATATTCTCACTCGGCTTTGTTCCATCGAATGAATAGAAATTTGTTTGCTTTTGTGAACTACAGACAATTGAATTTCTTTTCCTCTTCCCTTGAATGTACTTTTAGGCTTACATTTCTTTTCTACTGGAAGGAATACGACGATGCAATCTGGGTATCCTGAAAATTACCTCCTGATTTCCTCTTGTAGATGAAATTTGCTGAAATTTGAAAACGTTGAAATCGTGATCGGTTTTTCATCTGCTGGCTGCTGCTTTCTCTGCTTCCCGCTAGGTGTGCGACTTATCGCGTGCTTTTAGTCGAACGTCCGACTTTTCAAAAATCCCACCTCGCATGGGAATGCAGTTAACGAATTAACTTGAGTTTACCGTTATATCCATGCTGTCGCCCGACTTTTATGTAACTAGACATCCTAATCCCTAATAGCTACTAGAAGTTGAAAGTCAGCAGACTGGAGGTGTATAAATTTCCTGAAAAAGATTCAAATTATTATTTGTACCTTGTAAAGCTTTATATGTACTGTTCAAGTAAAATAAAATTTTCAATGGAAATACCAGATTCTCTGAATATAATTAAAACATGTAACGAAGGGAAAAAGAAGATAGTAAACATTGACCTCGAGGTTCGAAGGTGAACTTCTGTGAAATGTAGTGTTGACCTTTCCGGGTACAGGAAGTTAAATTTAGCAGTGAACGAATTACCATTTATCTTTCTGCGCGCATACAATGCAGTTACCTGAATAATTGACCGTCATACTATAGGTACAGGGGGACATTTTCACTCAGCTGACAGAAGTGAAATCTGTAAAAGTTAAACTTAATATTAGTATTCTTATTAAATTTATGTACATATGATGACATTCTAGTAACGAGGTCAAAATGACACCTCGCACCTGTTTACCGTGTCAGTACCAATCTTGTATCCATTACATGTACCGTAATGGAAATGAAACAAAATTCTTATAATTCATATTCCTTTGTTATGTTGCAATTTAAATGCGTTTCACATTATTTCCATACGTTTATTGCGTCGGTGGGGCAAATAAAAAAGAAACGAAGATACTTCATTTGCCTGTTGCGCCATCTTATCACGCGAGAAAGATGCGAGAAAATGCAAACGTATGTATGTACATACGTTGAATGAACAAATATTTATACAACAGGCTCTCATTTCTCTGAATAAATATTTCGTTCCTCGAATTATATCTAATCAAATGGGAAATTACTGGTGTTTAATATTCGTGAAAAACGTATTATAGTTTCGAATGAAACCGCGATATGTATACAGGACATTGTAATAGGATTCTTCGTCGTTTTCACGCGTTTTCTCATTCGCTAATCCGTTCGAGGGAGACGCAGCTAACACTTGGAACGGTTCTGGCGGCAAACCGAATAAATACAGACAAACAACACGCGGAATTTTTACGAAACCGGTGTTTCACTTGTAGTATACAAGTGTATATGTATTAGTTTCTCTGTAAACTGATCGGGATATTTTGAAAACAAAACGAAACGATGGAAAATTCTTCTTCATTCCCAGAGAATTCTTTCCTTTCTTTAACCTGGAGGGAGTTAAGTCAGATGTATGTCATACCTGGACTGATAAAATATTTGTCGATTATTTTTTAGAAGGTGAAATTGATAATAATTTGTAGGATGTAAATTTTGATGATCGATACCATGCATGGAGAGAGCTACCGTAACGCGAAGCTTCTAATGCGCCATCCACAGGTCCAAGTTTTATGGAGAGAGGAAAACCGGTTTTTCGAACTTGTAGTAAACACGATCAACAGAATGCTCCGAATTCTCGATGATTCCCATTCCCTGGCCTTCTTCCAGATAGAATTCCGGATAGAATTTTAGTTACCATTGCCTTGCCTTAAAAAGAAGAAGAAAAAAAAAGAAACTGTGTCAGTATTCTTACAATCTTCTTTCGGTGTTATTGTTTTTTATTTCCTACTACATTATCGGTAAAATTGTATTTGACTGTCAGTCAAAGATTTAAATGCTCCAGCCTCGAAAGGCTGCTAAATGTCACTTCAGAAGAAAAGATAATTCTGGGGTCAACCGAAAATCAAGATTTACGAGCTGATAATTAAAAGGAGGAAATAATATATGGTTAACAAGAGAATTATGAAATTTTTAACAAGATTTATAGCATATTATAAATTATGCGTTTGCTTGTATTGTTATTAAAAATCTGTTGATGTACTTACATTAATATACAAATGTTACAATCAGAGAAGGCCAGTCATTTTGCTCTTGAGCTTCGATCAAGTATGGGATGTTTTTTTTTTTTCTTTGCTAATTCGCTGGACTAATTAGCAATTAATATATTTACAGAATGCAGCAAACGAATTCCTATTACCGTAATCTTGTACATACATTGGAATAATAAAGTTACCTGAATCACCTAAATTGTCAAAACAGAAAAAAAGAACTCGAGGGTGTATCCATGCAGGTACGGATCTGCGTAATCTGAAACCGTTTCATGCGATCACCGTATTGTATTTTGACACGAGTTACAAGAGCCATACCTTTCCGTGGCTGAGAAACGAGTTGGCTGCAACAGTGATGCCGAATGAGGAGAACAAAAGTTGTTAGAGCTTGTTGAATTTGTACATACCATAATTACACCTTATGTATATCAGGGATTGATGGCATTTCTGCAGTACCTCCTTTTTTTTAAATAGTTTTTCTAATTTCTTAGCCAATAGCACGTGCTCATCCATCTGAAAATTAACACAATTTGATCTTTGATATAAGAACTAGGCAGAATTGAAATTTGATAAAATATTGTTTCAAAACTTGGAAACCATAAACTCCTGAAATTTGATGACTGTACAGATTAAAAATTGATGACTACAACATTTCATAATAAAATATTGATTACAAAAATGTTGAAATTCAACAACGAGCAGGGTAAAAATTTAACACAACCGTGCCTTACTTAAAATATTTACAAATATTTCAGTGTTTTATTAATAAATGAACGGATTGTCTACGCGTGTCTCAAGCAAATATCATAATTCATGTTAATTTGTAATTCCTCCATAAATTTATCTCCGTAATTTGTAATGTTAATAGAGTCTTTGCGTGATTGCGATGCAGCACTGATTATCCAAGCGGCTATTAATATTGCGACTTTTTTTATTTTTAGTACATTCAAGACCTAAGAGTCTTATCTTTCACGAGAACTTAATTCCTCTTATATGTACATACACACGTAGAAATCCCTAATCAGCAATGCGTTTGTGTTGCGAAGAGAGCAGTAAAAAGTGTTGATAATCATTTTGATGAATAAATATCTAGGAAGTGAATTTATTTTCAATCCATGAGATAATATGCATTTCTGTTATCACTGAAGATTTAAAAAGAAGAAAATGGGCATGTGTAAATGCTCTATGTATTAATGAAAATTGTGTTAATTTCTTAGCTTGAAAGATTAAGTCTGAAATAGATATATGTACTTCCGTTCAAATAACAGAGGAACTTTCTCCTTCTTTGGAAAAAGAAAAAAATAATCAGCTTACAAAGTCAGGCAACTGTTGAGTGCAAGGTTCTTGGGTTTCATCGACCGACTGATTCGTGCCACTTCTTTTTCTCGTACTAATAACTGCACATGCACCGTACAGGAGGATCTACCAGCCTCGATACTCGTGATCGCGATAATAACCTAAATATATGTATGTAGAATGAAATAAATTACTTTTAATAATTACGTGAAACGTCCTATATGTATAAACTTACAATCTTATTTAGACTATTTCTATAAACAGTGCAATTTTCCTGCATTGTATTTCATTAAGCTTCTCCCCTTAATCAAAGTTTAATTATTTACCGCTATCCTCTTGTGTATTCAGGAAACATCGTTTCCTTTGACCTCGAAGAAAAAAAAAACGGAAGACCAAGCGCACCCTTCGTTTCAAATATCAATCATCTTGGATAAATTGAGGATGGCAATATTTTATGTGTCTCTTGAAGCGTTATTAGCCAATCCATTAGATCAGTGATTCTGAAAACATATACATATGTGTAAAACATTAATGAAATGAAACGAAACAGCTGAATGGAAGCTTGACCGATGTTAAAAACCAAGAATTAACTCATTTCTCTTCGACGAGTTTACACATACGTCTGGTAAAAACCGTTATTGCCGGCAGTGATTGTAAAGTATCGGTAAACTATAATAGATAGTTGGTTAATAGATAGTCGTAATAGTAACCGTTATTATGTCAACATATGTACATATATAATACAAATTATTCAATTTCTAATTTATAAAGAAAGTAGGTTACGATTTAGTTAAAATGGCAAAAAGAATGATCTCTGACAAAGAAGTTATACGCGTGGAATATTGTACAAAGGATAGACGCGTAAAACAGTAACACGATCGTGTTTATTCTAAAGATTTTTTTTCTCTAGTTCTCCGGTTCAAGGTCGATGGACTTCTCTGAACTCGTGAAAGGTTCGCTATATTACTGTAGATCAAGTTCAACGGTTTCCGGAGAATTCATAGGGATACGATTATCTTATTATCTTCTCCTTCACGTGGCAGCTTGTCTTCAATGTATTATCGTATAAAATCGAGAGTACAGTCTTCGATGCTAATTTAGTAGCCGTTCAACCATTCGCTTTATACAATAAATCTTCTCTTGTCAAGCGTGTCACGCGTGTCACTCTGAAAATTTGAAGAATTAAATTTTAAAACTCTATTTCCATCAAGATTTCAAATAAAAGAATGCGCAGATTTTCTGCGCCAAGTTGGATGCGCGCGCATCTATGATATTTGAAACGATGGTTCCTATGTTATTAAAAATGTTAGTTGGCCCAATTCACAATTAAAATGTTTTCTAGTAAAGCTATATTTCGTAGACGAAATATAGTGATTAGTACCTTCGGAGTCGAGCAAGTTAGCCAGGTTGGCAGGTTCGAGGCTGGCAGGTAAAGTCAAGTCGGTAGGCGGGCCGAGGTTCGTTGACCTCGGCCTAGCGGCCGACCGGATAGCGGGACCATGCATCCCCGATTCTACGTTCTCCTTCTGCCTTCTCTACACTTTTCTTTCTTTCCTTCCTTCTCTTTCTCTTTCTCTTTCTCTTTCTCTTGCTCATTATTTCTTTGTTTCTATGTCCTCCTGCACTGTTTGTGTGTCGCGCGATACCAACCTCAGTCATCGGTCTTTTGGAACTGAGAAGCTGTTAAATCTTAGGAAACACGATCCCTTCAAGTATCCTTGTATACATACATCCTGTAAGAAATACACCACACTGCGAATAACAAATATAAATAACGCAATAAAGTGAAGTGTACGATTATAGATAGTTTCAGAGTACTATAGATAGAAGGAAAATAATTAGACAAAATGATGCATATGATAAACGTGTAAACAGGTGGTTGAATGAACGATTGAATAAGCGTAGAGACGGATAGGACAAAAGTGCAGAGATTTCATTGATTCGTCCACTAGTCGATCGCGTGGGAAACACTGCAACTTTCACCCATGGGATTATAAGAGAGCACGAATAGCACGAATCTAGCGGTTCTGGGTTGCCGTTGACTGAATAGCAATTCTTAATGTCAGCGTGCTTGCCAGTATAACTTCAACCAACTGTGATTTATCTATTATTTTAAAACTATCCTTCGTGGATGAACATCTAACGTTAATTATATCTACTATATGCAATTATTATACAGTGAAACCGTTCAGTTTTTTTTTCTTACTCAACTTTTCACGTTTCTTATTTAATGCTGAAATAATGCTGAAATAATGCTGAAAATCCTAATGATATAGGATTTTCAGGAAAAATTTTAACAATGAACCACCGATGGTAAAACTTTAGACGTTAAAGTTTAGCGAGTAGTATATACATGGTAAATGCGAATGATGGCAGACGACCTGAAAACCTTTAGGAAGGCGCATCGAGCCACGATCAGAGAATATCAACGAGAAAGAAGAATACGAATGCCGGGCCTCGTGTTGCCTCTATTTAAGATTCCTGGCTTTTCTTCCCTCGACCCTAACGACACCGTCGAATCACACTGCCGCCTTTCTAATTTACGACCGATGATGCTTGATGACTGTGTGATACACCTCGCAGGAGTACAAGCTGTCTATCCTAAAAAGAAATAAATTTACTTTTATATTTCATGCACCATTCAGATTTCTTTGAAATTAATTCCGGTAAAATTATTTAAAATAAATCTTTCATTAAATACAATATTGCACATGATAGTTAATATTTTAGAGAAGAGAAACGTGCGATACACATCGAAGACTGACACCGTTGGCTTTATAAAGTGGAATCGACTTTAACGAAAGGAAGTGCACCACGGTGCGCTATGATGGTTGGAATTGGAACGAGCATACACAATAAGCCCTCGTTGCATGAAACAGAATCTATGGTGTGCTCGTTCATCCATTAGCTTTTCTCTTCTTAATTAAAATAATTATACGATGCAAGAATATGTTCTACTTGTCAGGTGTGATATTTTAAATTAACTCCCAAAGTGTTCATCTTGAAGATAATTTTTAGTTGAAAGCAAGATTAGAGTAAATGAAAAATTGATCAAGTTACTCGAATTGATTTGACAAGAAAGAAAGTTGGCATGCTCGTTTAGTTCCATCAAACCGTATATCATTTTGACCAAGTCGGATCAACGAACGATTGCGACTGGCAAGCAATCGAGACGCACGTAAATAGGTGTACCATTCAACCGGACTCATACCTACTGTACTTGTAGTACGTGTTTGCAAGGCCACGGAGAGACGAATGCTCGATTAATACCGTGGGTGAAGGGAGCTTCTTAAGCGTTCTGCACAACCCGTTGGCAATTTTCTATCCTTTCGATATTTAATCAATGAATAACGTAATCACTTGCTATAATTATATCCAGGATCTTTGGTTGCGCGTGTGAATCTTTCTGCACACTTTCAATTCCCTCTTCCACACTGAAAAATTGAAAAATCAATAAATATCATCGAGCTAAATTTAGCTGTATTAAATTTAACGAACAAAATTGTTTAAAGAAAAATGAAAGAGGATTTGCATGCGCCTGAAATATTGTTGAAAGTTAGACGGCACCAAACAGAAAGCGTCGAGATGCAGAAAAACGTCTTTCGTTTTTCTTGCCGCTTCTTTGTCAGCTACGATACTTTTGTAGGAGAGTTGTATGGCCATAAGCGTCACGAGAGGAACGAATTCGTCTGTAGTGCCTTTAAGGGTACGCTTTCTATAAAACGACACGGTATTTCCATTTAGGCGCAGCCGAGTTTCAAATTGTCTTGTCGACATCGTTAGACTCTTCTAAGGTATTACGTGGAGCGATATGTATGTACATATACCTTTCCTGCAGTTTTTCATGGTCGTGTTTAATTTTAATTCTGACATCCGGTAATGTAACATATGTAACGATGACCTGTCAAAGTGCAACATGTTAATTTCAGTACAATTATTTTAGTCTGCTGTTTAAATTACCTTATTTTATATAGCAAAGAGTCATCTTTATTCATGATTGATATTTGCAACTTGATGTTCTCTAATAAGAACTGTATAAAATCACCGGCTTTTCAGCTATGACAATATTCTAATAATTTTAATAATAATTACAGAAATTAGTTACCTCTATACGCGTAAACAGCTAATTAAACCTGTATTATAAACCATGACAGTCTTGGTTTGCAAAATCTGTTTCATTCGCAAACGATTTGCCTTTAAGAAGCTTCGAACACGTAATCTGATTAGCACCGATGGGCATCGACACATCAGGCAATTGCAGCAGCAGTCAAAGACACCGGAGCGAAATTAAGGTCGTGTACGTTCGTACCTCCTTTTGATGTTCGATGACCAAGTTTTCGGGTCATCGTTCTTTCGTCAAGTGAATCTAGATTGGCTGGACAGAATCGGGACAAGGTTTGTATTTATCGGTCATCCGTTACATGACATCAAAGATTCTTCGATTCCATCCTAGACACAAATTACGGGCTATTAAGCTAGAATTATGTCTCATGTCTTTTTGCAGTTAACATTTGCTTGCTTGCTTGAAAACAAAATTTTCCAATCCTCCTTCTACGTTACTGATCCAGTCGTTCTGTTTTACATTATATGTGTATGAATGTTTAATTTTAGTTTGGCTAATGTTTTATGCTTTATTTGAAAATGCAACGAGGTCAAGCAAGACTTTTTACGTCAGCAATTAAGGATTAAGAGAGATTCTGGTCACTGGCACGACCACCTTATAAATACGACCATCGCTGCTGAGTCATACATAGTCAACTGTCAAGTATAATTATCAAATATAATAGTGAATTATTTGAACGGTATGTTTATGTAGGTATTTCAAATATGTATATAGGTACATACATATATGTTTCCCTACAGCAATCAGTCGTGTAATTACACACATCCACATGGAACAATGGGTGAAAGTGATTTGTAATAATTGAGATCCTGGTGTATGAGCATGGAATGTGTATATTCTCAGGGATTTACGATAGAGCAACGTTAGTACAACGAATGCTTTCGCTTGACCACTTTACCAGTGGTAATAATAAACATAATATTATAGAATCTCATTTGATGCTGTTTCCTCATTTAAAACCTTTCCTTTAACATATTTCTGAAATCTTGCTAAAAAAATAATCAGGTGGATGATAAATGATTAAGAAACGTGTACCCGGTATGAAAGAGTGTAGGTTTCCTCGACAGGAGAAGTCCCTATCGAGCCTGTTTGGCTAGAGAAGGTCGCGAGGGGATCGCGAGAGGATCGTGGAAAAAAGATTGTGGCGAGGTAGGCGAGTGCACTTCTCTGGCTTCTTCCCCTCCTCGACTCCTGATCGCGTCTCACTAACTAAGTCTGGCCGAGTCTACCAGTCTACCGGCGTGCCGTTGGTACCAGGGCGCACCGCCTGGTACGAGCGGTGCACTCCGCCTCTGTCCCCTCATTCGTTCCTCTCTTTTCACGACGCGTCTCACTCTCGTACGGTTCGTTATCTTTCTCCGTTTCTCCCGTTTCTCCCGTTCCCAACACACCGCACCTCCGTTCATCGTGATGCGCGCCAAAGGAGATGAGAAAATTCGCAACCTGGCCAACACAAACAAACAGGGACGTCTATCAGATATTCTTCTAAGAATTGCGTTACTTCTTGTATCCGTAAGGATACCTTTCAAATATCTACATACTTATCATCTACCTGATACGAAATTAAAAAGGAAAAAGATGTTGACGAAATGGAACGTGTCATCTCCTATGACGTCCGAATTGATGGTTGCCTCTAAAGGACTACCTGTTTTCTTACAGAGAACACGTTTCCTGGCAATTCGTGACGAGAAACGTTAAAATATCTTAGAAGCGCGTGCCACCAAGATACTTGTTGTTTATCTCACGTCTTTTGGAATTTCATTTTCGTCATTTCAATCAATCAATGTTCGTCACGAGATTGTTGCCAAGCTCCTTATGATATGCAATTTTCTTTACCGATGGTTCGATTAATGCCCTCTAGTAGAATCCCGAAAAATATCTATCTTTTCTGAACATTGATGCGTCCTTGTACTTCTGAAAGAGCCAATATTATTGAGAATACGTCATCGAACGAGAAAGGCTTAAGCATCCTGCCGATGTTATCCTTGAAAGGATGCACATATACGGCAGCAAGGTACACATGCACCGGGTAGATAACCGATTCCAGATAGATTCCGTTCAGATCTGTCTAGTGCCAGTCCGTATCGTTCTGTCTTCGATATATGGCAGCTAGTTTTTTTCAGTCGTTCGAATAAATACATATGTACATACATGTATCTTCCGGTCATTATTCTTTGTTATAACCTGTAAAAACGAACAGGCTGTTAAGAGCTGTTTTATGAAATGAAAAATTTGTTCATCTTTTTCACAGTATAGGTTATTCTATAAACTTTTTATGGTAATAAAATGATAATTGAGAATTTTCTATCTTTCAAACATTAATAAATATGAAATAAAAGAAAAATACCTTGAATATTCCATCCTCGTTGCGCGCATGCGTGTAATTTGAAACAAGAATAATTAGTTCTCCTGCAGAAAAACTTGTCGTTTCTTCTTTAAACTTTTATAGAAAGTTACCTGTTTTTCCTCGTCGAGATGAAATTCGAAAACGTAACGTATTGTTTTTAGAAAAAAAAAAGTAGTCGTTTAATTGATCCTAACCTATCCGAGCAAAATCCTCATCAGCGGGATCTGAAACTATGTTAAGTTAAGTTAATCGTGCCTGTCATCTAGCATACTAATATCTTTTACAGTAAAAAGACTTTCTTTGCTGTTCGTTGTAATAATATCGTTAACAATAATTATTCACCAATTAATTAACCGCTTAGAAATTTCTTTCCAAGATTTTCCGTTATTCGTATAGTCAAATAAAATCGATGTATCGAAGATAAAAGATCAATTTTCCAAAGCGGATCTTTGCCAACATTCATTGAACCTTTCACCTATCACGTCACTGATACATTCAGTCACGATTATTTCTACTTGATACTAATTTTTCTCTTCCATCATTTTAATATTATATTATTTATAAAAAATTTCTTGTTATAAAATCAAAATACGTTCAATGTATACCAACGTTCGATCGATTATATTATCGAAAGCGATCGATACTTCGGTTGAAGTTGATACAAGTTGATAAATTCAATATGGCGGCAACATTGTTCGCGAAAAAGTGATAATTGTTTTAAAATATAATTGTTTTTTCTTGCAGCCGATGGTAGCGGATGTGGTAACAATAGCTACAGATGTCTCGACGGTACTTGCATACCGGCTACTTTAGTTTGTAACTACCAAAAAGATTGCGAAGCCGGAGAAGATGAATTTCAATCTTGTCGTAAGTACTTTTCTATTATTTGTTTCAGGAAGAAATTTGTATTCCAGGTGATATTAGTTAAAAATTGCAGAAACAATTGGATTTCGAGTAATTTAGCGAAAAAGAATGATGATCATGATCAACGAGAAATACACTTCCCGGAAGAAGATTCGAATTCTTTTTCATGTGCTTCCGGCACACGCGAGATTCAAAGAAAAAAAAACATATTCGACAGATGTTTATGTAATCCTCGTTTTTTTTTTTTTTTTTTTTTTAAACTTCTAATCTGTAGATTGTTCCTTCCTAATGACATAAGCATGGTTACACAATTAAGCACTGTGCAATTACAAATTATTTGTGAGCAAATTTAAAAAGCCAGAAATTAAATCTTATCTAAATTAATCTGATGAACCAGATCTTGTAATCATTATGTAAATGTGCTTTATTAGAAATTAGCGCAAGAATTGATAACTAGGCTGTTGATGCCGGGGATTGACTGATAAGAATTATAGACTCTATTTTAGGTCTACTTACTAGGAACATCAATTACTAATAATACTATTACTTTTAATCAATTAGAAATAACAATTTCATTGTATTTACAGCACCACCTGACTGCGAGGCTGGACAGATCACCTGTGGCCAATACATTTTTAACAAGACTTATTGTATACCTCCTCATCAGCGATGCGACATGACCGTAGACTGCGTCGATGGAACCGACGAAGCCGGTTGTAGTAAGTATTTGGTAAATTTATTTAAGTAATAAGATGACAGGAAGAAACCAAATTGTTGGTAGAAATGACTGATTGAGGAAATCATATCTTAAACAAACAGATTACAGGAAATGCCAACCGGACGACTTTCGGTGCGGTGGCACGACACCAGAGCTTTGCATCCCAAAGGAGAAGAAGTGCGATGGTTACCTAGACTGTCGAAACGGTCGGGACGAAGACAAATGCGGGAATAATATGAAACCAGCTTGTCGCTTGGATCAGTTCAGGTGTAATTCCACGCAACGTTGTATAGAGCAATCAGCCAGGTGTAATTATAAGGATGACTGCGGGGACAATAGTGACGAAGAGAATTGCAGTATGTTTCAGCTTTGAGTCTTCCTTTTCCAACACCACAGGCTGATTTGTTAACAAAAACAGAATAACTTTCTATTATCTGAAACTTGACCTTTTCTTTTCTTCATTTTCTTTTTACTTACGATTAATCTTGAAAGCAAAGTCTGCAATATACTGTTAGAAATTAGAAGAACATTGTTAAAGAATAACCAGAAAAAGGACCATGTATTGTTACTCGTGTTAAAGAGGAATCGAATGATTAAAAGTCTGTTCTACTTTTGTCACACTTTCTTTATAGCCTAAAGAAAGTACCGCAGCTAAAGTCGAGGATTTTCAGACTTCCAGCCGTGCACAAGCAATCAATTTCGATGCGCGAATGCGCTTTGTATACCAAAGTCGTATCACTGCGATGGATACAAGGACTGCCAGGACGGTTCCGACGAGAAGTCTTGCACGATGACATCCTGTCCTGGAAATAAGTTCATGTGTCCAAAAGGTGCAGCCGATGGCAAGCCCCTATGCATTGATCGTTCTCAGCTTTGCGATGGAAAGCCTGACTGTGAAGATGAAACTGACGAAGAAGCTGCCTGTTGTAAGTATATTCAAGATTATAATTCATGGTTTTTGCATTTTTATATCTATGCGTAAGTAGTTGCTTATTTTAAGTAAGGGTTGAAATTTTCTGATATGATTAAAGTACATGTCCTATTTTCTCTGTTTCAATTACTACACTTTAGTGGACCGTTAGGGCAGGTATGTTCAGTTTCTGACCTTCAGAATGGCAAAACATAACATTTTTTTCTAATAGGATGATTAGACTGATTAATAAAAATGAAATAATAAAAATTTAAGATTGCTGAAATGTTGTTCTTTCTTCACAGCAAAGAATATGTGTAATTCCTTGAGATGCGAGTATTCCTGTCGAGCCTCTCCGATGGGAGGAGTGTGCGATTGCCCTGCAGGATGGGTTCTTGCAAACGATTCAAGAACTTGCGTTGGTACGTATATGGAGCAATCTTCTTCTCGTTTACTGCATTTTGATCAATGTTAAAACGCTATTGTAATGTTCTATAAAAAATTTGTTTTAACAGATCGTGACGAGTGTTCGGAATGGGGTTTCTGTGAGCAATTATGTATGAATACATTAGGTTCGTACATTTGCAGTTGTGCACCAGGCTTTGTAGTGCAAGGACACAAATGTCGAGCACTGCAACACCCCGATGTGAAATTGGAACTGTTAGTTGCTCAGGAACGTGCCGTCTGGAGGATGTCCGCTACCGGCGAGGATAGGAGTATCGTTGCGAATACAACCGGTGCTAGCGGAGTAGATTATCTCTATTCCAGTGACTTGCTCTTTTGGAGCGACGTTAAGACTAGAAAAGTGCACTCTGAGCCATTGAACGGCGATGATAACGACGGCTCGAACGTGGATATATATTTGGCAAGTTCATGGGGACCGGTGGCTATCGCTGTAGATTGGATAGGAAAGAAGTTGTACGTGGTAGACTCGATAGTACAGAAAATCGACGTGTTCGAATTGGATGGAAGATATCACGGTATTGCTTTGGGTTCCAACTTAACCAACCCGATGGACATTGCTCTGGATCCCACGGTGGGTTTGATGTTCGTTGCCGACAGTAAACAAGTATTGAGAGCCAACATGGACGGCACTGTAGCTTTTCCAGTTGTCTCTGAGGCAGCTTACAAAGTTTCCGGGGTGGCTGTGGATGTGATCGCGCGAAGAATATTTTGGTGCGATTCTCAATTAGACTACATAGAAACAGCTGATTATTTCGGAAGGAACAGAGTGATGGTGCTCAGAGGACCGCACACCCCGGCCCCAACAAGGCTGACACTTTTTGAGAATAAAATCTTTTGGACGGATGGCACGAAGCAAGCGATCATGAGCGTTGATAAGACCGAGGGTGACTATTCTATACAGACTATTTATAAATTGAAGGATGCAAAGGCCATCAAAGCGTTGCATCCGTTGACTCAACCAACGGTTTCCAATCCTTGCGGTAACAACAACGGTGGTTGCCAGCATATGTGCATCGTTACTGCAGCCAGTGATCAAGAAAATAGATTAGGTTATCGATGCGCCTGCGATATAGGCTGGAGATTGTCCAGTGATCAAAGGAATTGCAATTTGGTTCAGGAGTTCTTGATGTACTCTCAGCAAAGGTTCATCAAAGGTAGAGTACTGGATCCGGTAATGGAAGGATTTAGCGACGCTATTTTGCCTCTTGTGTCCAGGCGAGCCAGATTCGTTGGATTGGATTACGATGCGCACGACCAGTACATTTACTACAGCGACGTTTTGCAAGACGTGATCTACCGAATCCATCAGAATGGAACGGGCAGGGAAATCGTTCTGGCTAGTCAAAACGAGGGTGTCGAAGGTTTGGCAGTCGACTGGGCTGCTAAGAACCTTTATTATATTGATTCAAGAAAGGGCACGCTGAATGTACTCAGCACTCAGAATGTAACTTATCGAAGAACGTTGTTGAAAAACCTGAAACGACCCAGAGCCATCGTGATTCATCCTAATCACGGATACATCTTCTTCTCGGAATGGGATCGACCGGCTAATATCAGCAGAGCTTATACCGATGGTTCCAATTTGATAGTCTTCAGGAATTTGACACTGGGTTGGCCGAACGGTTTGGCTATCGATTTTGCAAAGGACAGACTGTACTGGTGCGATGCTCTGTTAGATCACGTGCAACATTCGAACCTAAACGGTACAGACGTCCGTACGGTTAACTCGAGACTAATCAGACATCCCTTCTCCATGGCTATTCACGAGGAATGGATGTACATTACCGATTGGCGACTCGATGCCATAATAAGAATGCACAAGGAAACAGGTGAACAAGAGGTTGTACTTGTCCGTGAGCCCGATACCAATAGATTGTACGGAGTGAAGGTGTTTAGTCGCGACATCCAGACTTCTCCGCCTGATCATCCGTGCTCCATCAACAACGGTGGCTGTGAAAAGTTATGTTTCGCCATTCCTCAGAATAATACCAACAGATACGGCACCTCTAGACTGACACGGGTCTGCGGTTGTCCTTACGGCGAACGTCTTCAGGGAAATGAAAGGAGCTGTTCACCTGATCCAGAAGCCGAACCACCATTGGAAGCCTGCCCTAACAAGCTAGACTTCACCTGTGCCAATCAGAGATGCGTGTCCTATACCTGGGTGTGCGACGGAGAGAACGACTGTCTGGACAACAGTGACGAACAGAACTGTACCAAACCGACCTGTGGCCCCAACGAGTTCCAGTGCAAGTCCGGTAGATGCGTACCTATCAGCTTCCGTTGCGACTCTGAGAACGACTGCGGGGACTACAGCGACGAGGTCGGTTGTCCAAACATATCCTGCAGCGCGAACCAATTCGCATGTGCCAACTTTAGATGTATACCAAGCACTTGGAAGTGTGACTCTGAAAACGACTGCGGGGATAGCTCGGACGAAGGCGACTTTTGTGTAGCGAAGACTTGCTCTTTCTACCAGTTCACCTGTCCACGATCAGGACACTGTATCCCCCAGTCGTGGGTCTGCGACGGTGACAACGACTGCTTCGACCAGCAAGACGAGATGGACTGTCCACCGGTTACCTGTTTGAGTACACAGTTCACCTGTGCCGATCAAAAGATGTGCGTTCTTGATTCGTACAAATGCGACGGTATCTCCGATTGTAACGACGGCAGCGACGAAGTCGGCTGTCCCTCGTTGGCCCCTGATCAATGTAACACCGACAAACAGTTTCAATGCGTCAGCTCTGCGATATGTATCCCAAAGAGTTGGTACTGCGACGGTACCGCTGACTGTCCGGACAAGTCTGACGAGCCGACTCCTTGCGGCCAAGTCAGTTGTCAACCGGGATACTTTAAATGCCGTAACGATAAATGCGTGTTCAAGGCGTACATCTGCGACGGAAAAGACGACTGCGGCGATGGCTCCGACGAGGACACCGAGCTGCACGCTTGCACCGCGCCAGAATTCAAATGCGAATCTCAACAATGGAAGTGTCCTAACGTAACCGATCGATGCATCAACATAACTAGCGTCTGCGACGGGAAATTTGATTGTCCTAACGGGGCCGACGAGGGCCCTCGTTGCGACATACCAGAGTGCAAGTACCGAGGGGGTTTCTGCAGCAACGGCTGCATCCAGACACCTTTAGGCAAGCAGTGTACCTGCCCTAAAGGAGAGGTGCTCGGCAAGGATGGCTACGATTGCGAGGATGTTAACGAATGCGATCCACCTGGACGTTGTTCGCAGATCTGCGCAAACACCAAGGGTGGCTACTATTGTAACTGCGTAGACGGATACAGCCTCGAAGGTGACAAACACAGGTGCAAAGCGTTCAATCACAGCGCAGCTTTCTTGATCATATCCAACAGGCACACGATTCTAGTGGCCGATCTGCAGGACCAGGCGTTGGAGAGGGTGCCGATCAACGTGGAGAACGTCGTCGCAACCGCCAGTAACATGCATACCGGTACAATATTTTGGTCTGATATGAAATTGAAGAAGATATCGAGGCTGGACAAAGGGAGCGACCCTCAGGATGTGATATTGACAGGGTTAGATCTGGTAGAAGGGCTTGCCTATGATTGGATAGGCCAGAATCTCTACTGGTTAGACTCGAAATTGAACACCATCGAGGTGTCTAAAGAGAACGGTGCCAGTAGAATGATACTGGTTAAAGAGAACATCACTCAGCCGAGAGGTATGTGTCTGGATCCAAGTCCAGGGGCAAGATGGTTGTTCTGGACAGACTGGGGCGAGAATCCTAGAATCGAGAGGATCGGTATGGACGGTACCAACAGATCGACCATCATCAACACTAAGATTTACTGGCCAAACGGTCTTGCATTGGATATAGCAAATAAAAGGATATACTTTGCCGATAGCAAATTGGATTTCATCGACACTTGCCTCTACGATGGAAGTAAAAGGATTCAGGTATTGGCTAGCTCTCACTATTTGCTGCATCCTCATTCATTAACATTGTTCGAGGATACCATGTACTGGACAGACAGGCAATTGAACAGGGTATTGTCTGCTCACAAGTTCTATGGTGTCAATCAGACGGTTGTATCTCATTTGATATCTCAACCATTGTCTATTCATGTTCATCATCCAGTCTTGCAGCCTGTAACTCCGAACCCTTGTGAAAACGCCAGCTGCGCCCATTTGTGTCTTCTGTCTCCATCCGTTACCGAGGGTTACACCTGTAAATGTCAAGTAGGATTCAAATTGTTACCAAATGGACAATGTTTCGAGGAAGAAACTCCATATTTGATGGTCCTGCGAGGCTCACAAATCGTAGACGTGTCCTTGATACCTGGCAGCTCTAAAACAGGTTACATCACACCTGTAGTAGGAGTAGAGGGTGGCAAGTTGATCGACTACGACAGGAAGGAACGAATGATCTATTGGCTGCAGACAAAGGACGACGACGATGAGAATGGAACCATTTACAGCACTCCGTACAGTGGTGGTAATAGAACAGAGTTCCCTAATCCATCTGGTGAAAGTGGAATCGTTGGTGCCCCGTCTGCCATCGCGTTCGACTGGCTTGGAAGGAACATGTTCATAGGAAATAAGTACGCTTCCAATATAGAGGCTATAAAGGTGGACGGTAAGATCAGGTACAGGACGATAGTGCTCGCCAACGATGGTAACAAAACCTCGGTAGCAAAACCGAAGGCGATCTGCGTTGATCCTCTGGAGGGACACATATTTTGGGTAGACGATGGTAGTTTCGGTATTCCTACGAAGATCGGAAGAGTCAACATGGACGGTACGAATCCAATGATACTGGTGAACAACGTGGAAAGACCAGAGGCTATCACTATCGACATCCCTACGAAGACCGTTTACTTCAGTTCTCTGAACCCGGCCCTCGTTATGGCGATCTCCACGGATGGACGAAATCTGATAAGAATAGTGTCGGAGAACATAGAGTTACCCAAGGCACTCGCCGTTCACGAGTCAAAATTGTACCTCCTCGATCCACGGTACGATAAGGTTGAAAGGGTCGATTTACCAGACGGAGGCAATCCAACGACGATCATCGACAACGATTCTGAACTGAAAACATTGACCATTTATAAGAAACGAGTTACGGGTGATCATCCGTGCTTCGTGAACAACGGTGGCTGCGAACAGATCTGTCTGCCCGCTTCCGGTGGCACCAGAGTCTGTGCCTGCGGCATGGAGTACAGAAAGGTCAGCGACACAGCCTGCGAACCGTTCAAAACGTTTGCGGTGGTCACTCAACTGGACGTAGCCAGAGGTTACAGTTTGAAGGATGCGAAAGAAGCGATGGTCCCTATATCTGGAATTGGTCATCACATCCTTCACGTGGATGTCCACTATGCAGGCAATTGGATCTATTGGGTGGAGTTTAACCGTGGTATATGGAACGGTATATTCCGTGTCAGGCCAAACGGCACCGAATTACAGCACGTGATCAAACAAGGGATCGGCTCTAATGGTATCAGGGGACTAGCCATCGATTGGGTAGCTGAAAATCTTTACTTCACCAACGTGTTCCCTCATGACAACTACGTAGAAGTGTGCAAGCTGGATGGTAGTAATAGAAAAGTGCTGGTGAAGACGACTGCGGATTCTCCTAGAGAGTTAGCAGTGAATCCAATCAAGAAGTACCTCTATTGGATAGACTATGGTCAGTACCCAAGATTAGGTAAGGCCTATTTGGATGGAAGTAACTGGGTACCTATTGTTACCTCCGGTATCAGCACTCCTCGTGACATAACCATTGATCCTGCTACTCATGACGTCTACTGGGTGGATTCTAAGCAAGACACGATTCAGAAGGTCTCGTACACTGGTGGGAATCGAGAGATAATCAGGCGGAACCTACCAAATCCCATGGGAGTAGCAATTTATGGTAACGATGTATATTGGGTGGACAGGAACTTGGCTTCGGTGTTCAAAGCTAGCAAACGCGGTAACATAAGCCTGCCAACCACCGTCAGATCAAATCTTCCTAAACTGAGGGACATAGTAATGTTCGACGCGAATAGTCAGCCCCCGGATCCCACTAATCCTTGCTCTCAAGGCGGCGGAAGCGCGGGTTGCCAACAGCTTTGTTTCGCCATGCCGAAAGAAAGTTCAGCCCCTTTCAAATGCGAGTGCGCTGTTGGGAAATTAGCAGAGGACGGTAAGAGCTGTGAAAACGTGGACGAGTATCTAGTGTTTGCTACCAAAACAGAGATCAGAGCCATCGGAATGGACCCAGAGAACACCAGTGTACCATTCAATTCCGTAGGGAACCTTACCAACGTGGTCGGCGTTGATTTCGATTATCAGGATAAGAAATTACTGTTCACGCAGATCAGACCCTTGGCCAGGATCGCTTGGATGCGCGCGGACAATCCCTCCTCTTCGGAAATTCACATTCTGATCAGCAAGGGTATCAATCCAGAGGGAATTTCCTACGATTGGACTCAGAAGAAGGTTTATTGGACGGATTCTTCCAACAATAGTATCTATGCAATGGATATAGACGGATCGAATCTTGTGATGATCGCCAGGGTAGACAGACCCAGAGCCATCGTGGTAGATCCTTGCAACGGCTCCTTGTACTTCACCGACTGGGGTCGTTTTGGCACCTCTGGTAAGATCTTCAGGACCACTATGGCGGGCTCGTTAAAGAAGGCGATCATCGACAAGGATCTTTCTCAGCCTAGCGGACTAGCGATCGACTACGAGGACCGTATGTTGTATTGGACCGACGCGGTCAGGGAAAAGATAGAACGTTCCGAGTTGGATGGTAAGAATCGTCAGGTACTGGTCAGCGCTACCATATACCCGTTCGCCATAACCGTGTTCAGGGAGCATATCTACTGGACGGACCTGCAACTAAGAGGAGTATACCGCGCCGAGAAGCATACCGGAGCCAACAAAGTGGAACTGGTCAAGCGATTAGAAGAGTCGCCCAGGGACCTGCACATTTACTCTGCAGCCAGGCAACAGTGCAAAGTGAACCCCTGCCACATCTCGAACGGTGGCTGCGATCAGTCCTGTCACCCGGGTATAAACGGATCGGCCGAGTGTAAATGCGACGACAACAGCAGACTCGTCAACGAGGACAGAATGTGCGTACCTAAGAACGTCACATGCGACTCGAGCAAGTTCGCCTGCAGGAATGGCCGATGTATCTCCAGGATGTGGGCCTGCGACGGCGACGACGACTGCGGCGACGGTTCCGACGAGGACGTCAACTACTGTTCCTACCACTCTTGCAGCCCCAACGAATTCAGGTGCAACAACGGTCGCTGCATCTTCAAGACCTGGAAATGCGACCATGAAAACGATTGCCGAGACGGTAGCGACGAGGAGGGCTGCGTGTATCCTCCCTGCGGCCCCGGAGAGTTCACCTGCGCCAATCACCGGTGTATCCCTCAGTCCCAGGTCTGTAACGGTATCAACGACTGCAAGGACAACGTCACATCGGACGAGACTCACGAGCGTTGCCCTAGGAACACTACTTGCCCGCCTAATCATCTGAAATGCGAGAAGACCAACATATGCGTGGAACCTTACTGGCTGTGCGACGGCGACAACGATTGCGGAGATAACAGCGACGAGAATCCATTGCACTGCGCACAGAGAACCTGCCCGCAGAGCAGCTTCAGGTGCCCCAACCACAGGTGCATACCCGCCACTTGGTACTGCGACGGGGACGACGATTGTTTGGATGGTAGCGACGAACCTCCGGGTTACTGTCAGTCGGAAGGCAGGACATGCTTCGGTGATCTGTTCACCTGCGACAACGGGAACTGTATACCCAGGATCTACATATGCGACGGGGACAACGACTGCTTGGATCACTCTGACGAAGATGAACGTCATCAATGTAACGACAGGAAGTGCGACGAGGAAACCGAGTTCACTTGTACCGCTAACAAGGTATGGAACCGGGCACAATGTATCCCGAAGAAATGGTTGTGCGACGGAGATCCAGACTGCGTAGACGGTGCCGATGAAAACGTCACCGTTCTCCACTGTCCTACACCGACACCTTGCGCTGAGAATCAATTTACCTGCGACAATGGACGTTGTCTGAATCAGAACTGGCTCTGCGACCATGATAACGACTGTGGCGACGGTAGCGACGAAGGGAAGTTTTGTAATTCCAGATACAAACCGTGCACGGCTCAAGAGTTCACTTGCCATAATTTCAAGTGCATCAGGAAACAGTTCAGGTGCGATGGACAGGACGATTGTGGCGATCATTCGGACGAAGATGGGTGTCGTAAGTAGATCCCATCATCATCATCATCATCATCATCATCATCACATAAAACCAACAACACGCTTACTTTTTATTAAAGACTTGATCAATTTTCCGATTCGATTTTTTCCAGCGTCAAAGTCGAAAAACACAACCTGTCCAAATCCAGGGGAGTTTATGTGCGGAAATGGAAACTGTATCGACCAGCAATTGGTTTGCAACAAGGAACCTGATTGCGCAGACGAGAGCGACGAGCCAGCTCATTGCAACGTGGACGAATGTGCTCGTATAGAGATGAATCAATGCGCCCATAAATGTGTCGACACTCCAACCAGTTATTACTGCGAATGTAATCCAGGTTACAGATTGTTGGAGAATGGGAAAACTTGCGAGGACATAGACGAATGCGTAGAGACACCACAGGTGTGTAGCCAACAGTGTCAAAACACGCCAGGAAGTTTCTACTGCAAGTGCAACCATTATTGGTACGAGCGTGCTGCTGACGAGCATACTTGCAAGAGAAGGGACAACATCAAACCATGGATTATATTCACAAACAAATACTATGTCAGGAACATGTCTATAGACGCGTCCAATTATAGCTTGATGCATCAAGATCTCATCAACGTTGTAGCTTTGGATGCTGATTACTCAGAGCAGATGCTTTATTTCTGCGATGTTACTGCCAAGACCATCTTTAGGCAAGTTTCAACTCTTTATTTCGAAGCTATTTTATTATAAATTTCTTACGCCATCACGTTTTTATTCACATCGACTCCGTGTGTAGAGCACCGATTGCAGGAGGTGAAAGGGAAGCCATCATCAGACACGACAGTCTTGGCTTGGAAGGCATAGCGGTGGACTGGGTAGGTCGCAAGCTTTACTGGCTCGATCGACACGCCAAACACTTGGATGTTGCCGAACTTAATGGAACAAATAGAAAGACTTTACTGACTGGTATAGCGGATCCACGTGCCATCGTCGTTCATCCTGGTACTGGATATTTGTACTTCACCTCTTGGCACCTTCAGGTAATCTTAACGATTCAAGTATTAATTAAATTAACAGAATAATTTACAATTTATTTTTTGGTTTTAAGGCATACATAGGCAAGATGGGAATGGATGGTAGTAACTTTACAAGAATCCTCACCTGGGAAGACGACATTGCTTGGCCAAATGCTCTGACCATTGATTACTTCACCGACAGAATTTTCTGGGCGGATGCTCACTTGGATTACATAGCGTTCGCTGATTTAGAAGGCCATAACAGACGCAAAGTGCTCACTGGTGCCACTGTGCCACATGTTTTCGCCATCACCGTATTCGACGACTTTATTTTCTGGACGGATTGGAACTTGAAGGCCATCAGTAGAGCAGAGAAATTCTCGGGAGCGAATTTACGAGTGCTTAGGAACACTACTCACAGACCGTACGACATCCACGCGTACCATCCTCTACGACAGTTACCTTACAACAATCCATGCATGGAAAACAATGGAGGATGTTCTCATCTTTGTCTGATTTCGCCACCTGCGAGCTCTTACTTGCTCGAAGGATACGGACAACCCGGCGTCACCTCTTACAAATGCAAATGTCCTAATCAGTTTGTACTGGAGAAGGATGGTAAAACTTGTAGAGCGAATTGCACTGATGGACAACATCGATGTGGACCTCCTGATGAAAAATGTATACCCTGGTACTGGCAGTAAGTATAATATCATCATAGACTGTAGAGGCATATTTTATTCTACCCTGCCATATATTCAGTCTATTCTTTTTTCTTTTTTCTTTAAGATGCGACGGTGAAAAGGATTGCAAGGACGGTTCGGACGAACCCACCAGTTGTCCGCCACGTGTCTGTAGACCAAGTGTCTTCCAGTGTGCCAATAGTAACTGTAGACCCAGCGTGGCGGTCTGCGATGGCGCTGACGATTGTGGCGACAAGAGCGACGAGGCCAATTGTGGATTAGATTGCGGTGAATTAGAATTCAAGTGCAAATCTAATGGACGTTGCATTCACGAATCGTGGAAATGTGATGGGGATGCTGATTGCAAGGATGGCAGTGACGAAGATCCTGCTATTTGTCGTAAGAACCTATTCCTTAAAAATTTTTCCTTTCTAAAATAATAATTAAACATAATATATATATTTACACAGATAATCGTCAGTGCGATCCAAACACAGAATTTACTTGCAAGAATGGCAGATGCATTCAGAAAGTATGGATGTGCGACTCTGACAATGATTGTGGCGATGACAGTGACGAACCAGCATATATGTGTCGTCAAAGAAACTGCACAACTGGTTGGCAGCGGTGTCCAGGCCACGCCAATTATCGTTGCATTCCTAAATGGTTGTTCTGTGATGGAAAGGATGATTGTCGCGACGGTTCCGATGAACTGCCCGACAATTGTCCGAAATGTGATCCTAAGATGGACTTTAAGTGCGCGAATAATAGATGCGTACCCAAACAATGGCTTTGTGACTTTGCGGATGATTGTGGTGATGGCAGTGACGAAGCTGAAGCTATGTGCAAGGACCGCTATAGGGAATGTTCCGAATCAGAGTTCCGTTGCGACAATGGCAAATGTATTGCCTCTAGATGGAGGTGCGACAGCGAAGACGACTGTGGCGATAACAGTGATGAAAATGGATGCCAGACGTTTGTCTGCAAGGTACTTTTACTGCCTCTACTTATTTTTTAACCTCTAATTATTTTCGTTAAGAATAATCATATTAATTGACCTACATACATCTATCGCAGAATTATACCTTCCAATGTGCAAGTGGCCACTGCATAGCGTCGTATCTGCGGTGCGATGGAACACGAGATTGCCGAGACATGAGCGACGAAATTGGATGTCCACCAAGGTATCCAGGTGGAAGGTATTGTCCTCAATCAAGATTCCAATGCGATAACAATCTCTGCGTTTACCTCACCGATATATGCGATGGAAGCGATGACTGTGGCGATGGTTCAGATGAAAATCCCAATATGTGTGGTACGATTTTATACTCATAATCTTCTTTTAATTTATTATACTTTGCACTTGCGTGTTGGTTAAATTATTGATCCTTTACAGCGAACTTCAAGTGCGACACAACTAGGAGGTTCCAGTGTACCAATCACAAGTGTATCGCCAAGTATCAAGTATGCGATGGTATTGATAACTGCGGCGATGGATCTGACGAGAACAACATGACAATGTGCTTCTCTAGAATCCGTCCTTGTGATCCTATCACCGAGTACACCTGCGCGAACAAGAAATGCGTTGACAGACCGAAACTCTGTGATTTTGCTGATGATTGTGGTGACTCTTCTGACGAGCTTGGCTGTCGTAAGTTTCAATTTCAATTTCACTTTCACTTTTATTATACCTTTCCTTATCTCTTCTGTTCTTTTTGTTATTATTATTTTATACAGATCATAACAAGCCCTGTTTGGAAAGTAACAAGGGTGGTTGTTCGCATTATTGTCACAATATCACCGACGGTGGTTACATCTGTGCCTGCTATCCAGGTTATATAATATCGCAAGACAACAGAAAGCATTGCGAGGATGTCGACGAATGTAGCACGGGTCAACACCAGTGTTCTCAGATCTGTACCAACTTGAATGGCACGTACTCCTGTTCCTGTAGACAAGGTTTCCAACTGTCAGATAATCGCAGCGGTGTCTGCAAAGCTGTAGAGACAGAAGCGATGGTCTTGTTCGCCAATGGACCTGAAATAAGAGCATACGACGTTAATGAGAAGGAGGAGCTCGAGGTTATAGCGGATGAAAAGAGGGTACAGGCTGTCGACTTTGATCCCAGAGCAGAGTACGTTTTTTGGATCGATGGTCATGACAATTCCATCAGAAGATCCTACATGGTGAACGCTAAAGGTGGACAAGTGAAGATAGGATACGCTCAGGATCTTAATATAAAAAGCGACTCGTTACCTACCAGTTTGGCAGTAGATTGGATCTCTGGTAATCTCTACTGGACAGAAATTGATTCTTCGGGAGCAACGTTGTTCGGTCGAGTGATGGTCTCAAAGTCAGACGGTAGATACCGTCGAAGTTTGATCACAATTGGTTTAGAACTACCTACATCGATTGTGTTGGACCCTGAACATGGTCGTACCATCTGGGCAGATGCTGGAAGCCAACCTAAAATTGAAATCGCTTGGATGGACGGTGACAGACGAAAACAATTGGTTTCTGACCGAATTGGACAACCCATTGCTCTGGCAATCGACTATTCAATGAACCATGTTGTCTATTGGGCTGATAGGAAACTTAATACCATCGAATCTATTGAACAGGTATGGTTTGTAACCATTAATTAAGTAATCACTTGCCTTCTTTGTCCTTGTGTGTCCCTTCTTATCCCTCTAGAATTAATTAAATGTTGGAATTTGTTAGTTGTTGTAGTTCGTTTTACAATTCGTTAATCGATTAACGACAACCGACTATTAAAAAAAAAAAAAAAAAAAAAAAAAAGGCTGATTTTTGAACAGTTTGTCGAGTTTCATTCAGTTAATGATCCGATATTTACAAAAGTATAAAAGTTGAAATAAGATTTGAAAAAGTCAACTCTCTTTTACCTTTGCAGGATGGCTCGAATAGAAAGGTGATCTTAAAAGGTGAAAACCTACACCATCCAGTATCTTTAGACGTTTTCGAAAGCAGCCTATATTGGACAACCAGACGGACAGGAGAATTAATGAGGCAAGATAAATTCGGCAGAGGTGTGCCAGAAGTTATTGTCAAGAACATAGCTAGTCCAGGAGGAGTGAAGGTGTACCATCCACTGAGATACAATACCACGTTGAGGAATTTCTGTCACGACGATCAATGCACGCACCTTTGCGTTCCAATTCCCGGTGGTAGTCGGTGTCTTTGTTCGGATAGTATCGGTCCCCTACAACAGAGAGAGACTACGCGTTCCAATGAACGCCATTGCGATGCCACGAACGAGAGACCGTTACCTGCGCCGAGAATCTGCCCTTGCAGAAACGGTGGATTATGCCAGGAAGTTGAGGACAATAAATTACACTGCGCTTGTCCGGCTTACTTCCATGGAGAGTTCTGCGAAGTGATCGTAGGAGTTAGATCGAGCAATGCTACCGCTGCAATCGTTATTCCTATTGTTATTTCTGTCTTGGTCCTCCTTGGGGCTGCTGCTGTTATCATGGTGCTTAAGAAACGTCCATTGTAAGTATTTTTTTTTTATCCATAAAAATACCATAAAAATCTCAAATTTTCTTTTCATCTTTTCAATGAAACTTCATTTTGTTCATAGTGGAAAGCCTGGAGGTCTTGGCAGTTTAACCGGTGCTCAGAGTGTATCATTTAGACAGGGAAGCAATGTTGAGTTTGGTGTACCTGCTCATGAAAGAATGGTATGGTCCAAGGTTTCTTGAAATTTCTGCAATTCTAAAAGTTATAAATACATGTATTCACGTTCTCAGGAACCTCTGGATGTGGAGTACAATCTTGGTGACGTGAGCAACAAGAACAGAGACTTCAGTAATCCAATGTACGATGCTGTAAATACGGAAACAGGTACCACTAATGGCACCAGTGCGAGCAGCATGTACGAATTACCTGCTGAAATGAAACCATCCAGCATTCAGCACAAAGAACCTCCGCAGTTGCACCTGAAGAGGAAAGAACTTGATCCCACGCCCGTCGATTCGGGCAAGGACACACAACAGTTGGTCGAGGAAGACAAGTCCGAGTGTTAGATAGTTTAACTATTTTTCGTGCAGTGACGTAGTTAGAAATTTTATCAGCCGATCAGTCATTTTCTATTTTATAACACGACGTACTGATCTATTTGTAAATTTGTTGCAGTTGTTACTTGTTTTATTTTAGGATCCACAGACGTGTCTGTTGATTTTTAAATTTAATACAGTTGTTTAACTAATTTTAAACTAAGACTAAACATTTTGTGTGTGGGTCGGTAGGCGGGCGGGCGCGTCTATGTATATGTGTGTGTATAATTTTATCTCTAAAACTATAGATTTTATTCTAGCAATTTTCAGAATACTATTCAATTAAAACGGAGAAGCGTCGTAAAATTCACATAAATATTGTAATAAACCTGCGACAAAATTATGAATGTGGTTATACATTTTATGATCTAACTACGCCACTGTTTCTACATAGGGATGATCTCGCATTTATGACACTTTAATCTCATTGTAAATGAAATAATTAAAACAAAGGATATAACAAAGGTTGGAAAAAGTAAAATTGAATGATTTAAAAGAAATCATGCAATATACACAAGTGTCATAAGAATGAAAAATTGTTGAGATTATAAGAAAAGTATTGAATATTTATTTTTTCAATTACATCGAGAGTAAAGTGTAACTATAATGACGGGTTTGTGTCATCTTAGGTGCGATTTGTAAGTCTTGTAAATACGATTATCGCAGAATATTAATATCACATTGTCCATGTACCATAAAGAAGCAAAACATTCCATATTTTCGAAAGCAGCTCGAGGCCGTAGGCGTTGTGGGTAATGACATTAATGGGTTGTAAGTTAAAGGCCTCGACGAGCAAGTCACCTCACAAGATAAGCGTTTTGTCGCGGTAAAACGGAGGCGAACTAACTCACTTTAGGCGAGAGAAAGGAAATTATTTTTTTCTCTCCCAAAGTTTTTGCTCGGCCACGTGAGCGTTGTTATGCGTTGTACATTTTTCTAGATTATACGTGGGAAACGTCAGTGTATAGTTTTTCTTTTCTTTTGCAGCAGCTGTGATCGTAAAATTTACAAATTGGGTCAAAGTATGCAAGGCGAATGAGCAAAGCGAATTTGTTTTGTTTTTATACGCTCCAAACGAGTGAGAGAAATCTGTATTTTTTTTTTTTTTTTTTTTTTTCTTTTCCTTTAAATCTATTCAGTACAGTAGAATCTCGATTATAACGATTAAGGGAATTACTTTTAAGAATCATGCTAGGATGTTTAAATAAGTTTGATTGTAATTTTGGAATCTGCAGTTTGTTGTTGTATGTTGCGTATGAAATTATACAGATTGTTAACTTTACTTTTCATCAGTTTTCTTTTCTTTCATCACTGACCTTATAATTAATTGTATATAAACTATATTGAATTAACTAATTAACTAAGCTAGAATTACATAATCTGATTGATTAGTTACAACAAAATGGCACAGTTTCACAGAGTGATTATTCAATCAAGTTTCTACTGTACAGTTTTCTTTTTTTAATGTAATGTTTTTTTGTTTTTTATGTAAAATAAGAAGGGTTGTACATAGGTTTACAGATTAATGAAAAAAAGTGAGCAGCACTGTTTCTTATAACATATAACATAATATAAATAAAAGATATATGTATGTATGTATGTATATCTCTATGCATACAGGCAAATTGATGCCCAATATGAAAATTGATTTTACGTTGGGCAGGGTTCCAAAATGTCCTAATATTATTTTAATTACATCAGTATTTTTTTATTCAACCAACGAAATGACTATTGTTAATATATTGTTTGAATAATTGAAAAAAGTACCGTCCGAGAATAAACGATGAATTTTATCAGTGTATTTTCATTTTAATTGTAGATACGTTTGCTTTGAAGAAACGAGGAGGCTGAACAAACTGAAAAAGAAAATTTATTGAATATTGGAAATAACTTAATAAGAGTACAAAAGTAAATCTATTTAATTGTATATGTATATGGAAATATAGTAAAAGTAATGTAACAAATATTTTCATAAGAAATTAATCTCTAATTAAATATTATTCTTAAAAACATAGATAATTAAATTCGGTATATCAAATTATAATGGTATTTGTAAGAATTTTTTGAAAAATCTAAATAGAATATTAGTTACATTCTTTATCCATTTCTACCATTATGCTATTATATCAGTCTTTACTATCTAAAACGTAGATAAGTCAATAAGAATCACATAAGTATAAAACTTATCAAATTAATAGATTTTTCTTGATATTCGTATTTTTATATTTACAGTATGCGAAGAAAATGTAACACGGAAGAGTGTAATTATTGTGTTGAACAAAGTTAAGGATTTGTCAACAACAACAATAATTAACAAAGAAACAACCATGCGTGGATATTTATAAAGCTATTCAACTTTAGTCGCTGTTTGTTCATCATATTGAATAGAAGGCACCATAGGAGGCTTAAATCCATACTCCATCTTCGACTGCCTAAAGCTGCCAGTATTTCCTTCCTGTCTGGTTCTCCTCATCGTCGACTGAACATCCGGTGGTGCATATTGGATCGACTTGGACTGTATTCCAAGAGAAAGCTGCACTTTACGTGGCACAGGACCTACGTATTCATCCATAATTTTATCCTTCTCTGTAAATGACCTTCCATAAAATACTAAATTACCATTATTACCGTTCAACGAGGAATAGACCAGGGAATGAGGATACTGAGTCCCATAAGATCCAAACTTCTTTGGTAACGCGTGTACCAACGATTGCCTAACGAAGGGGCGATTTACAGCCAGATAACCTGATCCATAAAATTGCGTGGAATTGTAATGATTCTTTTCGTAAGATGGTCCCAATGGTGCCTGGAAGTTCTGCTGTCTGATCTGTTGAAAATTTCCATCACTGTAAATTAATGGCGGTGCTGGTGCTGTCTTAACCAGTTTAGGAGTCTCTAAAGGATATGGCCTGATCTTCTCCATATCCAGAGGATGAGGTCGAGGATGATGCACAGTCTTCTCTATCACCTTTTCCACAGGAATTGGAACTGGAACTGGTACAGACTTCTCTACTACCTTCTCCACTGGAATTGGAACTGGCTGTGGAATCCTGAAGTGAATTGGTAAAGGTATGATAAACCTTTGAATAGCAAGAGGCACCTTCTTCTCGATCACCTTCTCCACGTGTACCGGATATGGAATACGAATTTGTTTCTCTACTACCCTGTCCACAGGCACCTGTACAGGAAACGGTTGAGGGATCGTGATCTGCTTTTCTATCACTTTTTCAATGTGATATGGCACCTTCTTCTCATCCACATTTACTGTGCGATGGACATGAACCTTCTCCCCAGGGTAATGCTGAGGAACGGCCATCAGAAACCTTACTTCCGTTGATGGTTCATTTGTAGGCTTTATTAGTAAGATTTCAGGTACTTGTTGAGATGCTTGAGGGTTCTCTATGTTGCCTAGAGCTGGCAAGTTATCTATAATCCCAACTGGCTGAGTATTTAACAAAGGTACGCCTTTTACTGGGTCATGTTCGTTCTTAGCGATACCTTCTGTAACGACAGTATCTGGAATTCTTTGAATTTTCGAATACTTTCCAGCGGTCTGATTATCTTGTACGTCTTCCAATTGTTCTCTAGCATCGAACACAGGCTTAACGTCTGTCGAATGAGCCACAGTCTGATCCACTTGAACAACGTCATCCTCGTTCACGGTATACTCGTAGCGACTTCGTTCCGGATTGTTAGAGGACACAGTCTCGTCAAGTATCTCGTTATTCTTGTAAACGTTGGGTCTCTGATCCTTTTCCTGACCCCCCTGTGGCTTTCTGTAATCAGTATGCTGTCGTTGCTTGAAATTTGACGATTGTTGAACATAAGGTACAAACTCTAACGGATAGTGTATCTCGTGTACAGGTGCTGTATGGAATACTTCCACTGATTTCTGGATCTCCACAGACTGCGTGGGACCATTCGATGCCACCACTTTTGATATTTCTTCCTGTTGCGACAGTTGATCAGTCTGGAGACTGGAATTTCCTGAATCAATGGCGGCGTCGTTTTGAATGATGCTTTCAATATCGGTGGTAACAGGAAGTTGCGATGGGTCAGGCTCGTTCCGAAGGTACTCCTTGGTGAAAGTAACTGGGTCATTGACCGAATTTATGTCCTGTCCTACGTTCATCATTGCTACACCGACTTGCAGAGGATTTAAGACAGCCGAGGATGTTGCTAGATAGCTAGACTCTGCTGCTTTTGACTTGATTATTTCCAACGATGCTGGAGTTGACTGTGGTTGATCGTTAATGATTGTATAACCAGTTGTCGTGGCGAATGAGTATCTCTTTTGTTGCGGCAGATCAGCTACTACGATTGGACCAGTGAATTTACCGAAAGATACCTGTTGCACAGGCGGCGAAGTGGTATCCTTGCTGCTGGAAGAAACAACGTTCTCCTTGTTATAGTCTATAGTATCGCTATATTCTTCTTCTTCTTCTTCTTCTTCTCCTCCGGTCTTCTTCGGCTTCGGTCCTCTCTGAAACTCTGAGGCTTTACCTGATGCTACAGGATGTCTATCTTTAGAGTACAGATTGGCAATGCTATCCGAAGCGTTTAGTTTCTTGATTACGAAAGGACGTGAATTTTTTCTCTCGTGTTTTCTATAATCTTCGGATAAGGAAAGCGTGTCCAAAGGCCTGAATCGATCCCGTCCAACATTCTCATTGCTCTTGGGTCTAAATGAAGGAGAAGAACGTACTCGTTGCCCAAACTCTCCCACGTATTCAAAGTCTGCCTGGTCCTCTGAATTCGAATACGCCAAATCGTTGAACTTGTCTTGTATAGGATAGTTGTTCGATGTCGTAGTTGAATCTTGCACTAGAATTTCTTTAGATGGAATATATTCCACCGTGGCTGTCTCGTTGGGGCTATTTTGACTGGTTCTTGCTAATCTTGATACATTTTTTCTTGATTCATTATGGGTGTCTTGTTGAAAATATCTAGTTTCCAATGGCAATGGCAACATATATGGTTGAACAAGCTGCTTTGCAAGTTGTTTATTCTAAAAGAAAAGAAAAGAAAAGAAAGATACGGATTTTTCATCATGTTTAAACGAAGGTGAATACAGCTGATCAATGTAATAGTCATTTCTATGGAAACATTTCCTTTTACCAGTGAAAGCGTATAGGAAGATTATTATTGAACATATAAAAATACATAGCATCATATATGTGATTCTGACGCAATGAGTTACGACCGAATAGAGAAACGTTTAAATGTGTCCTGAATGAAAAGCGCGTTTGTAGTGAAACGGTTATGATTTAGGTGTACGCGTTCAATGGTCAGCATTTTCAGCGTTGAAAGTGAAATGACTTTCCAGCGGCCAGGAAGGGAAAGTGAGGAAATTGATGTTTGTTGGGCTTCGAGGAAAATTGATCGATTAACTTGTATCGATATGCGTTCGAGTTCTCATCGTTTCCCTCTGAAATAAAATTATCGCATTTCCTCTGCTCTATTGATTTGATGGTTAATGAGTTATTTAGCGACCTTATCTATTGTTTTCTTTTCCTATAACTTTCTTTTCATTTCAGAAATATGTAAAAGTAGGATTTAGGTACACCTAGGTGCAACTTAGACTCCCTCTTGAGCTATTACAATTTCTCAAGTCCAATCTCTGATACATACCACTTCATGGTTGTCCTCATTCTTGTTTGCAAATTTCACATCCAACTCTTCTGGACGTTCTGCTTTGATGGATTCAGTTGATTCAGAAGACAAGATGAAGATCCTTTCATGTGGAGAATGTACATCACCGATGATCTCTTCCTTTGTTTGATTGCCGATCCTTTCTTGCTCATAATTCAATTCCTGAAAGCAAATAAATCCTCTTCAGTGTATGCAAGTGATGTTTATCTACTGGTGAGGACAGGCTGTACCAGTCATCAAAGACATCAGTGGGCGAGGCTGAACGTTTGACCCAATTTGTCGCAGGTAAAAGTAAAAAAGAGATAAAGAAGAAGAAGAAGAAGAAGAAGAAAAAGAGTGTAGAAAGGAAACTCTTGATTGCAAATATTTTTTATCCTAATAAGGCTATCAGTGAAACGTTTGTACGGTTGAAAATATGTTAAAACAGTCGATTGGGTGGTAAATCTTGATATAAGTTGACGATGAATTAATCTTAGTACTGCTAGAACGTTCGGTGGTTCGGATCCCGTTAAGTGGAGTAACGTGGATCGAGCAAAGGCTGAAAATAAGTGGTGGCTGGTGAGTCGGGATAAGAGAAAGGTGGACACTTACGGTACCACTGGCTGTCTTCCTTTCTCCTGAGAAATTCGAGCGAGAAGAAAGGCGAAACGGGAAAAGATGCGCGCCGCATTCTTGCAGCTTGCGCTAAAGAAAAACCAGTGAGAGTAGTGCTATCCAGTACAAAACAACGCCGTGTTCAAAACAGCAGACCTTGTTTCAAAGTAATTTTATGTCTCTCCCAAATTTTCTTCCTGGTGCCATGATCAAATTTAATGAGAATGGCTAGCTAATTTTTCTATCACCTTAGAACATTTCTTGTATCCCGTCGCGTCGGTTCTCAAACGTTTTCCACCCGAAAAGGGATACATACCCTCGAAGAAGAAGTTATGCGTTTCACTGGCCCTTTCTCGAAACTCGAATACCACCTTGAAATTCTATACTGCGGCAAAATGATCGTTAAAAGAGAAATCAACAGATTATATTTCGAAAGGACTCGATTCGTTGACGAAAAAGTTGATCGTGTAATCTGATTCTATGAGATTGGTTCAGGGAAAATGAATACAATATGTATTTCCTTTCATTTGGACGAGAGAATTCAAACTAACAGTGAGAACACTTTTTTCATCTACTGTAAATTGGAGCAGTGGAAATGTAAAGAAAAACAAGGCTAGTCCGAGCAGAGAAAGAGAAAGAGAAAGGAAAGGAAAGAAAACAGGATCGTTAACGTGGAATTTTTGACAGTAGGTGGGTCAACCCTCGACACCAGCTTTCATCCGAAAGTGCGCAGAGAAAGTGTTGGTGGTACCTTTTTTTTTTCACGAGGAAACTACCATGAAAATTTAGAGTATTGAGAATCAATTTCTTGACACATCTTTGACCTAGAAAATGAATCACTTCTGTAATTACATTAAAACATTTAAATCAATGATTAAAGATGATTCTATTCCCTATGAATCGTGATCTGCAAACCTTAATTATAGAAGATTGCATACGATGTTCGAGGAAGAGGCAGTGCGAGTGACCTACAGAATTACATTTAAGGAGAAAGCAGTGTTAAGTACTGTGAAATATCCTCAAAGAAATTTTCTTAAAAAAAGAATAAGAAGACTCAGAGAAAAACTTGAAACATTGAGAGAAAAATCTGAAGAGCTTTTTAAGCGAACACGTTTCTGGTGATGAAAAGACTGATAGAGCCTTCGAGGCAACCTTCATCCGCAAGTTTTAAGTGAAAGTCGTCCTTAACCTTCGCACGCTGCCTAGCTCGTTTTCACTCACAATCTCATTCTCTTCCGTCTAACAAAGTTCGCGTGAGGTTGATATTGCGAAGCGAGGGATGCAAAGTGAGAGGTGTCAAGTCCGAGGCCTGGATCTGGAAGTGTGAAGATATTGGATGTAAAATTAAATGAAAAGAAACTAGAGTGTGAAATAGAGAATAGAAAATTAGACGAGTGAAAATCAAACGTTTCATATCTTTCATATGAAAGTGTGGGTGTTAAAAATATAATTGAAATGCTTACATAATCTAGATAATTAATAATTAAGAACGATGAAGAAAAATTGAGTGATCAATGTTAGTGCATAGGAGAGTTGCAACCGCGGTTCTACACAAGGTATCTCTTGAATGACACCCGCAAGTAGATCGAGGTTAAGGATTTCTATGCCTGAAGGTTGAGGATGTCTCTGCACGGTGTGTGTGTACCGGTTCGAGGGTTACGCGTCAGAGGTTCTCTCGTTTTACGTAAGGCGTGTAAGGCAATGAGACGTGTTCTGCATATTGTTCGCTCCGTATCCTCCGACGTCGAAAGTAACTTCCTGATTGTTCTGAGAGCACTTTAAACATTCTTCTTAACTAATAATAGCTGAGGCATCGCCAATTATCTTTAGCAAACTGAAAATTCAAATGATTGTATTCTGAACAATTTAATTGCAGTTGCAGGTCTTATGAAACTGTTTAGTGAAAAGAATTTGAATGGGAATGAAAGCCGGGAAAATTTGCAAATCATCGACGTACTATGGTGCAGGAAAGTTACCTTTTCGTTGCTCCAGTTTCCACGTGAATCGGATTCCAATGTCGCTGTCACGGTTCTTATCCATATTAGCACAGCCACCTGTAAAGAAGAGCAATTTATGTATTCTCTACTGAAAAATTTCTTACTTCCTCTCTGTTAAGAAAAATATAATTTCAGTCATATGTATATATGTATATATGAGATAAATTCTAATGTAAATTCATACCATGATTTATGACATTGGAAACGGAGTTACGCGTGCCTTCCTCATAATGAACATCATGAATGAATATAATAGAATACAAAACTAGTTTTCACGCTTCTTTGGCAATGGATATCAGCGCGTATACGTTATACAATATATTAACGTAATTAACACAATATTATGATTATAAATTTACTTTCATTAAATAATTACTTTTCATTTAAACTATGTATTGAATTTCATTGCAAGTTTAATTATTATTATACTCAAGGTAAAACATTATTCAGTGGTTTTGTTAGAAGAATTAGAAATATGTAATGAAAATGATTAATACTGAAGAATAAAGATAACTTACAATGTAATTAAGTTTCATGTCTATTGCGTGTGGATTGGATTGGCCAGTCGTTGAACGAGATAGACCTTCCTACACTTCCAGGATGTGTTCTTCTCTGTTCTCTCGTGCGGTTACCAATCCTCTGAAGCCTCAATCCAATGCACGCACTGCGGAAAGAAACAGTGTACTACTTCGTCCCGATGCGATACACTTGACTTAACCGGTAGCTCCAGTTATCCCCACGCATCAAAGGAGCTCGAGGAGAGCTACGATCGCCTTAAAGATCCCTCGACCAGCATCCACTGCATACAGTCATTATCGATGATATACTCCATCCAACAGTAAATGTAAACTACCACAAGAAAAGATTATAATGTTCAGTGCAACGTAATTAATTTCTTTGATAAAATCATATATTAATAATAAAATATACCACGTAAATTCAAGTACTTATAGTTAGAGTACAATTACTTCAATTACAATATTATATGTAATATTATAATAAAGTCCTTGAAAGTATTATAATCATCTACAATGTTAAATAGAAGATAGTTAGCCATGGTTTACCATTCTATGCCAATTAGTTGCTAACGAGTTTTCATAACAAAGTCGTGGTAAAGCTGGTCTTATGCTTAAAATCTCAACGACTGCCGTCGATATTAAAAGTTTCTTTATATACTTCGTGTAGTGTATGCATTTTAAATTATACATTTATGTCTTGCAGCCGGTTCTCCGCATAGGAAGGCGAGTTCGCGTGGAGGGGGCTGAAGCGATCAAATGAAAGGTCGTGAAAGTGACATTGACGGAACCAGTGGATTCTCCATGATCCTACGATTTTCCTTTCTTCTTTTCCTCGACTATTATTCCAATTAATAAGCGAGTCTTTCGTCAAACGAAAACCACGTAAGCGTTAAAAGCTTCACAGTGGAAACAGGAAGTTCGTTGCTCTGTTCTTTCATTTCATTTCATTTCATTTCATTTCATTTCATTTCATTTCATTCATAATAACTTGGAAACGTTCAAAAACGATCATTCCATTCTTTTATACACAATAAAGCAATGATGTCATCGGAGATTAATATTCTAAATAAAAATAACCGTGATATTTAATTCCCTTATGATTAAATCGTTGAATTGTATCAATGGATCATTATTTGAAAGACAATCCATTTCAACCCAAATGGATTACGCGTTTCAAAGCGGTTTCGCTCGATGACGCGTTATACTTTTTTCGTACAATTTATCAGCGACTAGGCAATAAATAGTTATCTCCCAGGTATTCGATTTTACTCCTTACTTTCATCCACCTTTCACTACTTCTCATAGCGAATTTATACGCATTCCTTTTGCAAGATAAGTAGGAATTGTGTCGTGAATGGATTTAATATCGTTCTGTGATTGCCAAATTACGTTTTCTAGAAATACCGAAAAAAAAATAAACACAGTCAATGGTTATGTCATCATATTAACACAAAGTAAATATTTTCTATTATATATCACAAATACTTGTTTACCTTACTGTTAATAATGGGCTATAAAAGCAATCAGTGTTGTAGGTACTTACAAACATGCTAGTAATTGCATGTAAATCCTGTAATTCTCCTAATTTTTTAAGTATGTAATTACTCTTTTCGTGCTGCGACCGGTCAGTTGCCGTCAGTCTGTTTACGGACAGCGAGGAAGCAGGAATTTACGCTTTCATCTTCGACGGTGGCGCCATCTATACAAAAAGGGCTCAAACTACTCGACAACTTATCGACCGGTTTACCGACACCGGTTTGGCCGTGAGCGCCATCTATCAGAAAACCGCGGAACCCTGTTGTCGATTAGTTTCGAGGGTTTCCCGATAGATGGCGCTAGCGGTTAAACAAGCGGTGGTAAACCGGTCGATAAGTTGTCGAATAGTTTGCGCCCTTTTTGTATAGATGGCGCTAGCGGTCAAACGAGTGTCGGTAAACCGGTCGATAAGTCGTCGAATAGTTTGAGCCCTTTTTGTATAGATGGCGCCACTATCGAAGATGATAGCAGAACCTCCTTCCTTTTCGCTGTCCGAAGACAGACTGGCGCGCTTCTGCGCTTGATGGCCAATTTATAGAGTCGAATTTGTACAAAGTATTTCATATGTTTATTTACATGTGTATTTAATTATTAAAATCTCTTTATCAATCGATGCTATAATTATTTCGAATTTTTCCCTGGTTTTGGTATTTAACAACTGAAATGAATTTAACAATTAGTCGTAGATTATTATGCACCAAAATGAACAATATTTGTATGATTGGAGGTTATTTGAGTCGCAATTTTGCAACCATTGATGATTATAATATTAAATGGACTCGGCCAGAGAGAAGTACTTTTACAGATCCTAAATTTAGTGGAGATCTAGGATTAGATGTAAATGTAAAACCCACTGATATCAAACTCTATTACGAGAAATCAAAAGAATTAGAAGAGTAAGTATGTCTATTATAAACGTACGCTTCAAGTGTAAAGTAAACTGTTCTGTTTTCTCTTGTAAAAGTCTTGTATACATATTACTTAATTAAAATATAACTTGTAAGATTGTTAACGAAGATATTTCATTTACCGATCGATCATTGAAACAGTGCAGATGATGTTGTAAAAAGGATGTTTAGTTTGAAATTTCAACGAAACAAAGAAACTAAAAGGCTAAAGAGTGAGAAAATAATGCACCTTGTGAAAAGACACGTCTGTGATCGAGGTTCTATGGAAGTTAGCAGTAAGTACACGAGTGAAAATATTAACGTGGCTATTCATTTAAACGTTAAGCAGATATTATCTCTTCTATTCATTTATTTATAACAATTTAAATATCGTATAAAAATTTTTACCACTTTATAAATCATTTCAGTTGCAGCAATGACTAGCGAGATACACGATCTTCAAAAGTATTACTTGGAACAACCGAGCAACAAGCGAGCTAAAGTATTTCTAAAAGAACTTATTGAGAAAAGGAAAAAATCCCTTAAATTTCTACGTAGTTTGGATTACGGGCGATTCGAGTGGGTTCTTGAACAACTGAATCTTGAATATAAACTATTACCAGAGTAAGATATTTGTTCTTTATAAATAGAGCATAAAATAATTCAATGATTGCTATAATTCTGTATCGTGTTTTTTAATTACAGGAAACCTAATATGATATCAAGAAAAGAATCGTTAAGAATGTTGACAGAAGAGTATTGTAATAATATAATTCAAGAAAAAATTGATGCGTATAAGGTTAAATTGAAAGAGAAACAGAAGAAATTCTACTTGGAAAAAGCTGAAAAATTAGCATTAATTATGAAGGAAGAAAAAGAATGTGGTTTAACGCCAACAGTAACAGAAGAAGAAATTGAAGATGCTCGGCAAAAAGCAGAACTATTAAATAAATCTGAGCAAAGAGATTCATCGAGTGATATAAACGAATAAATTTCTTCAAAGTTGACATTTTTAGATTCTTTTCCGTCATTTTGTTTCACAGGGTAGTTTGTAATGAACGTCATTTGTTACATACATTTAATGGTAACAAAATATGAAAAGTGTTGTTTCTTATTTAGTTACAACCCATTTAAAAAAGTATTAGTTTTAATACATTTTAAAAATATACTGCGATATACTTATAATGCATTTTCGATTTCACCGGTGACCTACGCAGTGCTCAATACGTTAATGCAGGTATTTCGGAGAAAGTTGAATAGCAATGAATATACCATTATAAAGTTAATAATTAATACATTAGATTGCAGCAGGTCTTTTATCGGTATTGTAATAATAGCTCAGGCGCACATTATTTTCAACAGGTGAAGATGTTCCCACGACTTCAGGTTGCGCATCCCTTTCGTTGTATATACATACATACATACATACATACATACATACATACATAGTACATATAAAGGAAGGCCCAAAAAATGTAAGTGAACGTTCTCGTGCATACCGGGTCCATCGTATGAAACGGGTCCCTATATGGATTAATCTAATGGAGGATGATTCAAAGATTCTTAAGATCACCCTGTATAAGTCGTATATAAGGATGAGCTGGATGCTGATGTTCTATTCTCCACAGAACCGTCGTGAAAGTTCCGTTAGATTTCTTTCAAAATTTCAAAAAAAATTCACTCATCATAAATTACCTGTAAATTCTTTATCCAAAGATGTGATTTATCACGTTAATCTTTTAATCTTGATAAATGATACAACAGAGAAAAGGACTTTGAAAAAGTGCATCTTTAATTATTAATTGTGATAATTATAGTGTTGCCAAAATGCGTTTGCAGTTTTCCAAAAGTGTTAGCAACAAGGTTGGCAAATAAGTTATTATACTTTCAAAATTATTATAATTATTTTCAATACTTTTAATAGGTATACTTTACTTTATCGAGTTAAGTAGGAAATTTTCCAAATTATTTTTTTCTAAAACAGGGTTTAAAAATCAACCAAATTTATCCTGTAATTTCTAATAATATTTGGTTTTAGAACACCTTATACGTATGCATTGGCACACCTTAGAAGATATTGTGCAAGAGAATCTGTTGGCCGCATGCGCGGTAGATCGTTGAATCTTTGCCTCTTTCCTATTCATTTCTTATTAGTATTTCCAACATTATTAATGTTTCGTTTCTTCTAGGTTGTAATTTTATGCTGCATTTTGAAGCTAACCATCGCTGGTGTTCTTCAACAGTAAGATTACGTATACATAAGCATAAAAAATTATTACATCTATACGTGTAACGTTATACAATATGAATATTGTTCGTAGGCGGTTTCCTTGTGCACCAGTTGATGCAATTACTGGAAATGGTGCCGCAGTACCAGTGGCTTGCGCCCTGAAATCAATCGGAAGTAAAGTAGAACCTGCGCTTCCGACTTACGTCAAGGTCTCCGCTCCGATCGCGTATAGGCCATTGCCGAAGACGTCGTCACTGGTGTACATTGCCCCGCCAATTTTTAAAACAGCCTCAGCTGTCGTTGCCACTGAAACAAAAAGCGAAAATCAACCGGAATTCGCCGTATGTCATTTCAACTCATTCAACTCGTTCTTGACAATATGACCATTTATCTTTTTTCTGCAGGCATACCCAAAATATTCCTTTAATTATGGTGTCCTGGATGGATATACAGGAGATTCAAAGTCAGCCTGGGAAGAAAGGGATGGTGACACTGTAAAAGGCGAATATTCTGTGGTCGAGGCAGATGGGTCCATTAGAACGGTCACTTATACGGCTGATGACCATAATGGCTTCAACGCTGTCGTTACAAGGAACGAACCGCCGAAGAATTCGAGGCAAGAAGTTAATGTGAAAAGATTTCTACCGGTTACGATTCTTCCCGATTCTCATTAGGAGACAAATCAATTACTCATCTGTCTTTCATGTTAATCGTTCAATCACATGTCAAGAAAAGAAAAATTCAAGAGATGATTACTTTTCTTATTTGGAAAAATTACAATCCCTTTCTTTATTAACAATATTTTATTTAAATATAGTAGATACAAAAAATATTTTTTTCAAATTTTTTTATCACTTTTTCCTTAAAAATTCATTTTCACAACTATGAATAATTAAAATTTACGAGGATGAGAGAAACTTACGTTCTATTATTAAGATATAATACTGCTAAAAATAAGATTTATCTGCAAAGAAAAATTTGCTTGAAATTAATTGGAATCATCATTATTATTATTTTTCTTTTTACAACTATTTCAGTATTTTTCAATACTCTATTTGCTTTGTATTTTACATTATGATAGAATAGAGAGCTTTATACAGAAGAAATGACAGTCTATAAAGTAGTCTTTTATAATAATAATAATAATAGAACAGATCAATCACATAAAAATGACTATTTCTAATCCTTGGCAACAGATTCTGTATTTGTCATGAAAGAAAAGAATAAAACCTAAAAACAATGTGATAATTATACTTTTAAATTTAATAGATACTGTTCCACTGACTAATATAAAAAACATTTCCGAGTTCTTAATGTTTGATTTCTTTTTATCCCTAACTATTAGTCTCATATAATACTACATTCGTCGCCTTTTAACTTAGTCTGTTTATTCCTTAAATATTAGACCAAAAAGAATAATTGCCTCGTGATGGCAAAACGTGGTGATCGATCTTCTCCATCGTTCAGATTTTATCTATCTCCTAAATAATCCTAACGTTCTTATTGCTAATGTAGAATCCTTTAATGCACGCTCTTTTTTTTTTTTTTTTTTATAGAAAATCAATGTTCATAGTGCACTTATTGTAAAGAAAGAAGAAAAGAAAAGAAAAGAAAAGAAAAGATTAAGATCTTATACATTGATAGGGTCAAGTGAGACACAAGGAAAGAAACAAATTTGTTCAATCCTGCTCGGATGGTCTGTTAAGAGATGATAACAGTTTGAGAGTATTCTACCTATTCCTTGATCTCTTGTTACTGTTCTTTTTAGCACTGTTCCCAGATTTGTTTTTCGAGGGTTCTTTTCCAGTATTCTCTTTCAAGGAGACATGCTCGAGACTACCGTTGCTCGCATGTCCATTTGCAAATTGTCCAGAAATCTCGGTGGAAGATGTGAGAGATCCGTTCTGATTATACTGGCCAGATAAAGAATGGTTTTTTCCACTTGATTCCTTATTACCATTGCTGCTACTACTATTCTGGGTTGTTCCATGAGAATTAACAAGGCTGCAATTGTCTTCGCTACCGCTGTTGCCAATCTGTGACTCCGATTCGCTGTATCGGTCAACTGGAATCAAGTTTAGAATGGGAGAAACCGCGATCCACGACCCTTGATCGATAGCTGTTCGATTTATCTACTTGCAATTTGATCAATGATTGCGTAAGCGTTTGCCGTTCAATGATGATGTTGATGATGATGATGATGATGATGATGATCATTTATTTGATCGATTAAACGATTAGGAAGATTCAAAGATCAATTAATAATGTTATCAACTGTCTAAACAATACAGAGTAATACAATTTGATTTCATATAAGCACAGAGGTTTTATTAAACTCTTATAGATCATTCAAATATGTGTATGTGTAAATAATCTTTAACTGGAATTATTTAATCGATCAAAATCTATGCTTTTATATAACTTTTACCGCTTATGGAAAAATCTAAAAGCAAATATAGCGAATATAGCAAATATATATGAAAGTGCATTATCATTTGCTACGATTTTTATGAAACTGAAAAGAAAACATACATGTAATTGGTAAAACATTTCAAAATCTAAATCTAAATGATATTTTATATAATTCTTTTAGGCACATGTTGAATTTAAAAAAAAGTTGTTTAAGAATATAAAAGAAATTTTCTTGTTACATCCACATTAATATACAGAAAACATGAATTTATTTCAAGCTCAGATACAGAGGAAAGATAAATCTAGAAAATAAAGTAACAATGCCAAGCTAATGTTTTCTACATTTTCAATGTGTACAAGAAAAGCAAATTACAAACATACTACTGACATACGTATAGAATATAGAAGAAAGCAAAATAGTAGATAGAATGTTGAAATTAAGAATTAAACTTTTTATAAAACTTTGAAATTAGTAACAGAATTAGATAAATATAAACGAAAAGAAATAAAAAAAAAAAAAATTTCAAGTGCTACACTAAATTTTTCTAAGGAAATTGAAAATAAATTAAAAAACATAGACTAGGCAAAGAAAAAGAATAAATTAAAATTTATAATATACGGAAGAAAAAAATTGTTTTTAATAAAAATTTTTAAATATTAACAGGATATCCTTCGAATCTATCGTTCATTCATCCAATCGTGCTTTACAACATTCCATATTTATTACAATTCTTGGAAGACAGTTTGATTGAAGAGATAAAGAAACACAATCTAAAATAACTTAGCAAATAAAAAGAACTGTTCTTAAGGAGAGGGATAAAAGAGAAAAGTTGGAAAGGATGATAGGATGAAAAATAAAAATTGTATTCTTTCTTTTTTGCTTTTTAAAGAATTAACTATCTCAGGAATATCCATTGAGGTCCTTACTTTTTTCCTGGGTATTTTCGACCAGTCCGCTGACAGCCTGCAAATGTTTAATTTTCCATTGATTAAAATCATATTTTCTTCAAATATAACAAATATCCTAATAAGTTATCTGCAGAGTAAAATTTTATATTTTTATATATCTTATGGCACAGGCTAAAGGTAATGAAATATTTCTCATTGTATCATTAATTTCATTAGGCTCGAAAATCGTCCTTTTCAGACTTAACAATTATTTTAATGGAGGTAGTTGTAATAATTGTATTAGGTCATATCTATATTCCTATTAGAACTGAAACTTCAATTCCAAGTTAATTAATTCATTACTTACTGCCATAGAGGTGATTGATGATTTTGAAAAAAGCCTTTCTGCTTCTTTGAATTTTCTATTTCGTTTATCTGCTTTACTATTGGTATTTTTGTTACTGGCCAAATATCTATCCCAACCACGTATTATATTACCATATAATTGAGTGTCTTCCAAATAACTACCTTCAAACGCATAAATTTGACGTTCTAAATTGGCAAGAGTATCCTGGAAAATTATAAAACTTTATATAAAACATTGAACAAAACCAAAGGTAAACATAACATAAAAATTTTAGTAGCAACTAAATGGCATAATAATAATTATAAGGTAAAAGTTAATGATCTGAAAATTTGTTGTATTATACGCTAAAATAAAAAGAATGTAGGTATATAATAATTAAATAACAACAACGATTTGGAGTATTGATGTAAGAAGTAGATTGAATAATATACACAGAGAATGATGTAGAAGAAAAAGATTAATATAACCTAAACATATCTGAACCTTAACAAAATGATTTATCTTCTAGAACTTTCATTAGACAATTAATGATTACAGACGCATCTTAGTTTTCATGATGATGATAATGATATTAATTGTTCTAGATACAGCGTATGCAAACAGAAGTTGGAAAAAAAAAAAAGAGGAATGCAGTCTGACAGATGCTTTCATACTTACAGCTATTTCAGCTTTTCGCTTGACTAATTCAGCGAGTTCTGCTCGTAAATCGACGGAGGATTTCGTCGACATTACGTATTTAAATATATTAACAAAACAATAACAAAAGATTAAATTTCTTTGAGTAAAAAACACTTTCTTTATAAGTAACAAAACTTTCTGATTCACTTGAAGTTGCCTGTTACTTGAAGTCAGAATCAAAACATTGGTTATGCAATGGCGGCTATATCTGAATTATTGTATGTACATTCAACAATCATAATTTATGTAATAACAGTTTTACAAATGGTTTTATCTTGTATCTTTTTTATATGAAGCAAGAATAATTGATAGCTACATCGTTTTTGCAGTTACTTTTTAGAATTACCTAGATAATATAGGTTACCCGTGAAACCTCGGCCTCTGCCCTTCATTTTCAACGTGATTATGTACTACTTACTTAATTCTGAAATATTATTTATATATGGAGATACATATAAAATCCAAGCAATGGCAGGTAATTTAATTTAACATAATATTAGCTTCTTTTGAAATTCTATTTTTTACCATTCATCTGCGCGCGCAAACGTTGATGATATTTTTAAAATTTAAACAATTGAAAATAAATGTGAAATACTTTGCGCGTTTTATACAGTTGTTTTGAAATTTTTAGAGGCCGTACGAAACGATACAATGTTTTTCCGTTTTTGGAAAGATAAGAGAAAAGTATTAAGAATATTAACTTGATATACTTTAATCACTTTCTTGGATTTTCTAAAGATAAAGAGGTATGTACATATATTGTTTAGTTTACTAATACATCTTATCATATTTTCTCCTGATTGTCAGATAAAGACACTTGTATATAGAGAATATACAAGTTAAAGGAAAAATAAATTAAAAAATCTAAGTCAATATATTTACATTCGTTTGTTCCACAATTTTACGAGGATAGAAGATTTATGTAGTAAAAAGAGGAAAAAATCAAGATGTAATGGATTTCGAAGAAAATCGTGGGAATATAATTATTCCTATTTACCACGAAGAAACATTATCGAAGTAAATCACGAAATAAGAAATTTCTCTATCCGTTTGTCCTCGAGTTTTTCATTACTATTCGTTTTTTCTTTCATTCAGGGTCACATATAGAAGAAGAAGAGGGAAAGTATGCAATTTCTCCCCTCCTGTGAATAATATGCGCCTTCTTGACACCTCTCGATGATATATGAAAGAGCACATGTCACCTGCTACTCATTACACCCACGTCACTCACTTATGTTCATTCGTAATTGTTTGTTAATAACAATATAAAGTTTGAACGTAACGTATACTGTTTGATGTTGGTATCGAATCGAACGGTTTAACGAAGTACATCATACGAACTACATCATAAGTGTAATGCAAAAAGTATCGGTTAGTTGGAAAAACAATGAATGGTAAAAGCGAAATGAAAAGCTCCAGTGAACCAATTAATTATGTAAGTTATTATCAGTTTTTATACAATGTTTGATTATTGTTAGATACCATGTGCGACCTTGATCAGTTTCACGTCAGTTCTTTCAGAAACATTGGAGAACCGGTATTGTTCATTTGAAATGGTAAATTAAGCGATAGTTAATTTATTTCATATAATTTTCTCATTTCTTCGTTACTTGATCCCTGAAAAGTAAGGGCTCGATATTCCAAAGCTATTAAAACATTGTAACAATATATTGATCGTATTCTTGTGAAACTAGATCGCAAATTGCTATTCGTCATGCGTTGTTATGTTTTTATACGTTAAGAAATGAAGGTGGAAATGAACGCGGCATGTGAAACAATGAAACTCTAAACGTACGTTTAGAAAAAGAAAAAAACACATAGACTAGAATAGCATCATACGTATCATGTAATTCGTTATCACTTCCGTTTGATGATTTCCATGTTTTGTTAGATTCGAAATATGAATGAATGAATGAATGAATGAATCTCCGTGAAATTCTTTAATCCCACTACGGAACCACTTTACTTTCCTTTTCGCTTTCTCGTTTGATAGAATTTAAATGTTTAACAGTCGACTTGGAACTATGCATCTGAATACTTTCTTCTTCGCGTTATTAGCCCTGATTTTTCTATAATTTACATTCTAGTTTAAACATTCTACGAATTTCTAAGTGTTCTAATAATAATTAGTCAAGATGGGAATGTATATAAAAAACTTGATGGAGGATAGAAATTCAGAGAGGAAAAATAATCAGGTATCAAAGCGTATTGATAAAAATAGCATAATCTCTTAAAGCTATCTAATGAATAAATAAATCAAATAAATTAACTTATTTCGTTTCGTTCGCTTTTTTCGTTTCAATTTCATATGAATTTTTACCGTAGATTCGGTCAACTAATGTGACAGAGCAGATACATCAAGTGTCGAGAGAAAAACGAGGAGAACATTATGGGAAATTTAAACGATTTCGTGGATGTACCATTTGGTTAACGGGACTTTCAGGCGCTGGCAAGACTTCCATTTCGTTTCAGCTCGAGAATCACCTTGTTTCTCAGGTAAAACAATTTATTTATAAGATGAAGAAAAAAAAAAAAAAATTGATTTATCATTACATTAATTTATCCGTTCAGGGTATACCTGCGTACAGTCTCGACGGTGACAACATTCGTGGGGGTCTGAATCGAAACCTTGGCTTCAGCAAAGAGGATCGCGAAGAAAATGTACGAAGAGCGGCAGAAGTAGCAAAATTATTCGCAGATTGTGGGATAATTACCATCTGCAGCTTCGTTTCACCATTCGAGGATGATAGAAGACTGGCCAGAAGTATTCACGAGGAATTTAATTTAAGATTCTTTGAAATCTTTGTGCAAGCTTCGGTGGAGACCTGCGAAGCAAGGGATGTGAAAGGTCTCTATGAAAAGGCTAGAAAAGGTGCGATTAAAAGTTTCACTGGTATCGGTCAGGATTACGAGGCACCCAAGCATGCTGATTTTGTTGTAAATACCGAAGATCATAGTTTAGATACTTCGAAGAAAATGGTCATTGATTTTCTTATCAAAGAAGGAATTATTCCAATGATACCGGAACCTGTCGAAGAATTGTTCATCCCAGAGGAAAAACTGAAAGATGCGAAACGAGAGGCAGACAAACTTTTCAGTATGTTTCTATCGATCCTTGAATTTCAGATTATTTCAATTGAAGAATTGTTGAATTAATGTAAATTACTACATATGGATATGTAGTTTCTACAATATCCTGGTTCACGTTGTATTTGATATGTTCTGAATACCATTGGGTCATTAAACTCGGGATATATTAGATTTGTTACATATCAAATGGCCGATTTCAACACGCAATCACCTAATACCTAGACGCGTGGATTAACATTCGCGTAATCAGGGTGGGTCTACTGTATTGTTCATTTTCTAATATACATATAGCACATTAATTCATCAATTATTAATAGAGATTCAGCACAGGTACGAAGATATTAACTATCTTATTCTTTAATACATTTAGGTATTGAAATTAATGATATTGATTTGCAATGGATTCAAGTACTTGCCGAGGGTTGGGCAAGTCCACTCAGAGGTTTCATGAGAGAAGATCAATATCTAAAAGTAGGTGTTTGTTTACTCGTAATTGATTAATCATCGGAATGTAGACTTTAAAAGATAAAAATTAATCTATTCCGTATAAAGGTAATACAATATCTAAAGCTTCATAAAAGCCTGTTGTTTATTTGATAAGGCATCGATATTAATGTTTTTCTCGTGATAATTAATTATTTCAAAAATGTACTCGATCATTTTATTAATAAAAATTAAAAGAAAAAAATATACATATACAGTACGTATACATACATATACAGGGTGTTCGACAACAGGTGGGCAAAATTTTAAGGGGTGATTCTAGGGATGAAAATAAGACGAAAATCAAGAATAACGAAATAGTGTTTACGGCTTTGTTTTCCAATAATTAACGTTTAAAAATTCGAGTAAAAACCGCCTGAAATCTGCAACCCGCCCAGCATCGACGACTGAACGTCAGGTCAGCAGGGGTCGGTACAGTCATAACCGAGAAACAGAATAGCACGAGGTGAGTTTCTACTATTCAACGATTCTTGGTTATGACTGTACCATCCCCTGCTGATCTGACGTTCAGTCGTCGGTGCTGAGCGGATTGCAGGTTTCAGGCGCTTTTTATTCGAATTTTTAAACGTTAATTACTGTAAAACAAAGCTGCAAACGCAATTTCATTATTCTTGATTTTCGTCTTATTTTGATTCCTAGAATCACCCATTAAAATTTTTCCCACCTGTTGTCGAACACCCTGTATACGAAATGTAAAAAGTTGTTGTTTTTGATAGTGCCAGCACTTCAAAATCATCGAAGAAGGCCAAAGCAGCGTCATTAATCAGTCGATACCAATCGTACTTCCGGTTACCACGGCTCAAAAAGAAAAATGTACAAATTCAACAGCGTTGACATTGAAGTATCAAGATCGAATTATTGCAATCTTAAGGAAACCTGAATTTTTCGCTCATCGAAAAGAAGAAAGGTTTGAAAATTTCTAGTAATAATCAGAAATCAATTCTTCTATTCTTATTTGGAAAATGTTATTAGATGTTGTAGAGAATTTGGGACAAATGATCCTGGACACCCGTACGTAAGGATGATACATAATTCAGGTGATTGGCTAATTGGAGGCGAATTAGAAGTTTTTCAACGAATTCGATGGAACGATGGTCTCGATAAATACAGACTGACCCCTAATGAAATTCGAAAAATGTGTAAAAAAATGGGTGCCGATGCTGTTTTTGCTTTTCAATTAAGGAATCCGATACACAATGGCCATGCACTTTTAATGCAGGTTTGTAAAAACAATTAATGTAAAAACCTATAAATTTTACTATTTAACAGGAAAAGGATTTTTACTAAAATTAATTTCAGGATACAAGAAGATACCTTGTAGAAGAACGTGCTTTCAAGAAACCAGTTCTTCTCTTACATCCTCTGGGAGGATGGACAAAAGAGGATGATGTACCATTGTCTGTAAGGATAAATCAACATCAAAGTGTTCTCGAAGAGGGTGTATTACACAATGACACTATACTTGCCATTTTTCCAAGCCCCATGCTCTATGCTGGACCTACAGAGGTATTACCAATCAAGTTTTCTTATTTCTTCAATTAATAATCCAATCCAACTTATTTATTTATCTATTTATTTATTTATTTATACGTACAGGTGCAATGGCATGCTAAAGCAAGAATGATGGCAGGAGCAACCTTTTATATCGTTGGACGAGATCCCGCGGGTCTGCCTCATCCTGACAAATCAAAAACACCAGATGGTATGATTAACACAATTCTCACTTCCGTATTTCCGTAATAGTTATGGAAATTTATCAACATTAGGCAATCTGTACGACGGAACCCATGGGTCCAAAGTTTTATCGATGGCGCCAGGACTCGAGGGTCTTGAAATAATTCCGTTCAGAGTAGCAGCATATGACAATAGAGCGAGAAGAATGGCGTTCTTCGAACCAGAACGATCTCAGGACTTTAGTTTTATCTCTGGCACTAAAATGCGAGGTAACGTATTTACCTGTACTATTAAGAATGTATAAAAATTAAATTTACAATTTATATTTCTTTCATTATTTTAGCTTTAGCGAAATCCGGTGAAAAACCACCGGAAGGATTCATGGCACCAAAAGCATGGCGAATCGTCGCGGATTATTATCAAGAAAAATTACGGAACAATAATTAATTACGGAAGCGCTATCAACAAACTGTTTCACGAGTACGTAAGGAACAATTAACAGTTAAAAACAGCGCAACATATTTTTTTTTTTTTTCCTTCAACTTTAATTTAATTTGATAATTAAAATGATAAACAAATGGTTCGTTCTTTATAAAAGATGAAATTTACACCTGGTATAAATAAATACATCAAAGTAATATATTTTCTTTTCTCCCAATGTTCGTTAAAAATGATCCCTGTAAAGGCGAGAATGAAGGATGAAAATAAATAAGTTTAATTTATCGTTTCGCTAATATCGATATTATACATATCGGTATGTATGTATATTATGTGTGTTCTCTTTTATACTTCTATATCGTATAATTACGTTTATTGCATCAGACACGAGAAGTTTGTAATCGAGCTTATGTAAGTACGTACGCCATTTTTTAACTTTTCTTCGTTTCTGCTTTTTCAAGAAAGACAGTAGAGAAAGAAGAAGGTATTTATGTACGACGATTAGGATTTAGTTCGTTTAGTTTCTAATAAACTCTTTCTTTTTCTTTTCTTTTCATTTCTTTTCATTTCTTTTCTTTTAATCTGGTACGCCTGTAAAAGTGAAATATCAAATTAAAATCTATTAGAAAACATTTTTTATCAATTTTCCGCTGTTAAACTTGCCCTCCTCCTCCGAATCGGATATTCGTGTAGCCTGTAAAGAGCTTTGCTTGGAAAGTGTTCTGCCATGAGAACGAGGCCTAGCAGGTGGCGACTGTTTGTTCCAAAGTGCTTCTAGTTGATCAAAGTGTTGCGACTGAGCAAGAGCTGCCTGTTCTGCACCAAGTCCTGAGGGACTACTCGTTAATCCGACTTTGCTGATCTCATCCATTGACGCGCTTACGCTAAACCGTCGTTGGAGACCGTCATCCACCGATGATCTTAATACTCCTTAAATAAATAATCGTTCATTTAAATTTTCTTCCTCTCTACTCATTGAGTAGATGCATTTTATAAATAAACCTTTGACAAGTTGATACCTGATGTAAGATGGCCATATTTTCTGCGCCACGTATCACTGTCCAACGATACCTCCTTCTTTAGGAGCCTCTTGTTGGGTCTCTTTGGGCCAGGAGGTCTCAAATCCCTGATATCGCACCAAGGAGCCACGTAGTCTGGTAATTTAACGTACTGAGCCGGTGTATTGTACAAACAGAGGATGGGCATGCATTTGTGTTCCAGCAGATGCAAAGAAAGTCTTGAAAGATCCGTCGCAAGTTCAACACCCAACACTGGTACGTGCAACATAATACTGTTGAGGGGACAGCCTTTCTTCGTGTCCCAAATAATCAGACTCTTGTCTTCGCTTCCCGAAGCTGCAAGAGTACCGTCTCCGGATAACTTTACACACGTGATGTATCCCAAATGACCGTTCAAAGTATGAAGATCCGAGCCAGTGTTGATATCCCAGACGATCAGGTTGGCATCCTTCGAGCCGGACACCACGATAGACTTATCAAGAACGGATACCGCAACACAGGTGACGTGATCTGTATGCCCCACGAGAACCTGGAGGATAATTTATTACCGTTAATTTATTAAGAACACACCTAATACAGTCGAAAAAAAGAAAAAAAGAAAAAATGAAAAAAAAAATTGTCGAACCTGCGATAATTTACCACCAGCTAATTGCCAAACTTTTAAACTCATGTCCCTGGATCCTGTGATCAATAATCTAGAATCGGGGCTAGCCACCAGGCAAGTAATATCTTGAGAATGTGATACTTGATATTTCTCTTCAGGACCGGCTCCTAAACTCACTATCCGCAGCTGATTGTCTCCCGTTCCACATATAGCGTACCTGAAAGTTAAATCAAAGAAATTCCTCTGCACGAAAGTGTTGAGAAATTGAAGAGTAGGTACCTCATGTCAGAAGAAACAGTGAAACAACGACCAGGTCCACATACGGATTGAATGAGGGTTCCTGTATCTGCTGCCCAAACGCGAATCGTACCAGCCCTATCGGAACTGACTATTCGTCGACCATCGAACATGGCCGTAACTGCGGTAACCGGTGCTTGATGTTTAAAAGTAGCTACTACTAAACCCAATGTCAACCCCCAAACTCGGACTGTTTTGTCCTCGGAACCTATGTTGAAATCGTTCGTTATTACAATATAACAATTATCAGGATATTAAGGTAATAAAGGATTACGTACCAGAAGCAACGAATAAACCGGAAGCTGAGAACGCGATGCACGTGATGCTAGCGATGTGACCTTCGAAGGTGGACAGCAACTCGTGTGTGTTCAATTGCCATAGATTCACCAGGGAATCGACTCCACCAGTGACCGCCATTGCTCCGTCTCTAGATATATCTAAACACGAAATGGGAGCTGTGTGTGGATGCAATGATTCCTGCTTAGTAGATTTTTGGACCTTCGCGTGTGCTTCTTCGCCTCGAAAGCTCCAATAAGTTACTCGATCACCGGAAGCCGTTATCAAGAAGTCATCTTTTTCTGTCACCTTTAAAGATGCACGCGATTTGCCTTATCCTACTTGGTCAACAGGTGCAATACAATATGTATGTAAGTAAGAATAAATAAGCATTTACTTTAACAGCAGTGACATCTGCCGAAGGATTCGCTGGCAGGGTTCTCGTCAACCTTCCACTGTGCATATCAAAAACAGAAACTTTGCCCTTCGCTCCACCCGCGATCGCTCTTCTACAGTCCCTTGCCAAGCAGATGCTCTTCACTTCGCCTTGATGACCTCTCAACGTGTGAATCTCTGTTCCCGTGGCCAAAGATCTCAGGTATAGTTTCTGGTCCTCGCAAGCCGCCAACAGGAAGACAGAATCCGCTGACACGTCCAGCATCGTCACCGCAGATGGAAGAACGATACTCTTCAACAAGGTGAATCTCACCAGACACCATAAACAAACTGTACAGTCAGAAGAGCCGGATACGAGGATCTCCCCAGCTGAATCGACGAGAATCGAGTTCACTGGTCCTCTATGATGATCCACCTTGATCAGAACGTCACCTGTTAGCAAGCTTGTGGCGATGATCCTAGAGTCTTCGCCACCGCTGAAATAAAATTGATCATTTAAATTTAAAGCGTTTCTGTTTTAAACTGGTTAACCCTTTAGCAGAGTTGATTATCCATATATTATGTACACGCATAGTTAAGAATAAAATTATTATAAACCTGAGAATGACTGAATTCTTGAGGGCAGATGTCAAGCATAATACTGGAGCGATATGTTCCTGGATTCTCAGTTTCAAGGTAAATTCCTTCATGTCCCAGACTATGATCGAAGTGTCTTCAGAGCCAGTTAGCAAATACTGGGATTGTTGGGTTACCGCTAAGCAAGATATTGGACTCGAATGGCCTAAAATATCTAATGTTATTATAAATAATAGAAATGAATGAAAAAATCAGAGATGTAAGAATAATTAACAAAGTCATACTTTACCTTTAAAAGTATGAACCAATTGTCCAGACATCACGTGCCAGAGTTGAGCATCACCTTGAAAAGGAACAACTATAACGTGTTGTCCAGATGGTGCCGCTTCAACAAGTTTCACTCCTTGTGGACAAGATAATGTGCGAATTTGAAGTGGTAAAGGTGGTTGAAGCCAGCCATTTAATGGTACCAACAATGGTGCTGTATATCCATCGCACCAAGCCATTGCCGCAGTGACCATTCTGCTGACCTTATTCGAAATAACGTTTTACGTAATCACACGCCATTAGCAGCGTAAGATAATGAATTTTTCTCACCAAGTCACCACCATCTTCGGCCACAGGTCTCAGCCAACAGATCAGCTGCGCTCCAAGTTGAAGAGGATCCCTCGTCAAAATATCGCTCGACTTTCTTACGGTGTAATAAACCAATTCTAAATCTCTTTCTAGCAGGTACCTTCTCGAATGTTCCAAAACGCATCTTAAATAACTAACAGAAATCGTCTGTACAGCGGCAAGAAGAAAATCAAATGCGCAGACAGCTAATTTCTTCAACTTTTCGACATCTCCGGCTCTTAATAAATGTAACCAAGCTTCTTCGACGTGTCTAATATTGTAAGCCGTGTCTTGAGATCTTGGCCGGCTTTGGAAAGGTGTCTCCTTCTTAGGGGTTTCTTCTTCAGGGGATGATTTCTCATCCTTGTCTTCGAAATCTTCGGTAAAGAAATGATTCGCCAACTCACCGTGATAACTCTTTAGGGTTTCTTGATTGGAGAAGTATCTTTTTCTAGCTAGATCGCGAATCGGATATTGCCAGGAGAACAACAGTCTTCCACTTAATACTCGTACCTTGAACGAAGAAACGTATCAATTATTTATTATGTATATTCTTTTTAAAATTGATATTTTTTCATTTTTCTCACCTTTAGATATTCGTTAAACGTTCTTCTAACCAAATACCAGGTTGAAAAGTTGAACATTCCTTGTTGGAGAAACAAGGGTCCGTCACCACCGGTGGGCATGATCATTTCGAGAAGTTCAGTTTCGGATAAACCGTACTCTGTGCATGCCAAGATTGCACCGATTCTGTTAGCCGCACATTCTCCTATCAATCTTTCTAACGTGTCAAAAACGTTATCAGTAGTTTCTTGAGAATCTTGAGAAGTTGAATCTTGGAGTTCGATTAAAATCTCGTTGCTTCGCAATCTTTCTTTTTGTACAGGGGTGAACCGCAGCATTTCGGGGGGAACTGCTGTGGTCACTAGCAAATGTACTCCTACAACAAGTTATAATTACAAATGATTCTTTCGACTCGTTAACGAGGAGTTATCGAAGGTACATATCGAGGCGTTACAATTACCAACCAGGAGGTAAATGTGTAGGTAACCATGAAAGAGCAGCAACGATATCACACTCGAGTGGATGCAATCGATGAAGATCATCGAGAAGTATCAACAGTTGCTCCTTCAGCGGTTCCTCTTCGATACGTCTGATAATTTGACCGAGCCAATTGTTCAAGTAAAGAGGATCGAACGAGGCGTCTTTCGGAAGGTTTCCATCTAACACGCCAGATAGAAAGCCGACGTGTTGACAAAGGACTCGAAGCAATTCCAAGCTATACGCTGATCGAGGAGTGGAAGCGCAAAGGCGAACCACTTTGAAAGTGGCAGAATCTAACCAAGATGAAGCGTCCGCGTAGATTCTTGAGAGCAAAGAAGACTTCCCCGAGTACTTGCCACCTTTAATCATTATCGGCCCGTGTTTCTGCGATTTACCTGTTCATTTTTAACGGTGTTCGTCATTATGAAAAACAAAAAAAAATGAATTGAGAAAGAAGATGATTTACCATCGATCAACAGCTGCTTTATTCGCTCTATATTCTCATTGTCCTCGCAACCTTTCACATCTCTAAGAAGCGCGAGATGCATCAGACTCTCAGCATAAATCTCTTGCACCATTTTTTTCTTGCTTTTCATCTCTGGATCGGCTTCGATCGAAGCGTTAACTAACGTTTGTACACGATTCACCACCAAACGACAAAGATGTGCCAGATATCCTTTGTGGCTTCTATTCTCAGGATTAATACCGCCTGTCTTTTGTTCTACTTCTACGTTAATTATATTGTCAGCTGGTAGATTATTAGTTACCAGAGATTTTAACGACGATACAGCTTTTGAACTTTTCTTTCCTTTCCAGCTACGCGTCACCGCTATAATGCCTTCCCCTGTCTCGTCTAATTCTGTAAAATATACGAAATTCTGTATACGAAAGAAAGTAAAATTATTTCATAAAAACTTACTCAAAGCATACTCGAGCTGTCTCTCCGTGGTACTCTTTAATATATTTCTAATTTCTTCGTTGTCAGATTTTTCAGAAACGACGGATTCTATAGCTTTCTTCAGCGTTTCTCTTATAGTCGGTTCCGAATTTTGCCAACTGTCCTTTACGGTATCGTACCTGTCGAATATACATATATTTAACTATTAACTAAATCTCTGAAACTTAATTAGGAAATAGAAAATACAAAAGGTAAACACTATCACGGATTTGATGAAATTCCTAACGTTAATGAAAAATGGCTAATTGTATATTCAGATTGGAGCAATAAAAGCAATGTCTCTCTTCTTTTTATTGCCATTTTCATTCCGCTTCTATGCAATAGCATAATAAAACTGAACTACCTGCCAGCCTTTAAGACGTAGCAATTACAATCCTGTTCGTAATATTCTTCCATCGCTGAGTAACGAGTGGAAAGAATTCCGTAAGTTTCCTCTGTCAGTCTCGTTGGCAGCCATCCAGTACTGTACTCGTCCCCTATTAACAGCTTAACAAATAACGATGTTTATTATTATGATGAATTCAATCAACTTCCTCTCAGATTTCATTTTCACTTTGCCAGTAATTAATATAGATATTCTCTTGGGGTATCTCGTTTCAGCTAAGTCGAAGGATAATATGGATATCAAAACGAGCAGTGGCAAAATGTTTATAATTATTAAAACTTACCAAGAGAAAACAGCCTCTTGAATGTCGATAAGCAGCGTTTATTTCATCGAAAAAATGTTCGGCTAAGAATGGATTTCTATCAGGATTCACATTCGTTGCATAGTGCATATCCACCAATAGAACCTACATTGGTTTTCAATTTTTTCATTTCATACAAGTATATTGGAACAGAAAATAAAATATGATTGTATAAAAATTAAAAAGAATTGTCTTTTTTATACCTCGATTCCCATGTCATCATAAATTGACTGTAATTCCGGTCCGACTAGTTCTAAAAGTTGCTTCCGTTCCTCGATAAATTCTGAAAATATCCAAGAAAAGCCGAAAGTTATAAATTAATTCAAAAAATAATGCTTAAATACAGATATACGTACATGAAGAACGAACGAGCGAACGTACAATCTACTTATAATTCTAGAATTCTCTACTTATAATTCATAACGTTTTATTTTCCAGTGAAAAATTTTCCAATTTCTTCGTTTCTATATTGGTCGAGAAATATGTATAAAAACTTTACGACACCGGAAGGAAAGTTTATTGGTACATTTTTAGAGAAAATTGGATTTTTCGTTTTCTAAAGTAACAGAAAATAAAATAAAATAAAGCACATCGTATAGGTGCGACCAAACAAAGTGGAAGATAAAAGTGAATCCAAGGATGAATGGACAATTGTATATTGTACATACAAACGCAGACAGACAAGTGACAAATACTTTATTGGACAATTGACAGATCGTGAGTATGAAAAGTTTGATGAGACACATTGTACATAGACATTCCTCATCTAATACACAAGCAATTAAATAATAGTGATAAATGTTTGAATTAAAAAAAAAAAGAAAGAGTTCACGTTGATTCACAGACAAACACAGACAAACACAGACAAACACAGACATATACATAAATATGCAGATTTCACTTTTGCAATAGTATTACTATTTTTTCAATAGCACATCTAATGAGTTAATAAAAAATAGCGGTACACCAATACGCATTTACCCCTTTACCTGAAATGACACATTTCCTTTGTAGAGTGAAAAATAAATTCAGCAATTAGAGGAAAATTATCATTTGATAAAATGTGCCATTTCAGGTAAAGGGGTAAAAAACATAGAAGGATATAAGACCAAAAAGATAAGACCGTTCCGTTCTCCAGCGATGAAGATTTTAATAAGCCTTGGAGCAGGTAAATTTTTCGGAGGTGGTCCACCCTTAATCACCCCTGCGATCAATTCCACTTCTAGATTCATTTTCGATGTTTCTTATCGTTAGTTTTTCAATTCAAACCAACATTCTTCCTTCTGAACAGAGTATTCTATTATTTATATTCAATTAAAATTCATTCTTTAAAAAACTACCCTCGATAAAAAAAATAAAAAATTATTATAAGAGAAGAAATTGAAATATAACATCAAGTTTATATATTAAATAATCACCTTTGTTTAGAATCGATTTTTCTTCTGTTTTCCACTTTTCTTCCTTTGAAATATATTCCTCTCTTATTCTCAATGATAACAATAAAAACAGAGATTTTAATCTCTTTAAATGTGGACCCAATGGACGACACTAAACATTTTATATAATTACACAACTATTCATTTATTTAACATCTACATATTACATATACTTTCTCAAACGTGTATGTTATATATGTATAACCACTAATTGATTGTTATCCGTTATTCTTTCTTTCAGTTAATACAATTAAAATATTCTCTTTTTCTTTTTTCTTTTTTCTTTTTTCTTTTCACAATACTTTAAAGACGAAATATTTCTTAAGATTAACAGCGATTTCGATGAATGTATATTCTTTTCAGTCGTCAATAGAAATCTTGATTAATTAGTTAATTAGGTAACTTTAGTGACGATTGTCCTCGCGTTTATTTTTTCTTCTTTTTATTGTACTTTCTTTTTATTTCATTTTCTTTTTGTTAAATAATGTTTGTACTGAAATGTTGTATTGCTGGTAAATAATGGTACTGGTCAAATAACGAGTGTAATATTCATCTTCTTTTAGTAATTTCCTCCTTTACTTTTACTTGGTTGATTATGTTGAGCCCATTTTCGAATATTCTTAACAAATCTGTAACAGAAAAAAGTAAAAAAGTAAAAAAGTAAAAAAGAAATGTGGAAATAGATGAATAGATTCTACAATATACATACGTATGTACCTATTAGTCAGAAATATAAGCCATTCTGAAGGGAATAAGAATAGGACGAAATCATCCGGTATAATGCTAAGACATTTGTTGATAGATGAAAGATCTAGAACCGAGATTGAAGAAAGTGAAGAAATTGTGAAATTTTATAATTTTTAAAAAGCAAATAATATCGAGAAAATTTCCTTTTGTCGATTACGCTGGCTTGATAGATATTGGTATTTGATCTACGTAATGTGGTAGGTAAAGTTGATTATTGCGTGACCCAGCCAGCAATGGGTTACAAAGGAGAGGGCCTTTTGAAGCTAGCCATCCTATTATAATAGGTCGATATTGAACAGCAAAACTGTAGGGATCGACAACAGGTCCAATGTTCCCTTCTTGTTGAAAATTCCATCTTATTTCATGAAATTATGGAAAAAGAATTGAATTTGAATGGATTTCAAGTTCCGGGAATTTTCCAAAGGACCTTGTTAACCGGATGTTCCAGCACTCTGGCAAGTGGGTTCTTGTTGCTGACATCGAGTGTGTACCGTGTGTATGTACTCGTACATATACGATGCGATGCCATGGATGCCCATGCATTATTATTATTATTATCGATAATTGCTAGGAGACATTGGATTCTTCGAGCTTGATCAATTGATTATGCAACGGGGTCGATGAATTTCTAACGCTGTTCAGTGTATCGACACGGTTCAATTACCTAATTACGTATTTTAATAAGTTTAAAATTTAAAATTTTAAATAAAATCCAAGGACACAGGGTCTGATGATAGGAAAATTCAATGAGCGAGGAAAATTGGCTCGATTTCAATAATTGAAATGAAGAAATAAAAATAAAACGATGACGGGTCGATGCAGCAGCGTTCCATGCAGCGAAATGCGCTTCAACAACAGAAGAGAGCATCTTTATTCAGACAATTTCGAATCAATCAGAAATGTAAAATTATCGAAACTATCTCGACCATAAAACGAAAACAGCTTCGGTAAGAATTGGAACAGGTTGTACCTATGTACCTCTATATTTGAAGCGAAGTAGATCGAACATATCTCTATTCCGCAGCCGTGTGTAGCAAAATCGGTATACAAAATTTACCCAACTGTGTTGTCCGTGTTAAATTTCCGAGTTTAGACTTATCCCAGTTATATTGTATCGTGGAAACGCTGATGGTGCATCCAAGCAAGACACATTTTTCTTTTCTGATGTCTAACTAATTCGCGAGTTGCCACCTGGTGAACCCCTGAACTTTTGACCCCGACCAACCTGTACACACACGTTCGCGTGATATCGAGTGTGTTCTCCAGCGAAATTTACTCCAATCCAATTATAATTTACCCTTTTATACATATTTGTAATTGAAAACATTGAAGCTTTTAAGGATCCAAAAGAATATTCTAATTTTAATACTTGTACAATTTCAATTATACCTTTTTTCTGGCTTTGTTCACACACCGACGATGAAAGAAAATCATTTCTCATGTGTTTCTTTCTTGGCAAAATATTGAAAACGGCAGGCAGGATCCGTATGCCACAGGCTTTTCTTTTTTTAATAAAATATTCAATAGAGAAGGGAGATATCACCTCAGAAAGGGATCTCTTTTCTCTACATACATACATACATACATACGAGATCAAGAAAAAAAGTATGTAATTCAATGCTCTACGTATTAACTGCATATATGTAACTAAGTACAACTTATAGCGATAACTTGGTAGAAAAACAACATGTTATTTATAATAAAAAAGAGAAGAAAGAGGGTGAGATACTAGCACATAGAGTATTGACAAAATGGTACTCATTTTAAGGCTTAAAATTTTACGAAACTGACTACATTAATAAGCAAATTACTGCTTTGACTAAAATCAATAGTAATGATACTATTAATGAAACTTATTAGACATGAAATTTACAAAAAGCTACTTTGCCTTATTGCGTTAGTGATATAATAAAAATATCTCGAAAATCTATTTTTAAACTTTTCTTTCATTTTAATTTCATCCTCAATGTAATTAAACAAAAAAACTTTATTAATACACAGTAATGTGCAATTTTATGAAGAAATATCTTAAAAATGTTTAATTTAACAAATTACAATTCTTATTAGTAATAATAACTCTAATTATTCTCTCAAACTATTCGTTTATGCTTTTGTGTGAATCTTCCATTGATCCAATAAAAAGCAACTGTAAGGGTCGAGCATAAATACATAAAAAGAGTCATTGTATTTATTTACTCATCGTTAAATTACAAAACAAAGAGAAGACGAAAGATGAAACAACCTTTGTATGGAAAAACCCTAAGCGCTACCTATCTATTGATAAGCGATAACAATTTTTTTGTTTTTTTCTTTTTTTGTTTTTTAATTCATCGTGTCAAGAAATAATTACCGCGTCGGTAATACCGCCAATTATCTTCTTCCTATCGATCGGTAAGAAGGAGTCAAAATGGCGGTAGTGGGGGGTGTTTATCGAGCTAAGGGTGCCTCAAAAAAGAACAATCCTGATTCCATAAAATAACAATCACGTTCGCAGCATCTTTATCCCGCGAAAGTTTTAATAAAAATAATCATTTGAAACGTCAGGATTAAACCAGCAGAAAATACAGTGTGCGGTATAAATGTAATCAGTGGAAAGTGATACAAAGGAAATTAGAAATACAAATGAGAATGAAAAGCCGCTTACCGGTCTGTCGTCTCGACTGAGATGAAGCCACTTTCCCCACGCTACGGTCGCCGCACTACTACTGACTTCACCACCGCTCTACTAAAGCGATAGGTCGACGCGCATGCGCACCAACTACGTTTACCTGGGAACGGGTTGATCAAGTGCCATCTGCTGGAGGGTTGATAGAGTGTAACTTCCGCGCTTTAACACACTAAACATACGTAATGTAAGTACATACATACATATACACGCAACAAACATACACTATGCTGCATCAGAAATGTGACGTAAACGCACACTGCGATGCATACGATGATGTGCAACGCATAAACGCGACGCGTATGCGCGCATCATGCTCGCGCATCACTTTTCAAATTATGCACTGTATGTATGTATGTATGTATGTACAAGCTCGTTCACCTTCGGAAGCTTTCGGTCATCTTCGACACGAGTTTCATTTCGTTCAATTTCTTTTTATTCTTACTTCCTTTTTTTATCTTCTATTTCTTCCTTTTCTTCTTAAATAAAGTTTCAAAATAAACAGCTGTATAAGTAAGAATTAAATACTGATTCAACTTTCATTAACTTACATATAAGTAATCATTCAACTGCAAAGAATTATGTTTTATCAGACTTTTCCATTTAACAAGTTTTCTTTCCATTGAATTACGTAATATCTATTTACTGTAATTGAAAAAGTATTATTCTCCAGTGCCGTTAACGAGGATTTTGAATCTGAAACAGATGCAATTAATCTCATAGAACTAGTAACGAAAATTTCGCAAAAATAAAATTTAAAAATACATACATCAATATTGTATTGAAAGATGCATCTAAAATATCTTAAAATAATTTTATTAAGTTATCAATAATAAAATCATTAACACGATAATATTATAAATTTTAATACAAACATTAAACGTTAATTTTAGTAAAGCTAATGTAATATAATATAATGTGATATAATATTAAGATTAAGATTAAGATTAAGATTAAGATTAATGTGAAATAATTTCTTACCAAATATAATATTTTTTTAACTAAATTGATGATTTTTAAAAATCTTTCTTTCCCATAAACTTGATAGATCACTATAATCTCTTAAAATAAATTTACATTATTCTTGTCCATAATATTACAGATAAACAAACAATGGGGAGAAAATACCAAAATAAAAAATTATTTACAATAACCCGAAACTTATAACTATACAACAATTATATTTACAACAAAATCTAATTGTAACTTCAAGTAATCATTTATAGTATGGCTGAGAATTATTTTCATACTTTTTAAAAGAAAAATTCTATAAAAATGTAGGTCACTATTTACGATAAATGTTTTATTGAAATATTGTCTTTATCCATAGATAAAAAAGTTGAAATATTTTTATTAAATACATCAACTTATTAATTTTATGATTACTGAATCACATTTATTAAATTTGAAATTTGTCAAATGATAAAAAGAACTTTGTTCAAATGTAAAATTATATTACTTATAACTGTTTATAAAAAGAAAACAATTGTAATTTATATCATTTATATCATTTATATATGTAATATAATTGTAAAGGTATATAGTAATCAAATATTTTTCACCAATTTCTAAACACTGTATCTGAAATCTTGGTGCCCAGACCTTTTATTTGATTCTTAATAATTTTGAATATAAGAAATGAGATTATACATATATAATTTCAGTGTATACGGTAATTTTACGTGACAAAATCTACAAGTCATTACAACTTTCCTTACAAAAAGAAAAAAAAATATGTTAAAACGGTACTACGAGTTTTATTTTCGCACTTTTCAGAGCGCAGTTTATAATCTTGAACAATTTACATGATCTTTCTACCTCCTGTCTTTTTTCTTCACTTGAAATTCATTCTGAATCTAAGAAAAGTATTTCAGTGTTCATCTCCTTTTTTTTTTGGCAGCATTGATGGTATGAGAAATAGAACTTTGTAAATCCCCAATTTCTCTGCACAGACTTATCTCGAATTAACAGAGTGAAACGTTATCATTTATATTCATATCCATATACATATACGTATACATACACACACACGCGCGCTTGCATCATATATATATTCAACAATTAGTACAGCGACTATATGTATAACATATGTAGATCTTTGATGCCATTCTGCAAAAGCATTTATATGCGATCGCATTCAATTTCTGAGACTGTATTTCTGTGTACTATCATATTCTGCATTATTTATGATTATGTGAAAAATTAATAGAAACAATTTAAAACTACATAGCTGTATCGTGAATAAACAAACATACAGATAACAAATAACTATAACTCCATATTCTCATTGTACACACGTATGGGATACTTAAATAATTAATTCATTTCTACTAAGCTTGATTTATAAATACAGTATTAAAATATTAATAAACAGAAATCAGTTTGCTACTTTTAATTTCCATACTTCAGATAAGATTAATATAAATTTTCACTTGCATTCCTATGCATGTGCTTTATATAACCAGATAGAGTTTCCCTGTTTATACATTTCTACAAATGGTATCAGTAAAAAAAATTTCTTTTTCTTTTTCTTTTTCTTTTTCTTTTTGTAAATATTACCTTTTTTACTTTGTTAATTCGAGGTCAGTCTATACATATACATGCATACATACATACACGGAATGTCCAATTAAACACGATAAGCAAGTACAATATAATAGAAATCTTAAGAAAAAGATGCTGATAACTATTTAATCGTTCATTCTTCGTAAGATTATTAACAAAATAATTGTACTTCTTTACCACATTCAGATGAATATTCTGTAGTAACATATGCATAGATTGCTTCAAAGGCGGTGGTATATTCAACAAATGTAAAGTTCTTGCATAAAAAATAAGATGATGCTTCTTAACACTTCCCTGTAATTTTTACTTAATAGTTTATTATAATCCTGTGTAATTTTTACGTATTTAAAGTAGAGATGTATTAATTTTGAAATTTTAATTGCTTAGATGATATTATAATTGAAAATTGAAATATCGCCAAATAGAAATTTAACGAGGATTACTATTATAAAACATATTGAAACATAACATTATTCGATTCTTTCTAAATGTAATTATAGTTTTAAAAAGTTAATAGGGTCTGGTTAAAAAAGCATTAAAACTCATCTTATTTTATTGGCGTAGAATTTTTTCTTTCTCGAATACACCATACCTTATGAAATATTGCTTTATATTTATGGAATTAATAAATTTAATTAATAATTTATTATAAAATCTCTGGTTGAAGACGCAGAGAACTAATAATTATTTACAAAATGATTTCAATCCAAAAGGAGACTATTTTGTAACGTACCTAATTAATTTAAAAAAACGGAAATTTTAAAACAGTTTCATAAAATACCACACACTTGGAAGTGGAAAAAAGTTTTCAAATTCAGTAAATCAGTGTCTGAATTGAAATACCTAAAAGAAACGTAATTTAAGAATTAAAAATTTCAGAAAATTAAATAGTAAAATCGAATGATTACAAATTATTTTTAAAATGGAGAATTATTAGAAAGATGATGTTTCTTGAAATTTGCAACTGAAAAGAATAACAATAATTATTATAATAATTGTTCTAATAGTAATAAAACAATAACTACAATTGAATTATACTTAAATGCTTTAACATTTCTTAAAACAGTAATAATAACATTCATTCCTACATACGTATACGTACATATATGTATGGTTTTCATAAATCCTAAGTGTTCCATTCTAATTAACCGATTGAACAATCGTTTTAAGAGGTTCGCAATTTTGAACACAGTTCACGATTGTTAAACACTTTCACTGTATGTAATCAACAATAGCTTCTTCTTTTTTTATTATTAACGTTTGCTTATCTTGTTTCCATCTAATTCCGAATGATTTTTTTTATTATTATTTCACTTGAGTCTTAAGATGTTGCAAGAATTCATAGTAACTCAGAGAATTCTCGAAACGATCTTCAACTAATCGTTCAATAAAGAGTGTTCTGAAGTGACTGTCATCTCTAGAAATTAAAAAAGAATAGAATTATAAATATTCTGTTTACAGTTTAATAGTACATTACAATGCCTTGATCTCTAAATTTAATTAGTTCAATGAAACCAACTTAACACTTAATATAATTTATCAGGCGTATTTTACGGTTGTAGAAACCTTTTAGTATCATTCTCAAGGTACTTGTCAATTTCTGCTTATATCGAGTTAACGATATTTCAAATTAACAACAATTCTCTAAATTAGTGTTTTTTGCGCTAGATAAAAAATTTGTCAAGTTCCTCGAGAGAGAGAGATAGAGCGTTTAAACTAAATTTAAAATGACATACATACAAAGAACGAAAACTCAACTCACCGAATAATTTGTACAGTGGCAGGGTAAGGCTTTTCTTCTTGTAAACTAAATACAAAATTGCGTAACCTTTCGCTTTCTGCCGTCTCAATTTCTGGTAATTCATACTAGAAATAATATTTTTTTCACGATGTAGTATTTATCACATAACATTTTTTATAACAAATTATTATAGAATTGTTTTAAAAATATTTTATCATAGAATAATAATAGATATAAACTTACAAGTTCTTCGGGTATTGAAGCAAAAGCAGAAACTCCAAGTATATTGCAACAAAATGAAGGGTGAATATTTTTACCAATTAAAATAAATATTCGGTCACCGGCATCCATCAAGAAAGCTCCCCTAGAATCAAGTTTCTCAGCAGAAAGATGCAATCTGGGTGGTTGTGGGCAAAGTTTCCCATCGATATCTTTCAAATTCCGGTCATCAAGCGCGTGAATAGGATAAAGGTCTGGATAAATTGTCTGAATTAATTGAAATAGTGGCAGAGTTTTCAACTGGCACATTGCAAAGACTCGATCATCAAGTCTTGTATTCGTTCCCGATCTGAAGGCAACCTGAAAAGGAAAGCAAAATCACTTTCTTTTATACTTTTAATAAAGTGTTAATTGCATCAGACATTAAATATGTAAATATCTTTATACTTACGCATTTGAGCAAAGCAATAATATAAAGGGGCAGTAACTTTAAGCTCGCAGGAGCAACAAGTCCACCAGGGGCCGTTGACTGAGACAATTTATAGGCTGACAATACATCTATAGCCACGTTTATCAAAGCATCTCTTGCATCGGATAAAGATGACTGCTGAGACCTGTCTACAGCTATAATAGAATAAATAATAAAAGAAATTTAAAAAGAATGTTTAAAAAAATTAAGTAACTTGTGTCCGTTTGCCGAGGGGAAAAAAAAAAAAAAAAAACCTTACCCATTTTAGAAAGTAGGCCTGCTATACATTGTTGATCAGCAGAATGAAGAACATCAGATAAAGTGGACACTACTGGTAGGCACAATGTGTGTACCCTAATTCTTCTTTCCCCTGAAACATACTTTTTTAACTCAATCCCCTTTTTATGTAACATTTAAAGAAATTTAACAAATATACGCTTAATACCGATCAAAAGAGTAATTATATGAATTGTTATTTGATTTGAAAATTACCTTTACTTGATGTATAAAGTAGAGCTGCCTGAAAACACACGTTCTGAATATCTGAAAGGTTTTCCTCAATAGAAATTTGCATTCCAAAGCCAGCATCTGGATTAACGTTAGGTAAACTAAGAAGGTCAGTCGATCTAACAAAGAAATTTCCATGAAAAGTATGAATACTCAAACCACGTGTGCATCGTATTCTCATGACTGCTTCAAAACCAATCTTTCGAGTAAGATAACGTCTGAGTATTCTATCGAGAGTTTCTGCATTCTGTGATTTTGATCCTCGGAACAGAGGAAGGTGATATATACATCCTCCAGAAAATTTACACATACCCGCTGCAACAAAAATGGTTTTGTTAAAAAACAATTAAATTATGCAATTAATAAAATTAAATAAAATAAAATAATTAAGATATTTACAAAGAGTGGCTAAATCGCAATATTGACTGTTCAACAGAAATAAGTCGACAGCAATTTGTTGTCCACTGCAATCTAATGCCAATCTCTTATAGAAATCTGTAACTGGGTTCAGGTGTGGTACATCTTTGCTTGATCTACTATTTGGATCTTCTCTCGCTTGCAAAAGTCCAGGGCCGAGGTTTGGTAAACAAGTTTGGAAAACAGTCACGCGTCCACCAGTCGGCGACTAAATTAAAATTATGTTCATATTTTAACAACTTCTAATCGTGTTCTAACTTTTAAATACTGTTCTCTAATTTACCATAAGTTTATATGCTGCTTGTAATGCTGCACCCAAAGCGCTACTTGTATCATGAGTCCCTTGAAATTTCGTTGGTAATTGAGCCAACAAATCTCTCACTAATTCCTCTCGTTCTTTTAAATTAACTATTAGATTGTCCGGGCATGGAAGAAATCCATCTGCAGAAAAATGTCTTATTATTATTACACATATATGTATACGGTAATAATTCAACCGTAACAACAATTACATATAAATCATTTAGAATTACCATCTATATCGAGCATAATCATTTCCTGAGGTTGCGACACATTGTCGGGTATGCCAAAGAAATGTATCGCAGAATCTACTGCCAGGAATCCAATTTGTGTTCTGCTATCACCAGGCAACTTGGATAATTCCTCGGAAATTACGTTACACACTATGCTCAAATAACCACTCTCTACTGCCAGTCTTGAAACATCCAAAACAAATAGATACACGGCTGGCTGTGGTGGACGTAGCTGAAACATTTTACATGTTCATCCATTTTGTACACCATTTAATCCTAGTAGTATTAATCAAATACTTCTTATTCTTACCATATATTCACTAGGTGCAATAAATTCTATTGTACTGGTATTTACTTCTGGACGTCTTGATGGATCTCCGTATGACTTTGTTACAGGATCAAATTGAAATTCGTCTGGTACTGGAACAATATTAAATTAAAATTCTAACTCTTTAATACAAGCACCAGTTTACCAGTAATATCTCATGTAGATATATTAATAATGACATTGTTATTAAATGTAATTACAATTCTGGAAATTTATACTCACATTCATTTACTCTGTAACACAGGTTACACTTCCACCTTTTTGAATCATTGAAATACACAAAAGGATTGATATACGTTCTACAAGCACGGCATCGTACTATTGTGCTGCACTGTATTACTGGTAAATGCTGAAAATAGAATAATACATTATTATTTGAAATTATCAAATGTTTTATGTCAATTCCACTTAACAAGCAAAACATATAGCGTACATACATTTAAATCCTTAAAAGGATGTATTAAAACTCCTAGAGGCAATCTGGACTTTTGTAGTAAAGAATTTGATTCGGGGATCTTTGTGAGTGTACACCGAAAAATACTGAAAAATTTAGTATGCAACAACATTTTAATATATGTATTATATTAAATGTTTATTTTGTATAAGGAACACTTACTCTGGACTACAATTAACACTATCTAGAAACTCTTGGTGAAGTTTGATCTTTGGTGGTTCCACTTTTTCTGCAGGTAAAACATTTCTACATTGCAATAAATCAACAGTCTCCATTCCCTAAAATAAAATATTATTCAAGTAAGAATGAAAAAGTAAAATTATATGTTCAACTTCAATATTATTATTAAAATAAGAACTGCACTTACCCATAATTTATTATAACCGGCTTGTGCAACAGACATCATATTCATTTGATTGTTCAAATGATTCATTTGCTCAGGATATGATTCTGGGTATCGTTTGTTCATTGAATCTAGTGGTATATTTACAGGATTTGCTGGTTGACTTGGATACTGTAAAACAACAAAAAAATTACGTACAGATATTGCAAACAAAATGATATTGTTAATAAAATGAAATTTTGAAATGGAACCATTCTTTGTCCAGGAAATCCTATAGGTGCAGCTGGAATTTTTGCTTGAGTATCTACGCTACCAACTGTCCTATAAGGCATTGTGTTTGGTACACTGGTAGCATGTTGTATACCGTACGTATTTTTTGGATACATTCTTGATCCTCCCAAATTCTGTTGGTAAGACATTTGTCCTCTAGGCTGTTGCATAGTAGTCGGAATGATATTTTGTTCTTGCTGCTGCTGCACGAACGTTTGCGCACCTTGCACGGTACTTTGGCTATCAGTTTTGTAAAGTTTCGATTCTGTATTTGATGGATCAATTTGCGAATTTCCTTGTAAATTTCTTAATTCATCTCTAGGTGGAGCTTGATGTTTTGTAACTGGCACTTGGAACTGATTCTGAACATTATACATTGGTGGATATTGTTGGTTTTGCGATAACCTTACTGGTGCTTGCTGTGCTGATGGTGGTAGTGGTGGTGGTGGTGGTAGTGGTGGTGGTGGTGGTGGTGGTTGTGGCATTGGCATTAACGGGTTCATTGAATTTTGTTGACCGTTCATCGGAGGTACTAATGGACGTTGTAGGGGTGATTTATATTGATTATGGAGATACGAAGTTGGCGATGGGTCTCTTGAAGTTTCTCTAGATGGATCTCGCGATGAATGGGATGACGAGGTACCTGAAATGAACGTATAAAGCTATATACGATAAGATAATACGAAAAAAGTGGTAAATTTATGATATATATTTACCAGTAAAGTTATAATTTCCTGGTTGCATGCCATTATGGTGTGTCGCACTTGCCTGTCCATTTACCATCTGAGGGGGACCACTTTTTAAGTTACCCCCATTACCATATGGACGATACTGATAGTCTGTTGGTTGTGACATATCGATGAGTTCCAAATGTCGCTAAAAGAAATGATACATTTATATATTATGTTACCATGTTTAAGACCAGTTGACAAACGAATATTGTAATATTTAGCGCTACATAACAAGCCATTAAAATTAATATTTATATATTTCTTATTATAATTTTTATACATAAGAATACAACAAGTCAAATAAAAAAATAAACTATATTTAATACATTAGATTTGACAATATTGAAATGTGACATCCAAATAATTTAATCTCTTATTCTCTACGATAACACAAAATAAAACATTAAATCGTGTTATTAAAATCATACTACCTGATAATCTAATAGTTGAAAATTAAAACTTAATCAACCATCTACATGATCAAATGAAATCTAACAAATCTATAATTAAATGTAAGTTGATATCTTAAATGCAACATCGATAATTAAATATACTGAAATCTCAAAGTTTATTCCCTGTAAAAAAGAAAAAAGAAAATAGAAAACTTTTAAAAATCTGAAAGTCATAATAATAAATAATAAGACAATACAAAAATCAATAACATAAAAAGAAAGAAATCAGAAAGCGATAAATACATTCTTAATAAAATGCAAGTTTTGCATAGAAGTGCAGTATAAAAAAAAAAAATTCAAATATAGTAGTAATTGACAAATAATTAAATGGGTAGTTAAAAACTTGCAATTAGATGAAAGAAAAGATCATTTTTTAAAGGAGTTTACAAAAATTAAGAAAGAAGAAGGATCGAAAGGTTAAAACGTCACGTCGAAACGAAGAGACCGAGAAATGTAGATCTCTTGTCAAGTTCTCTAATGCAAGACCATTTTCTCACCTTTTCGACGAGGTAATCACGGCGAAGATGAACGAAATTTTAGACCTTACTGCACCATGAGACGTGCATTGCACTTTTTTTACTGTATAATTCGCCGTTAATTGTCGAAAAGACGTACCTCGTCGACGCGACACACAACATTACGTGGCAACTCTGATTGAGGCGCCATATTCGCTAAGTGGTCTCATCACGAACCACAACACATTTCAAATCAACTTGTGTTTCACAAGTAATAAAGTTAATAAAATTTTCTCTGTTACAGAAGTAATAGAATTTTTGAATTTATTTCTAATATTAATCACATAATTGGTCACATAAAATATACTGTTTGGTCGATTTCTTAAAATTATGTATGTACATTTGATCATTTCTTTATAATTAATGAGTTTAACCATCACATTTCAATGTAACAGTAAATAATTTGTGTAATTAATACATATACATACATACATACATACATACACAAATTACTTAATCATAACTAGCACTTGATTATTCAATTAAATACTTAGCAAGGTTTTTTTTTTATAGATTTTTTATAATAAAAAACTTGGACTGAGACCTAACGATCATTTTTATAAATAAAACATTTATATTATATTTATACCATTTTAATTGAAATTGTAATGCTAAAAGACTGTTAGATAAGAAGAACACGAAGAATCATGTTTAAAAATTGTATATTCCGCACACCTTACAAAAAATTGTCATTTTTTTTCCTCTGTATTCCTAGTAAGTACCTTATTAAATTATCTTGTCGCAAATTTTTTCCAACTTCTCTTGAAGACTTGAATCCTCTTTCACTCGAATCGTTTCTCGACATAACGTTATTAAATTAGTTTTACCAAGATGTTTTCTTAATTGATCTGGAAATTTCATTTAAACACAAAAGCAGTCAGAATGTATAAAAAATTAATGAAATGAAATGAAATGAAATATTAAATACCTGAATTAACAATATTAACCAACAGTGACAAAACATTATGTAAGATAGGTATTTCCAAATTGTGCTGAGGATTAAAAAATTTGCAAAGTTTTTCTCCTACGTCCGCCTCGAGAAGTGATTTTTCACATTCCTCTAAGGAAATTGTGGTTGTTATCGTTAAACTAATTAAAGCTTCGTTTTGCATTAGAACATGTTGGGCTGTTAACATTTTAACTAAATGCTTTATCGCCCCATATTCTATTACCGAAACTGTTATTCCTTTATCCCTAATTTAAAAAATATAAAAATTAGTAACCTTTACTTGCGGTAAAACTTGTGGTACAAATGATTATAAAATATTCAATAAAACTGAATTAAATGAACAACCTGCTATTATTGATTAACCAAGCGATTAAGCGATTCGCTTCACCCTGAACTCCGGGATGTTCCTCAACTTCGCACCACTCGACAACCTTCTCTACTAAGCCATCCTTTTTTCCTAATTCTATTGCAGCTTCAGCTGAAATAAACACTGTGGTTATCATAATTTTTATCGTTTAATTCATTTATAGGATATAAATTAAATAAAATCTTACATTGACCATCGATAACGATTCTTAAAGTTCCCAATAACTTGAAGACCACAGGATACGACGAAATGTTTATCATTGGATATAAAATATTTAATAAACCGTCTTTTAATATTACAGGCTTATTATCCACAGGAATAACAAGATTTCTTAAAGCGCTAAGCAAAGCATGTTGAAACCTTATATCAGCAGTATCTGTATTATTATCTTGTAGCAATTTAAGAAGAGTACAATGAACATTTTGCGTAACCATAAGTTTGCAATGAGCATCGGTACGTGCAAAATTGCCCATTGCTAATACTGCTGTAATTTGTAAATCTCTATCTTCACTTTCAAGCCATTCGACCAGTTTCTTATATACAATACCGTTACTGTTATCGTAGAGGCTGTTCATACTGTCATCTGAAAGTAACTTCTATATCAATTAATATTTTCATCTTTAATTTTATTTTAACATACCTCCAGTCAAGACAAGAACAATTAAGTTGCAAGCTATCTTCAAGACGCATCTAGTCTCTTCGTCTGTGCAATACGGACTATGTTTTTCCAAAAGTTTTAATAACAACTCACAGACACCTGCATTTGCAAGTAATAATTTTGCTTTTTCTGAAATTTAAACACAGATTAATAAAGACTTAGTCAGTGAAAAAAATTTAAAAGCACATTTCAAAAATCATCTGAATACCATCTTCTGCTTGACCATGAAAAAGTTCCAAACACATTTCAGAAAGTTCTGACGATGCATCAGTTCCCAAAATATCTACTAAAATTCTTGTAAGTCTTTCATCTAGAAACACTATGTTCGCATCATTCGATATTCCTAATATTAGAAGGGCATGCATCGCAGCTTCTCCACCTGTAGTTCCATCAATTTCCAGAATGCTGCATATAATTGGTACTATATCCTGTTGCAGTGCCTAAGAAAGTTTACCTATATTTTAACATATGGATAACCATGAATATACTAATTATAACATATCATTTCTACCTTGAGTAAAATCATTTAATTTATATTTTCCACATGTTCTTATAAAACAGTTAATATATTGTGTTAACTACAATCATATTTAAAGTATTTATGATAATAATTACAAACTTACAGACTAGCATACCTATAATTCATTAAATGTTAATAATTATGGTATAAACATAAAAACATATAGTAAATACCACACCTCCTTGTGAAGAGATGGTCGATCGATAAGAAAATTAAGTAAAAGTCCTACAGCAACATTACGAAGGAATGGTGCACCTTCTACATTCTTTAGCGTCACACTTTTTTCCAATACTGCCAAAATTGACATCAATCCATTTTTATCTTCCACAAACTTTTTACCATTTTCTGTAATAGGAAATAAAACTTATCATCAGAATAAAACACGCTATCCCTTTCAGCCTTAAAATTCTTTTCACGGATCATTCCAGCAGATAAAAAAATATGTTAGAGGGAATTAGGACAAAATAAAAGTATTCTATTCTTTAGAAACAATAATATCAATATCAATAAAAGGTTAATATTAAAGGCAAGATTTATAAAAATATTAAATTCCTACAAGAAATCATTAATATTGTTACATCATATTATAATAACGGTGGTTTTAATGTTAGCTACATACATGAACAAAATTGGGTCATTAGGGATTAAAGCTCCCTACCATTCTCGTAACAAATATTTCCCAATGCCCTGGAAGTCTGCGTTAATACATCAACACGTTCGTCCTTTAAAAGATCTATTAACGCATTTACTAAATCTGTACTAGTGCATTTTTCTCTTCCTCTTTCACTTTTTGCAATTTCAGCAATTGCTTTAGCAGTTTTTGCAATAATTTCCTTGGATTCATGACGCAAAAGAGTTAAGAAAACATCGTCTATGGTGAACTCTGTAGCCTCTAAAAGAAGAATCAAATTTTCTTGTTATACAACATTATAATTGCTTTAGCAGTTTTTGCAATAATTTCCTTGGATTCATGACGCAAAAGAGTTAAGAAAACATCGTCTATCGTGAACTCTGTAGAGCCACTAAAAGAAGAATAAAACTTTCTTGTTACATAACATTATAATTGCTTTAGCAGTTTTTGCAATAATTTCCTTGAATTCATAACGCAAAAGAGTTAAGGAAACATTGTCTATCGTGAACTCTGTAGAGCCACTAAAAGAAGAATAAAATTTTCTTGTTACATAACATTATAATTGGTATAAAATACCCCCGATAGAATACCTCCTATAGAAGTTTTGCTAACATTAACAATAGAATCTAAGACTTGAATTATGTCTTTGATCTCTTTTTCTGACTTTACAACAAATCGTAATTCTTCAACTAGCTTATCAATGTTGTGTTTCAGTTCACCTGGAAAACAAATATCTCAAAATATAATAGAATTCATCTTATATCAAATTTATCATATTTCTTAATAAATAGAAACAGGCAAGAATAAATAAATTTGAACAACTGTGTGAAGAAAATTTGTCTCCACGTATACAACTTCAAATGCATTACCTTCCATTATTATTTTTTTCTTTTTTAACTGTAATGAGCTGACTTTAAAAGATTTATACTTCTTTCACAAATTAACAACAAAACAAGCTTCACTTAACATGAAAGAAACAACTTTGAAGGATTTTCCATAAATTATAAAACATTAGATAAGAAACTTGCGTTTTCCCTTTAAATTCCTTATATGAAACTTAATCCTATTTCACAGGTTGACAGTAAAAATCGGTTACGCTGAAATAATTAAATGCAAAAAGAATGATATCTATAAAATGCAAGCCCTACAAATCTTAATTTTAATTTAATTTTTCAAAGTAAAATAAAAATTTCTTACATTGGTACTTTTGATTTCAAAAAGGTAGCTAGTTTTAAAAAATTACTGATAACAATTATTTGACAAATTTAACAATAATTATTCTGTAACAGACAAAGATAAATGATATTGAAATATTAGCTAATCATATTTGTATATATATAGTAGTCATAACTTTTTAAAATAAAAATGTATGATTAAAACATACACTTCTATATATACATATATATATATTTTGTCTTGAATTGTTATTGATTTTTGATATTATTTTGCTATTAAATAAAATGAATACGATGAAATTTTAGAATTCTCCAAAGGAATTAAAATAAAGGTTATGTATTTACTTATTAGATCATCAGCATCAGCAACTATCAGTCATCTGATAATCGTATAAAGTTTGTTGTGAAAACTTTGTATTATTGTAATTTTAATAACAATACATGTTCTAATAATAACTATAGAATAGTATAATGTAAAGTAACAATGACTTCTAATGAAGATGTAAAGAAAAAGAAAGACAAATTGTATGGTAGGTATGTTATATAAATAATTTGTTACATCAAGGCTATAATTGATATAAAATATAATTTAATTTTAGAAAAACTGTTATTAAATTATTCATTTGTTTCAGGTACATTATTCTTAGCTGGAATTGCAGGAATTTCTACTATGGTTGGGTTTGGCACTGCTTTAGCGTCAACTAGAAAACAAGATGCAAAAAATTTTGAAGCAGGTCTTTATGAATCCGGAGCTGCATTAGCTACAAAGGCCCTGATTCGGGGCTCTCTATGGGCAATCGGAGGTTGTGGATTGCTTTTCTTTGGTATTTGGAAGCTATCCGGTGCTAAAACTGCAGAAGAATTTCGATTAAAGGCTGGAAGTATTTTACCAAGGGTACCAAAAAATAACCCACCACAGAGTAGAACTGAATTTGAAAACCTTACCGATTTCCTTAGATATGTTTCTGAAGAGTGGGGTAAAGAAAAGTAATATCATTTATTATATTGACTAGTGTTAAAAGTAGTAAATAATTTTTTTATTAAATTACCTTAAAAATCTTAACAGTAGTGTTTCAAAAATATTACTATTATCTCTGTTCATCAATTACATCATCATTTTCAGTTTAGAAGCTGATTAAAAAAGATCATCTAGCCACAGGTTTCACAGAAACTATAATTGTAAATGTTTGTGTTCTTTTAAAATGCAAAAATATATGTTTATTACATTATAAATAGTATTTTTCATATAGCAGTATGTTTTATACTTACATGTATACGTTATTAACACATATGATCTAAGATTTTGATTTGTAAATGCTACATGTTACAATAAATGATTTTTGTCTATTGAACGTCATAAGTTGAAGAAAAAATGTTAAAAATTTGTTTAACAGTGTCAATATCAACTTATTTATCTCTCCGTGACTATAATTAGTTGTTTTCTTTCTTTTTCCGATAAACATATAATTAGTTAATTTACATACGTAATTCACATGACATTTATATTTTCGTAAGCATTATGTAAATTATTATTTTTTCATTCTATTGCATTTATAAATGTTATATTTTTAATTATGCGTAGAATTAATAAACAAGTAAAATGTAAAATTCTATCATCTGATTTGTTTCCGACATGTTTCATTCTTGTAAAATATATAGATAATTTAATAATTGTGGTGGTAATCAGTGAATTTATTAATTATACAACTCTACATAGAGTTGTTTATTGTTTCTAAAGAAAAGCATAGGAATTTATGTATGTAGAGAAAAGAATGTAAGAAAAAGCGTGAACAAAAATATTATTTAACAGGAAGATCAGGTAAAAAATATATATATAACATACGATAATTAAGACTAAAACTATATTTTTATACCTCCAGTTATAAATTATTATTATTATTATTATTATTATTGTTAATATACAATATTCATGTATAATAAAGAAAAAGCATAGATAATAAAAAAAGAAATGATACTAACAAATTATACATTTGTTTCTTGTACGCTTGTTTTATTCCTATTATACATACACACAAAACATACAGTTTTTCCCATTTTCCTTTTTTTGCATTCATTTTGCTTATTTGGATAAAAGAAGAATCAAACTAAAAATCGTTTCCTTCATTTATCTTGATAATGATGTTTTCTTTCATTCGGTTGCACTTATTGCTAATTACGGAATATAAATGTTCGCTATATAGAATTTATTATTAAACAGCCAGATGATATTATAGTAGCAGGCAAAATTCTTTTTTTTCTTCTATATATATATATTTTACATTGTTTTCTTTTTTTTTTTCTTCGGAGCTTTCTCCATATTCATCGAATACTTAAACACACTGCAAGCAATACTTGTGGAAAATTTAAGAATTAGAAGATTCTAAGTGAAAATCCATGTTCTACTTTATTTAACAACGTTTTAATCTCTAACTTTTATTACTCGTTTGTCTCCTAAAAAACTATTTCTCGTTAATATTTAAAAAAATTTCTTTCACTTGGAACTGTTATACAATTACTTGCAGAAAAATAACTCAGTAATTTTAACATTTCCAATGACAGAGTAAATACTGTATCAATTACGAAAAGCATAAATTTCTTCTTTTATTCTAGTCGGAAAAACGCATGTAGTTTGTAATTCAATAATAATTAGACTATTAATTAATTCAGTTGCATGTTCATCAGTTTCCAAAGCAGCACACAATTAACTCTAATCGCTTAGTTATTAAATACGTAGCATTGACAGAAAAAAGCAGTTACTTAAACGAGATTTAAGAAAAATCCTCTCTTTAAGAAGAAGAAAAAAAAAATGAAGTATTTGCAATAAATCCTTCAATTTAATAATATTAAATTAAACAACTGAAGATTTTTTAATTCATACTCATGTTTACAATGCATCGGTAATCGATGCATTGTTAGAAAGGATTTCCTATTAAACTCGTAAACACTCTTTTTCTTTTTTCTTACAGATAACTTAGGGGTACATAAATATTTCATACGAACAATTCAATTCTTATCCACCAAATGAAACGCGTATATTTGACCATTATCATCGTTAGTGTAATTATTATTTAAATATTTAAATTATTTGAATCGAGCATAGTAGTACTTTGGCAATATTTATTGATAAATAATCAACTATTGTGCCTTTCGTTGAACCGCGATATCCTTTTGTTATTTTATTTTATTTTATTTTATTTAAAAACTATCAGGAATATTTTGAGTTGAACAAAGAAAAGGAAGTTCGTGCGCAGCCTGTAATAATTACTATTGGTTTTTTACAAATTCGCTACCTATTAAAGAGCTATGTATTAATCATAATTAAAATTATCCGAAAAATCAGTTTCTAAGTGAAATAGTCAATGGGTGAATTTGTAAATGATACCGATAATATATGTACACATATATTAATCGTATTCATGCTCCTATTGGTAATATTTGTGCGAATTAGAAGTAATATGGTAATTTATTAAAGAAAATTAAAAAAAAAAAGAGAGAGAGAGAGAGAGAGAGAGAGAGAGAGAGAGAGAAAAGAAACACGGTTTTGTACAAAGTGTTAGAAAAAAAGAAGATAGTTAATCAATTTTGGATATGAAACTGCGCGTCGATCAGCGGCATGGATAATTGTTTTATTTTAAATATAAAGATATTTTTTTTTCTAATACACTCTCATTTCACTTAACAAATGCTTTCATCCTGACCATGCGACTAGAATCGGTCAGTTTATGTTTCAAAGGGAGACCATCCCTACAAAGATGTCTATTAATTGATATTATATGTATATAAAATTACAAAGAAGGGACCATTATTATTGAAACGTTCTCTTTTTCTCTTCTTTTTATTCTTACGAAGCTATTATTATTCGCTGCATCCTCGGTGAAAAATTGTGAGTTTTAAAACTTATCGCTTCTTACGATGACAACTTTTTTAACATATACCTTCATATGTACGTGTATTTATATGTATACATGTATATGTATATGCAACAGAAACTGAACTTAATGTATTTCTTATAATATGAGGTTCTATTATCGTATGAATTTCAATGATTTAAGTATACGAATAAATCTAAATAACATAATTTATACAAAACCTTGTTTAGAAAGGAAAATAAACGTCTCTGCAAGGTTGGCTGCAACCTGTAGGTTTGCAGATACGAATAAGCAGCCCATTTTGTTAATCCTAGCAGCATAAAATAATCGTAATAGAAAATAGTAAATATAAATGGTCTTTTTCTCTTCGGTTTCCTTGCCTTTTTCCGTCTAACGATCACGGATGATGAAACGAAACAATGCAAGATATTTATGTGATATCGATCCCTGATTATTATCATTGTTTTACTATTTTCTACAAAGAATATTTTCTAGCTCGTTTTCGAGGTACGTACGCTTAATGAAACGTGTCATTAACCCTTTGACTGCTATGCGTCCATAGATGATTTCTTGTATATACTAATTATAATTAAATAAAAATTATCAACGCATATTACTAATTACACACCATATGTTATCACATTATAATGATATAACAAAACACTGGAAAAGAAAAACAAATGAAAAAATAAACTGAGAAATGAAATGGAATAAAAAGAAAAGTAACGAGTGTTACTATCTTGATTCTTATTCAGCGCACACACAGAGCGTTCAAGCCTAGAATCCCCAGCAGTCAAAGGGTTAATGATATTTTATACATTTTTCTGGTAGAACGAGATTTCAGGAGAATTTTCTGTGTTATCGATTAAAGCGATACTTGAACACATTTACTATATGTAATAACAATAAATATATGAAAGATTTTCTTTTCGTGTGAAATATGTATATTACGTTTAACAAATATATTCTTTATATCTTCCTCCTCGTTCTACCTAAGCTTTTACAATATATCCAACTCGACGAAGAGGTATTACAAGAAAAAAATATTTAAAAAAAAGAAATTTAGAGGAACAAAATATTTTTAATAGGTACCTCTAAGAAGCTCTTTATTCGTCGATAAGATATTTAACATGAAATATGTTAAATAAATTATCATAAAATTTATTACTAAATTCAGTGTGCAACATTTAATATTATAAAATTCAGTGTGCTATATGTTCGAATAACGCATTACCATCACTTTCACCCTACCACAATTTGTTGTATACGACTTTGTGTCGTTAAGAAAGACTTTTTTGCAAAAGCATAAATTCTCAGGGAGCATAAATGGAAGAAATATGCTTTTGGAAAGCGTCTTTCGAAAAAAGTTTCCGAAAAAGAAACGAAGAAAGAAGAAGAAGAAGAAAAAGAAAAGAAGAAAAAAAAATATGCGGTGTGCTTTAATTAGCCTTGAGCTTTTCGTATTCTTCTGTTCCGTTAACGTAACTCTTTTTCGCGACTTTGGTACCACGGCTAGCATTTAGATAAGAGCTTCGGAAGAATTTAGCAAAGAGAATAAAATAACTAAAGTATATAAGGAGACCAAGCGTCACATTGACACGTGAAATGTGACAGTCGATCTTACCGCTTTCCAGATATTGAAAAGCTCTAATATTTACAATGACACCCATTACCATTTGCAATATCTGCAGCGAAGTGATCAGCATGGCAATCCACTGTGGTGGTCTGTAGCGCATCGCTTTCAGAGCATAATACGAATACATAATGGAGTGAACAAAATAGTTCATAACAATATACCACCTAGCAGTTGCTGCATATTCTGTATAAGAGAACCATGCGTATAGAAGAACAGTTATATGATGATACCAATGTAAAAAGATCAAACGCTGTTTTCGTAGCACAATAAAGATCGTGTCGCCTAGTTCTGGAAGCTTTGATAGGACAAACATCCATGTCCAAAAGCCTGATACACAATTTCTTTCAATGAAGCTGCAAACAGATGACATTCTCTTATTATCAATGTTCTATAAATCAATGTTATATGTACATAAATATTCAATGTTTTTTAATAGTTGTAAAAAAGAAAAAGAAGAGATAGAATTACCTAGGTACACAAATACTATAATGAAAACCATAATTCCTTAGCACATAAATCAACTCTGGTGCTGTTCTAGTAAATCCAATAATGGAGAAGATCGCGAGCATTGTATTCCATACAGTAAGTAAGCCTCTTAGCTCAAACTTTGGCCTATTCGACATATAATGTTGTCCTCCAAAAATCAAGATCATGTAAATGCCACAATAGTAAAAACCATTTGTCCAATTCTTGATCATCCATTGTTGAGTTTCCGCCGGACTGAAAGTCTCTTCGAAATTGAAGACGTACGAATAATTTGGTAAAGTCACCTCCATGTAATCCACTTTATTCATCTTGAAGTATTTTTCTTCTACTTTCTCCGGAAAAATTGCAAGGCACCAATTCCTTACTCCAGTCTATTGTTAATTTACTGGAAAAGAAAAGAAGAAGAAGAAGAAGAAGAAGAAGAAGAAGAAGAAGAAAAAAAAAAAAGACAAGAAGCAAATTCATTCATTTACCATGCAATATGTATGTAAGTATTTAAGTAGGTAGATGCTGATGTATGTAAATAGCTGTAAATTTTTCGATAATTAACATTAAAGATTTCATTGAATTTATTTGCGCATTTTTCATTATTCATTACGAATAATATCAAACGTAGAGAATTTCGTATTCAATATCACGTAATACTTTGTGATGCCAACAACGATGTTACATATTATTATTTTTCGTTTACACAATTCTTCTGTTATTACGATTACGTAAAAACGTATCATGTATACATATAATTTTTTTTTTTTTTACGGCATTTACGACATATCATTTACCTATGTAAATTCGAGTGAGAGAGAGAGAGAGAGAGAGAAAAAAAAAATTGAAACAATTGTTTCGTTGCATCATACGCTAAGACTCTGTTCAATTTTATGAAATGACATGCTTTAACTCTAAACTACCTACGATAGATGAATTAGAAACGTGGTCAAATCAAGTAACGGTTCCGTGCAAGATTCTACACATTTCTCCTTAACCGAGATAAGCCTAAGTTTACCAATCAAAGTTTACCAACGATCGTAAAGAAAAATAAAAAGCAAGCGTATGTTAAGTAATTTTCGTTTAGTTAAGTAAACGAAAAGAAAGAAAGACTGTGATAGATTAAATTTGTACCTCCTTTCTCTTTTTCACTCTTAACACTTAAAATGTGTAATTGAAAACTATTTAATTAAAAAAGTAAGTAATTACATAAATACATATATAAGTATGTATATCTATGCGTTAGTATAGCTTGCATGATTCGATGCCCTCATCCTTGATCATCCGCGGCAAAAATGATTATGTAAATCGTGTTTCGAAAACTATTTCCTTATCTATTGCTTAAAAAATGTTTCCTTTAGATCGCAACGGCGAATCAAGGAAAAAAAAAGAGGTGTTACAAAGCTAAATACTTGTATCTTTTTCATAAATAATACATTGTAATAAGTAGTTTTTTCTATCCTAGAATATTCATGATAGTTTTTTTATCCTAGAATATGCATGATAGTTTTTCTATCCAAGACCAATATCAAAGACGTCACAAAGCAGTTATTTACCGATTTATATATACATATATGTATGTATGTACGCGAATTAGAATTTAGTAGGTAACAAGGAACAGGTAAAAATTGCTTGATAAAGAAAAATTAGTATAAAATAAGGCCTATGAAAAGGAAAATAAAAGGCCGGAATTATTATAGAATTATTAATCTGTTGAATTTCTATTTATGACATATCATTCGGCTTTAATTTTACTCTATCGCACTAACACACATATCTATTCACGCCGGAGAGCCGCGATTGACTGCCGGCAGTCCCTCCTTCGTTCAATTCACGGTGTGAATATGTGTTTCTGCGACAGAATCTCAACTAACGCCTAAATCACGCGACATCGCGCGATCGTACAATTAGCAGCGCATTAACTATCGATCACTCGATGCTACGAGTTAAATTAAAATACGAGATTATCTCGATTGCAACACGTACTTAGACTTTATTATCTATAATATGGTTTGAAAACAAATTCTGTTTTGCTTCTTTAGACAATTAGGATAAATAAAATTGCAGAATCATTTATCTTTAAACATGAAATTTAATGTTAATATCTGTTTACGCGTCTATCTTTTAAAGTTAAGCGAAATCATTTCTTCATTTATTTTTTCTTTTTTCTTTTTTCATTTTTAATTTCAAATCACAAAAATTTGATGGCAATGACAAATTATAGCTTCCCATAAATTAATTTATAGTAATTTATGATAATTATTATCAATACTGGAACTCTTGTTTAGAAATTTATATCGATCCTGTTCGTGATAGAACTGCCAAATATATTTTTGATAAGAAACTTGTTTAATTTTATTAATTCATTCATAGGAAAACAAAAAAAAAAAAAAGGTAATCTGACATTTTCCAAATCTTATCTAAAAGAAAAAGACGGTAACGATATACGTAAGAGGAGATTAACTTGTCGGACTTGTATGCAAATTAACAAAACTTATCTAAACTAACCGAAAACGGAATAGTTTGCAAGAGTTTAAAGAATTATTTAAATACCAATACGAAGAATTGTTTCATTACCTTTATTTACAAAGATCTTTCAAGTTGTTTAAGTAAAAATTTATACGAATAACCAACCGTTGTCTGTTTATGAGGTTAATATTAGACTATTTATAAATATAAAAACAGGCGCATAATTTTGTCATTGAAAAAAAGAGGGGCGAGGGGGGCGAGACAAAAAAAAATAAAAGAAATAATAATAATAATAAGAGTAAAAAAAAAAACATTATGACAGTTTAACGGCTATTAAAATTGAAGAGTATCAAAGCGATATAATTCATGCTTGTAAAAAAAGAGTAATTAATCTCGTGCGAGAAGCAGTAGTTAGCAAATTGCAACATATTTATGAAATTTTTTCAATCTAAATTAAGCATTTAAAGATAAAATAAAATCCATTAAAATATCAAATGTACATACACAGTATTATGTATGTACACAGATTATGAACTATTTCGTTTCTGAAGAAATTATTCAACGCGAATTACTTGGATAACAAATTTTTTTTAGTAGATAAAAATAAGGCTGATTTTTCTAAAAATTACACTTTTAAATTTATGTAATTTCACTTTCAAGGAATGTTAAAATTGTTTTGGTCATTTTAAATGCACGCACGTCATAGGAAGCGCGATAAGTCAATATTAAATGTACATACAGTGAAAAACGAAGAATAATGTATGTATGTATGTATGTATGTATGTATGTATGTATTTTTCAATTTATGGAAACAAATTATCTTCTATGTTTTCTGAACGTATTCTGCAAAAATAAAGCAAAAAAGTTTTACCTTATCTTTTACGCGCATTCGATCAAATTTTTTTGAAAACTCTCTACATACATAATGTTATGTATAATGTTGAAAAATTAAGAAGAAAATTATTATTGACACCTAGCCTAGAATTTCCGGTTGCTACCAGAAATCGATGCGATAGCGGCATCTCTCTTATTTATGTATATAATGTAAATACAATGTAGGTAGATGACCAAAGAAAACAAGACGAACGAATATCACATTAATTTCATAAGGTAGTAGAAATAACAGGGAAAAACTCTGACTAAACCGCAGAGCAATATATCAATTAAAGTAGTTACGTATTCAACGAGGAAAACTGTTAAAAAAAAGAAAGTGACCAATTCGAATTCCAACGTGCGTCATATTCACAAATGGCATAATGTTTCTACATTTTAATATACAGATACAAGGTGTCCTTCTTATTATATTCAAAGTTAAACTGATATGATAGGATTATTTCTAGAATATTTACAAGTTTCACCTATATTTATTACTAATAAATATTTTTAAGTTTCAAACATATACTACTGCTCATACGTAATCATGGCCTTAACCTTTTGTATTTATTAACTTACAACGTATCTTCGTTTTTCCCTAAAATCATTTAATATTGCATACATATGTAGATGTTTTTAATTATTATATATACGTAACCGAAAGTAATTACTGATGGAGAAAAGTGCCACGTGTTAGAACAGTCACCTGAAAGGTTAACACCACCGTCGGTACTTCCGGTCCCGGGAATATTTGCATTCTGATGCAAATCGGTCAATTTATAAGCATAATATTGCAAAAATTATTTAATAAACACATGTATTATAGGCTGTTGAAAGAAAAAGGAAATTTTCTTGCAAAATTTCTGCATTGTATAAAAGTTGAAAAGAATATTTTTCTAAATTATTCGATAAAAGAAAAACGGTAGTCGCGACGAATAATAACGCACACCTAGTTTATTCTATCAGGCTACATCTCAATACATAACTAAGTACGCATAATAAAATTTGTTAGCGTGTAATTTCCGGTATACTGATTGAGGAATCGTCGCCAACTTCATCGTACGAACTTATAAATCTCTAATCAAAACTATCAAACTTATTATAAAAATCTGTGTTAAACGATATCAGAAACTTTTATGATTTTCTGACAAGAATAAAACGCGCGAAAAAAGCCCATTAAAAAGAAATGAGTAATTGAAACGTTAAAAATTCATAATAACTAGGCTTATCAATATCCAATGCAATTACTGTCAATATAAAACACGTATAACGAAGTTAGTTAACACATAATGATTATCAAGTAAGTATACGTAATTGGAAGAAGACAGCGATGGATGTAAGTTCAATGGAACGGTCTCTCTCTCTCTCTCTCTCTCTCTCTCTTACATGCATCGTATAAATAACCAACCGTTTATAACTGAATCAACTAGAAAATTTCAAATTTTTTTGCCACTCAAAACGCGCTAGGGAATACCGCGAATTCTTACTCATCGATTTAGATAAAATTTCATCAATTTATAGAGTGATTCATGAACAAATTAACTAACCTCAAAGTCATAATAGGTACTCACATTTCCTTATTAATCAATAATTAAATTATCTTTATTTAAAAAATTGTCACCAATACTAAACACTATTATTCAGATTAGCCTCCGTAATTCGTTCCAATTGATTGATTTTTTGATTTTTCAACAATTTCATTCAAAAAGTTGACCAAACAACAGAATACCATAGAAAATAATTAAATAAATAAAAAAAAAAAAAAATTGAAGAAAACATATACATATGTACATACGTAAGGAGAAAGATCGTTTAAAACATTGCGTAAGAAATAAATCGCAAAATGTATAATTATTATAAATTAATATTAGTCGGAAATGGAATCTAGTGATGAAAAGAAATATATATATATATATATATATATATATATTTATGTATACATATGTATTTAGATACAATTCGAAAAATAATGAAATTTGACCTATATTAAACAAAATGAAGGGTAGGGAACACGTGCGAAAACAATGAAATCTCTAATTGCAAGAAAAGGTATACATATAATACTAAACCAAAATTGCGTGATAAGATAAAACATTTAGTACAAGATTACCCTGTCGTTATTACCGGAAATTTTAATACCATGCAAATAGAAATCATCTGATAAGGTATTGAATACTTTCGACGAAAGTTGAAACCAGAAAATTACAGAAAATCACCTGACAAATATGCTAAACTATGTAATACCGACTAGGTATTAACTTTCACAAACGATTTCAATTCATAAAATGTAGAATCAAGAATGAAAGTTATCTCGTCGATTGAAATCAAAATAATGACATAAAATTCATAATGATGTACGTATATGTAGAACAAGAAATGAAAAAATTGCTTAAAGGAAGAAAATCAAGAATAGGTACATACCTTTAAATACCGAGTTAGCGAGGGTTTCAGAACCAGTCGGTGGAGGAAGAAGACAGAGGGGACTGTTCTTTTAATTCCTTTCTGCACACCGAAAGATGAAGACTCGCACTAATCACCGGCCAGTCCTGGCTGCCTGCTTTAAGTAGGCATATTCGTTGAATATAGTGAAACAAGGTTGACTTTCAGTGCTAGTAGTTTTCACACACGCCGCCGGCCCATCAAGATGCAAATGGTAGAACACCGCAAGGCGCCATCTTTAGTTGGATACTGCGCAAACTATGGTGACTGTCAGAGCATAGACAATACTGCAAATTAAACAGTCCCTAGATTAAACAAACGTGAAATACCTGAACGGAGCTTTACACTAGTTACATTCTCGTATAACGCCACTACGAATTCGCAAAAAGATTAGACATCCCATTGTTTTCGAGCGGTCATAATTTGGGGGGTCCTCCGCAACTCTGGGCCAACTTTGGTCTGTATGCAGAGAGCATAGTTGGTATGACAATGGTGCCAGTTCCTCCTCTTTTATCACACCTCGAACTTCACAACTGAAAGAACACAATTTTAACTTCCTTTGATTCTGCTTTTTAGAAATCAGTCAAACAAGAAATTATTAAAATAATTAAAATGTTTGACAAACTTGCATTTTAAAAAAACCGTCATAAATGACTTTTAAATTTTTTTAATCCCAGCGCCATCTATACAAAAGTGGCGGAAACTACTCGACAACTTATGTATGTATGTACCGGCTTAGTTTACCAAACTAGGAAATACTATCGCCATCTATTAAGAAACGACTGAAACTGCTCGACAATTTACCGACCAACTTCCGAAACTCGGATCATCAGTCGGTAAGTTGTTCAATTTTAGTCATTTAGTCAATTTAGTTGGTAGTCATTGCTTGATTTAGTTGTTGTTAACCTCTTTTCATGTAATTTCAAAAAAGATGTGATTTCAAAAGATTCAGTGAAATTTAATAAAAGATTTGTATATAATTTAATACATTGTATTACAATTTACGTCCACTTTATTTAATTAATAATTAAAAGAAACAATGAAACGGTTGACTGAAGAACAAACAAAACTTGTTTTAGAAAAATTAACAAAGTAGTCAGTAATAAATAATTATTTGCTGTTCAATGAATGATAAAAATAAAAGATTCAATTATAATGGTAATATTAACATAGCTGATAGTATGTTTTATGTAATGTTTTTTTTTTAGTATTGGAGGAAATGTAAAATTATTAATTGACCGTCCAGATGGGATTTATTGTTTTCGGTTAAGAAAAGACAGAGTATATTATGTTTCTGAGAAAATTCTACCATTAGCAAGTATGATAAGCTCAGATCATCTAATAAGTTTTGGAACATGTTTTGGAAAATTTACAAAATCTGGAAAATTCAGGCTACATATTACAGCGTTGTATCATCTGGCACCATATGCGCAAGTAATTATATAATTTCTTACATTGTTTTAAAATTTCATGTCGCTATTATTATTATTATTATTATGATCAAACTCGAAGCTATAAGTTTTGAAAATGATTACTAAATTTTAATTTTAACTTTAATTTTCTATTCTAGTATAAAATTTGGCTGAAACCATCTGCTGAACAGCAATTTTTATATGGGCATCACGTTTCTAAGGGCGGCTTAAGTCGAATTACAGAAAATACACCCCAATATCAAGGAGTGGTTATTTTTTCCACAAATAACATACCACTGGTAATTAATATATTAAATTTAAATTATTAGTTTTTCCATATAATCGTGATTATTATTGTAGGGTTTTGGCGTCACAGCAAAAAGTACAATGGATTGTAAGTATGCGGATCCAACAGCAACAGTGTGCTTTCATCAAGCTGACATAGGAGAATATATTCGGTCAGAAGATTCCTTAATTTAATAATTTTGTAAAAATCTCTTTTATATTTATATATTTCTCCAATATTAAATATTAAATATTAAATAAAATATATATATATATGTATGTTTGAAACAATTCCTTACCTAATAAGAAAAAACACATCGTACTTTTTTTTTTTTTTTTCTTCTAAAACGCGTCGGAAAACTTGGAATTTTAATACATTTCAATAATGTATCAAATTATACATATTTTGAAAGAAGAACATATTATTTTACAACCATCGTATGATATGATACGTTCTTTTTCCAACTCTGAGAAGCGATATATTGTTACTCAATATATGTATTCCAGGTACAATAACTTCTTCTGTATTTGTTATTCTTTGATAATTAATATAAAAACCACCACCTTCGATAATCCTCCTTGCATCGTGACTGGTCTTAAAACACTTAGCTTTCATCGCTAATTCATAAACGTTGATACCTGGTTCAGCAAAAACTTGTACTACAGTAGCACCGTCTAGTAACTGAACTAATTCATCTGCATTCATTCTTTGCAATGATTCCAGTGAATTTTCATAAAGAACAGCCGATGCTCTTTTTGCTGCTACTAGTCCATCCTCTATAATAAGATAGGTATACTTAATACAGTACTGAATAAATGGATGTTTTTAAATCACCGTTTACATACCTCCATGTACTAATAATGTAACTTTTTCTGCAAGAATCTTTTGTGCTGTTCTAAGTTCTGGCTTTTTAAAATGTTCTTCTACAATTTCATTAATGTAGCGTATAGGTAAAAACGTAAAAAAATGAAGAAACTTTTCGACATCGGCATCTTCGGTTCTAACGAAATATTGATATAATTGAAAACTTGAGGATTTTGAGGGAGAAAGCCAAACTGCATTGCCGGTAGATTTCCCAAATTTTTTCCCACCTTCAGATGTAACTAGAGGCAATGTCATTCCATAAACATGTTTTTTAATGTATCTGCTTACTAGATCATATCCGGACACTATATTACCCATTTGATCTTGACCCCCAATTTGAAAATTACAATTATAAGTCTGCTGCAAATGTAACCAATCGTATCCTTGAAATAGCGGGTAAGTAAATTCTGTAAAGCTCATTCCATTTTCAGATTGTAATCTGGATTGTACAGACGCACGACCCAACATTGGGCCCATTCTAAAATATTTTCCTATTTCTTTAATAAAAGAGAGTACATTCTTATCTTTATACCATTCTATATTGTTAAGTATCTGTACAGGAAGCAGATTCTTTTGACCTTTATTAAAATATTTTTGATGGTTTCTAAGAATATTTACAATATTCTCTTTAATGCTATTCAGATTTTCTTTCAGTATAATTTCTTCAATTTCAACACGTTCAGACTTTCTGTAACTTGGGTCACCGATTAAACCTGTTGCACCTCCTAGTAAAATAATTACTCGATGACCACAGCGTTGCCAGTGTAAAAGATTAATAAGGACCAATAGATTTCCTACGTGTAAACTTTCTGCAGTTGGATCGAATCCAGCGTAAACACACTGCGGTGGTTTCCTCCATAACGCTTTTATTTCATTTCTAAAAAAAATTTCATTATTTATTCATTTAATTTACTGTTATAATAAGAAAAATGGTAGATTTTTGATAATACTCACACATAAATATCAGGAAAAATATCTTCGTATAATTGTCTATTTTCAGCGTCTAGTACGTATTTTGCAGTATGCAAACGCCGGTTGTTAAAACTCTTATTCTTAGTAAATAAACGTAACCTCAATATCCTACTCATTTTTAATTAGTTTTCTATTCATTTGAAAAGTATATAAATTAATTCTAATACATATCACTAAAATAAATGTTAAATCAATCAAGCTGTTTATATTATTTAGCTGATGAAATGTAAACCGTGGAGAACATAACCATCAATTTGCATCAGCCGGAGGCATTAAATTTTCGTCATTAGCCGATAGATGGCCATATTTTTCGTATATATGTACATAGAGTAGATCCCTTATTTACCAGTTATACATATGTATAAGTATTAGATCGTTAAAAAAAGTTAAACTACTTACTTACGTAAATACTCAGATATTTCTTATCGATAACACAGCTGTGACAATATTTAATTTTAATACATACAATGTATTTATAATAAATTTATCAACGTATCCTTACGTATTCTCTCAATTTATCAATATTATCCCCTACAATTTTCATTAGATTGAAAAATTCTCATCTCAGGTCGTTCTCATTACGGTTTTTAGTTACAGAGTAAATATACTTTTTCTGATAATTTCACGACTATTGCCTTGTGAGAGAAAAGAAGTCGATCTTCTAGATTGCTCAAGTCGTAAAATAGGGCACACCTCCAGCAAAAAGTCATTACGTAACTTTAACTGATGAAAGAAATAAGATTATAATTGCGAGTCGATTCAGTTTCAGGAAGAATTTAATAGAAGAATGTTGAAACTGCAACAATCAATTTGATATACACGATTGTTCCTGTTCAATCAATTAGATACACGTAAATAATTTCTTATTGAATTGTAAAACAACTACAATTACCGTCAAGCCACAGAATCTGTTGAAAATCAAAAGCTATGCAATTTAGGTTTCCTTTAAATAAAACGACGATAAATGGTTTTGGATTAGATTCTTCCTATCTATATGCTCTTCCTGGAATCTTCATATCTCTCCATTAGTTTTCTTGGGATTTTCTCATAATAACAGATGGATGATTTCTCTAGTTGAATTTATTCTTGACCAAATAAAGCCTGGAGTGATAAAGGAAAAAAAAAGAAATGAAAATTAACAAATCAAAATTATCGTTAAAAAGCACGTGTAGATCACGTGCTTAAAAAGACATAATGGTTCACACGTTGCTTTTAAGACAAAAGCTTTTTATCCAGCGGAGAATACATACATATACGGTAGGAGAGAAAAGAAAGATGATAGAAAACGAAGACGTGCAAACTGCACGTCCATATTAAGGCAAATACCACCTGTTTTGTGCGGTTGTTGCTGTATTATTAGAAACACGTATCTTTGCTTTAAGAAGCTGCCACACGTTTGCCGTTAAATGAATCTCGCTAACAAGCTGTTGCGAAATGTATGAAACAAATTGTACGATTTACAAGGTACGACGTACGGTGTATTACTTTACGAGTTAAAAAAGAATACTTTGAACATTCGAAAAGAAATTTGTTTGCAATTATCAATTTGACAAAATGGTTCTAGAAATAAACGCATAAAAAATAGAAAAGCATTCGGAATAAACTTTGAACTATACATAGATATATTGTGAATAAGAATTTCTTACTTTCTGTGAAACATAGTATTAGGAACAGAGAGCAATTGTTTGATCAATGAGATCATTAGATCTCATTAGATCTCATATTAGATCTATTACGAGATTGCATAAAACGTTTTAATAATTTTCCAAGATTGACCAAACAAATTCAACAAATATCTTAGGAAAAATAAGAAATTGTGTGGATGAAATATCGGATTGGTTTGTTCTTTCTTTCTCTTTTTTATAAGTCCCTTGACCTAAATTCTCTGAATTTCTTCTTATTGAACTATGACATTGAAAGTTTTATTTTTCCATTAAAAATAAAAAATTAGATTTTATAAAAGATTCTTTAATAATGTTGATAAAAATGAAAAGTAATTGAACAGGGAAATCCCGATTGCCCGATTCATCGAAGGACTTGGTTCGTGGAACTGAACGATTGCGCGATCGTTGTAACTCGAGAATCTGGAAAGTGATTCTGGGTCAGAGAATCAGATAATTAATTTTCACGCACATTTCTAACTTTCGTACAAATTGTTTCATAAAAGATTGTACACGACGGAAGCCAAAGATGACAATATTAATAACTTGATACCTTTTCTTTTTATAATAAATCCTTAAAGTTTTCCACTTGGAAAATTCCTTCTTTATTCCTTGATCACTTTTACACAATTATTTGATCATCTAAGAAAACATTTCTCTTTTCCTGGAACGCTTTCTATAAAGGAAGATTTCATGTGACCCATAAATGTCCCTACAAAATTGCCTTTCTAACGCGTCTGTGCTGCCTCTCTTTTGTAAGTCTCCTCCACGCTCTCTGAGGTTCTGATCCATTTTCCCATGACCGTTTATAAATATATACACACACACACACACATACTTATCCTGACAAAAGGATAATTCGTACCTGATATAGGAAATTTCGAACACAACAACAGTCTTATTAATCGCTTATAACTTATAATATGATAATGTTGTATAGTCACCTGTAACGATGGCTTCTCATAGTCAACATGTTCTACCACTTTTACTCGTACGTGTTTCTCAGGAAAATAACGATATACGGGGGAGAAAAGCCCATTACACTCCAAGGTGAGCCTATTTTGCTTGATGCTGTAGAAAAGAATTTTGAAATGTTACCATATATCGTTATTGCCTGAAGGCTTATCTCGAGGCAAATGCCTTGAACTACATACACATATGTACATACATATACCCAGGGCTTCTTGTGGATAGGCACTTGTATATTCTTTAAACTGCTGCTTTGGTTTTCGTATATGTGTTTTGGTTGTCGATCAATTTGATGAGCCCAGTATGTCATGCAAGTATGGTCGTTAGAGTAACTAACAGGGTAGGCTTCGTTAGGGATGTGGACTGAAGAAGGTGTACTTTGTCCCTAAGCACTGTAGCGAACGCGTTGATGCAATTGACGACACCCGGTTGAATTTCGATTTCTTGAAAACTCCCTTTCTAACGCACTGTTACTTTTTACTCTGTTTAGGATTCTACTCCATGTTCCCATGGCCGTTCCGCATTTCGATCGAACGAAAGAATCCGCGAACCTTTCTACCTCCGAGCGGTTCGTTCTCCTAGTGGGACGTCCGGCGTTCAGTCATACACATACATATGTACAATATGGATACGTATGGATACGTATGGATACGTATGGACACAAACGACACTTCTCCTTTTTCCCATTCACCAGACTTACGAGGCTGGTTACGTGGTTGTTGGTGGCATCGCGAGCCATCCTGAAGTCGCGATTAAATCGTCCACTCTTCCTTGTGATTCTCCGTTTACAGCGGTTCTCATGGAATTCTCTTTATCATTGGCATCATCATTTTTAATAAACGTTTAACGTAAATTGCTGGGGGTAAAAAAAAGAAAAGAAAATTTTCTTTGGATTTCTTCCGAATTTCATGAAACTTTTTTCATTACTATTTCCTGCAACATAAGTCTACTATTGTGCAAGAATTGAGTTAACAAGTAGAAACGATGCTAAACGGTGAAAATCGGTGATCGTGTTGATCGATGACGCGTAAAATACGTGAATCAATGACACTAACGATTTGCTCGGAAAGAGAAGGGTATCGTGTGCATCTTTATGTTACGAAACTGTAAGTCTTCCACTTCCTGCGAGGAAGTTTCATCCTCGAACGGAGAAAGGGAACCTCCAAAATGAATTTGACCCAAATAATTTTTTTTTCACGAGTACGCATACGCACTACTTTCTTTTTTCTTCTTTTGCGATCAGGTTATTTTATCTGAAAAAATTCATTTATTATTATTATTATCTCGCATAAAATTCTGATAAACTTACTAAAACCCTGACTAATTGTAAGATGTACAATTTATACGTATAAGATGTTTACAAGATGTTAAAACAATTATAACATAGTCCGCAGAGGATCAGTTATTCAGAGACTCAGCGCACGCCGCCATCCCTCTAAAATTTAGCCTACCTCTTTTAGATTTCTGATCAACAGCAATATTCACATTGTTTTCTAACCACTGTATCATATCACTTACAAGAGAAAAAAATTCAATTAGAATCCATTTACCTGAAAAAATGAAAAAATCATGAAAGAGTCCTTAAAGACCATTCGCCTCGTCCCAAGTTTCAAGATAAGGTATTAAGGTATTAAACAAGTAAATATGCAAATTCGTGTTTCCAGAGTTTGAGAAATCGATGCAAACGCTTTGTATTGAACGTTTTAGAAAGTTACCAATTCCTAAGTTCCTTGTTAGCTTCCTTTGTGAAAAATACCATCCTCTTCCTACGAAGCTTCCAAGATCCTAAAGAGGAGGTCAGGTCCAAGGTTCATGGACGATTTGGTTAAAGGGTATTTAGCTAAGATTATGGTACCTATATGAAAAAGAAAAAGGAAAAAAATGGCGTGCAATGGTATCGGTGACAGTAGAGAAAGAGAGAAAGAGAGAAAGAGAGAAAGAGATTCGTCAGACGGTCTCATCAGCATAGGTGATGGGTCGAGATGCGAGTGGGGCCAGGGCTGGTATAAAAGGGGCACCGTGGCATCTGTGGAGCATCAGTCCTCTAATCCAAGGAACAGCAGCAACCATGAGGGCATTCATGGTGAGTCGAACATTTTTCTTCTCACTGACCCCTTTCCTCTTTAACTTCCTTTACTTGGGGGAGTGGTGTCTCCTGTCGCGTTTAATCCCATTTTCTTCCTTCTTCCATAGCAGTTGTTGAGTTTTAGTGATTAAATGATTGATACTTTTCTGTCTATACAATACCGAAATTTCTGAAAAATTCGAAAATAATAAAATTATTTTCTTGCAAATAGTTTTGATTTTGATAGATATGTTTGATAGATATTATTTAAAATTTATCTAAAAATTTATTTCATTCTTGATTAATTTTAAATACTTGGTTAATAAATTTTATACCATCTATTTAGCAATTTAATTAATTAATTAATCTCAATCTCAAGTTTCATCGAAATGTAAGCGATTCACGAACGTTTCTGTTGATCGAGGACAAAAAAGAAATTTGAAAAAGTAACACGATAAATCGCTGGTAATTGTCTCTTCGAGAAAGTATCCACGCGAAACTCGAAGAGATGAAAGAGAAAATGAGAATTTCTGGACAACGTCGAAAGGGAGAGGATATGGGAGAAAGTAGAAAGAGAGAGGGAGCGCAGAAGACGGGATAGATGCAATTGTATTCGATACCAATGCATTTGACGATTGACTCAACGTGTACCGATTATGAAAGTGTTAGGAAAAACTTTCCAATCCCATGTAATCCAATTTCCACTATTCTATTCCGTTCAATCGCTCAGCTTGTCTTTCTCTTTCTCTTTCCGCTTTACTTTCTTCTTTCGTTTATTACCATTTCGAATGAACTTGAAACCACATATGCATGTGTGGCCTGCACCTAAAATAAAAAATAAAAAATAAAAAATAAAAAATAAAAAATAAAAAATGTTATATTTAAATATAAATAAATAGTGAAAGAAAAATATTTAGGTGTATAAGAATATTGACCATTTATTCGTTGCTTACAGATCGTGGTTCTCGCCGCATCGGCGATGGCGCGACCGGAAGCAGGCTACTCTTACTCCCAACCCAGCTCTAGTTACGGAGCACCTGGCGGTGGTGGATCCACTGGATTCGGCGGAGGTGTCGGCGGTGGACTTGGCGGACTCGGTGGACTAGGCGGGCTTGGCGGTGGAGGTGGCGGAGGATTCGGTGGCGGTGGCGGTGGCGGTGGCGGTTTCGGTGGTGGTTTCGGAGGCGGTGTAGGCGGTGGAATTGGAGGCGGTTTCGGAGGCGGCGCAGGTGGTGGCATCGGAGGTGGTTTCGGCGGTGGAGCAGGTGGTGGCGGCGGCGGCGGTGGCGGTTTCGGAGGAGGTACTCTCATCCAGAAACACATTTACGTTCACGTGCCACCACCAGAAGCACCGGAAGATAGACCTGCCAGACCCATTGCCCAACCACCACCACCACAGAAACACTACAAGATCATCTTCATCAAGGCGCCAACTCCTCCCACACCTACTGCTCCTGTTATCCCTGCTCTTCCTCAGCAAGACGAACAGAAGACGCTGATCTATGTGTTGGTTAAGAAACCGGAAGAAGCGCCCGAGATCTCTCTGCCTACCATCGCGCCTACCCAACCAAGCAAACCGGAAGTTTACTTCATCAAATACAAGACTCAGGTACGTCAATTCTATTCACTTTTTTTTTCATCTTTCAAGAAGCAAACTCTAAATTAATGAACTTGAAGCACCATTAAAAAAGTCTTGATACATTCTAGAATCCCATAGCGTCTTGCGAATCTATAACAATAATAAGAAAAAAATTAAAATTAATTACAATTACAGAAGGAGGTCACGTCCGGAGGTGGTGGTGGTGGTGGTGGTGGCGGCGGCGGTGGCGGAATCGGCGGAGGAATCGGCGGAGGAATCGGTGGAGGAGTTGGAGGTGGAATCGGCGGCGGAATCGGCGGTGGAATCGGTGGCGGAATCGGCGGTGGCATCGGCGGTGGCATCGGCGGCGGTGGCATCGGTGGTGGAATCGGCGGTGGTGGCTTGGACGGCCATGGTGGAAGCGGACCAAGCGGACCAAGCACGTCCTACGGTGCTCCCAGTGCTTCAGGAGGGCCTTACTAGTCACACGAAATGCCCGTTGAACCCCCGCAGCTCCTCCTCCATTCACAATCGGACCCATCTTAACGCTCCGCGACACGCACGCATTCACGGCTTCGGCCACGGCTTTAGCCACGGCTCAATAGCGTCCCTTTTGGACGCGAATCTCTGTGATCCTACGTGGACGACCACGGCGACGAGCAGGAACACGATCGACGGACCAATCGATGCCAAGATATGGCTCCTGCTCGCGATTCGGAGTTATACGATTAGCAAGAATTATATGAGAACGACCACGATCATATGGATGACCGTGACGACCACGATGATGATGATGATGATTATGATTATAATTATGATTATGATGATGATGATGATGATGATGACGACGACGACGACGATGATGTTGGCGACAAACGTTAGAAGAACGATAACCAAGAAGAAGAAGAAGAAGAAGACAACAACGACGACGACGACGACGACGACGATTAGGATTAAAAGTTTTTTTATACGTTACTTTTTGCAAGAAAACGGTGGCGAAATAAAGCTTTTTTTATGTATTTTTACATAAATATCCTGCTTTATCATTTATTTACCAGATTCCTCCTCCTCTATAATTTATTACCTATATGTATATTAGTAATTATTAGTTGAAACATCAATGCAGGGCAAAGAATGTTGAGTCAAAATGAAAATTATTATGATGCAACGAATGAAATCAATAGCGACAACTGAGATCAGACAGTGCTGTGTAATTATCCAATGACAATGATGACAGTAATCACTGTTTTAATGTAACGTTGAAAGTAATTGAAACTAAGGCTGCTATATTAAAAATAAAGATAAAGGTAAATATGAGAATCAGGATGAATACTAAAAGAGTAAAGGACTATATGTACGTATAAGAATGTTGAAAGATAGGAAAATATTGAAATATAGAATTGTAGAAACGTCAAAGAAGAAAGTTAAGAATTATCTAGCTACTAAATTTCACCATGAATCATGTACGACTGCAAAGTTAGCCTATAATCGCTGTTTCGAAAGTGTCTGTATTTACTAAAGAAAAAATATAGTGTAACGTTAACTAGACGGTAAACAATTTCCATTTCAATTAAAGCCTTGCGTTACCCTCTTATTTACGTGAATAAAGAGAAACCGAGGTATTCTGCATATGATGAGATAAATCGTGTAATAAATGCCTTATTGTGCAACGAGCTCGACTAAAACGTACTCTAAACCTGTGAGAAATCCCACTGTGGTCCACCTACATACATACGTGCTGTGTTGACGCGAACGTCTCACTCTTGCGTCATGTCTACACCTTGTCGAAAGATTTCTATCAACTTGAACAATTCTAGTTCTAAACAAATAAAATATATATACATACATAGGTATTTTTATAAATGTTAACTTACTGTCTCAAACTAAAAAATAATCAACTTGTCGGTAGAAGATTACTACTTAGCTACTCTATCCGATTCGGTTAGGTAGTATATTTTCTACTTCCAAGAGTACATATAAGCTATTATAGAAGAAGCAATTGCAAACTCTCATTTTCACTCAAGTAAATCGTCGACGATGCTCGACCTCGGAGAGTGGATTCTCAGTGACAGAAAGAGAATAAGAGTCTTCATCTTGATTAGTAGCTGTTTAAGAATAGTGAAAGTTTCTCTGCTGGCTTGCGTCACGACGCGACGCGATGCGATGCGACGCGACGCGACGCGACGCCTTTCCCAAAGAAGACGCGGAAATCGACGCCTTCCTCTTACACGGACGATCAATCTTTTCCGCGACTATCGTTTTTAACAAGTTAACTATTCTCTCCCCCATCTTCCGTTCTATGCCACTGTGTGCTTGTGTAATTTATATATTTCTTTAGACATTTTTTTACCTTGCCATTTATAGCGAGTAACCAATTAAGAGGGTGTAATCAATGCTTTAGACATCCTTTGTGAAAGAGAAAGTCCACCTGTTCAACGATCAATCCTCCAACTCTAAAGGGTGTCCTTATTGTACAGGCTGCTTCAAAACATGGCTGGAATAAAATAAAGATACATCATTAATATAAATACATCAAAAAACTTTCAGAGATTTCATCATTTGGCAGGTGACAAATTTATTCACAAAGTGATTACTGAGGATGCTACTTTGATTTTCTATGCCATAAAAAAACCATATAAAGAGTACACCTATACATATAATTATGAAATAACACCTTCTACCAAGCTGTACCAGATAATTAAAAAAGATGATTATACATTTTATAAATGGACATCTCCAGACCACGTTTCCCATCATTCGCTTTTAAATTTCCGTTCATCTGGTGTGTAATAAATTCAGTGAAAGGTGTTCAATATAATCAATAATAAAAACGAAAAAACGAGGAGCGGCCAGAAAAGAAGAAAGGATCAAGAGTACAACAAAAACAAGCAGAAGATGGCTCGAAGTACAATGAACCTCAGTTAGCGATGGCAGTGTTCCAAAGCTTCTTTATAATTTGCAAACAAGTTATGAACAATAACTTGAAGAAGGAAAAAATTATCATTAGTTATACTATCTTTTGATCACTTTTCCATTATCGCCTCAACCCCCCCCCCCCCCCCTGTTGAGTAAAAATGAAAAAAAAAATAAAAAATAAAAATTGGTTTATAGTGGAATCTCCATCGTGAGTACTAGTTAATGTTTTAAATTATACACAAGGCTTTGCTCCTAACGATTGAACATTGTTCCTGAATTTAGTTGGGAAATATTCTCATCACTGATCCCAGCTAAACGGGGAAAGCAAGGATCAAGAGACAAGGAGAACTGCTCGAAATACGGTCTGATTTTTTTAAAGGAGGTCGAGGAATGACCTTTCGATCAGGCTCTGTTGCCTCCAGTCTCTTTTTTCTTTTTATTACTGATACTCTCTGATCCTCGGGAGTTACAGGAAGCCGAAAAGAGACTCACGTGGTGCAATGACCATGTGAAAGTTGCCTCCTGGCAGACATACCTCCCTCCTTCCTCCTCTGTTTCTCCTTCTCTTTCTCTTTCTCTTTCTCTTTCGCGATAGTTTTCCAGGGTTTCTCAAGTACGATTTCTTACGAGAGCATCTTCTCAGCTGCGTAAGAACGTGAGAGAGAGCCCACTTTCGTTTCCTCCTTCTTTCTTTCACGTTGCTAACGCATTCCCGCTTTCCCCTTGATTCATACGTATTTACCGATCATCATCATCATCATCATCATCTTCTTCTTATTCTTCTTCTTCTTCTTCTTCTTCTTCTTCTTTTTGTTTCATCTTCGATTTCATTAATTCCTTGTTACGCGTCGCGACTCAATCTTGTTTGCTTTTTAAACAGGCAGTCGATTTCTTTTTATCTTGTACTTGTTAATTTGGTGATTCATTAGCTGAGAAATTTGTAATCCTTTGTATTTATTTTATTCATTTTTTGTTATGTCTGTTAATTTTGTAATTCATTTCATTTGTATACGAATTGGAAATACGTGAAATGTTACTAGTTTGTTATGCAAATCTTCTGTTAAATGTCGTAGCGTCCTAATTTTCTGCAACTCGTGTTTATGAAACATAGCAAACCCCTATTCGAGTGAAGGTTTAAGAAACCCATAGAAGAAAAAAGTTGAAAGCTGTTATCTCCTTTCCCCATCAAATAATGCACATGCAATATGCACTTTCTTCGACGGTTCTAAAAAAGATTTAGTAACAGTTATCATTTTTAACATTTCAGTTATTCTGAAAATTGTTAACGACTGCAACAAAGAACATTTCTGTCTTATCTTACGTTCTGTTAATATTCTATTAATAAATAATTTGGCTTTCGCATACATAAAAAGTGACAAATCAATTTTAAATCAGTCCCTTCACGCTTCTTTCTCTCGAAATTTCGTAAAATTAGTGTGTCGAGGTCGACAAGGAAAATTCTATTTAGGTCGTGCTTGTTTTGAAACACGTACAAGTTGTGTGGGGAGTGACCATAAGTCACACATCACATTTACAAGCGGATTAATCCTCAAGATATTCGAAAATCGTAAACGAACATCATCCTCTAGTGAAAGCACAGAAAGACCAACCAACCAAACAACAACTGGCAAGATAGGCTCTACAAGACTCCTGTAGTTTTTACTTTTCTTTTTCAAATGTAACTTAATTAACGTTTAGTTTAGATAATTAAAAGTTTCTGTACATTCCCTAAAGTTTCGGGTACATAGTAATTTGTAATTATTCTTTTTTTCAAGTTTTTGTTTTTTTCTCTGGATAATGAAGTTAACGTGTAATTGGGAATGATGTCGAAACGATAAAGTTACACTTTATTATCTTCATTACCATTCTCATTATCCCGTAAAAGAAATATTAAAATTTTAACAGTCGCTTGCGCAAATAAAAGTACTTATGTAAGTACATACATACCTCGAATTCGTATCGTTCAATATCGGCTTATCTACATATGTACATACATATACGTACTTTGTATACTCGTTATATTTGTTTCATTATCAATAATTTTTTTTATCACATAATCTTCTCTTCTATCTGGAAAAAAAAAAAAAAAAAAAAACATTTAATGCAAATATTGAATTAAAAATTAAAAAATTTCTATCTTCTAACTGACCTATGGCTATAAGAAATAAGAAATCACATACATAATCATGTTTATACACTTTCTTTGCAATATTATCATTATCCAGTTCGACGTTCACGTATAGAAAAGACCTATGTATAAGATTAATTATAACGACGAAACTGCTGAGTCTAAGCCTTGGTTAGTAATAATAATTAAATGCAATGTACATACAATAATTACTGGAACCTATTTACTGAATTTACCCACCTTTGAGAATTATCTTCGTCTCGTATCGGTTTCTCTAATATACGAAGGATTCGAAGGATTTTTTTCTAGGGTAAGTAAAATCTGTGCCGCTAATTACGAAAGGATTTCTTCTTTGTATCTGTTAAAGTAAAAATAATGATAACAGTGAGTAAATGTAAAAAAAAAAATTTATATAATTTATAGCAAAATATTGATTAGAGAGTTATCGATGTGATTTTTGTATTCTACGCGTAGAATACATACTGACGATTTCCGCTAGAAACCAACCACCGCTGCAGACTAATTGACTCCTTAATTCAATTTATAACCGATCGACGTGCGTGCACGATCGGTTACATGTGATATCACGATGTAGTAGATACTGAGTAAGAAAAAGGAAAGTAGAGAAACGCAATTGGTATTTTGCTATTATGCAGCTTATCGGCTTGTCCGGGAACGTTTATTGGCCTTTTGACCTTAGCTTTCACTCGATTAGGTCCTCTTCTTCCTTGTTTCACTGTTTCACTGTTCGCATACTGCCCAGTTCCATCCAACTAGATACATCAGCATCTCCGTGTTTAATCATTCTTATCGGTCTATATCATAATATATTCATTATTTATTACACAATCAATTGTTGTGATACAAATATATTCGAGATAAATTAATATGTCATTCTGACAAAATGATAAGGTTAAACTAATGCTTCATTAAAAAAAAATATTCATTAAAGATCACTTATATACATAATTATTTGAAAGCAATCATGTCATTTAACGTGTGACAAATATAACGTGCATATGTATCATTATTTATATGATCAGAGATTAACTACTTACAGTGTTCCACGCTTAAAAGGTTATTTACGCGCGCATTTATATTTACATATAAATAGGTAGTACTTGTATAATAAAACTGCTCCCTGGATAACTTGGCTTCCTAATTATCTAATTTACGATTAGACTAAAGGAAGAGAAAAAAAATCATATTGTTGTAAAAGAATTAATTAACTAACTTATAAAATAAAAATGATCACCAGAAATGGTTTAAAAATGATCACATTAACACCATCTAACAGCGAATCGTACAACTACTGGAAAATGCTGCTATATCGATTGGAACTAACTTTACATTACAGCGCTCTTAGCGACAGAAATAAAAATAAAAAATGATGATAGTCTGTTCCTACATAAGTAAATACATATATGTATGTATACATATACATAAATACTTATGTACAGCATCGAGCATAACAGGCTTCCTCGTGGAAGATCCCTCTTCCATGGGCAGCACCCTCTCCGCCTTGGAGGCGTTGGGGAAAGTGACGATGTAGTGAAGGTGACCTCATATGTATAAGTCTGTGCCCCACCCTCCACAAATTAGCTCAAATTAGATGAAATACATACCAATCATCTTTTCTATCTTAAATTTTATATCAATTATAAGCACTAATACTTTCGTTTTATGATTCTCTCTTACATTTATATATTTTTTAAAAATATACACGCATATACATAAAAATCTGTCGCAAATCAACATATATTTTACATTTTAAAACCTATAACAGTCTCTGTAAATTAAAGAAATGGTAGGTATGTATAAAGAATTCTGAAAATTCAGTTTCATCAAATATCAATGTTCTGATCTTTGTAATACAATTAAAAATTTTTAGAAACATTTATCATTCAATGTTATGTACAATTCTAAAATATAACTTAAACGTTAATAAATTTGGTAATTTATAATTTCATAAATAAATATGAGTTAGCTGCGTATAAATTGTACGTAAGCGTATAGCGCTCATATACTGTAAAAACTTTTCAAGTACAAAATTTTCAATTTTCTTAAGAGTTTTCCATGATTTTCTGCAAATAAGGTGGTTTAATGAAAACAACGTATCAATATGCACGCATGTGCATGTATTTATGAACCATCGGTAACAAACTTGACTTCATCTAAAAGAGGGTGGGAGGGATTCAAACAGAAATAATAAAGAACTAATTAATCCTAGGCGGTGGCGGTGGTGGTGGTGGTGGTGGTTGGGGCCTGCGGAAGTAAATAATTAAACTGAGCATGCCAGTGAGCAATCCTATAAGATACAAGTCCCAGTTCTGGCCCAAAAGCTGGTCCCATTTATTTAAGTGGTCGATAAGGCTAAACTCTTGAAGATAATCCAAACCAAAGAGGAAAGAGAGTTTAATAAGAGCCAATGCAACAGGAATTCTTGCATCTGGACTAGCTTCTGCTGCGAGATCGTAACATCGTTTAGCTAGATGTCGATCTCTCGCTAGACCTAAACCACGTTCATGCATATATCCCAAATTAAACATTGCTTGTGCATTGTGTTGTTGTTCAGAAGCTAATCGATAATGACTGGCTGCAGCCTCGTAATCGATTTTTGTTCCACGGCCATAATAATGAGCATCCCCCAATTTCACCTGTTATAAAAAAGAGTTTTAATTAAATAAGACACAGTTTGAAAAGAAACAAATTACTCGCATCATTTATTAAACACACTTGAGCAGCAGAGTATCCTTGCGCAGCAGCTCTAGCCCATAAAGCAAGTGCTCTAACCAATCCTTCCTCTTCCGATAATATTGTAGTCTCTCCTTTATCTAATATAAAAGCAGCATTGCTCTGTGCTACTTCATAACCCATTTCTGCAAGGAGAGCATACTTCACAAAAGCCTCGTTAATTCTACCTTCCCGATAATCCGTATGAGCAATCATCAACTGATCGCTCCATTTGCCTCTTTCGGCAACATTTTTTAAAAGTTCGACAGCAGTTGGACAACTACGCATCATGCCAGTACCAGTAGCATGCATCTGTGCCAAGTTATAAAATGCCAAAACATGGCCAGACTGGCTAGCTAAATTAAAATACTTGTTGGCTAACTTGTAATCACGCCTTACTCCGGTTCCACCTATCAAGTAATTGCTTCGTTACCGAATTTAGTAGAAATAATAAACTAAAGTCAACATTTATTATTATAATAGAACCGAGATAATTTCAAAACATACTAAAATACATATTGCCAAGTTGAAGTTGCCCATCAACCCATCCCTGCTCTGCAGCTTGGTTAAAGTATTGAAGAGCTTTTGCAGTATCTCTTTCAACTCCTCTCCCATAAAGATACATAAGACCTAAACCACTTTGTCCAACAGGATTTCCTAGCTCTGCAGCTTTTTTAAAATACTTGTATGCCGTTTCGTTATCTTGCTTCACTATATCACTGCCTTCTAAGTAAATCTATAAAAAATTTAAAAAAAAAAAAAAAATCAATAAAAGTGTGATATTCCAAAAGAAACCTAGAAAGCAAAGCTACCTAGAAAGAAAAACAACTTAACAGTTTTGTTTTACCTTTCCCAGAAAAGCCATAGCAACAGCATTTCCAGCATCGGCAGCATGCTGAAAATATTGTAATGCTCTTTCATGATCCAAAGGAACACCTCTTCCGCCCTGATAATGTAACTGCCCCAATCCAACTTGTGCTTGTGTATCCCCCTTTTTTGCTAACAACTGGTAATATTCTATTAGATCTTGATCAAAGATTCCTGAGCTGTACCCTGGATTCTCTTGTTCATCTAAAAGTCTAACTCTTTGGACAACTGGCCCTCCACTGAGAGAAACTTCTTCCGCGACCTTATTCGCAACTTTACGATAGAAATCTAAAGCCCTTTCACAAGAAACTGGTGTTGTCACTCCGGCCCAATGGCGATAGCCTAAAGCCATCTGTGCCCGTGTATCTCCACCAAGAGCTGCTACCGTGTAATGAAGAAGCGCCTTTGGCTGGGAGGCATTTACACCACCTAATCCTGTTGCGTACAGAAAGCCCAAACCCTGGAAAGATATGATAATTAATTTCGTGATCAACTTTGAAAAATCACCTCATTCTCCTCTTTTTCTTTAAAATCATTTCAAAATTATTCACCATATGAGCAGAGGGTAGACCAGTTTCAGCAAGTTCTTTAAAGGTTTGATAAGCTGCTGGAATATCTTGACTGGATATCCAGGAAAAAGTTGGTGCAAACTGAGTTCCTAACAGCTGTGCCCATGCCAACATAGACCTGGATTCGCGATGTCCAAGAATTGCAGCAGATGTTAATAGTTCATAAGCTTCTGCCTTATTAGAACGTGTAGCATTTAAGAGACTCTGCGCTTTCCTAAATATTTGCTCCGCTGAAATTATTATAAAATTCAGTTCTATTATGGTACTTGTTTAATTACTTTATTGGAATAATTATAAAAGTACCTTCTTGCTGCTCCGGAGTCAGTGGTTCTTCGGTCTCTTCGGTAAGAGGTTCCAATTGCTCTTCTTCGCTCCATACTTCTGCATCATCTTCTTCTAATCTTAAATTATTATTTGGCAAATCAATATTTTTTATCTGAGTTATCATTGCTTTCATCCAAACATTTCTCATCGTGGGACTTTCCTCTTTTGTTTTTGGTTCATTTACCGCTTCCTCTTTTCTCTTTGTAATCTTATCGTTAAGATACGGTTCAGAAGCTGGTACCATCTTTAAAATGGTTTCATGTAAAGCCTTTAATTCTTGCAAGTGTTCAAATGCATTCTCTTCTAAACCAACATCATCTTCCGCCTCTTCGTCAGAAGTATCTGATTGTTTTTTAGAAACTTCTGACTCTGATGAAACAGACATAACAAGCAACAGTAAAATCAACTCCTTTCTTAGCTTCATCTTTTCAACTATATTTTGATTGTACGTCTGTTTATGAACTGACCTTAACATAAACAAAAAAGTTACTTTTTTAGTATGTATCTTTCTCTATCTCTCCATTAATTATTTACATCCTTTCAATAAAATAAGAATATAATATTTTTAACAAATTTACAGAAATACTACTTTTGAAAATAATATCTTTAATTTAAACACATCTTCTATTCACAAATAGCACGCATACATTACAAAAACGTTCGTTACAAACTAACTCAACTCAGTTTCTTATCTTACGAATAAAAAGGCTCATTTCATAAATGCATCAACAAAGAGGGTCAACTTTAAGAATACGTTTAAAACAGTAATATTCTTTACCATTCTCTGCGTACATACAATATTTACGAAAATGTTACATTGTTCTGCTTTATAACCTACATTTTTTTTAAATACAAGAAAAAAAACGATTATACTAAAAAGGAAGAAAGTGTACGTTTTCTTACTTTTAGCTTGAATAGCTTGATAAGAATATTCCTGAATTCATTTTAAACTATGTTTCCAAAGAATTCGACTCTTCGTGTCAGAAAGAGAAAATTACGTCATTGAGACACGTCAACATACATCTTCGGTTATCACGCAAATAATTTTCTGTAATTGTTTCCAAAAATATGAATTTTTACATGCCAAAGTAATAGCGTTCTATAATTTTCTATAATTGGTAAATAGCAAAGTACACTATGCATTTAACAATCAAAGGATCAGCTGTTCCACAAGTGTGTTTGCTTTCAAAAACTTGCGTGGTGTAAGTATTTATATACATATATGTATGTATGTACATATATAAGTACATATATGTATAGACTCTGTGTGTTCAATAACCAAAGTTAGCTTCTAATTGTAGAAATATGGGTTATATTTCTTTAAAATTAAATAGTCGATAGCTGAAATATAAAGAAATCAAATTTTAACGATGATACTTATGTGTAGAAATTTATTATCGCTTAGTAGCATAACCTTCAAATCGGTCCTTTATGTATGTATGTACGATACCAAAACTTTTGTCAATATTAACAGAGACCACGAGCCTAATTCTTACAAAAGATTAGAAAACTGTAAACGATATTTAAATAAGCATTAACCAGAATCCTGTAATATCCATTTTAGTATATATGTATGTACATATTCATTAGTTAATTAGAAATAACTAAAGCTTAAAACCAGATGGGTATTGTAAGGAAGCTAAAAGAATACATTATTCAGTCTTTTCTTTTCTGTATTTATTTTGAACTGCATAATTTTAAATTTTCACCATCTAATTTCGACCAATTAGAATCGTCGTTACCGGCAAAGTGTCGTTTGAGAAACGTGGATGCTAGCGTTGAAAACTTTACCGACAGTCCCTAGAAAAATCCCTAGAACGTAGAACACACCATTTTTCGTTCCTGCTGAACAGATTGCAAGAATGGTGCGCTGGTCTGTATTTTACCCAAATCGTCAAAAAGTTATAAAATATTGAAATTGCTGTCTGTCCACGGTCAAGAAAATGGCGGATCGGACTCACCTGCATTAATTTATTCGTAATATAAACATTTTTGCAAATGACGTGAAAAAGGTAAAACAGACCACAAATTTAGTTCCTCATTTTTTCTGTAGGGCGCAGTTTCGAGCATCGTCGTTAAAATTATATTAGTAATGTACTTACGAATTTGATTTTACAGAAAAATGGTCGATTTATTCGAGAAGGATAAAGGAAATATATCATTGTCAGCGAAATTACAGTCATGGCAGGATGAGAAAGAAAAGAGTAAACCCACAATTATCAACACACAAAAAGCTTTTTACAGTATTAAAATTGGAGACATTCAGAACAAAATAAACAGGTTATAAATATCAACGTGAACTTTTTTGTTTTTTTTCGAAATTTTTCATAAAAATATTCAGGTTAGAAGATCGAAACGATGAGTTATTAGAAAAAATTGAGGTTACCGATGAACGTTCAGCGATCATAGACGCAGAAACGACCGATGAAATTGCAAATCTAAGCAAACAACTTTATTCTCAAAACAATAAAGTAGATGATGTGAAAACTAAAATTGATAATGTGGAAAATAACCGAATAAAAGATAAACACTCTCACGATGATAAAGTAGAATTACTTAATCAGCGATACAAAGAGAAGAAAGTTGAATTAGTTTCTCGGATTAAAGTTTTAAGTAACTTATTAAATCTGTTTTTATTCCTTTCTCAATCTTTTCCTTCTTATTTCATTCGCAACAAAATCTATTCTTAAAGATCATTTCTTTCGTTAGCTGCAAAAATTAATGGTCTGGAAGATTTTAAAAAAACACAAAGAGGTTTGGAAGAAAAATTTGAAAGAAATGAAGAAGAGATTTCAAAGAACGAGAAAGAGATGAAAGAATTGCTCGAGAGTGTTAATCGAAAGTTTGAATTTGATAAGGAAATGTATATTAAAAATTATTACTCTTTATTTGTTTATTTAATTAGAAAAGAAAACACTATTTATTATAAATTAATCGTTGGACCTTTTCTTAATTTAGGCTGAAAAATGAAATGTACCTGTGTCTTCTCGATTTAGCGGCACAGTTTCAAGTAGAAACTGTCGAACATATAAGTTTACCAAACAAGAGATTAATGCGAGAAAACATTATGTTAAAAAATGAATTATCGCATATTTCGAAGCAACTTTCGTCGGAAAATGACATTCAATCTATTCTCAAGTATCATTACACGCATCTCCTTTTTTTATTTTTTATTCGTCAGAATAGAAAAATACTTATGATTTTTATATCTTATGCATAGGAACTCGGTTGTAGACTACAGAAAAAATATCGTTAAAAAGTCTTTGCATGTAAAAGAAAATATAATAACTATAAAAATACAGAATGCTTTGTTAAAATGTTTGAAAAATAAGTTTAAAAGTACAAAGGGATATTTTTCATCTATCGATGTTCCTGATCGTGCTATGGAAAGCAAATATCTTATGTTAATCGAAAACGCCCGTAACGAAGAAAATTTAACAAACGTTCGTTTATCAAAATTAAATGTTTTACTTGAAAAGGAGAGAACAAGAATAGGCATCGCAAAATATTTACACAGAAGGTTAAATTGTAAGATAAAGGCGGCTGTAGATACACTTTATGATCTAAAGTACATTGCGAGGTGTTTGCTTGAGGTATTTTTCAATTTTTCAATTTTTCAATTTTTCATTTCATTTGCATGAAATAATTTTTAATTCTTCATCATTATACGATCAAGTTACACGCAATTATGTTACAGTGTCCTACCAAATGTCCTGATATAGCAACCTTGAATTGCACCCAAATGCTTTTGTTTCTGCAAAACATATTCATGAAAGGGCAATTAAAAGTTCAATGTGGCATCGTCAAATCGTGAGTATTAGTACACTAGTATAACAACACTACTATTATCATATGAAAAATATTTTTAATTTCCCTACATGTAACGTATCAAGGGTTGAAACCCTACCACAAGTGTTAGAATTTCGTACAGAAGATTTAAATAATATTTCGGATTTTGAAATAATCACTGAATCTCAAGAGAAAGAACAAATCTTAGACAAAGTACGTAAAAACAATTTTATTACGTCATTAAAACATGTACTTTGCTTTATACTTGAGATTTCTTCTCCCTATCAGGTAAAATTAAGCTCAGATTCGGATAAAGAAACAAAAATATCTATTGAAAGTATCGACTTGAAAGAACATTCATCGACAGATATTTCGGATAATATTATGCCATTCGAGTTAAAAGATGATTACAAATTGTCTGAAAGTGATGAATACATAGAAGATGAATCTGTATTTAGTATTGTAGAATAAAATACAAATTGGTTTCGTGGTCTACAACCTACCGCCCGGCTTACATCCAAATACCTCGAGTAAGTAAATACGCAATATTATTATATACGTATGTATTAAATTACTTGGTCATTTCAGTTTGGTATATGGTTACATCAATCTTGTGATCTGGCTTAACAAATCGTTTCACTTTCGCTTTATCCCGTTTCCTGTAACATGTCAATGTTAATAATAAACAAGTTAGTACATGTTTATAAACGTTATATGTATAATACTTACAGTTTCATTCTAGAAGGAGCAACAATATTTCTCTGTTGAAGAGACTTAAATCTGTCTTTTAATAAATTAGTAGTTGGCTCAGCATTGCGTAAATTACCGCTTAATTCGTTTGCTAATTTGAAATCAGCTTCCAACGGTTCAAATTTAACTTTACTAAGAGTTTTAGGACCCACTGCCTTTAATGCTTTCTTCTTTAATCTTTCTTCTCTTAGGATTTTTTCCTTTCTTTCTTTAGAAGCCAACTGTTTATTTAATAATCTTAATTTATAAATATCCGAAACCTTCTTCTTTTCTAACTTTTTCTGCTGCTTCTTGCGCGCTAATTCTTTTTCTTCTTTTTGTTTACGTCTCTGAACACGCGTTTTTTTCTCATTTCTAACTGGTCGATTTACAGACGTTACTGTCGGATCTAGATCTTCATCCGGATCATTTTTCTCTTCCGATTTCAATCCTTCTAACATTTCTTTCAGTAAATTGTTTTCTTTTTCTTCCACCGAAACCTGTGTGAAAATTTCAATATTTGTTAACAATTCTATATATTCTACAAAAATTTATACATCAAATACCTTTTTAAACATATCTGTAGTCACTCTTTTCAAATGTTGTTCCTCTTTTATTAATTCCATTTCCTTCTTTGCTATTTGATGTAACAAAGTTTGATGATCCTCAAACGAAGGATTATAAGATGTTCCTGGATGCGGTGCTTCGATTGCTGGCAAAGCTGAAGGTTTCTTGCGCACTGAAATTGGTATTCTCCTCTTCTTTGCTCCAAAATGAGTCAACGTATGTCTGACAGTATCCGGAGACATCCATTCTGTATCGATACCAAGTTGTTCTTCAAATTTTCCTTCCCAAACATCAGCATTAAACTCTCCTCTTTTAGGTTTGTTCGATCTTTCCTTCATAGCTAACATTCTATTCTGTAATCTTATTTTATCTTTTAATTTTAATATTCCTTGTGCCTCTCTAAAAGCTTCCTTTTCTACCAAAATTGCATTTTTTCTTTCTTCCTTCGTTCTCACACGATTTCTTTTTCTTATTGGATCCTGTACAGCTGTGTGAGGTTTTAAAATATTAAAACATCGCGGCTCCTTTGATTTCAATATTTCTCGACGGGTTCTTTTCGGAAGAACTTCAGGCTCGGTAGAAACTATAAATAATTCCGAATCTTGGCGTGTCGAAAAAGGACCACCTAACCTTTCTTCTAACCGAGAATCTTCCAAAAATTTCTCAACATCTTTTGTATCAACATGTTTTCGCCATGATCTTTTTGTCTTTTTAGACACTTTACGCTTTTTACTATTGATCGCAGGCATTTTACTCTTTAAATGTTGGAATAATATCCTTTACCTAACCTAATTGCACGGCATTCGGTAAACCAGTAAACGTGGCTTTCTGCTTCTGTTGGGGAACAAGTTTGGCTAGGCTAGGTTAGGTTAGGTTAGATTAGATTAGATTGGGTTGAAAGACTGTGCTTGGGATCAGTACATACATATATGCAAATCCAAAAGATTTGCTAATTAATTACATATATTATGCATATAATATTATTGTATCAATTTTATTAACAAAGTGAAAAATACATTACATAGAACGCCAGTCATAACATAATAGTTTTATAATTTATTCATTTTACAATACTTGATTTAAGTGAATTTTGAAATGAACAGAAAATGAGAAAATGAGGAAAAATCGGGGATTATCTATATTACAATTTTTAAAGAGCGCATATCTTACACTTGTAAAATGGGAGATATACAAAAGAAATATATTTTGTATAATTAAATATGATTAAGACGGTACAATAATCAGAAAAATTGACATTGTCCAAGAGTGAGGATTAAGATGCTACCTACCGTCAGTAAAAGGCAAAGATATCTACCTGTGACTGGTACCCTAAACAGTCTAGCACACATTTTTAGCGACGACGTATACAAAAGTATAGTGTCAAGATCCTCACCTGGAGTGCTTTGATAAACAAATGGTCGGATGCGTACTTCATGTCCAATACTTTGAATCATAGAACAAGCTGTACTTAAACGAGCTGCCTATCAAACAAAGAGGAAATACAAGCAAATATTATTGCTTTTCTAACGTGTAAAGATAAAATAATTAATAGGTAAACATACCTGAATAAAAGGAACTATCGATATTAAAATCCATAATACGACATTCACTATTCCGATCCATGTAATAGGACTATTTTGTGCATCACCATTATAATTATCATATCGAAGCAACCAAATTGTACCCGCGGCAGCCCATGATAAATTCACAACTGTATAGATACATACAGCTGGTCCTAGTTCGTCATTGAAATATTTCAATAGTTTTTTAAATTCGCATATTTCCTGAAAGATACACCAACAAGAGTGTGACTTTCTTATCCGACAAAATAATGGAAGAGATAATGAAATTAAAGAGAAATCAATTTACAAACCTTCATCCAATCGATAGGAGATAAAGTATGGTGAAGCAACTTGCCACGAAGAAAGTACAAGTGTGCCAATAAAAGTTGCCCTTGTAAACAGTAACTGGTGATAATCGTTCCTTGAACCATATCGTGCCATAATGTGCATACAATTAAAAATACCTTCAATGTTATTTTTACTTGATACGGACTGTGCAAAAAATAAATTCGAAAGAAGTGCAAAATAGGATAACGCTCGATATTGTACATACATACATACATACATACATACATAAATATGTAGAATATTCCACAATATGAAATAAGATGTATAAGATGGAATTGAATAATAAATAAAAACGAGCAATTTTAATCATCGGGCAAATTAACAATAAATCGGATAGACGAAGAGATATTTTCGAGGAAATTACCTCTGTTCTAACCATTGAAATACAATACTTCCTTGGGCCATCAGAATATTTACTGTGATTAATGCCATCATTATCCATACCACGCTCAATGCTATGAACAGCCATAGTATTCGTACAAGTTTTCTTTGATTTCCACGATTTACAGGATTAGATGAGAGAAGGAATGCTCTCTCCATTAAATTTTGTAGCTGTTCGTTTTCTTTGATCCGGAATAGATATACCGTATATAAATATGCTACTAAATGTAAAACACTAGGAACTAGATAACTAAATATAATATTTCCAAAGCAGATAATTTCCTCTGTATGTTCCTTGCTGATATTTGCTACAATTTCAAGTTCTAAAGGTAGTGTTTTGTAACAAAATCCTCTGTCTCTTCTAAAAAAGAATAATCACACTCGATAAGAGTTACACAAGAGTTATGATATTGTTAAACTTACCTAAAACATGCCATATATTGTAAAATATATCCAATGCACATAAATATTATGACTTGTAAAGTATGAAGATTTGTAAGAATACAATAACAAGAGCATCGTTCGGAATCATCATCGCTGCTCATTGGTTTTAAACCCATTACTCCCAACAATCTCAAATACGGCCTTAATATTTTATGCTTACAATAGTGAAGTACCGCAGACGTACTTAACATCTCAAAATCTGGCATTTCAGTGATTTCACCAACCTGTGATTAGACACACACACACACACACATACACACACAAATTTATACATTCTAGGGCTGTACTCTTAAGAAAGAAAGAAAGAAAGAAAAAACAAAGAGGGGTTTAAATCTTACTTCTGTACTTTGCATTTGCAATTCTGATAATCCGGACGGTGTAGATGTCTGCATTGTTTCTTCATGATTTTGCTGAGGAGGATCTTTCCCATTCTTTGATTCATTGTTCGAACTTACCTAGAAAAGATAATTGCATCAAGTTATTGAAATATTTAACTCTACCTAAATCCGTATAAAATCAGTTTAAAGATATTCACATTATCATTGATACGAATCTTTTGTTTCATTAAGGATGAGAGCGATAAAGAAAACATCGAGCAAGTATCGACTGAGGTGTGTGTACATACGAATACATGTGTAGACTTTGAAAGAGATTTAAATATAAACCGTTTAAAACCGTTTCAAAATTAAAATAAATACTGTTCGATATACACGAAACGATCACCTTGGATATGTGTGTGAAATACGCGCTTGTAAGAAGAAAAATGTTTGTGCTATTACCACACGTTTATATAATAATATCGTGTCATCAAGAGATTACAATGTGATAAATAGTATTTTATTAAGAAAAACAAACAATTAGATAAAATATTATATGCAGAAAAACTCACCAATGTCATTTTTCTCAACAAACGTGTACAATGCTTTTGAACTTGAAAAGAAAACATTTGTATCTGTACCTCGTGTGATTCACCCTAACGTATGAATTTCATTATATCACTCTTTTGAGATGACACTTCACCTCTGTCAAGATATCCATTTGCATCGCGTCGAAACAAATTACATATTTTACTTGTGGTATAGGTATAATCTAAAATACTATACAAAGATGGTGGGGGGGGGGGGGAAAAAAAGGGGAACGAACGAGACATCTCAATAATAAGAATATAAGAAAAAATAATAGTATATGAATTATTTGACAAAAGAATGATTTAATTTAAAGAAAGCAGAAAAGAAAAGAGAAAAAGAAGTAAATAGGTACAACAATAAATATTAACGTCTCTTTTTAAACAAATTTCCTGCTGGTCTCAACAAATGTTTATATCCTTTTTCATGTCTTTTTACTTGACCTTTTGAACGTTTTGTTTGTTTCTTCTGCAAATAAATACATATAATAAATACATCGTATATGTATATTCGTCTCATATGAAAACGTACCTTTTCAACGACAAAAGTCATTTCTCTATTACCACGAGAACCAGAAACTTGAATATTATGAGCTTCTTGGTCTCTTAGTCTTTCTCCTAAACTAGCCCTGAAAGAATGCCAGAATAAATGTAGCTATGACATTGAATAAAATACATTGTTACTTCGTTAATATACATACTTGTTTAGTCTCTTTGCTACCGGTTTTGCATCTTTGAATTCTACGTTCTCTTTGATTTCATAAAACTTGGGTTCATTTTCTCTATGTTCATCGGTGTTTTTTACACTTTCATCCTCCTCTTGTATCTCCCGTTCGTTTTTCTTCATTAACCGATATTGTTTCTTCACTTCTTTAACCCATACTTTTTCATCCTCCGAACTACTATCATCATGAATGAAACTTTCATCGGAACTATTATTATCTGAAATTGAACAAACATACTAATATAAACGAGATCCTCTTCCAACTGTAATAACACGTTACATGGAATAATATTGGATTAGAAAGGAATTAGAAAGAATTAAACCTTGCGTTTCATCGTTTGTAGGATCGAGTTTCATCTCTTCTTCCGTTGCTTTGGCTTTCAACAACCTCTTTGCCCGACTTTTATTCAACTGAGAGACAACGGGATTCAATAACGAATACTCTTCCGAGGTTGTGTCCACTTGAAAGTCGGGATTAGTGAAAAGTGCTTTGAAACGTTCATCTTTTAGAAGGCCGGAAGAAGAAGTTGTTTTCTTCTTTTTCGTATTTGTCTCGTCCATCAGTTTCAACGCAAGCTCTTTATTAACGGTTGCTATTTTTTCAATCTGTAATCGACTAGCGCAAGTTTCTTGCATTTTTTCCTGAATTCTCTTTTTCTTGTATTCTTGGAATTCAAACGGTTTCATCGCGTCTCTCGCTTTTCGGTACAATCGAATATCCATAAAGTATCCGTGCATATAAGCACGAAGAAGATTAGTGCCTTTTAAATGCAAAAGACCTAATTCATCCAACTCTTTCTCGGTAAGAAATTTATAATCGTCATAAATAATTTCATAATTTAATTCCTCCAATTCCTCCGTTAAATTGTCCAAGAAGCTACACCAATAAGGAGCTGTACCAAGAGAAGGAACATAATACGTTTGCATTTTTCTATTTTCATTAGCAATTAAAAGCATTCCGGTGTTTGGTATAACGCACATGTCGTTAAAATCGTTTTCGGCTTCGATCGACGTGTACAATTTTCCCTGAAAAAAATATCACAACTCTTCTGGTAACTGTTCTCGTAACTGTTCTCGTTGATAACGTATAATTTATTTACATTGTTTTTGTCCCATATCTTGACAATAGAACTGTCCATAGAATAAACCATGTCCATTTTCTGATGAAATTCGATACTCTTGATGGGTAACCCATACATGTGATCCTTGATCAAAAACGGTTTATTCGAACGAATATCGTACAACAATATCTGTCCATTTGACATGCCCACTCCACACGTTAAGCCTCCTTGAAACTTTAAACTAGTAACTGCAGGGATTACTTGTAACCTATACAGTAGTAAAATAATAATAAAAGTAATAAAATCTTAAAATCTAAAACTACAATACCATCTATATAAAATACATCATAATACACCATCTTACTTATCGCTTTGTCCGATACAGTGCAAAGCACAGTCCAAGGTACCCGCTTTACTTCTACTTCTAGGATCCCATGCTTCAATTTTTCCCTCCTCTGTTCCCACAGCAAGCAGATGATGTACTGGATTTATTTCGCACTTATTTAACGAGGACGCTTCTGTCGAGAAAGACTGCAAAAATTGTCCTCTTTCAAGATTTATTCTGTAAATCTCGTTACTGTAACATAACGCAGGCTAGTGAAAATATACTTGCACCATTTACAGTTTTAACCAAACATTACAAGTAAGAATATAACGCGTCAAACCTGTCTCCTACGACGAATAAGTCACAAGTCGGATAATGATACTTGATGTCTCTTCCAAAACGTGGTATCCTGAGTCTATAATATCTTCCATGAGCAACATGGAACTCGATATTTCTATCGCAGTGTAAGAAAACCAACTGGAAAATAATCCATAGATGGAACATGAAAATCCAAAGTATGCAACATAAATATATCTAGATAGCGGTGTACTTACTTTACTGTAATCATCCGATAATACATCAAAAGTAACAACTTCGGAATCGAAACAGCGTTCGAACTTTAAAGATAAATTATTTACATCGTAACACTTTACGCGTGGCTTGTATATTCCAGTTGCCAAAATATACTGTTCATCCTTTGTAACTTTAATAGAAGTACTAACTCCAGGCATATCAAAGTCCTGGATAAGTTCGATTCGACGTCGTATATCTGTTGAAGCGTTAAAAATTGTTTATCTAAACATACCAACAACATATTCGGTAAGTACTTTAACTAAGCTATACTCACCGACATTTTTTTTTAACAAGTTTCGTCTTTTACGTTCAGATAACCACTAAAAAGTAAAAAAGTTTGGAATTAATAATCATTGAAATTCGTACGATGCTAAAAAGAAAAATATTTATTGATAAACAAACGTCGTATGTATGTATGTACCTCTGGGAGGGACTTTCCAGCGCTCAAGTTATAAATTTTCACATTGTTTGGACAAGAGACCTGCATCGTGAAATGAAAGAATAAAAAATGGATGTTAAAATCTGTCGCATACAATAATCATATTGTTTCTAGACATTTGTCGTCAAGGAAGAAAGAATCATGGAAGAAAGGATTCAACACGTGCGAAACATTGATCAGATTCAATCAGATTACAGTGAAGATTGATGAATGAACAAACATTGTTCGATAAACAGGATGGGCAAAATTTTTAAAGAAATTACTAGAGAGTATCTAAACGTTGCTGGGAGTTTGAGTGGTTTGAATAAAACAATTAAATTGAGATGATTTGGTAGATTGTTTCGAAAACATGTAATAATTTGAAAGAAAAGAGTGTAATTTCTGAGATTTCTCAACCAGACATTATGTTGTTGACTTGTTACTGGGTAGGAAGGATTCTGTTTATAGTTTATAGAAGGAAGAAGTGAAGGAGAAGAAAGAAAAGTTATGATATTTGAGAGAGAAAGAAGGTAAAGAAAGAAAATTGTTGATAAAAATGAGGAATTTTTCGAGTTCGATACATATTTCGATTGATATTCGATTGATATTCGATTGAAGTTGGTAAAACTGGTCGACGGTAGTCATTACCGGTCAGTTATGAAGAGTGGGGGGAAGGCGATCATTGGTGCTCGCGGGTTTCGCGGGGTAAAGAGGAGATGCTGGTAACCGCGAAAGGATAAGGAGGGGTAAAAGAGAAGTGTGACCGGCGTTGAGCGCATATAGGTAGTCGTGAGAGGAGTCAGTCGGTGACGGGTTGTGTCTTTAGTGCTGTAGTGAAGAGTTTGTCGAGCCGCTTGTGTTAAAAAATGAGCTGGCAGGATTACGTTGACAAGCAGCTGCTCGCGTCTAGATGTGTTACCAAAGCTGCAATCGGAGGACACGATGGCAATGTCTGGGCAAAGTCTGAGGGCTTCGAAGTAAGTAATCGTATCTCGTTCTGCTGACGCCTCGGAAGCTTATTATTAGCTGGCCGACAAGAGGGAAAGTGTAGGCTAAATATGCGTTAAAAAATACAAAAAAAAAAAAAAAGAAAAAAAGTAGACTTGCCGTATAATATAGCTTGTCGAATTTCTCGTTTTCTTATTTTTCATTGTTTAGCGTGGCCGAGGACTCGATCGAATACCTTATTTCGTTTCTTTATCGAAAATATACACATTCGTATGCACAGATATATTGGACATGTGTAAGATAGGATAGGATAGAATCTTGTACATATGTAGATATATTGAATTTTAAAGGATAATTTTCTATACGTTCGATAATGTGTAGTGTAAATGTATAGAAATTGAAAGGAATAGTGTGGGTTAGAATAAGAAAGCATAGTTGGGTTGAATGGTTAAAAAATGCTATCGTCCAACTATTATCCAATGTTATTTTATCGAAATAACAAAGATAGATAGATAGATAGATAGATAGATATAATAGATTGATGGCTTATGTACATATAAATGATGGAATTGTTGCAAGTTCCGCGTGTTGAGCCGGCATGATCGCCTCACGCTACCTACGCCGGTTAGGTGGAACGATAATTAAAGGGTCGAATGGTCGAATAGACGAATAGACGAATAGAGATTTTAAAGATGTGAATCGTTGTATACAGTGAGTATTTTCCTGATAAAAGAGTTTTCCAAGAAATGTTGTCCACCGCCCAACTATGTCCGCAAGGCCGGCCATCACAGATTCGTCGTCGCGTAAATTGCCGACTCGTAGGTAGGTGAAAAAATAGAGAAGCAGGAGCAGGCTTGATATTTCTCGAGTTTCTCGTGGCTATCGATTTAGTACGATTAACAAGCGATCATTAAAAAATGTAGCTGGGTGTGGTGGTTTTTGCAAAAAGAAAGTTTGTCTGGTCGAAGTTGAATGGTTTTCGATTAAGTTTAACATGGCTGCCTGCCGGGCACATTGTCGCTGCCGCTCATGGAAATGGTGGCTCCTTCTCTTAATGGTGGCTTCTGTTTTCCGGCAAAGCCGGTACGTTTCGAAACTTGACGGCCATTTACAGAGTAAACAGGATACTTGCATCGAACAGAGTGAAAATTATTAAGTTTGTTCATGACGAAGCATGACTCATTTCTTTGAAAACGATTCTGTTATCGAGAAACAGAGAGAGAGAGAGAGAGAGAGAGAGAGAGAGAGAGAGAGAGAGAGACGGAGACAGAGATGCATGTACGTAGACGTCGAAATATGTTGTACGTCCGATAGGCAAGTTTTTCACTTGTACGAACTAAAAATTGTAAACGTTTGGAAGAAAATATTTTGGTGTTGGTAACGAAATAAAAAATTTTATTGCGTATCGACGTACGGAATGAATTTTGAAACGAATTTTCGGCTTTTCAGCGATCAGTATTTATAAACTGAACATATTCGAGTATTTACAAGGTTGCGTCTTGACATTTTGTTATTAGCAAACATTTAACTGCAAAATCGTTGAACGTTTAAAATTATCAAACGGACAATTTCAGAAAAGTTGAACTCGATTGACGCGCCATCCGTGTTGTGCGTGAAAAGCTTTTGCGAATCGTGTCGGTAAATCGTAAGGATTTGAGAATGTGGTGCGAAAGGATTTGAGTGAAAGGGAGCTAGAAATACATATTGAGAAAGTCGGAATGAGTGGGAATAGAACCCAGAAGGGTTAAGCTTCCTTTTTTCCTTTTTTTTTTCTTTACGCCCACGTAAATTGTTTATTTAGTACAAAATCTGTACTTACTTAGATATATGCATTTTAGCATCGTGGAATTCCATGGAGAACGTATCTATCGGTATTCGTTTCATTTTAGGATGTAATTGTATTCGGTGACTTTATTATACAGTATTGTTCGAGAAGTTTGTAGGATTATAAAGAAAATTTTTGCTTGAAAGGAACAAGAAGGATCAATTTGATGTAAGAGGAATTTTATTGAAAAGTGTGTTGGATCGTAAGATGAAACGTAGATTTGTTGATTGAATCGGGGAAAAGATTTCATGTGGACGGTGAAACGTTGTCGTCGTCGTCGTCGTCGTCGTTGAGATAAAGGTCGCCAGCTGCACCGTGGCCTCGCGCGCGCGCATGTGTACACACACACACACACACTTTCCGGTTACGAATGCCAAAATGGCGATGCTGGCCGGACAGCAACCTCCCCACAGTATCGTGACTCGAATCGCAAAGCGGGGTTCCACGGAGCCCGATCGAGCGGACAAACAAAATTGAAAATTTTCACGATTCCTCTCGCAACATTCTTTTCTTTCTTTTTCTATTCGCAATATATCACTTGATAAGCGTGACACGGTGTGATCAGAATAACACTTGCTATTATTTTTTTCTGCGACGAGAGCTTTCGTAAAAACAGGTGTCCTAGAGAGGTTTTAGAGTACATACACAGTGACGGAATGAAATTTGATTCTGTGCATTTGGCTGTATATTTTGATCGACGGTGTGTAAATGATGTGTAAAATGTGAAACGATCGGAAAGCGATTTTTCAAAGCATGTATCGCGTTCAAAGAAAATTGATAAATTGGCAACATTTTGACCTCGATCAGGTTTATCGTTGCACATTTACGTGGACGTGTAAGCAAGCATGTAATAGTTGGGTATTGTAAAGAGGTCAAGACTAAATCGAACCGCACCGAACCGAACCGAACCGAACCGAACCGAGTCTACTTATTTAGGAAGGTGTTTTTGTAACAAGATGACGCACGCGTTGACGTATAATATTTTGTTTGCATTTATATCTAATCTAATGAAGTATCGATGAAAAAGGTATCGATTAATGATATGTACCGTTAATCAAAATTGTGTTAGGTTGAATTATCTAGGAGAACATTGTGACCAGCGCAAAGCGATAATCGTGTCGCGTTTTGTCAGATACATATTGATGGTTTCGATTGTTTCGGTCGTTTATTCGAACCCCGGATGAGCATGTAATTCGTCGAGTTTGCATCGAAAGGCGAACATACGATATTTTTGTGGGTGTAGGTGAGCAAAGAGGAGCTGGCAAAATTGGTCCAGGGATTCGACGATCAGGATATTCTGACCTCGTCGGGCGTCACCTTGGCCGGCAACAGGTACATTTACTTGTCGGGAACGGATCGAGTGATAAGGGCAAAACTTGGCAAGGTCGGCGTTCACTGCATGAAGACGACGCAATCGGTAGTTGTCTCCCTGTACGAAGACCCCATACAGCCACAGCAAGCCGCGTCAGTCGTTGAAAAACTCGGGGACTACCTCCTGGCCTGCGGCTATTAGGTTGGTATACATACGTACCTATATACATACGACGGTGTAGGAGATTTGAAAACGATGCACACAACATTACACTTTTGTCAGTTGTTTCCTTCTGTTTATCGAATAGATACGTATTCTACGTGTCTCTTTGTAATAACGTGTCATTTCTGCGTACACGCTTTCATTGTTACGCGTTCATTGGTTCGTCGGTAAAAACTCGTTACTCCGCTACAAGGGATCCGGCTCGCGTTCACTCGGTTTTGTACTAGGGGAATACGTTATACGTGAATAGTTGAAAACCTCGTGGAACGTTGATGGAGGAAACGGATATCGATTTCCCTCGGAGGGAAAACGGTTTAGAGCAATCGCGAATTTGAAACTCGCGAGACGTTTGATCGGTAGGAAAGGACGCGCAGGAGTATGAGTCATTCTAGCATAATTTCAGTCGCGGCGACCGCTTTGGTTCGATGTATCAGCTTGCTACGATGACTAACCGCGTGTTATAGTTTGGTTTCAGCAGCGAACCACGTCTTACGAACGACGGCCAATTACTTTTCTTTGCCAGTCAAGACGGAATCGTTTGAATAATGAACGCGACAAAAGGAAATACGTAGCTTTTTTTACAGTAATTGGCCCAATACGATTGGGTAGACGTACCTGTGAGACAGTTAACGCAGGACGTGTCCGTTTTCTCTGTTTCAGTAACCTCTGGGACCCAACATAAATATCTAATATTAATATTAAACGATACGGTCGATTATTTTAATGAACAGCGAGTGGAATGCGTCATGCCGCACGAGTCGCGCCGGAACTGCCGCAAGCTTGCCGCGTGACGTTCGATGAGAAGCAACTACATCAGCAACAGCAACAGCAACAGCAACAGCAACAGCAGCAACAACAACAACAACAACAAGAACAACAACAGCTATCATATTTCAGTCGTCGTTCTCTCCTCTTCGATTCGACTCAATATTCGGCAATAAGCACGTACAAGTATACACGATATCTTTGGAAATACTTAAAACACTTACATAAAGACGAACAGAGCCAAATTCATATACATACATAATATACATACGCACACACATATATACGTACGATGTGCATTATACGTGGTAATAGATATATATCGATTGGCGAAAAGGCAGCGGGAATTGTGCGATCGCAATCTATCTAGCCTTTTCGTTCTTTTCTTTTTTTTCTTTTTTTTCTTCTTGTATTTTTATTTTAATTTAGCTACCGCGTTTTTTCATCTCTTATAAAAATCAATAATTGGTTGTAATTCGATGAAAACTATACATCTACGTGCACATATACACGCGTCGATAGATCATTAGCGATCGTGTGCGTCGATTCGTGGATGGAGAGACAAATACACAAGCATGCATTAAGTATAAGAAATAATGATAATAAATAATAGTAAACTATTGCGTGTTAGGTTTACAGTCTTTTTTTTGTAGAGAACGTAAGGATGCGAGAGAGGAGTAAAGAGAAGGCAAGAAAGAAAAAGAGCGCATGCGTGAGAGAGCAGGGGAGGCAGAGAGAGAAAGAGAGAGCGAAAGGGTTAAAGAATGAAAGAGAGAACAAATGATAGAGAGGATGTTGGAAAGGGCGTGAAAGAGGAACGAGTGTTCGGGAAAGATTCCAACGAGTTAAAAGGAAGCGAACTAGCGCGGGGGGGGGGGTTGAGCACGAAAGAAGAAAACATCGATTTCGTGAGAATTAAACATGAATTGAGAAGAATCGAAACAAGTCGTGTCTGGGGAGGTGCGAGAAAAAGCTCTTTTACAGGAATAAATGTTGATATCAGTCTAAGAGTGACGACTGTAACGATTAAGACTGTGACGTGACGTGACGTGACGTGATGTGACGTGGTGGACGATGACACTTTACAAACGAGTGTGCGGCGAAGAGTGGAACGGCATGAATTCGTTGCGATCCCGATCGATGGAATTCCTCCTTCCCCTCCCCATTGATGCAGTTCTTTTAGCTGTTTACACTTTTCATTATTATTGCTATGCGAAAAGGGAATGAATCGACGAACGTTGTATAACAGAGATAGATAGGGAGAGAGAGAGAGCGCGCGAAAGAGAGAGAGAGAGAGAGAGAGAGAGAGAGAAAAAGAAAGAAAGAAAGAGGAGAAAGTGGGATGGGGGTGAGAAACGAGTTGAGAGTTGCAACACGTACACCAGGATGATATATATATATATAAATATATATAAATCTGACATACGCAGAAGCGCGCGATATGCATACAAAATACATTACACACGATCGCGCGAAAGTTGAAGGATGGGACTCTACACGGCAAAACGGATGTTTCAAAGTTATGGCACCGATTTGAAATCATTGAAAGCAACTAACTAACGTCCATTTTTCCTTAGTTCTTGTTCTTTTCTTTTTCTTATTCTCGCAGCTGCTTAATTATCATCGGTACTCGTTACCCAAAGTGTATTACGTTTGAATAGAACAGAAATATCTGCTAAGAAACAGCAAGAGGATTCGATGATAAAATCAGTGTAGAAGAAGATATTCTCATCGAAATATGAAGTCGAAAGAATTGAAAAGTAAAAGAAAAATAAAGGATTCGAAGAAAAAGAAAAGGAAGAAGAAGAAGAAGAAGAAGATGAAGATGAAGATGAAGATAAAGAAGAAGAAGAAGAAGAAGAAGAAGAAGAAGAAGAAGAAAATGAAGATTTGCCGTGTACTCATATTTGACTTGCGCAGCCTCGTACACGTTACACCGAAACACCCTCGCACAGTCACATACATCCTATACACGATACCGCTACCATTTATTATTACTGTAATATTACCGCTATTACTATTACTATAATCGGTTGCTTGTCGATTCGTCTGGCGTCAAGCAGCAACCCAAACTACTATGTAACGATTTTTATTGATAACGAAATAAGGAATAAACTTTGAAGTAATAATTGTAATTGAAGGTAACTCCCAAGCGTCGTCCACGTATTCGTATCTGTCTCATATACATATATTTTAAAGTTTTCGTTTCGTTTGAGCAGAGAGAAAGAGAAAGAGAAAGAGTTTTCGATTCCTTCGTTCCATAATCCGACGACTCCCGTTTTTTCGTGATTTATCGTGCATCTAGCTACGCAATGAGAAGAAAAGAGGAGGGTGTATGCGCGTGTGAACGAACGAACGAACGAACGAATGAGAACGAGCGATAGAGTCAAGAATTTATACGCGCAAGATTTCTACCTCTTAAAATGCAAAGAGAGAAGCCAACTCTAAGGTCCTAAGAAGAAAGAAGAATAAAAGCGCGAGTAAGAGAGAGAGAGAGAGAGAAAAAGAAAAAGGGAGTGGGAGCGAGATAGAGAAATGGATAAATTTGGTCGGTTAAAATTAGACTTAGTAACTTTGTAAAGCCGATATACTTGCTCTTAAGATTCTTTTGCATATGTCGAGAAAATGTTTGAAATCGTAACACGATTAATGTTTAAGGAAACAATAAATTTGTATAAAGCGGTGTAACGGAGCGTTTTGTTTTTATTCGATTTACACACGCATCGAGTTGTTCCTATAAAATTTCAAGCATAGTCGATAATGCTCGCGTTTCTCTCATTTTCCGTTAATTTATTGGCCATTTTTTCAAAATTTTCCTTCTCGACCATTATACTCGATTGGAAAGTATCGATCCGAAATTCGTTTCTTTCGTTTTTTTTTCCACGGATTAATCACTTACCAGATGTAACGCGTTAGCGCACAATATTACAGATTCAGCTTGAAAAATAATACGACACAAGACAGGTTTTCATTTATTTTATAAACTTTCGTTCAATTTATTGGTAGATTGAAACTTTAAATAAAACTTTATACAAAATTATTAAGAAAATTTACATAAAAGTCGTTCTCGCTTATTTACTCGGTATCGAGTTGTTCTTAAAAAACGTTATTATCTCTAATTATCCTAAATAAAATCGTCATCATTTTGTTACTTTTTTTTTCAATTTCTGTGTTTTCTATCGACTATCATCTTCTAGGCTACTCTTTCATTTGAACGTTTTCATTTTCTTCAAGTTTCTTCCAAGATTTAATACTTTCTATTCGAAGCAAGAAATGCGACGAACGATTCTATGTAGTCTGTCTCGCGTTCGAGAAGAATAATCGATGCGCAAGGGTAAACGAAGAAACGATTCTGCCCGAAACGCCGCAGCGAATAGGGTACGCATAAAAGAAAATATCCGTCTTCTGGTGAAGACAGCGATCGGACAGCGATCGGACAGCGGGATGTATTAGGCACGTGTATCGAAGTAGAAACCAATGGCACCTAGACGCAAAACTTAATCGGAAGATTTCGATGTAATTACAATTAGAATTAGAATTAGAATTATGAAATAATCGTGAGGATATTGTGTTAGTACCATAGGTTGTAGCGTGAAGCATTCGATTCGTCAAACGATTCCATCGACTAGCCCTAATACGTTTTATCATAAAAACTTGTGAAATTGTGAGTTAGCCTCGATATCGCGATGAACGCGTTTACGAATCGAGCTTATTTTCATAATCGTCATGTTGATTGTCAACAACTGGAATTTCTTTGCTTTATAAACTTTGCTCTCCCTCTCTTTCACTCACGATCAATTGTGTAAGTTGCTAATACAAGCTGGGTAAGCTGACGTAGCCCTTATTCTTTTCGTCGTGGTTAGATGCAGCGGCAAGACGAATCGATTGTGAAACGAAAGGAAAAGCCTCGAAAACCGATGGTTTGTTATTTCATCGAAATTAACGAAAGGTGTATGCAAAATGAGATACCACCTTTGGCTAAAATGCTTTACAAAGGTTCGTTTAATTGGCATTTCATTCGAATAGCATTAATCTTTGTTAAACTATTTGTTAACTTAGGAAGTCTTATCAGGTAGGTGTGCATGCGTGCCAACGGATGTGCAAGAAAGCACGACAGAGCTGTTTCAGGCTCAAGCAATCCTCGGCCGATGCATCTCGAATGCCCATTCTTACTGTATCCACGCGATCATCACCCGTCGCGTCGCGTCGCGTCGCGTCGCGTTAAACAGCATCTTCTTTATCCTTTTGTCTTTCTACGTATCCTCGATTGCAATCGTTATTTACAGGATCCATTATACACTGCAGAGCAAGATTGCGCTAAACTATAATATATAATGTATGTATACGCCGCAGGAAGAAAATAATATCACCGCGAGTTTATTCGAACCTATTTTGCGGTTGGATAAATAGTTATCGTATTTCCTTCTTCCTTATTTCCTTTCTACGTGTTCCTTGATACATACCAGTTATCTTTGAAGCAATCGTCGTGCTCGCGTCGCCATGTTCGTGAACGTTGAAACGATTTGCTTAAATGCTCGAGTTTCAATTTCATTTTTAGTTTCGTGAAGAAATCCGATACAGGTTTAAATCGTTCGATCGATTGGTAATTAAATAGCCATACAAATAAATAGATAGAAGCAAGAGAGTAAGAAACGATAACTGTACGCTCGAACTCGACATACCGCCAGACAATCTTTGGCATTCAACATTCTTCTCGAAAAGAAAATTTTACTAAACAGAAGCATCGAACTGAAAATTTTACTAAACATAAATTTACGAGTTATCGTTATTATCGCCATCATTCGTTACATTACTACCTATATAATCTCCATTTTCTTGATATATTAATGACGATGATAATGATAATAATATCGATTACTGATAACAGGAATTCATTTGTACGTTAAATTGTTGATTCATAGTTTATAATTATATGTGTATAATGTGATGTATCCGATAAAGGTGTTTGGGTAAACAGTAATAACGACGAATGAGATTATAACAACTCTAAATATAATACTAAAAACAATAAATAAAATAATAATTATATTAAACGATTAACGACGATGACGATGACGATGACGATGACGATGACGATGAAAATGAAAATGATGAGAACGATGATGATAGCAGCAGCGCTAATATGTCGAGCAATAGATGGTCATAAGTGACATTAGTAATAGCAACAATGATAATAACAAGGATGATAACGATAATGACAATAATAATAGTAATAAATAATGATGATGATAACGATGGCTGTGTTAGGTAATGGCAGCAGTAATAGTAATAGTAATAGTAATAGTAATAGTAATAGTAATAGTAAAGGGTTATCCAAATATATCTTTAGGATGTTGAATGAGAGAACATCTGTCAAACGCCATGTTTCACTTTCTTTTGTTTCTATCCTACAATGATAGACAATTTTAATAATGGAGTCGTATACGATTGAAAACATTGCTGCTGTTCTCAAGAGTTGAGAGCATTTCTTTTACATGCTTTTAAAATTCAATTAACACAAGAATTGAAAGAACGTGACCATTTGCAACGCAGAAATTTCAGTGATTGGTTGTTAGAACAACGTTCAATTGTTTTCACGCAACATCATCTTGAGCGATGAAGCTCACTTCACATTGGATGGACATGTCAATAAGCAAAATTGTCGGATATGAGTTATATGAGTTACAAGAGTTATTAAAGAAAAATCACTTGATCCAAAAAAAGGCGTAATCGGTCCATTCTTTTTCGAAAACGAGAAAGAAGATGCAGTTACAGTGAAATGATTACTGATTATTTATGGCTGAAATTACACATAACACGTGAAAACATCAGTTTATTGCGATCGAAATTCAATGGTCGATTAATTTCAAGGAATGGTGATGTGATTTCACCTCATTCGAATTTTTTCTTTGGGGTTATTTGAAAAGTAAAGTTTATGCCAGCAAACCAGCAACGATTCATGACCTCAAAAACAATATTACAAATGAAGTTGGTAAATTAAACGAGCAAATATGCGAAAATGTTCATTTACGAGTTGATGTCTGCAAAGGTGGTCGTGGTGGTCATTTGGCAGATGTAATTTTTCATAGATAATTGTCAGGGATAATAACTCATAATTTAAAAAAACTGCCTATAGTCTGGCTATTTTGGATAACCCTATAATAGTAATAGCAATAGCGATAGCAAATAGCGATGACGACGATAGTAGTGTTGGCGGTAGAAATAGTAATGTAATCAAAATAATGTCTATACAATATAGATAACCTGTTAAGAGTCGTTAGCGTGAAATTACAGAATTATCGATAATAAGGGCTTGTCTTACGATACTTGTATCGTTCGGCACGTTCCTCGTGACTTTGCAGATTTCTCAGAAGTGAGAATTTAACACCGTGCAAAGTGTTTTATTTAATATTCCAATAGTTCGAGTAGGTGGAGTTAGTCTTTCTAACAAACGTAGGATTTCCGCGTTGAGTACGCGTTGAAGAAAGATGGGAAAGAAACGGGTAGCTAGCTCTCGTTTGATCATGATTAAAGACAATTTAACGATCGGACGACCGATTAGATTAGCCACACGGTCTTTGATCTGATCGTGAGTGATGTGATTTTTACGACTATCTACTCTCGAGTAGAGCCGCGCGCACTCGTTCCAATTTAGGATCGATCTTACCTTCCACCTCGCTGAGATTATTACGACTTAACCGGTGAATTTCTGTAAAGTAAAAGTTACGTTACGCGTACGACAGTTTGACTTTATTATATTATATACGGTTAGAGGTAATTCGCTTAGAGAAAGCGTGCGCGCGTTTCAGAAGCGATTTTTAGAAAGTTAAGTTAGGGAGAAGAGATTTTTCGAAAAGAAGAAACGACCGACACAGGGTAAAGGAAGAGGACCCGAATTTCGATCGAAGCGTCTTTAACGAGAGCAAACGATTCGATAGGATAGGTAAAGAAAGTGAATTAGTGAAAGTGATAGTGAAAGTGACAGTGAAAGAGAAAGGAAAGAAGAACGAAGAACGAAGAACGAAAGTGTAAATTAGGTGAATAAGATTTACCCACGGATTGGTGTAGCTGGTTGGATCTTTGGGGGCTGGTACCCCACGGCACCGGTCGAGGGCGACTGACTTACTAAAAGGTCGACGAAATGGACGAAGAAGGACGCGAATGTTGTCGCTGGAAGAATTAGCACGAAGCGGTATCGATGCGCTACTGGACAATGCAGCAACAAGCATTGTTCGTCAAAGCGGTGGTAGGGACGCGTTGCTGTCGATAATGGTGATGTTGGCGTAACGCGTGTCTCTGTCGCTGGTGGCTCGTCACCTTACCGCTTACCCTGGGCTATTGGTTCTCCAGCGAGTAATGACGCGATCTCTTCCAGAAACCTTTGAAAAATCCTTTCTTCTTTGGCGCATCTCCGCATTCGGCCGCTGAAACAGAAATCATCTATCATCTATCGAGTTTCCGTTTCACCACGAGACTCTCTCGCGTATTTTCGCCACGTTTTTTTACTCTCGCTATATGTTAATAGGGGAAGCGTCGGCAATTGTCTGTCAGCTGCATAATAATCGGCTGCCTTTCCGGTCTTTGCTTCGACAAGACAAGACGAGACACGGACGTCCAACACGAGCTCGATTCGGCACCGATTCGATCGAGTCCGCGAAATTGCTCGATTTCGATTGATCGGAAGACGAAGGAATTTTAGAAGGCAGCAAGCATAGTTGTAATAAAAGAGAAAGAGAGATGAGCAAGGCGAACAGAGAAACGATGCGTATGGATCAATACCGATAGCGCGTACTAGACGCAGACTCCTGGGTGTGTCTGCTGCTGCTACTCATTTCTGACGCGTTGCATCCTGCCTACTTATCAACTTTTTCATTTTCGTTCTAGTATAATATAATCGACTATGGAAAATTAAAATTTCAACGTTCAACCATCCGCCTTTCGAGATACATACGACGAGGTTTGAAAGAAACTTTGCGTTATAAACGTTCTTCTCTCGGTAAGCGGCAGTTTTCCAAAATAACCGAAAAATATTAATAGACCAGAGACGAGGCCGGATGCTTGGGTAAAGCGATGGCGGAGGAAGACAGAGGGAGCGAGAGGAGAGGAATATTTGGAAATATATAGTCGAGAATTAGGCAGCAAGATTTCGATTTACTATCGAAAGCAAGCTCGCGAATCGTAACGTTTTCGACGCAATAAGACTACCACCGTATCGATATAATCGGTCCTGGCTGGTCGTTGACGATATTCCGAACGTTTCTTAATACCAGCTCGAAGCAAGGTCTAGCATTGCTTTATAAATAGCGTTACTCTGTTCTTTCGTGGAAACGAAATCCTTCGACCTCTACGGAGGATTGGTCACGTTCGTGGCAACCTCGTTACATTATTATATTATTATATTATTATATTATTATACGTATCGTTCGTTAGGAATATCAACTCACCGGCGTAAGGACCGCACGACGATCCGCCCTCCTTTCCACCCTTGCTGTCCTTGCTTCCGCTTCCTGAAACAGTCAAAGAAGAAGATTTCGCGTTCAGTAGGATCTCGTCTTGTTCCTCCTTTTCAAATATACCTAATAACGAGAAAAATGTTGAAAAAAAGAAAAAAAAAGAAAAAAAAAGAAATAAAGCCAGCAACGAGCAAATACATTTGAAATAAAATGGAGGAATACACACATATTTGGCACGTACGCTTGACTGCTACACTTACTGGCTTCCTTTTCGCTGATAATATTTTATCAAACGTAATCATATTTCTAGCTATTCACTGTTTTGCCAACGAATAGAATACGAGCGGTGATAGGGAATGAGAAGGAAAGCGATGAAAGCGCAGGATATGCTGATGCGAGCGCATTCCAATTGTGAAATTTCAATATCGTCGCGTTGTTTGTTCGTTAACACTGGAAGGTGTAACGCGGAAATGCAATTGAAGAAAGAGAAAGGACAGGAACGGGAGACGAAATTATCTCCGCCGAAATAAACTTGATTCATTTTCATTTTCATCGAGTTTATTCGACCAACTCGGTAACTTTTATACATGCTCCACTCTATTTCTGGCGGGATAATAATAACCTCCGTATCTTGTTTCAGCGGCTGGCATGGAATGACAAAATCACTTTCCGACCACTTTCAACTACATATGTATCTATTATTTTGAAATAATTGAATTTAGCAAGATGCAAGACTCAAAGTTAAAAGCTTAACAATGAAATTGGTCTTTCATGAAAAGGAATATTTCAAGGAAATGGAACGTCGCATCGTTCACGGAATACACCGTTTCGAACTGATTCTCGTCACATCACGTTCCAAGCTTTCCCATTCTTACCTTATTTCGAGAGAACTCACCTATATCGCGAACGAGCCAAAGTATTTGGTCAGAGCGCGGGAAATAAATAAGGCGTTAGCGTTAGCTGGATCGAGGTCACGGTCGTGCCTAAGGGTTCTTACTCATCGTCAATGCCACGGTCGAACGTTGCTTTCCTATTATCTCTTTCACCACGAATCTACAAAGATCCGCTTCATTCTCGATTATATGTAATCATTCCTTAGATCTTATAACGATAACGCTTTTTTTATCGCTCGTTGACAATGATATCGATTGTAGTTTCATCACTCTAATCGAAGCCGATCATTTTTTTCCCACGATCTTTCTTTTCTTATTACAAAAACGAATAGAAAACAACGATCTATAGAGAAAAACAATTTAGTATTTTCAAACGGTATAACACATTGACGTTTATCACCCATTTACCTAGTATTGCAACGCGTTCGAGTGAGCAAGCGAACAAGCGTAACGCTACACCGATTTTGCTTGCTATCGCGCGACATCACGCGACACCGCGTCACACCGGATAAAATGTTCAATTTCTGCAGTTCTAGCGTTTCGCGAACGTGATTTAATTGCGCCTGATGGCTTGAATCTGTTTTGACGCCAAATTACGTTTGTTACGGTGAAAAAAAGCAAACGCCTACGAGGGATGAAAAACCCTAACCTACAATGTTACATGTTACATGTTACATGTACAAGTAGAAATATCGGTAATAATATTCAGGTAAATTTTTACGTGAACCGTTGGAATGAAATTGGACATGATTCGACAGTCGCGTCGTGCTGACTGCAGCAATACGATCGATCCCTTTTTTTCTTTGAAACAAGAGCAAAAGGAAGGAAATAGAGAAGGAGGAAGGAGTGGTGACAAGAAGATAAGAAAACTGGGGATAAAGGATGGTAGTAGGTGGATATTTTTCATTAGGTTGAAAGACTGTTGTTCCGGTGAACGCAGGACCGTGACGCTTTGGTAGGGGCAGCGTTTGCTCGACCAGGCAGGGTTGCTAGACAGACTAGCAGACGGGAATAACGATTGCCATCACCCACCACCACCACCACCCCGCTGTCGGACAAGCTAGTCACCCCTTCCATGCCCTTCCGGCTTCCCATACGTTCCATTCCTACTTTCTGCCGCTAACGTGTTCAGCTTACTACTCTACCTACCTACCTACCTACCTACATACCTACCTACCTACCTACCTACCTACCTACCTTCCCACCGCCCAACTTACTAACCGCACCGAAAACATCCCTTAGCTTGTCTTGGTTACCATTTCATTTACACACTCAAATAATTGTTAAACGAACGCGACAACGCGGCTTAATTCCGCTTTGGAACAGCGTTTCATCTTTCTCAGCGTTTCGCGCTTGCGCTTCGTCGCATCGTGTATTTTGTTTCTACCAGTACCTACTAATTTTCTCTTAACGCGGTTAATGCGTTCCTTAAAATTAAAAAAAGAATTTGAAATAGAAAACCACCCTAGGAAGGTTAACGAGCATTTCAAAGGAGGAAGAGTTTTCCTTTGCGTGTTTCCGCATGCGCGGAAGCGCTTTTTCAGGGTATCGATACCGCGACGTTCTATAAATAAATAACTGACGACGATAAAACTCGATGTATGTATGTATGTATGTATGTACAGGGTCATGCGCGCGCCTTCGATCGCGTTTGAGCGCAACTGCGTTACTACTCGATCCACCGAATTCGCAACCTTTCAAAAACGTACGAATGCGATGCATACTAAATTGCAAATTGCACCCCTGTGGCTCGGGGGGATTAGAATACGGCCACGGTATCCCCTGCCTGTCGTAAGAGGCGACTAAAGGGGGACACACAGAGAGACTGAAGCAAAAAATTGTAAAAGTATGGCAAATGTATGAAACAATGTAAAATGCAAAAGGGAATGAGATTTGAAAAAAGGCGCGCATGGCCGAAAATGTTCGTTGGGCAAAAGGGGACAATAAAGTCCCCAAAGTACGCCGCCCGAAGGAAACAGGATGTAAAAGTGCATCCTTTTTTTCCGAACCGGGGAAAATTAAAGTAAAGTAAAGTAAAGTAAATTGCAAATTGCAAATTGCCATACAGTCAATTTGCATGAATTTTGGCGACGATTAAAAAAGTACCGGAATACGACTCGCGAGCGATCGTTGGCTTTGCGCGGATGAGTATTGATCTGCAACGCGACGCGACGCGCCCATCTTCTCTTTCAATCCGGACGAAAACTTAACGCTCGACCTCTCGTAACCTTGATCGACACATCGAACTATTATAATATCAATGAGAAATTCCCTTTCTTTCTTGTTTCTCGAATCAATAACGAGAGGACGAGCGTTAGGAGAGCTTGCGCACCCACAACGTCCTTACTTTTTTATCCAATTTTTAACACTTGCCATTCTTAAACCTTATATTGGTTTCTTTGCTTCTTTAACCGGCCGGCGCAACGCATTGTAAACGCAAACGTGAAACGTTCGAAAATGCACGTTCTTATCATTTTATCAAGGTCTCGACGAAGGGAGGGGGGTATAAAAGGCAACTTATTCGCGTTTCGAATAACCTACCAAAAGGGAAGGACTGTGGAAACGTAGAAATCGGCGACGACGTGTAACGCGGATAAGGCCTTGTTCCTCCGAACGTTGTCGGTGTGTTCATATTTTCAAGGTCGGTTAGTTTCTATCCGCGTAACTAGTTGGCTAACTTGCACTAGATGGAAGCACTTTATCGAAGAAATGCTCGACTCGTAACACGTGGCCTGTTGGCCATCTACTGGAAGTGTTGCGAACTTTATTCGGTGCTAATACAAAATGAACGTTACCCAGGATTTTCCAAATGAACCTAAAGCAATCGTCAATTCGGGGCGACGCGTCATTATAGCGATGCAAAGAAATGCAAAAGTCATAAAAGTAAAGAAAAAGAAAGGGAAACGAAGCAGCAATAGCGGATGCGAGGAAACTAAGAGACTATTCTCTGTCATAGCGAATGTATATACGTTCGCGTTAGAATAGTGTCTTTTTACGATTCAAAGGCGGAATAAGATAAAGAAGAGACTTAAAGAGGTAATCTATCGAAAGGATTAAAGTAGAATAGAATCGGTGACACTCAGTGCCACGAAAGGTCACGCAGAAAACAAGTTGAAAATTTTCGGGTATCGATCGATTGATCACTCGTGTTTGAGCTCGCGTGGAACTGGTCGTAATAGCGCAAATTCCAGCGCTTACCTTTCTTGATGAGCAAGCTAGTGACCCTGCGTAGCGCCTCGCGAGTACTGGAGGCGGAGCTGTGCTTACTTTGGCCGAAGTATTTGTTCGGTGTGATGTTTGTAGGCAAAGTGAGCGGTTTCCTCTGGTCCCCGGTTCCGACTAGCCGTGCGTCGTACGCGTTGTTCAGCCGCTCCAGATGCTCGATCGAAGCCGGTCGTGGTTGATTCGCCTTCCTGGTCGGATACCATCCTCGACTCGGACCACCCGCTAATCGGAGCAACTCCGTACCGATTATCGCCTGTTCCAAACCTGGATTGTTTCGTCGATACCTATTCGCAGCGAGCATCGCCCAGATACAATGTAATAATATTAGCCTAATTAATATAAAATGGCATCAAGATAACCAGGTAATACGTATAACAGTATTAGTATGTAGCTTGGCGTTAGAACAATATCGTTCAGAACCGTTCAGAACCGTTCAGAACCGTTCAGAACCGTTCAGAACCGTTCAGAAGAGAATGCGAGTAGTCTTACCCGGTGGTAGCGGTGGTTGGAGCGTACCAACCAGGTTGTCGACGCATTTGCGTCGAGTTGTTTGCATGTTGAGGAGTTCTAGGAATGTCGCTGCCTCTAGCGAAAACAGGAGTTTCCGGAAGGGAACAAGAAGTCTGCATCCCGGAACCGGTCGCCACGTTGTTCGTGGTGGAGGTTCCACCATTACCACCACCGCTACTACAAGCTCCGTTGCTGCTTCCGTTTCCATTTCCATTTCCATTTCCATTTCCATTTCCATTTCCATTTCCACTTCCATGACCATTTGCAATTGCCGTGGCGGTAGCACTTCCATCGGAAGACGCGCACGGCTCGGTCGACGGTGAGTGCCTTTTCGTGAAAGGTCGTCGCCGCGAAGGTCCGGGTAAATCCGTAGGTAGAGTACGTCTTTCCACCGGTATTTGCTACAGACAATCGTTAATACAGTAAAACCTGGATAAATGTAACGAAAGAGTACTTGGTTAAGTGCAACATCGCTATCTCCTCCACTTGGGGGGATCCTCCTAGGCGAACCAAGCCGCTCGACGAGGAAACCGTGTAATATGATCCGACCGTAATATCGGTGTGACTAATACTAATTGAGCGATAAAACCTTTTTATTTTTAACTTTTTCTTAATGAAACTTTTACTAACGCATTTGTGAGATTTTTCTGATTAAAATGACACCAAACATAAGGCAGGCCGTACACCAAAGATGCATCAAACACGCAACATGCAACATGCAACACGTCGCATGTTGTGTACGAACGTAGAACAGGTATCGCGGCTGAATACAAACGATGTGTACGGACGCAGAATCGACACCTCGACTGGATATATGCAACGTTTAAATGCCCAGAATCGACACCTCGGCTGGATATATGAAACATTAAATGCCCAGAATCGACACCTCGACTGGATATATGCAACGTTTAAATGCCCAGAATCGACACCTCGGCTGGATATATGAAACATTAAATGCCCAGAATCGACACCTCGGCTGGATATATGCAACGTCTGGGTCCCAATGTTTCTTGCATATATCCAGCTTTTACTGTAATAGAAAAGCTTGTCGTCATAGACAACCTCCATTGCTTTCGATTATTTAGAAATCTAAATTCGTTGCTCGTGTATTTAACAGTGAAAGAAACTTGTTTCTTTATCGATCGATCGAGCTTATTGGATGGAAAAGCATAATTTCAATTGGCAGCATCAGCTAGCAATGTAATTAAGATCCCCCTGGTCGCAACTCTAATCTACTTGATTTCTCCTATCGTAGGCCAGTGTCGTCGGCACTGTTCTATTCGATCGGTCGTTTCGTCGACCCGAGTCGACGCGACGCGACGCGAAGGAAATTAAAGAGAAATCGATTCTGCTTGACACGGCACGGCGCGTCAGTGTTAGATTCGATACTTATGTAGTAAATTCATTTTACTGAAGGAAGATTTGTTCGATGCTTCCTTTTTATTGGAATCTTAGGTAGGTTTAGTATTTTTGGCGCGGAAGTAAGTTGTCGATAAGCTTTCTACTTCCTACCTCCTACTTACTACTTACGCTCGACGTTCTGTTCGATCTTGGAGGATAGTCGTTTTAGGGAGACGGTGGGACGCCAGCCAGACTGAAAAGGCTCTAACAACGCGAATGGAAATACGGTGAATTTGTTTGAAACGCAACCTCCTCCTCCTCCTCCTCCTCCTCCTCCTGCTCTTTTCAAACGGAAACTTTGAAAGAGACGCGCAAGCACGTATTTCTGCGTACCACCTCGAATACCTAACGAGCTTCAACGCAGTTGCTATTAGCTTAAATCCATTTCATTTACAACATTGGCCGCATCTCGCTTTCGTCTATTCATCGGTTTCTTTTCCGATTTCCGTCGTTTAGGTACGCGAATTCGTTTCTCTTTGCAGCGTTACGGTTAAGTGAAAATAAAAATAAAAGAGACAAGTTTAAGAAACCCACCTCTCGTCTGGTGGAATTTCCGGCGGTAGGTGTACTACGCCTACCCCGCGAAAATCCAGCGTCCATGGATCTAGTGTTGAGAGAGGTTTGAAAGTGATCTTTGGAATCGGAGGAAGAAGCAAGTGGGGCAGCACGATGCGGTGGAACTCTAGGCCTGTACTCCATCGTTCGGTTGTTATGGCTTTTAGCTTTCGGAGCAGTTAGACCGGTTTGTCCTATATCCGAGCTTTCCTCGTCCGCTTCTTCGACGGGTGAAGGTGGTAATGGTGGAAATTCTAGAACCTCGACGCTCACCTGGAAACGTCAGAGTAGCTTTCGTCATAAACTCAACAACAGAGTTTACACAGTTTACAACCGTTTACCTGAAAATCTGTATTTTTCGAATCTTGGAGAATAGCGTCGATCACATTCTCGATTTCTTTCTGATCGTTTCTATGATTTTCGACAGCGACAGCGACAGCGACTGCGGCGTTAACGGCACTTGTCTTCTGTCGCGATCTTCTCCCTGAAGAATGAACGTCCGTTCCGTTTGCTCTTCTTCCGTCAAAATTTTCTGTTTTCGGGCTGGCCTTGGAAGCGTCCGCGTCCGCGTCCGCGTCCGTGTCCGCGTCCGAATCAACCGAGTTGTCCGAGTCTCGTTGTTTTTTCGCGCGGGCTTCTTCTGCCTGTAAGTTTACATCGTCGATCGATTGTCGTTCGTTCTGATCGATCTCGAGACTGTTCCTCTTGGTTGGATGTTTTCCATCGGTGGTTTTCCATCGTTTGTTCTCACTGTACGATTCGCTGTTCTTAACGCTTTCGATCTCCTTGATAGCGTCGCTTACTTTTTCCAGTTGCCGACGATTCTCCTTTAACGCTTTCTTTACGATCTGGTCTTCGATCAAAAGGTTGACAGGTATTTTCGAGGCTAGTCGATGTTCGCTACCGAGGACGGCCAGGCTACTACAATTGGAAGACTTTTTCGCGCTCGGCTGTTCCTCTCGAGCGAATCCTTTCGAGTAACTGTTGGAGGCCGACAGAGATGTTCCTCCGTTGCAGGTGGTACCGATTCGTTGGACGTTTTCTTGGTTACGATCGTTCTCGTCGTCCACGGTGGTCGACAACGACAACGACAACGACAAGGAGAACGAGGCGGCGAAGCCCGAAGAGGAAAATCGCGCCAGCTGCTCGACTACCTCTTCGCGCCTCTTTTTATCCTTGTCCGAGTCTAGATCCGACGTTTCCTCTTCTTCTACCGTCACCTCGAGTTGTCCTCGATCGTCGTCGGCTTCTTGGTCGTTGATCGCTGGAAGCGAGATCACTCTGACCAGATCGGGAGGAAGGAGGGACGAAGCGAATTCGACTTGATTCGGTGGATGATCGTTGGTTGCTTCCAGTTTCTTCTCCCTTAAAAGACTTTTGATGTTGTCGAAGGTGCTCGAGTATCGTTTCACCTCGGACAACCGATTCTTCTCGGTGTTTTCAAAGGACAAGCTTTTCGTTTTGCTAGGGGCTTTCGGCAGTCCTTTCCTTTCCTTCTTTCGACCGCGACGTATCACGTAAGTGCCGTTTTTCGTGAAAGCTTCCGGTCGTATTTGATCGAGCTCGTTCGTCGAGGAATCCGAGTACGGTGATACCAGATCGTCGTCGGTGGTGGAAAGTCGTGGGTCCTGCCACTCATCGTCCAGGTCGCGTAATTTCGACGCGGAACCGACGCCTGAAAATTTCAATCGCAATCATTTTCGCTTTCGAGGCGAAATCATCTAACAATAAGAGACGATGAAAGTTGAAAACTTACTGGATACGTCGCTGCTCTTTCGTCGTCTCCTACCGATCACCTTGGTGCTTCCAGGAGCGTAAAGGGGATCGTCTTCCAAGGGCACTTCCCAAGCGATCGAATGTCTCTTGCTGATCGGAGGAGGAGGAGGAGGAGGAGGAGGAGGAGGCAAAAGTTCTTCCAAAGAGTCGTCCGAGAATCGTTCCTCCTCGGACTGGGTTCGAAAGTCGGTTGAATTTCGGGTGGAGAAATCCGAGTTTCTGGTCGAGAACATGTCGGAATATCGTTCCTCGGAGTATCTGTCCGAGGTCGGGGCGGAAAATCTTTCACTCGAGTCGGCTCGGTTCGGCAGAGAGTACGAGACAAAATCCAAGTTTCGAATCGAGAAAGGATCAGAGGTCGGCATGGAGACGCGATCGTTGGAGCTGGCGCTGGCCACGGCTATCGAGAAATCCGAGTGAAATCTTTCGTTGGAGGTTGAATTGGCTCTGGAGAAGTCGGACGAATCGCAGGTGGCTCGCATCGAGAATCTCTCGACGCTGACCGAACTGGAACGAGGGATCGAGGATCTCTCGGACTCTGAGTTTCTCGAAAATCTACCCTCGCTCGAGTCCGAGTCTGTTCTTGTTCGATCATTTCGATCGTTTCCTTCATTTTCATCGACGTTTCGTTGATGATTCATCAGTAGCCGATCTTCCACGCTACTCGATTTTGTCATCTCATTATTCTGACGTTGCTTTCGCAAATGGGAAGCGCGATCTTTCTCGAACCGCTTCTTTTCTCTCTCGACTCCGTTCTCATCTTCCTCCTCCTCCTCCTCCTCCTCCTCTTCGGATGATCGACGTTTAACCTCGCGGTGTTTCTCGACGGTAGTCGGATTGGTCCTCGGCGGAATCCATCCGAACGATATCTTGCCGTCGTAAGGCAAGCTGGCAAATTTGCTCGGAGGGCTCGGAGGATGAGCGAGTTTGAGGGGTTCGCTACCGTGACCGTTCTCCCATCCATACGGTCTCTGGTGTCGCGTTTTGGGCTGCGCGAAAATACAATTCAGCTACATTGGATTAGACTAGAAGGCCGTGTCTCGATCGGATCGATTCGTCCGAAACGTCCTTCGAAACACGGCTCATCGAATACTCACGAGAGTGGTTTGAGTGGTAATCGCGGCACCGTTTCCTTGTCGTATGCTATCTTGCATAGCCATCATCCATTGATGTCGTCCATTTCGACGATCGGCCGAACGACCGGTTCTCTTGGACGAATTTCCAGGCGATACCCTGAACATACCGATACGTGCAGCCAGCTTGGCTAGCAAGATTCCTCCTCGAAACTGGCGATATCGAAAACTGAAAACTTACATCGGTAACAAAGTGGAGATAATTCGCTCGGCTTCCTCCGGTGGCGGAGGAAATTGTTGCCTGGATATTCCAACGAGATCCTGAGGCTCTGGACAATCCGGAACTGGACGTAACGCTACCAGTGCCATCTTTGCCTTCCGTCCATTCATGCTCATGTAACCGTCGTCCTCGGATTGATGTCCTGTCGATACATTGTACGCTTTTACTCCTACTAACTCGATATACTGAATGAAATTCTACTTTTTACGCGGCTTCTCGCCAACTTTTCGTGTCGATCGTTGAAACACGATTTTCTCATCGTCGGCCAACTACACACCTTCAGCCACGATAACGCTATAGCATTTTTCAACATTAGGTATCTAACTGAATCGCGAGGATCGAGGATCAAGCATCAAAGTTTGGAATTTCTGAATATAAAGTAGAAGCGAAAGCAGAAGTGGAATTGGATCGAGTAAAAGATTAAGGAAGAAAAGAGAAGGAAAAAATACCTAAGGACGGACTTTCGTCGTCGGGTGTGAGACCAATATTCGGTTCCGTGCTGCTGCCACAATCTCCAACGCCTGTGCCGGTCCCGCCTCCGTTGCCGCCACTTCCGACACCGATTCCGACGCCGACGCCGACGCTGACGCTGACGCCGACACCGACGACGCCTCCACCGCCTTCGCCCTCTGTTTCGTGCTCGTCGTACTCTGACAGCACTTTGTCCAACAGCTCGATCGATCGCTGCACATCGTCACCTCTGGAACAAATGTATCGTTCGATTCTATAGAGATTGTGCTTAACAATCGATTTCACTTAGTTCATTGCGTTGATCGAAAACTTGAAAAATTGAAAAATTGAAAAATTGAAAAATTGAAAAATTAAAACTGTCCGTTTTCGGATCTCGATACCAACCTCCGAAATTTCGGTAGAGGGAGTGTGTTCAAAAGAACGACGACGACGATCAGAAGGAATCGAAAGGAGCAGAGAAGAAGAAAGTGGTAGAAGAGAGGCGGTAGTTGAGGGTGGTGGCGAAAGTGGTGGCAAGCGAGAACGCGAAGGGTGCGTCGCGTCGGCGGGTAAAGTTGCAAAGTGGCACCTACTGACGCAATGCGGTCTTTGCTCCGTTTCGATAACTAACTATGTTGATCATTAATTATCCTCGAAATATCGAGACGATCAGCTACAGTGACTAGAGAAAGCGCACTTTTCCAGTTATACCATCTAACCACTATCACTTTCCCTCCCTCTCGTTACTTTTTCAATCAAGATCGAGTATGTACTGCTACCGTTTCAACCTTTAAGTAGAAATTTCACACTATTTCAAATATTGAATGTTAGATGGATCAAGCATCGGAGAGGAAACGAAGAGAAAGTAAGATCCGTACAAGCACCGCGAGAAAACCGATGGCCGAATAACGAAACGAAACGAAACGAAAGGAAAGAGAATGGATTGAGAATGGACGCGCTTTCGAGAGTTTGCCGAAAGCCAAATGTTTTAGAGGCGGAACAAAAGCGCACAAATCCAGCCCCCTTTCCTTCCTCGTCTACGGTGTTCTCTGCTCGGCTTTTCAACGCCCTTACGGAACAGCTTGTCGTCAAGCTCGTTACCGTTTCATTCATAATTCATGATCGCAATTGGCCGAAAGCCGACTGCAATAAAAATCGCGACTACTTCTTTTTGCCAGCGAGTCTTACGCGTCGACGATGTACACTTTTCTGCTTTCTCCGGTTTAAACGATGCAAACTTACTACTATCTGGATATCCAATACATTTCTTCTTCCAATACGATTTACGCTTTTATCGCTTTTTCTTTTTAGTTTATCCGCATTAAAACATCAACAAATAAACTACTTTGACTAAACGTTAACGGATACGATGGTCAGAAAACTCTTGACCGCTACTACCTCGATCGTTCCGTAATAATTCTACTCTAGAATTCGAGTTTATTCGCTAAATCGTTGAAGCATGGTTTCTCGACGAAAATGAAAAATGAACGTGCAAAAAGAGAGCAACGACATTGATTTTCTCTAATTAGAATCCTTTTCACTCGTCAAAAATTTGACGGGAATTTCGAAGCAGTAGAGCGAGAGAAACGCGTTACGAAGAGCAACGAGAAAGAAAAGTGTCGCTGGATAATTGTAGCTATCGAGAATGGGTTTTCAAAGCGAAAACAACTCGAGATGAAAAATCGAGAGAAGGAAATTGAATTTTTTACGCGATATGTAGGTAGGTAAGTAAGTGTCTAGACGCATGCAAACTAAACGATGGACCATATACGAGTATACCTACATATGTATCTAATAGAATGAATCGGCGAATATCGAACGGCGCAGCCGTTTTCGAATGTGGGTCAGTGGTCGATACGCGTGTCCTGCGTCGCGCACCTATACACCTATATATGTATAAAGTACCTAGGCAACAGGATGGATAGCGCGGCACACGGTTGCCCCTATCGAATCCTTTCGCTTCGCCAAGAATGGGTTACATACGCTGACAACCCTCCAGATCGAGTGAATTTTACAGGAGGAAATAGGAAAGATACGTAATAGGGGTACCTAATTAATTACGAATAAAAGGATATCGATTAAGATTATAAAAGGATGCGCGATGCGATGCGATGCGATGGGTGTGCAATTGTTCGCCATTAGCATGGGTTGGGTATGGGTGTGCCGGTAATATCTTGCTTTATTACCGAACCTAATTACATCGTCGGGCTGCTCAGCTGTTCTCCTCAGTTATAGTTATCGTAACTGGACGAAAATTGTACAATCCAATTCCTTTCTTCCATCTTTCAGCCCCACTAACTTTTTGCTTTCTCGAGCAAATGAACCGCGGCGCGGCGTGGCGCGGCGCGGATTAATTCATCTTCTAACGAGATGATAACCCTTACGGGGCGGCTAAGCAAATCGCGTTAACGCGTCAGCTAATAGCATAATCTCGTATATCCAGACTCAACTCCAAAGCATCGCACCGGCCAGAGGTTGGTATAATACAGAAAAGATAGAAAGATATCGATTACTATCGGATTTCTCTAATCCGAGAAATATCTGAGCAATATCTAGCGTAATTAATTGATAGAAAAGCGCGTCACGTTGACTTGTCTCGTTTACTCAATTATCTGAGAATGGATTTAACGTTAAGAGCGAAGCTTTCCGAGATAATGCAATTGCCAGTGTCTAGCAGGATTTTCATTGCTGTCAATTATCGAATAAACCGACATCGGCTCGAGCTATCGCCAGTATACGAAATCTCTAGCTGCAGGGCCGTTGAACTTGCCTCTCGGTATGCACACCTTATAATTATACCGCCACTTGCAACATCGATTATATTATGTATGTATCAGACTGTGGACGCTTTTCATGTATCAGAAAATCTATCAAAGTTCGACTTTCTATCTATCAACGTGTCACGATTCACGATTCACGATTCACTAGACTAGACGAACGAGTTTTCTCAGATATCACAGTCCTCCTCTTCTACCCCCGCTTTTTCCTATTTATCCATCGAGATGGAGATGGAAATGAAAACGAATAAGCATAAGCGACATAAGCGATTCGCGAGGTTGGCTAGTAATTGACCGAGCATGAAAAGAGTGTAACGAGCGGAAAGGAACGCATCCATCTCGGTGATAGATTCGACGGAGCATCGGTATCGCCCGCGACTAGAAAAGTTATTCACCCCGAATCGATCCGGCCGATGAATCGATTGACCAGCCGAATGAAAGCCGCCCTAAGTAGTTAATTGGTCTGCTGTCCGATACACCGTTCTCTCTTTATCTTCTTTTCATTTCTATTCCAGATACCGAGGCCGATTTTATTCCCTTCTACAGATAGACAATAACCGATCATTAATCCATCCGGTTTAGTCGCGCTTATATCGCTTATATCGCTTATATCGCGATCCAGCGACCGATAGATTGAAAAGTCAACGAGAAAGTTTCGAAAAAAGGTGAAGGAAAGACACAGAGAGAGAGGGAGAGAAACAGGTGGTGCAATACGGTACGGAGTAACGTAACGCGTGCTATTACGTTTCACCATTTCCACATAGGCAGATAGAGAAAATCGATAGCGTGCACCGCGTCGTGATTCTGTAGGAATCATTAAGAGTAAATAACGCTGACGATGCAGAATTTCTTTAGAGGCGATCCTCGATTATTCGTAATAAGTACGGGAGAGGATCCAATCGAGACTGTCTTTGATGAAAGATGCTCGAGTCTGACAAGACTCTGGTCTTGCGCCTTCCCTCGAACAGCAGAGTACCGTATATACATATCGATTTTGCACTGGAAACAAGCTCCCTTCTTCTCTTTCTCATCCTTTGCTATTTTATTATACTTAACCAATTTCTTGTCGCATTTCGTCAAGGTAGGATCGAATCGAACAAAGGTCAATGTCGACATCGACATCGACATCGACATCGACACGACTCTTTTATGCGATTTTACTCTGGAGAAAAGATCTACTTACTCTGGAGCAGGATTTCTCCAGCGTTGCGTTCCAGTCCACGCCATCGGGCATTGACCGCCCCCGACCTGAAACAAGCCAAGCATTCTGTGAATTTTCATAGCTGACTGTTGAACGTTTTCGGCAGAAGACAAAGACGAGGTAACTATTTATCGCGGCAAACGAGAAGCATCGAATGTATCGATTAGGTTTAACCGGTTTATCCGCGATGGCGTAGCGTAGCTGTTACGCAGTAAGAGAGTAGGTGGTAGAGTGGCAAAAGAAGTCGTGGCACGAAATCGCAAGGGTAGATCGGTTGGTTATGAAAATTTTTTGCAAACGTGGCAGACCGAGTCGAAGAGGGACTCTGGCAGTTTCAGCAGTATTACGATCGCTGCTCTTCAAAACGTTTTTCCAAAACCCTTTACCCTCTCGCCCTCCTACTACTCTTCGAACCCCTTTTTTCCTCATCGCTATCTGTCTCTGTTCACAATTCTCCTTCTACCCCGAGTGCGTTGCTATCATCCCCCACTTGCTATTCTTCCCATTTCTCCCCTTTCCACGTTTCGCTTCGCAACTACCCTCTCTCGTTCTTGTTCGCCATCCCTTACCCAACTTTTTTTCCTTCTCTCTGTTCCTGACCTTTTCTATTCAACGGACGTGATTGCAGCTTGCATATTTTACGAGAGCAACCTCGAAGCACGCGCTCGTCTCTGTCTATCCATCCATGACGCATAGCGCACGTCCGTCTGTTCGACTTGCACGTCGACGCAAGCTAACCTTGCACTTTCCATTGCATCATCAACATTTTCTACCTTGCTCACCCCGACAACCGATACTTTCTTCTTTCTCCTTAATCTTTTCGCTGATAACGTTGAAAATTCGTTTAAACGAAATTACTTTGACTTTGACTTTGACTTTGACTTTGCATCGATTCGCTCTATTCCTCGTTAATCGTGATTCTAAACGAAAGATATATGTACATATAATCGCTTCAAGTTGAGCTTCCTACGGTAGATAACTGGTAATGGAGCTTTCGAGCAGCGATTTCGTGAATACCTAAATTAGAAGGTGCAGACATTCGGCAAAGCTTTATCGTGATACGACGAAACATAATGCCTAATGGACCACTTGTCTCGCCCATCTGCACCATCATCATCATCATCATCATCTTTTCCAGTATATGCCTTTTCTTTAGCTTGTCTCATCGAAGTAAAAACTTGGATGATCCCCTATTTTCTCTGTCCATCGTTCGAAACAGTATTATAGCCTAGACGGTAATAATGAAACGAAACGGAATTTCTGCGCGACAATTTTCGAGTTGACGGGACGCGACGCGACGCGACGCTCTTGGCTTATTCCAATTTTCGATTCCATCGCGCATCGTCTCGATCTTGGTAACGTCGTTACCTCGTAGAACGTTCCTTCTCCTCGATCCACTTAATCTCTTAATTTTCCTCGATCCAGTTCATCCTCTTCCTCTCGATCATTTTCAAATTTTCATTTCACCTTTGCTCGCGTCCGATACGACATCTGGCCGTAATCCAGTGGAGGAGGGTGTCGCGCAAAGTTATGCTGAATCAACGAGCCGAATAACCTTTGGAGAACGTTTGAAAGTGTACGGTTAGGAGCGGTGTCTGTGGAGAATCGATATTTGCCTGGAAACGAACGCAAAACGAACGCAAAACGAACGTTTTCCCAGAAAGCGATTCCATTTTTCGTTTAGTTTAGTTTCGTCCTCCGCCATTCCCTGTTTCTATCGCTGGATAAATCCATTTTATTCGTAGGGCTGCGAAAGGTGTTATATACATATGTACAACATATGTAGAATTGTAAAGCAACGCAACGCAACGAATCTCTTCGGTTCGATGACAAGTTTATTTAGAATTAGATAGGTACGTGGTGGCACGTTATAGACCGTGTAATTTCCTTCGTTACACTTCTCCACGCGAGTAGGTGTATTTGCCCTACTTTACGTAGTTGTGCCTATATGTATACTTGAAAGCGTACAAGCAACGATTCGGCTCCATTCTCGACTCTTTTGTTCCGGCAACGAAAGCAGATGGAATCGATATTTGCTGGAGAAGAATCGCTGCGAATCAATTGGCAAAACTAATGCTTTCGATAGACGATAGATAGAGGAAACAGGTGGTAACGTTACATAAGCAAGTCGACCGAGTGAAAAGCAGAGGAAGTTTTTCGTTTAATTCGGGAATCGGTTGATTGTCAATAGTACTGGCGATACTAGCTCGCGTCACCTTCTTATTGCGTAGTTTGCTTTACCGATACCCACGCTAAATTCGAGACTGACGCAATCCAGGTGGAAAGAATAAGCAACTCGATTGATACCCCTTACCTTACCTTCTCTTATCCTTTTCTCGTTGTTTCTTTCCAAGAAAATTGTAATTCAATGAAAAAAGGCAGGTAATCACACAGTGTAGAAGAGGAAGAAAGAGAAGAAACAAAGTTGTGCGAAACACATGACACAACGTTCCCACATCTTCTGACGGAGACTGGCATAGTTGCAACGGCAACATTCGCGTTTCACCGTTTCGTTCGTCAGCACCGCTTCGTTACCAGCTCTTACACTTTTCTCGAATAGTGAATTGCTCCTCCTCTTTGTCCTTTTACCCCCCCGACAATGTGAACCTATGAACTGATTCACGCCAGTTTCTTTCTTCCTGCTATGCCACGTAATCACAGCCGAGCACCGATATTGTATACCGATATGATACATCTTTCGACGGTCTTAGTCATTTTCGTCAAGATGCAAATTACAAATTCGGTCCATGCTCTTTGTCCGAATTCTGAATTTGCAAACGAGGCGCAACAAGTACGTTGGCAACAATAAGATGGGTAAAGTTTTATTTTGTACGCAATAAACCAGAGCCGGAAGCATCGATTGTTCGATGCAACGTTAACCGTTGTACTACATGTACTACATGTACTACATGTACTACATGTATTATATGTAAGTAGGTACGTGATATTATATTAGCGGCAGTTGGCGGCAAGCTAACGTCCAACTAACATCCAACTAACGCTGTACGGTAGGAGATGAGAGAGAATAGGTCTCAGGGCTACTGGTAAATTAACGAGCTTTTATCGTGGACGCGTATCGAAAATTGATAGAGCAGGGAAGGGAGGAAAGAACAGCCACGTTCTATCGGTGATTCGCTTTTGCGCGTGGGTGTTAAACGCGTTACGAAACGTACGGGTATACACCTAAGAATAACCCGTGTAAATCGGGTCACGTTCAATGCTTGCGCCTTCTTTTTTTCCACACCAGGGATACTCCTTTACAATTTACGATTTACGATTTACGATCGTGACTATCTCGATATTCCATTGTACCTATAGCAATGGAGTCGATTACGATATTATTATACAAATGTAAGATATCCTCATAAAAATTGCCAGACATCTACAGTAAAAGCAGACATAACATAAGATGAATCACGATGACCAACTCGTGCGACTAGCCAATAATTATACATATTACGTAAGCCATTGTACCGATTAAATCATTGACAGCCGACGCGGTAATTACAGTTGCGAAACTAGTCGCTGAAGAAGAGTAGAACAGCCTTTTCCTCCTTTACCCCACAAACTTCCCTTTCTTCCTTATCTATCTGAAATTTGACTTGCGTACAATGCTTTTTCACAAATTTCTTCGAAAGAAAGAAGAAATGACAAAAAAATATTATTTTCCTATTCATTTGGCGACAGTGCGCGAGAGTGCGCGAGAGTGCGCAAGAGTACACGGTAAGGCGCGCGCGCGCTCCCAAGTTCGCGTATATGTATGTATAATAAGTAAGTAGATACTACAATACGTGTGTATACTAGTACTGATGGATCTTGGCCAGACTAACTGTAAGAAGCATAGAAAGGAGAAGGAAAGTAAAGATTCGTTTGACGAATCCGAATCGACGCGACGACGACGACGACGACGAGTTTCTGTCAGTTACTGTCGCGTACTATGTATATACACTACTCCCGTACCATACAATTATATGGAATCTTGAATGGTCACTTTCTGTCGTACAATTTATCGAGGCGCGAAATTATTAAGCAAATACCGAACGAACTGGCGAGCCTTGACACGAATCGATGTATCGAGACGAGTCATAAACACGTAGTATGTATATCGTACGGTGGTTGGGAATACAGCAACGCAATTACTTTTTATCATAGATTTTCATCGAGATTAAACGATCGCAAATAACGCAATGACACTCGTCCCTCGAGATTGCTTTTTGGCAACGCTAACGAGAAAGCAAAGTTTCTTGTACCTGTTCAGCGCGAAACTCGCGCCTGTTCTTTTCTTGGAATTTGATGTAATAATCCAATATGGCAGAACACACACATGTCAAAACAAATCACCGAATGGCGCGGAATGACGCGACGACGGCGATGGCAACGGCGGCGGCAGCGGCGGCGGCGGCGGCGGCGGTGGCAACGACGACGACGACGACGACGACGACGACGACGACGACGCTACACAATTCTACACAACTACGCGTTCTTCGTATTCACTTCACCTGAACGACGGCGGATCGATATACTTCCAGAACTGTTCTCGACATGTTTGGATGTTATTCGTGAGATTCGCTCGCGTTCCGTCCAACGATCCTTTAAATAGCGTTTTATGGTGGCGCGTCAAGGCTATAATTTCAATTCCAATGGCAAAAAACGTCACCGATCGCGGCTACAAATTGCTTTGGAAGCGGACGTGTATACGCTGAAGCTTTGTCGGTGACTGGCAAACGCAAAGCTACGTACCGCGTCGCGCCACTGGTTGCCAACTTAGCAGCAAGGAAAAGCAAGTGCGCCCGCGCGACCGACCGGCCGAACGGCCAAACGGCCAAACACCCGATCGCTATACAACACCTATAACGTAGAGTGTAGTGTAGAGTGTAGAGAGAAGAACTGCCTAGCCGCGTAGAGGCGCTACCTCTGCCGCGCCAACTTTATATCTAAAGCTTTTAGAGACGCTCAATTCGAATCGAATCGAATCGAATCGAATCTAATCGTATCGAATCGAATCGAATCAAATCTTTCCCTTCCTAACATAAACTATGTTACGCCCGTTCAAGTTTCATCAGAAATTACAGAACAGTTAATCGGACATAGACCTCTACCTACGCACGAATCCAGTCATGTTTCCGTGTAATCATGTTGGATGACTTTTATCGTGTTCCTTCATAGAGCAATGACTTTTCGACTAGTTGAATCATCATCGAATATTTTTCTTTGGCAGTTGAACGTTATAGTAGCTAGCCGAAGATAGACGTAAAAGGTAAGGTAAGATAGACCGGAAAGGATTCGCATAAAATTTTCATCCTGAAACTTGCTACTCGACCGTTTGCTCTCGGTTTGTTCTCTCCCTCCTGGTCTCGCCCTTTGCCTTTTTCCCTTCTTCACCTTCTTCACTTCGACGACTCATACGTGACTCTAATTTTGATACGTCAACAAAATTTACTCCATGCTACTCTACATGTTCTCCTATTACGTTGCAAACAATCTGGTGGGTTGATGAATTTCAAAGAAAATGTTGAAATAGTTTCGAGTACGCAAACTCGAACCACGGCACACGGTTCGCTGAAGAATCGTATCCAACGCAGAGACGCAGAGAGGACGATATCCGTCTCATGAGTTTTCTTTACCAGACAACCTTTGTAATAATCTAGCGGCGTTGTAATATTCCTCCTCTACGCGCCTTCAACCATAGACAAAAGAGTTATTGTCTAGTATTCCTAAGGTATACCGAGTTCGTTGTTCACCGTAGATATACAAGGAAAAGAATAACGAACCAGCTATCTGCACTGGACACGATGTTCGTTCCTACTTGACAGAAGAAAAAGGAAAAAAGGGAAAAAGGGAAAAAAGAGAGAAAAGGAAGAAAAGCGAACGCGTACGGAGGACACATTATTAGGCGAAAGTAGACGGTAACCGTAACCGTAACCAGCAGGTTTATTAATACAACTACGGTTTGCTTGTTACTCCCTCAAAATATCTAGGTACAAATCGATACAGACCACCACCCAGCTGTTCTGTGTTTATTTTTTAATTTTTCTTACTATTCTTCTGCTCGATACGAACGAAAGAACAACGTTTTGTTTTCTTTTATTTCATTTATTTCATTTATTTAATCGTAAGTATTAAACGGACGCGGACAGTGAAAATGGAGAAAAGAAGAAAGCAAAGGATGATGGAAGCGGACCCTTTAACCAGCTGTTGCAGGTACGGTGTGGTAGCTCGCCTTAAAGACACACGCAGCCAGGAATATCGATCCGACCCGACTCGACCCGACTCGACCCGACCCAACTCGAATTGCATCTGATCCGACTCGAATCTGAATCGATTCGAATCGACTGAACGCAATTTAACTTTACTTCATTTTTCTCTTTTTCTCTTTTTCTTTTTTTCTCTTTTTGTCGAATCTGGCATGAAAATTTTCATTCTCAATCAAGTTCAAATTGATTGGAATCGGTGTAAGCCGGCAACATAACCAAGCGTTTCCTACGAACCAATACAAATTTCTTCTACTTTCTATTTAATTTTTCAAGGAGGAATTTCGTAGAGAACAATTCGCGTTGAAAGTAATCTCAGCTAAAGAGGCAACGGCCGACGCGACGCGACGCGACGCATTGAAATTATTCCGGCGACGTTGCCCTTATTTCGTCTTCCCAGTTTCCACTTTCCACTTTCCACTTTCCAGTTTCTAGTTGCTGCGGCAAACGAGAACTAATTAACAGCGACCGATAATTACGTTATGTCAATCGAATTAGCTATCAGACTAGCAAAGTAAGCCTATAGCGACGCGTACTTGAAAAACGAGCACATTGTACGAGATGTACTCTGGTAACGCAGATACCAGTGCATAATAGTGTCGCGTCGCCTCTCTTATTATGTATTCTACTGGAAGGGAAAGAGGACGATATCGAACAGACATACGGACAGATAGAAAAAAGTAGCTAGATAATAGGGAGGCAGGTACTTAAATGGAGGGTAACCGAAAGGAGTTTGGCCACGAAATTAGATGAATCAGCAGAGGGGCAGGAAGGGAAAAAAGGAAATGACGGAAGAGAAAATGAACTTTGTTACATCCATTGCGAGTTTGCCAAGCTTGCCAAGCTTGCCAAGCTTGCCACGATGATTCTATATCGGTCGCCATGGAAACAACTGAAAGGAAGCTACTCGAAGCGAAGCCTGGAGTTTGTTCGAAGGGAAACTTGGCATATACTTAGGTTAAACATTTACAGTATCAGAGAGGAGAAGATGGAAAATAAGGTACTGTAAAGGTGTAAAGGCCGTCTCGTGTCAAACAAGCGGTGTAAAAATAGTAGTGTGCTTTTTTATTAATTCCTTAACTCATCCGTCAATATTTTCGATTGGGACGGTAGAAAAGGAGACGTTAAATTGCTAAATCGTTCGATGAGGATCAGACGAGAAGCAGACGGAGGCAGAACGAGTCGCGGAAAACAGTTTTACGTGCAAGCCTGAAGAGCGACGGATGACGAGTGCAAGAAAACTCTCCAGTTACAATACAGCCACGTCACGTCGTACTCGTAGACGTCGCTCGTGCTTCCCCTTCATGGTTTCGCGACTCTTCAACCCCTTTGCACAGCCTCTTGTTACACGGTTACCCTGCCCTTCTTCCCTCTTTAAGGCTTCGTTTAGGATGGGGTTACCGGTCGTTACGGCCAGTTTCGAGGGTACTCTTTCCACGCGCACACGACACGACACGAAACACGGACCCGTACACGCTAAGTAGGCGCATCAAAAGAAGAAAAGCCTCTTTCGCTCGTTTTTTTCTCCCTAACCTTCCTCTCCTCTCTCCCTTTCTCCCTATCTCCCTATCTCCCTATCTTTCCTTTTCCTCTTCTTTCTTACACTTTTTTTTTTTCCTCTCTGTTAAGATCAACATCCACTCTGATAAACTAAGCGAACTAGATTGTAAGAAATAAAAGCGCAAACCGTACTAGTCGTAAATCGAAAAGGCTCAGGAATGGGTAAAGGAGAACCGATCGGCATCGAACGTCCTACTACGTAGTTACGTATAGGAAATAATGTTACCTAATGGTTAGGTAGGAAGCGAGTTGCATCGAGACGGTAACCAGTTGAGGCGCATAAAGAGAATCTTTCGTTAACGGACAGACAAAGGGAGACAAAGGGGATGGCTGGATAGAGACGAAAGGAGAAACAAAACGCGAGATGGACGAATAGGGCGAGGTGAACAGAGCCGAAGCATGACAGACGAGATACGTCGATGGCGGTCTATGGGCGCAAGTGCCGATAACCAATTTCAAATCTTTCGAAAGAATTCCTCTTGTTTCCCCTAAAAAAAGGATACATTTGCTTGATGAAAGCACGGTAACGTGTAATTTATAATTAATCAGAACTAGTTAGCCGTGGAAAATAGTTGAACGTGTCAATGTTTGCACTCTCTCATTATTTGATAGCTGTCTCGCTGAATTGAACGACGCGACGCGAACGCGGCGCATTGCGACAGTTTACTCGTCAACCAGTCAACAGATGCGCGTAAATTGTCTAGAAATAATCTCGCTTTGTTCAACTATTGTAACTTGAATATTGTGCAATCTCGTAAACGGGAATGCAAAAAAGGTTTCAGGAATTGGCAACAGTAGTGGTGAGTCGTCGAGGTGACGAAAAGTAAAACACTAGAAGGTTTGACGCGTCCATTAGCTCGACTCGACTTTGCCTATCGAATATATGTATTTACATACATATGTCTCTGTCGGTATGTCTAGCGATCGAATTTCTGCATTTTACAGCGAGAGTCTACTTTCTCGAGCGTACACCGATGGTCGTTGAGTTTTAGCGACTTCGTCCGCCAATCTGACACGAAAAGGGGAAATAGAAAACGCTCGAGTGTAAAATTGAACATTTTTAGGCAAGAAACGATATAAGAAAGAGCAACGCATAGGTAGACGAGGAAACTGGAACTGGAAATGGAAATGGTAATGGTAATAAAAATAGAGGAGGTAAGGGAAATGGTGCGAAAAAGCGGCAGAAATCGGCCGTGAGTTGGCCGATACCGATACGAGTGGCGACATTGACGAAAGGCAGGCGTCTACGAACGAAGGCAGGCGTCGCTTTGCGCCGCGTCGGTGGTAGGTAAAAGCGTTCACCTGGTCGCGGTAACGACGCGAATGTGTCGGTGCACGGAAAAGGATCAATGAGCAGGTTCAATAACCTGAAATCCACTTGACGTCCGACTACCTACATATTGGTACGAGTGACTACGTCGCTTCAACAACCAAAATAGATATTCATTTTCCAAGAGTGCTATTTTCCCAGCCAGACACAAATCCAATACCGTCGATTTAAGTGCTCGGCTCCGGTCAAAGACCCGACAACGGCACCTTTCCAAATTGCTCGACACTTTTTCGCTCGAAATTACAAGGAACCAAGCGATGCGATTAACTGTCGTTGTCACAGCAGCCGAAACTGTAAGGCAACCTTCTTCTGGATTAAACAACTCTTGGATTAAATACCAGTAGGGCATATTTCGGGGCATACGAACCGAGGCGAGGGTGAACCAATTGGCGAGCGCGCAAACAGTCCTTACCACGGAAAGACTATAAAGGGAATTGAAAAGTATCGTTATCGTTATCGTTACCACCTCGTTAGAAAGATCGAAACAGGCGACAATCGAATCGATTCGCATTTGTTATTAATCGAACGATCAACAAAACGGTGAAAGAAAAGGTTAATCTTGTCAAGTTTTCCAGCTGGAAATACATATGTAAGTCTATCTATGTACTATATGTATATTCGGAAAAAGAGTAGAATCTAATGATACGGGCAGGAAGCAATGGCTTTGTGGAAGCGGGATCGCAAGGAGGAGTCGGGAGAGGATTCCGAAGAGCGTACAGATTCTAGCAGGCATTCAAAGGCAAACCCGGATTCGAATTTCGACTCGGATTCGAATTCCAACTTGGACGGGGATTCAAAGAAGCTAGAGCAAGATGATATGACGTGTTGCCATCGAATAACCGTGTGTAGTCCTGTGATACGAGAGTTGCTGGTAACGGAACCCGTATCGAGATACTTGGGACGGCACGTGACATGGGCCCATTTCTTCTCGACGACCAGCAACATGGCACTCGCGACGATCGTTTGGGCATTCTTGTATTTCCTACTGGGCGATACGATGCTGCCGACCAACGATGGTTTCGGTTTATACGTTCTCGTTATATTTTCCTCTTTCCTCGGTCGCTCTTTATCCTCGATCCCGTACTTGAATCTTCCTCCGGTATTCGGGATGCTGTTAGCCGGTCTAATCGTTCGTAATACTGGACTGTTCAACATCCAGGAGGAGCTCGGTGTCGCAAACACCGCTAAAATTCGAACCTTTTGTCTGACCTTTGTCGCGATACGAGCAGGACTTCAATTGTCTACCACCAGCCTGAAGAGGAACCCGATCTTCCTAATCAGCTTGGCCATCATACCTTGCACGATGGAGATGTTTGGAGTCACCCTGTTCTGTAGATACGTTTTATTCTATTCTTGGAACTGGTCTTTTATGACCGGGTGAGTTATAACTTGCGATTTGCGATTTCCGATTTCCGATTTCCGATTAACGAATTCCCATTTCTCACTTGCTTCCTCTCTCTTTCTTCCTGTCCACACGAAGAACGATACTCGCCTGCATGTCGCCGGTAGTGACGGTCAACTGTGTCCTAGCTTTGGCCGAACGAGGTTACGGGGAGGACAAAGGACTCGCCGCGATACTCTGCACCGCTGCTTGCATCGACAACGTGCACATGATCTCTCTGTTTGCCGTCTGCTACACCAACCTTTTTTCCAACGGTATTATTCCCACTCCTCTTTTCTCTATCTTTTTTTATTTACTCACATTTAATTAGATTAACTAGATTAATTGGCTCTGTTACCGATTTTCAGATCAAGACAAATCGGAATGGTGGTCTTACATACCCGCTGGCCTTCGTGACACGTTACTGGGAATCGGAACGGGTCTTTGCTTAGGCATTTTCTTCGTCTTTTTCCCACATCGTAGCTACGTGAGTATACATATGTTACTTTTTCTTTCACACCAACTATGAAAATTGTCTAGAAATACGCGACCAGTTATCGCATCATATGCCTGGTATCTGCCTCTCTGATGTGTACCACGGCCATGGCGGAAATATCCATCTCGGGTGGAGGATTCTTGGCCAGCATGGTTCTATCGTTTATCGCCATCACCGGTTGGAAAATCTTGTCTGATTCTTTCGACGTAAGTTAGGTACGATCGATAGCTCGCCACTTTTATCTTTCAGGAAAAAGGTAAACCTTTCGATCGTTTGTCTTTCAACTTTCAGACGGCTCCATTTCGGCAGGCGACCTATATCCTTTGGCAGTTGGTGCAACCGATTTTAGTTGGAGTAATCGGCGCCGACATTAATTTTAACCATTGGACCTTGTCTAGATTAAGCCTCCATCTATTGTGCATCCTAATTGGGCTATCGGTAAGTTCTACATACATACATACGTATTCCTCGACATATTCCCCTGTTCTTGTTACTTGTTACTTGTTACTTGTTATCGACCAGGTACGAAGTCTTACTATCCTCTTCGCCAGCTTCCGGAGTCCGTTTACGTGGAAAGAACGGCTGTTTGTGATCGTCTGTTGGCTACCGAAAGGCACCCTACAGGTACTGCGTTTACATGTACCTCTATTGAGAGCTATTGAGCTATACTCTATCATTTGATACTGTAAGTACATACATACAAGCGAGATTAGTCGTTTGCGAAACTTCAAGGCGGCTATGGCACCAATGGCGTACGAACGAGTTCGACATCGAGCAAACGGTCGGATGATCGAGTTGGCTGTCGACGTGGTTAAAGTGTCCGTCCTGACCATGCTGTTTCTCGCACCGATCGGTGCGATCCTCATAAACCTTACTGGACCTATTCTTCTCAACAAAATAACCAAGGAGGAACAACGAAGAAAACGCGAGCTGAGTTACCTTCGAATCCTTAGCCTTCAACCTTTTTCGCATCAGTCAGTCAGAAAAAAGGAAATAAAGCGGCGGCTTTCGGGCGTTGTGACCGCTTGAACGACCGCTTCCATTCCGTCCTACCGATTTTACCTGTCCCCTACGCTCCGCTCCTTCGTCAAACAATACCCATCGTTCCTTCTCTTTTCTTATCTCTACAAAGCTTCTCAATATTTTTCCTCTTTCCTTTTTCAGCCGGCTTTCTTCTCTATTTCCCATTGCTTTATTTATTACAATAATTAACCAAATATTTGCGGATTAACCGAACATTTTCTAAATTAACGTTTACGCGTTTTTATTCTTTTCCCTTATTGTTTTTGTTTTCTTCAGATGTTTTCAAAATTAATTTCTTTACATCGCATTAACCAACTTGTTCATTCATTGTTGGGCTTACTTTGCATATCATGTATGTATACATATGTATAAGTAAGTATGTACATGCATACATTGTACATATGGACAAGTGACGCCATCCATTGGCGAGCTAGAAAACTAATCTCTGTCGTTCCGAAAATCTTGAAGAGTCGTGCCAGAAATTTTCACTTTCTTATTAATCAGACATGCATCCAATTTACTGTCCCAACATCCAACGAACAATTCGAAAAGATGTTCGTTGATCAGGAAGAATGCTGCATACGTATTTAGTTGATACTTAGTTAGTCTATGTGATCCTAAGAATAACCAATCATCACGCTCTTGTTGTCACTACTCCAACGTGGTAAATGTATCCAACATTTTCATGAAAATCTGCCATTTCGTTCAAACTTACCACACCAAGTTTCCAACCTACAGTCGTATACATTTCTGACAAACAGTCTCGCGGTTGTAAATGTTTGGATACTGTTGTGGCAGGTATAACGCGATAACGAGGAAGACACTAGAATGATCTAGACTCGGCACAACGATGCTCGGTATAATTGTGTCTGGACGACTTGTAAGTACTCGGTACTCAATCATCTATGCATTGGCATTTCTTTATTTGCTAAACTATCAATTTTACGTAAATCAGCAATTATTTTTTCTCTTATTTTCCTTATAAATACCTTTATAGTTGTATATGCCGTTTCTTTTCTATCTTCATTTTATATCGTGTAACTAGCTATAATATGTATACATATTAGTATAATATACATAGACAGACATATATGAATATGCTGAACGACGACATACAAGGGTTAATATTCTTTTCAGGTACAAACGGATTTCCAACAAATAGGAGAAAATCAATTTTTGATAACAGTACCTGATGCGGATAACATCAATCACATTGTTGTTTTTCTGACAGGTACCATACCATTTCCCGATGGGACAGGTGGTGCAGGTACATATTTAATAAGATCTGCTATCAACGAGTTAACGAGATCCGACCGATATTTAAATTTCACTTTTCCTTCAGTGTATTTCAGTTGGCCAGACCCAACTGCTCCACCTAATTGGCAGTTTCTTGGATACATTTCAAACGTTAAACCATCGGCAATATTCAAGATATCGACGTTGAAAAAGAACCATGAATTTGAGAATAGTAATCTAGGAATTTTTGGGGTGGGAAAAATTTCGCACGTAGCACAAATAGGCGTTTCGGTTGAACCTCTCGGGGCCATCGAACAGTTAGCAGCTTCTGTGACCGAAGCCACGTCGAATTCGTTCCTGGAGTTTGTTCAAAAAATGCTTACCAGCTTTTTAAATTACGTTACAAGTTTCTCTGTGACTCAAGCACAAATGGCCCCAAATCCGAACGAAAATTATGTCCCGCTATCAACTATTCAAGGATGGTACGAAACTTTTGAGAGGAGATTACAACAAAATCCAAATTTTTGGAAAGCATGATAAAAAAAGCAATTAACTCTCGATAGTTTCTCTCTATTCTGCATAGCGACATCTCGTTTCAGCTTAGTGCTAGTGCTTCCTATCGCGAAGTGCAGCATAATGAAAATGAAATACGTCGTATTGCACGCATAAATTCAAATTTTTTTTATATTTATCGTCAAGCTACTGTATCGTAATAATAAGATTAATTATAATACGATCACGTTCTTTACTCGCAATGCAGAATTTCTCACTTGTATGCGCATTTAATGTAATCGTTTACTACATTTTTCTTCTACCAAATCGCTTTGCATTCCTTTAAGACCAAGTATCTCAGAAATGTAAATATTTTTCATTTACGGTGACATAAACAAACAAAATGATCCTTCATTAGTACCATAAAAAACGAATGTCTTTGATGTTTCTATCTACTTACTTACTTACTTACTTACTTACATGTGTATAGAACGTCTACGGTTGCGAACGAATCTGCATTTAATGCGGAAACGTTAGAAAGGAAAGCATAATATGAAATGAAACACCACCAGCTATAGCGCCCTCTGGATTCTTGCTATATCGTCGCCAAGGCGAACTTACTTATTTTTCATATTTATTGACGTATCATTACATAATAATAAAATTAGTAGTGCATATGCTGTGCAAACCATTATTACGTCTTATTGCATTTTCTTCATAACCGCTTCTTTCAGTCCTCGCTACAGCGAATTATTATTATTATTATTATTATTGTTACAAAACGCTGGAAAGAATTGAGCCAATAGCACGATTCCTGGCGTTTTTGAAGGAAACATTCGTTTATTGGAAATCCCTGTGTCAAAGATAAAAATCGAGCAATGAAAAAGCGGTTTGAATTGTATATAGACCAATCTGTCAGTGTAACTTTCACACGAAGTAGAATAAGTATCTCGTTAAAAAATTAATTGGAAATTGAATTTATCGTAATATTATCGTATACCAAGAAGAGGAGAGAAGAGAAGAGAAGAGTTAAGAAAAGAAAAGAAAAGAAAAGAAAAGAAAAGAAAAAAAAGGAAAAGAAAAGGAAAGAAAAGGAAAGGAAAGGAAAGGAAAAAAGAAACAAGTGAATTAATGGGGACCGCGTCCCGTGAAGCTGGCCATTTTCGTGAACCACCGTAACGAAAAGTGTGATCGCGTTTGGATTGGACTTGCATGAGATTAGCTGTGGACTGTGGGGTGTGGAGTCTTTTATGCCATAAGCTATCTACGTACCCATTCAAGAATCTGCAACATTTAGATTCTTGTCAAGATCCAAGTGGAAAAATTTTTGCATCTTACTCTACCGGATAAAATGATCTCTATTTTGAATAATCTTCTCATTTTACTTGTTGTGTAAACGATTGTTTATGGATTTTGTATGAAGTATCAAAACCGTGAAATATCGCCCATCGCGAAGAAACTTGGCAATCGAAGGTAAGACATCGTTATTGTTATCCAACTTGTCGCTTACCTACACTTTGAAAAACTATTTCGTACTACCTTTACGTTAACAACATTTTCTTCATCCTTTTGTTTCGTGTAATTAAGTCACTAGAAGAAATAACATTCTAAACACACACACACATAGAAGCATATGCGGACGTGCATTTAAAAGACTTTATTGTATCGATAGATTCGAAAGAAATTTCATGAATATCGTAGAGCTGTTTTGCTGTTCCAGATGAAATCGATATTAATAAGATTCTAAAATTGTTAAATTTTTCCGAACTTGACGTAGAATTTATACTTTCAACGTTCAGAAATTCAACATTCGTTTCTCTATGTTCTCGAACAAAGATATTTTTATACCGCTTTTAAAGGAAAGAAATCGATAAGCGTGTTTCTGTAGATTTTACCAAATTTCCGATTGTAAACATCAGATTTCCTTGATAAGCTGTTCTCCAACTATACATGCGAATACATGACATTTCCTTATTTGAAATGGACAACTGGTGTATAGGAAGATAATAAAGAATTTTTAATTGTGCATTGCAGAAAGCGGAGATGGATAATTCAGAAGAGCCAACAAGTTTGCAGTCCATTTGTCATATACATGCTTCAGAGTTATTTCCAAAGCATGCACATTTCGAATGCGAAGATCAGACTCTTACAGTTCCATTTACACCATTGAGCGGGGAATCTATCGTAGCACTTGGACGTACATCGGATGGAATATTGGCCCTTTCAAATTACAGACTCTATTTACAATTAAGTCAGACGTGTTACAATATCCCATTGGGTTTAATAGAGCAATTAGAAGTTAAAGAAATTTTTTTCTTGCATATTGCTTGTAAAGACGCACGTTCGCTAAGGTATAACGTCGTTTAATGTTGGTAAAACGTGTTTCGTTTTCCGAAATCGATCGCAGATTATCACACTGCTCGAATATTTTCAGTTGCGCCTTTTCCACAAACGAACACTGTTTGGAATGGTTCAAACGACTACATAAACTGACTTATCCACGTAAAAATATAGAAGATATATTTGCTTTTGCTTATTACGCCTGGTCCGTAGAAGAAGGTAAAGATAGCTTGAAGCTTGGAAAAGATAACGCTTCTTACAGTGGTACTTTTAATTCTGAGGTAAGTAAGTAGCAAAGAGGGATGTAAGTATTTAGAATTAGATACACATATGCGTACGTAGAATGTACATATATGGTATAAATGGTATGGTTTCTTCTTGCCTTGCCCGTTTCTTAGGTAGAACGACTGAAATTTAATTTACACGGTACATGGCGTATAAGTCAGATGAATAAAGATTATCGAATGTGTCCGTCGTATCCACCGTTGCTTTTGGTTCCTGCTTGCATTTCCGACAAGATCCTTGAAACGGTGGCTAAATTCCGAAGTTCTCGACGAATTCCTGCCGTTGTTTGGAGGTAGTAGAAAATTGGGTCTGCAGAATATGATGTTGTTGATTTCGTAACTAAAGTATTGGATGTTGTTCGATAGGCACGTGAAGAATGGTGCGGTGATAGCACGAAGTAGTCAACCAGAAGTGGGATGGCTTGGTTGGCGAAGCGCGGAAGACGAAGATCTATTGAAGGCTCTTGCAGATGCATGCTCCTACGATAAAGGTGAATCGACGATGGTGGACTCTTCTATCATTTATCCCGATAATAGCGACGATGGTGTCGCAGGAAATAGTAGCAAAGTGAGCATCGAAGATTTAACCAAGTTATTTGACTGTTTAAAGGAGAAGCAGTTTTCATTCATTGGAGATTGATTCCATGAAAAAGAAATTTCGAATTGTAACACATTATTTGCAGAAAGTTTTAATCGTGGACGCGAGGTCGTACACAACCGCCGTGGCAAATAGAGCGCGCGGTGGTGGTTGCGAATGTCCAGAGTATTATCCCAGTTGCGACATACAGTTTATGAATTTACCTAACATTCATTCGATACGAAAGAGCTTTCATGCGGTGAGGCAACTGTGCGCATCGGACGCGGATCAACCCAAGTGAGTAGGCTTTTTTTATCTTCGTTGTGGTTCTATCGAATGAAATAATTTTCTTTCTTTTCCTTTTAGTTGGCTTAGTCTTTTAGAAGGAACACGATGGTTACAACACATGTCTGGATTGTTACGCGCAGCTGTGACCGTAGCTTCGGCGATCGAAAGAGATGGTCGGCCAGTATTGGTTCATTGTAGCGACGGTTGGGATAGAACTCCTCAAATAGTTGCATTAGCACAGATCCTTCTCGATCCTTATTATAGAACTATGGAGGTATGCTAAAGGTACTTTCTATTTCTTTTTCTATTTTTCGACGAATGGTCGTTTCGTTATTTTCTTTTGCTGTTGTTAGGGATTCCAAATTTTATGCGAGAGAGAATGGTTAGACTTTGGACATAAATTCGCAGATCGTTGTGGGCAAACGGTTGGCTGCGAAGATCCAAACGAACGATGTCCAGTATTTTTACAATGGCTTGATTGTGTACATCAACTAATTCTACAGTTCAAATGCAGTTTTCAAATATCTCCCGCATATCTTGTAAGTTTAAAAAAAACACGTCCGACATTTATTTCGATTTAACTAATAGAAAAAGTAGTATCCTGATTTATTTTAATTTCAGGTTAAACTAGCGCAACACACGTATTCGCAGCTTTTCGGTACATTTCTTTGCAACACGAGGCAAGAAAGGTTACAACTGAGAATACGTGAGCGTACATTTTCGGTGTGGCGATTCCTTAATTCCAGTTCGTTCGTAAATCATTTGTATTCACCGTTAAAAAATCAAGTAAGATATTTTACCTAAATAATTGAAGATAGCTTAATTTAAACGTTGTATCGACAAATTTTTCTCATCGCTAGGTATTATGGCCAAGTTGTAACGTACGCGACCTCGTTTTATGGTCCGAAGTATATTTAGGTTCTATGGAATCTTCTCTCGGTATCAGGGACGATAAACAGAGGGTAACGATGATTGATATCGAGGGTGGCGATAACGAGGAACCACAGGGACAAATGACTAAAACTCGATCGTACGGCGATCTGATGCATGCTCCCGATCATACGGCCTATCTACATCGTAGACTTAGCGATCCGAGTATTTCGGTGGAAAAGTAAGTATATCGTTGGCATAAAGGAAAAACTCGGAAGAAGAGAGAGAGGATGTGAAATTTCTACATACGATTGCAGAAAATTTGATTCTTTGACGCTGGACACAGAAAGCGAAGAAAAGATTGAAAATCAGGTTGAAAATTGTAAGAGCGAAAGAGTCGATGAAAATAGAGTGGAAAAGTTTGATGAAACGGAAACACAGTACGCGAGGGTACAGGTGTTGAACGATTCGCCGGTAAATCCTTCGGTGGATAGCTCGACAGACACTTTAATACCCAGCAACGATTCTTTGGTTGGTGTAATGAACGTCGATAAGGAAACGTAAGTAGCATACATGTATATTGCGATGTACAATTGAGTTTCGATATTTGAATTGATGAAATTGAACAGTAAGGTTGTGAAAAATTCACCGTCGGACATGGTATCACCATGGATCGAGAACAACACAATTGGTCGAACCGTTTGCTCGTGTAGTCGTAATTATAATCAGAATCAGAATCAGAATCAGAATCAGAATCAGAATCAGAATCAGAACGAGGGTAGCAGCGACGTTAGCGATACCAGTGCACCGTTAATATCGAGAACACCTAGCAGCATTTGTCCGGCTTCGCCGACTCATCAGGACGCGACGGCAGATAATCTGGACAGGCTGGACGATGCCGATGGTCTTCCAGTTATTCAGTGCGACGTTCAGATGCGCGTGCAACAGATTATCGTCGAACACAAGGTACATTCGTTTTCTTTAGTTTCTTCATCGAATTGCGGACAATGATTTCTTTATTGTTTCGTTACAGTTAAAAGAGGAAGCGCTAAGAAAAGAATTACATACAACGAGATTGGCTTTGATAAAACAAGTTTGTAATCACAACGCAGACACTGAACGCGTCGACGATATCGTAAGTATCGTAGAATATTTCATTCTCTCAAATAGGATGATAGTAAAAGTATTAAAAAAAAAAAAGAGAAGAAAGAAAGAAATAGACAAAGATATAGTTAGGGAAAAGAGTGTCGATCGCATTTTAGGGATCGTTACCCGATTCGGTAGGAAGTACCGGAGATCATGGGGAATCATTACCTTCGGATATGTCTTGGGAAGCAGTCGAAGAATTAGGTCCTGCTCCTACTCTGTGGGTACCGGATCACGCGGTGAGTCGATGCATGGGATGCGATACGGAGTTTTGGCTCGGAAGGCGTAAGCATCACTGCAGGTAAAAAATGATTCGCGGATGGTCTCGTTTATCTAGTTTATCTAGTTTATCTCGTTTATCTCGTTAATTTGACATAGTAAACGCGTTCAATGTATTCGCTTGCGTCGCAGGTGCTGTGGTAAAATCTTTTGCGCGGATTGTTCGGAGAACTCGACACCGTTACCTAGCGAGCAGTTGTACAATCCCGTCAGGGTTTGTAGCGAGTGTTTCTCTCGACTTCACCGCCACGCAAGTCCCTGTCAGTGCAACGTGCGTCATCAGAACAAGGGAGAGAACGATGCGGAGCTCTCGTCGAATTCCGAAAGTTTGATAAATTGTCAACGATCGAAAGGTTTGCACCTGACGAAGGACAGTTGTTGCGACAATCTATTGCAGGCTGCGCATCAAAAAACCCAACCTCCTCCGGTCACAGCGGCCACGGTAAATTGAAAATTTAGGGGAAAAGTGGAAACAAGAACGCTATATTTGCGGCTTTCGCTTCGGCTTCGGCTTCGGCTTCGGCTTCGGCTTCGGCTTGGTTTCAATTTCAATTGCGACTACTGTGATTGCAACTGCCGCGGTAAACTTTCGGATTTTTAATTGGTTTTCAATGAGACACAGAGTACCCTCAACATCCGGTTGGAATAGGCGCGTTTTTACCAACAATAATTGAACATGCACACGTACATAGAGATGGTACGATACGCGGGTGTATGATATATCGCGCAATAGCCACGTTAGATTTTTCGAGCGATTCAATATTTATTGCTAGAGTAATAATTTGTACGAAGGAGTGTGTATGTGTGTGTGCGTGCGTGTGTGTGTACGTATATGTGTGTGTGTGTGTGTGTGTGTGTGTGTGTGTGTGTGTGTGTGTATAGCATCGGAGAGAAGACGAGTCAGCATACGAAAGGTTGTATATACACAATCGCATAAACACGTAAAGACACAGTTTAGAAATAACTTGATCCAACGAGATACTTTGTTTCTTCGAACGAGACTATTCAAGTTTCCTCAAGATTTTTTAGAAAATCTTGTCACCCTTACGAGATACAGGGCAAGACGAGGCCGAGAAACATTTTGGATAGGCTGTGACTGAGATGTGTCTAACTTTAGACACTGTGTACGAGGTGCGCTCTTAATAAATCGTCGATCAATCGATGGAACGACTGGTTAATTAATAGTTGGATTACGACACGAGTAACCTGTATTTGTATATTACTGCTGTTTACGAGAATTGGTATATTAAATGTCAAATTATCATATGTGATGCGCTCTTCTTAATTACGACATTAACGAAAAATCAAGCGATTATCTTGATTCCCGTGAAATTTTGAAGGGGTGAAACATTTTTGAATATTTGCGTTACGTTTCTTATGATATCAGCGTCGCCCTTGGTGTCGTCCGCATTTTGAAACTGTATCAGTATAACAAGATACGTCGTTACGACTCCTGCAATCTAAAAACCATAAGAGAGATATGTTGTGAAATTTGTTTTGTTACGCGATTAAAGTAAAGTCTTACCGAGGTTATCAAAGTCCTGTCTAGAGAAAAAAGTCCACAGGCTGAAAATTCAAGAGGTCGATGTAACAATTGCAGTGAAAATATTTCCAACTCGCGTCGAGTGTCGGTTTCGAAAGTGGAGGAGAGTAACTGACTAACAAGAATAGCCGTTTTCTTTCCCTAAAATGAAAGATTCGTTAATATGTAAATTTATATCTTTTCCTTTTGTTTCTCTGTTACCTCAGCAACAGTAGAATAACTAGGTTGAACGATCATCAACATTCTGGTTACGTGAAAGATACACCATCCAACTTGTACGAATAGAAATATCCATTCGTGTTTCTCACCAGCTTGTACGATTAGGAAATATGGCGTGATGATTAGGTGTAAGAGGCAGGTTACGGTAACGGTCAGTATCACGGCACCGAACGTATTATTTATAAGAGAGACCGTGTCGCAAAGCGAGGAGTGAATCCATCTCAGTTCAGATATACTGTTTACGTAGCTTTTGTTTTCTGTAAATAGAGTTTCTGTAACGAAGTTTTTTACAGGTACAGGTACAGGTACAGGTACAGGTACAGGTTCAGGTTCAACCCGATGATGAGTTTATACCGTGTAATTCTGGAAAAACTCGATAACTGGCCAATTCGAATGGTCTCTGAGGTAGGTCGGTCGATGTTTTCTTAGAAACATGCTCGTCTTGACTCGATAAGGGAAGGGAATTGTAAGGTGGTGGCAGTGCGCGCGGTTTGAATAGTCGATCGAAAATGAAATTGTACCATCATTAAAATAGATTATCGTTCCTAAATAACAACTCGATTTCTCTCTATTTACCTATTTCAGGAAATTTTCTCAAGTAATTGGCGAGAGTGTCGGTATCGAACAGCTTTCTAAGACTGTTATTTAATCGGACGAATCTTTCTCCTATATTATAGATCGAGACGGTGTATTGAATCTCGGTGGAAATAATGACCGTGTACATAAAATAGAGGGGTGCGTAGTTGATCGGACCTTTGTCGGACATGGTTTGATGCACCTTGGTTTTTCGGTACCAGCTGTAAAAGTCAAGAGTCGAATTGAACCAGAGATAGAGGAGACTGCAGGTGGTTAAAGATATGGTAAATCTACGAGCGTTTTTCTTAGTCGAGGAGAGATCAACTTTCTTGTCCACCTGAAATTAATAAGACGGATAAGATGTATTTATGAATGGTTAATTTTATCTACGAATTGTCGTACCTCGATTAATTTGTTTACAACTACTTGCAGGTGTTTCCAACGAAAAGGCGAGCCAACGATGCACACCACGGTTAAACTCATTACCCCAAGAACATCGCTACACGTCGCGATCACCGCCGTTCGAAACTTGAGTCTAGTGCTATGTACCCAACCGTCTTTCAGATCTCGCCAGAGACCCCAAATTTCTGCACCGAGCAGTAACGTTAACACGCATAAGCTAAAAAAGCGTAAAAAAAAAAAAAAAAAAAAAAAAAAATGCGGTGAAATTTATTCCAATTCATTTTTTCATTCAATCTTCTCTTACCTATAGACGAGATCAAAAATATTTGGGCGAGCTTGAAATCCTCCAGTGGTGTTTGCAACGAATCTAACAGGAACCAAACCGCATACTTTACCGAGATAATATATCGGAGAGATTGCTCGACAAAGATCACTCTTGGATGATGGATTGGTGTCTTTCTTTATTTCCGCTTCCATCCCTGTATTATTTCGATAAATTTTCAAATTCGCAGTCTAAAATTCGCAGACTAAAATATATGTAATATATAATAGTAAGATGATCTACTGTCGTTAGTAATGCTGTCGTTGCCGTTGCCATTGCCGTTGCCGTTGCCGTTGCCGTTGCCGTTGCCATTGCCGTTGGTTGATCGTTTACTACGGTTATCGACGTTCCATCGTATGCGCGATGCCATTATCTCTTTACATATTACTTTTTTCGTTTTACTCGAGTTTTCCTCTTCTATTTTCTCAACTTTTCCAACTTACTCCTGTATACTTGGTATACTTGATGTAACAACAAGTTTCAAAAAATCCAAGTAACGTTAAACGCACGCGTTTTTCAATATTTCAACATTTCAACGTGTTTCTCCTCGTACATAGGTAGAAGCGAACGAAGAAGCAAGTATTCACTTGGACACTTATCGTTTCACCGATATTTATAACGTCGCAATGCTTTCCTCCTTTTCTCCCTGTTCCCCCTTTATTTACTTTTATTCGACCGAATACATTCATCTTTGTCAGATCGTTAACAGATCGTTATCGTGGATAATCGTGTGGTTCCTATACATGTAAGTACTTACTTATTTACATATGTATAATAGATGTACCATAGATAGATACGAACGACGTTTACCCTTTGAAAAAACAACAAGCTATAACTGTTGTACAATAACTGTACGTACACGCAATTACAAGTAGTAAAATTATTACAACAGGAGTAATTGTGAAACATTGATAAAGAGGAATGTACGCGCTCTTAACGAGGGGCTTTTCATTGATTTTTCAGGGAAATTTCTTACATAGAATGTAGCTTGTTTAAATGAAAATTTTCTTTCGAGTTTCAAGAATATCCGCGCGCAAACGAAAGCGCCATCTAACGGAAATGATGATCGATTAGAACATATGTAGTATGTACATACACGAGTACAGGTTAAACGGCGAATCTCTGAAAAATTGGGTTTACTCGATTTAAACCTTGATAATCCCCTGATACTTCCTGATAGTTGTTGCTTTAATTCTTTTCTTGAAAAGTTATGGAACGCAACGAAGAGGATTGGTCGGTGGAATGTTCGGACGATGAAAAATACGAAATGGATAGAAAAGTAAGAAAGTCATTGTCTTGCCCACTATTCTTTAATATTGATGATTTAATGATTTTATAGAACGAATGGACCCTGAAATCCGACGATATATTAACACTGATCGAGGCTCTGGAAACTAACAATAGAATTTTAGAGCTCGAATGGAAGTGTCCTGGTAGGAGGGGTCCGTCTCCAGTTCTCTCAAACAATCGAAAGCAAGATAACGGCTCCCAGGAGTACAAGTAAGCGTTATATGTATACATATAAGAAGAAATTCTTGTCCTATTTTATTTCTTTATTTTGTTTTCTTCCAGGATCGAAGAGAAGTCAGATTTCGATTTCATGGACGAAATGTCGTCGCCTAGATTACCAGTTCGCAGAATTGGCGAAAGTACTCCAAAAGGAAGCGCGAAAAAGAAAACAGCCAGTTTCAACGGCGTCTTGTCTACTATGTTGCGACATCGTAGATTAGAGCAGCAAGAAATCAATTCTAGTCCGAAGAAGACTGAATCGTCGTCGGTATCAAAAACACAGTCAATTTAAAACGGAACGAGAAGAAGAAGAAGAAGAAGAACGTTTGTTTGTTTGTTTGTTTGTTTATTTATCTATCGAACAAGAGTAACGTGATGATTTAAAATTGAATTTAATCGCATTTAGAAGTTGAATTGGACGCGTGAAGATTAGAGGCCCACGATGGGAATCCATGAGCACCATAAACGTAAACACCCCAAACAACGAAGAAACTACTCTGCACTATGAGGGAGTAAATAGCAGGCGCGCAGCCTCCGATCATCAGCCACTTTGTCGGAATTCGACCGACGATCGTGACGATCGCGTTCGGTGGTGTACCAACCGGTAATCGAAAGGAATAAGAACACATTATAGTTGCCGGTACCATCAAGTATAAAGGATGTATCTCCATCGCAACGCACTGTAAGGGAATAAGGGAACAATTTTTTTTATCTACTTACTACTATTTAGTTTCGGTCCAGTCGTTTCTTACCATTTGTGCAACCACCGGCAATGTAATGTTCGCGATGCCAACGTTGCTGGTGAATTCCGTGATAGTACCGATGAACAACGAAACGAGAACTAAGATGATTACAGGCGGTAAGTGTTTGAGCGGTACCAAAGCGTCCCCAATTCTTTTGGCCAAACAGGAAGCTATGCTGCCTTTGGATATCGCGAATCCTCCGCCTAACAGAAACATTAAACTCCAAGGCATCTTTGTCTCGATCACGTCCCAGGTGATCAAACCTTCGGAAGCTTTCTGCGGCCTTTTTTCAGCTACAAAGCGAAATGAACGAACTTATAGGTATAAATTTGATAAAGATAACAAGATAACAAGATAACAAGATAAAGGAATTTCATAAGTATACACTTACGATCTGGGCTGTAACTGTAAATGAAAGTTGGGTCTTTTGGAATAAAAAACATCAGAATCGAGACGAGTATGACAGGCGTTGAATCCCGTATATCTCTGTTAAAGAGAATCGCAACTGGTTAAAAAGACAGCAAGTGTGAAGAGAGAAGAAAAAATGAGATGAAAAGATGCTCAACATGTCCGATATAGCCTCGGACCATCCACGTACGAAACCAGGTTTTCGAAATATCCATAGAAATATACAGGCGATAAAAAGAGTGGCAACTCCTTTTTCGTGGAACGTAATGTTACCCAGATCGCTGTATCTTTGCTGTACCACCTAAAAGAAGAAAAGAAGAAAAAGATGATGGTAATTATTAATAAGATAAGAAAAATAAGAGTATCGTTACTCGATTTGTCACCGCCTCTCCTTCCGGGCCAATATTTGACAGTTCCGCGTCCTTGCTACCCGGTCTGAGGAAGCCCATGAACATTATGCGAAGATAGAGCCAGGTTAACGCGGTATTTACAATCATTTGAGGAATCGATGCGAACATCCACTGCGTAAAGTTGATACCTCCGGATTCGGGAAAGGTGTTTTCGTAAATTCCCTTGAAGGTAAGATTGGTGCCGGTACCGACCAGCGTCCCTGTACCACCGAATGTCGAACAATACGCCGCGGCCATCAAATACGCTTTCGTCACTCTTGTCGGTTGTAATTCCCTACAAATCGAAAAGGTTGACTCGTACATTCGTACATTCGTACTTTCGTACTCTCGTAGTTGCGTTTAATACTTACGGTTCTTGGTCCATATTGTCTGGATCTGCCGGTATTTTATTGAAAACTCTACCTAATCCAGCCTGTAAAGTAAGAAGAAGAAAAAGGTTGTACGTAGAATCGTGTAGAGTTAATGATTCGCAGCACGATACCTGTTCTAGTTCGTTAAGAATGGCAAATATGATAGGCACCATCATGGCGGTAGCGGCGGTGTTGGAAACCCACATAGATATAAAGGTAGTTACGACGCAAAGACCGGCGAGTAATCGGCCATGGCTGCAGCCAACCATTTTCATAACTCCAAGAGCGATTCTTAAATGCAGTTTGCTATGTTCGATGGCTACAGCCAGAATCAAACCCCCTATGAAAACCATTATAGTGTCGTTCATGTAACAACTGCACGTCTCCGCTGTGCTAAGTACACCCAAGAGAGGAAACAAGACCAATGGTAAAAGCGAGGTGATGGCCAAAGGGAAACATTCACAGATCCAATATCCAGCCATCAGTAGTATCGTGTACGCGCATCTTACTTCCTGCAAATGAAAGGAAAAAAAGAAACTGCACCTGTCTGCACGAAACTATCGAGAAAAATTACCGGATAATTGTAAATGAAAAGGAACGGTGCCAGAAACATTGCCCATGTTATAGCAAATATTATTTTCCAATAGGTCTTGAGGAATCTTAGCGTCAGTATCCACCACTTGTTATGTTCTTCTTCTCCTTCGCCTCCTTCTTGTTCTTGTCGCGATCGAGCTTGCTGTTTCATGGCTTTACGTATACGTCATTTTCCAATATATCATTCGATGGTTAAGCGATTAATTTCCTTGTTACCGAGAAAGTCAACGATAAACAGTTGTTGCGATGGATCGCTTGGCCGCGTATCTATGCAGCCAACTTTATGTTAGCCAACTTTGCCGCGATCGAATTATAATAGTATTTCTCTATCTTTCTATTTGACACGCGTTTACATTTCACATGCATATTACGCGTATTTAGATATGTATAATTGATGAGAAAAGTTGTTTTTGGCTACAGAGGGAGCTTGGACCCTCATTCCCCTCATTCCCCTCATTCCCCTCTTGATAAAGAGAGAAAGAGGGCGCCCTTGAAGCCTTTCGCATCCCTTGGAATGAAACTCGTTCTACATACGTATATGTGCCGTAGCGCGTTGTTCGCACTTTAGTCGCGCCAACGATGAGGAACTCGACTCGACCTGCACCTTTCAATTCTCCCAGTTCCATGCAATAAGAAGGAAGGACTATTTGCGGATATTTCCGGATATTCGCGGAATAAAGACGAACGTGAGAATTTCTGTGATAATCAACGAGAAATTAAAGAAAAGGTAAGCGTATGTATCAACGTACATGGTATCAACGTTTCACGTTCACTAGGAATTTCCCGAAAGTTTCATTGGCATCGATATCCTTTGATATTTTTCACTTTTATACATTTACTTGTTTTCCGCTTCTATTCTTCTACCCGTTTTCTATGAAACGATTCTTTTCTCTATTACCGATCCATTACGACATAGTTAATTTTCTTACGGTTCGATCAATATAAGGGACGATAGCGTAGAAATTTAGCAAACAAGTAAAGAAAATGGGAATGATACGAGTAGGTTAAAAGGAAAGACAGAGGGTGATAACGATGTGTGGGGGTCGAAGCGGAAAGAAAGAGACGAATCAAGTAGGCAAAAGCAGTAGAGAAAAAAAGGGAGCACAAGTAAGTAGGGGTACTTTATAGTACCGCGTCGCGTCGCGCGAGAGGACGGCGTCTGGCACGATATCGATCGTACTACTCGCAAGTTGCCAGTAGTGCGTTCGCGGGCGTAGCGACTCGTCTTGTTTGTCGCCGCGCCGCGCCGGTGTCAGGGCGACAATCTCGTCAACATTTATCTGGTCGATTAATGTTCGAGTTTCAGGAAAGTCTAAAATTTCAATGAAATATCGAGTAGAAGAGTAGTAGATGAAGTAGTTTGTAGCGAAAGAAATTGTTTAATATTCGAATATTCGAATATTCGAACAGGTAAGATCGAGAGGAACGGATGTGTATCAGTATCTTACGATCTTGGATGACGATGTGGGGAAGAGCAAGTATGGCAGGTGTAATGGTTCTGATGTTGGCGTACGTGGTTCGTGGCGAAGGTACTTAGATATCGGTTCTAGTCGGGTCTACACCAAGAGAGAAGATAAAGTGAGAAGGGAATAAATTTATTTGATTGGTAGGAGGGATCGGAGAAATCGGTTCGACCGATACAGAGGCGGATAACATTTTGGAGCGGGCGACTGCGTGGCTATGGAGTCAGCGTGACAAGGACGCCGGCTGGGGAAACGACACGAATCGTGTTTTGCTAGTTCTTCGGCTGAGTAATCTGTCGCGCGAGGATAACGTGGCTCCTATAGCTTCGCTCGAGCTGCAACTGAGCAGCAAGCAGATGGAACTTGAAATAGTGTTGTTACTTTGGAGGTAAAATTATATGGTAGTTGGTTAAGGTAGTTGGTAAATGTTATACGAAGAAAGGAATGTGGTTTTCAGGCACAGGGAAGTTGGCTTTTCTCCGGTAAGATTGGCACGTTACACCCTTGCCTTGAACGCCATGTGTACGGATCCAAGACAGTTTCACGGTCACGATTTGATCGGTACCCTTCAACATCACGAACCGCCAACGGATTACGAATTTGCTCTGACAACGTTGGCTGCGTGTAACGCACAAGCTCACGTAAGAAAAAGGCAGATACGTCGATTATTGGATATCGCGAATGCCGCTCAAGATCACAATGTCGGTAAGTACCTCTTAGAGACAAGTTAGAATGAAATAGAATAGAAGAGAAGAGAAATTCATTTTCTTCACTTTCACGATTCTTTTCAGACACCGTTGCGATGGTGATCCTAGCTTTAAAGTGTATCGTTCAGGATCACAGACATCGAAATCTTCATCATTTCGTGCGTAAACCATCGATCGGTTTGGCGCAGCAACAACGGTTAGACGGTAGTTTCGGAGATGTTCGTACAACGGCTTTGGTAATGCAAGCGCTGGAAGAAGCGGAAAACGAGCCGGCCGACAATTGGAACAGATCGGCCGCGTTGTCTTGGTTGACTAGCCAGCAACGTGCCGATGGTTCTTTTGCCGGCGACGTTCGCGTAACCGCCGAAGCTCTTCTCGGCGTGGCTCCACGAGGTTTGGCCAGCATCAGAACTCTCGATTGCGGTCAGGGCCTCGCGGAAACGTCACCTCCACGATTCACTATCGCTGCTAACGGTGAGTTTCCCTCTGCTTATTACCCCCTACGTTTTCACTACACTTCCTCTCTACGCTTCCTCTACGCTTCCACTATGTACCTTTATATATATACATATATATATCTAGAAAGCTCGTACGTGAACAAACTTTTCGATACGATGCCGCAGAACCGGTGATTTCGAACAATCGTAACGAGAGCGTAGCGACGTTGCTGATTGCTGGAAATAATGCGAGTACCGTGGCTACTGGTACTGGAAACAATGGAACAAATGGTAACGCTCGAAATAGTGGAAACTCTATAAACAACGTAAACAATGTAAACAGCGGAAACAACGTGAGAAACACGTTGAATTCAAACAACACGGAGAACGATGCGATCAACGCCGCTGCCGCAGCCGCCGCCACCGCCACCGCCACCGCCACCGCCGCCGCTGCCGTTGCCGCATCGGTCCCTGTCATGGTGAACGTTTCGTACACTTTATGGGTCGGCAGTAATGTGAACGAAACGTACAGCTTGATGGTAACAGCTCCTAAGAATGAAACGTTTTACGAAGTGATGGTGTTGGCTGCAGAAATGTCTCCGCATTTTCAATTTGTCTCATCCAAATGGCCAAACGGACACTACGTTCACGCTATAGCCGGTTATAAAGAGGAGCCAATGTCCTATCATTATTGGTTGTTGTATCGGCTTACCGCTCTACCAGATCCTTCTTCACCGCCGGGTAACCAATTGGTTGCCCCTGGAGGTACATACATTCTTATTCTATTCTTATTGTTAGACTTAACTTAAGTTAATTAAGTTAGCAAACGATTACTAATTTTTAGGTGTCGACGATCTACAAATCAGCGATGGCGAACATTATTTATTTTGGTATAAAAAACTATGAGTAGCAACGAAACGTCGACGTTTAGACGAAATAATTGAGAAATGGATCGAGCAGGAAGTAAGAACCGTACGGACGAAGGAAACGGAATCGAGAAGATGAGAAGGCAATGAGTAAAAAAGAAAAAAAGAAAAAAAAAGAAAAAAAAAGAAAAAAAGAAAAAAAGACAAAAAGACAAAAAAAGTATTTAGTTGCTCGGAAACGAAAGCTCACTTTATTCACTGCCATCGCTAAACGCATACGATAACGTACTAGACATTTTCCTGGGACGTTTTCATATGGTTCATAGGAAGATGACAAACAGATAGAGCTGGCAGTGATGCGCGTTTAAAAAGCTCTGCTCTAGTGGCCCGTCATTCAGATTCAACGCGAATCGCATTCGCTCGGATAAAAGTAAAAGGCGAAAAATTCTAAAAGAAACAGCACCGGTTTTCGACTGACGCACTCGAACAAATAACCGACAAACACCATGCGTACCAGCATCGTTACATATGTAAGCTAAACAGCATAATATTTTCTATGAAACTGCAATGCACAACAGGCACGTTGTACCTATTTGTACGACATGCGAATACCGTATGGCGTACGTGAATATCAACGTAACAACTGACATTTAATAAATCCCATATCCTATATCTATACAAAGAATTAGCAAGGAACCCGATTTCTCGGTAAATGGCTGCAAGCGCGTTGCTTTACCATCCTCCAATACATACTTGCGCTAGCAGAAAATAAGACAGAGTAGAGGAGCCATCGTCAAGCTTACCGTGGTATCGTCGTCAACGTTTATTTCCAAGGAAATACATCACGATCAACGGTTTTTCAATCGATTTGCCTAATACTGTAATCTACATTCTTTTCTTTTCTTTTCTTTTCTTTTCTTTTTCTCCTTTCAAATTAATAAATAAAATGTAATATAATGAACAATTATACATATAAGCAGCCTTTCTTTTTTTCTTTTTTTCTTTTTTTCTTTTTTTTACGAAGAAACAGGCAGACATCGAACTTTCACTAGTGTAGTCCCTGACGTTGCACGCAGAAGAAAGAATACCAATTAGAAGAAAAAGAAGAGTTCGAAGCCATTTGTAAGTAAGTACTAGTAAGTACAACCTATTATCGGTCTTTGCTACAATCAGTAAACATATTCGCTTCCATTTTCATCCAATTCGGCAACAAACTTATTTCATTTCTTATCAAGTCCATTCCTTTTCCAACTGTCATTATTGTCTCTTTTATCGTTGTGAACGTTAGCAATAACGTTAGTATTGCTATCTTATTACTGTTGTGTTACCGTCGTATTTTCGTGGAAAAATATGATAGCAATACTACCTTGCATGTATCATGGTGTCGTGGAATTAGTGGCGGCGCGGTATATCGATCAATTCCAACCCCAACCTCATCCCAATACCAACACCAACACCAATCCCACTTCCACTCCCTACTCCAATTTCAACTCCAACTTCAACTCCGACTCGAAGCTAGTCGTTTGTGGATGGGAACAACTCGGAACTAGTTCAACCTTTGGCCGTTTTCCCTTTCCATCCTTTTCCCTATTCATCCAACAACCCCATAGACTTTTAGAGACCGTTAGAACGACAAACACAATATTTTTCACTATCTCTCCTTATTCCGTGACGATTCTAACATTGATCGTAACAATTTTGCGACTATTTCGTTTTATCCTTCCTATCTATCATCCTCGTTCGCCCACTATGCTGTCGGTATATCGGAACAATTATGCGGACACGGTAAGTGGTTGGGCGGTTGAGCGTTTGAGCGGTTGAGCGGTTGAGCGGTTGAGCGGTTGAACGGCAAACGTGAAGCGAGGATTTGCCGGAGTATGCAGACGATCGATGCATACGTTCGGTAAAAAAGGTGAAAAAAGGTGAAAAAAGGTGAAAAAAGCAGGTAGATCAGCGAGGAGGTTGGTTGGGAAAAAGAAAAATCGAGTTAAAAAGCAAGGGAGAAAAGAAAAAGGCAGAAGAGACAGCTACATTGGCGAGAAATTTGCCGGGAAATTGCTGACGGTGTACGTTCGCGGTCATAAAAACTTGTAATTGGTTCGCGGTAAGCCGAAGCGACGTTGAAATTTTGAACGCCTGTTATAAGCGGTGATATTACGAGTTTCGAGTTGACACGCGAATATACGTGGATCAAGGGAATGTTTGCGTTTTACCGATGCAAACTTTTCCGAAATTTTCCGAAATTTTTCGTAATAAGAGAAGGAAAAAGGTTAAATCGGACTAAAAAGAAGAAAGTGTATGTACAAGTAGAGCAGGTAGATGGTTTTCGAGTAGGCTCTATTGTATTTATCGTGGCAATAAGACGGCTGGAGAGCGAGTGTCGTCGAAGCAGAGGTCGAAGGGGAAACGACGCTAGGGTGGGAAAGGCGGGGGTGCAGAACGGCGTCGTTGGGACAATCGGTGGCCGTCGTTACCGTTAACGACGCATCGTCCAATACCGCTCTAACTTGTTCCATTTCCTTTTCTCTTTTGCTTTTCTTCTCCTCTTCTTCACCTTTTCTACCATTTTCCTTTTTTTTTTCTTATTTTTATAGAAGCACATTTCTGTTCTGTTCTGTTCGAATGGTGCGACTAGTAGAGCATTTTGGTTTAACCATCCAAGCAAGCAGACGAATTTATCGTTGTGAAAAACTCGTACAGAAAGTATTCGGTAAAAACTGTCTGTCACGATTCTACGTTTATTTCGATTTTTATATTTGTCTAGATAATATTTATCGTTAGCATTTGCTTCCTCGCTGTCGGTTGTTCAATCGTGTCAAATGATACCTAATAAGTAGGTAATAGAAAAGGGAAAAAAGGGTAAGAGAAAGGAATATGTAGGTGGTAGAGGGAATTTGCTTGAATTTGCATAAATGTACATTCGAGTTGTTCGTCAGTGCCATTCTGTGCCTTTCCCTATAACGGATAACGGATAACGGATAACGGATAACGGATAACGGATAACGGATAACGGATAACGCATAACGCATAACGCGGCATCTCGTTCCGCCCCGGGGAATGGTACGTAACCATGTTCGTTGCAACCATGCTGAGCCGCCTCACCGTACTTTTGCCCTTCTGACCATTTCTCTTTCCTTTGCTGACTCGTGACATGAGAAGTGCGCGGTAGCGTGGCTTGGCGTGGCACGCTCTCGTTTATCGCAGAGACTAAAACCGTTGGAACGGAGCTACGCGACGTCGCATCTATCCACTATCGAATAGAATATGTACAGCGACAGCGACAGGAGCCAATGTTAAATACCGAAGCGGAGCAGGCGTACCTATTCTTCTTCGCATACACATCGACGGCAAAGGGCCGATAGTGGTTATCGCGTCAGTATCGTGCAGCTATGGAATTTCTTTAGGTAACGAGACTTGAAAAGTTTCAAATCAACCATAAAGAAGCGAAGAAAATGAATGAAAGCTTAGATAAATGAAAATAAAGGTCTAATAGAAGAATGCGTGGCACGAATAATCAACTTTCGGAGACTCGTATACCGTGATTCGTTTAGCAGAACGGTCAACTCCCATTTACCTTCCGTTAGCTTGCTCCGCTTGCTAGATTTATAACTTTATTCCTTTTGTGCCGATTTTCTTTATTTTTTTTTTTTTTTTTCAACAGTAGAAACGAAAAAGAATAGTAGGAAAGAAGTAAGATCGAAATAGGAAGGGGTTGGTCGACTGGAATAGAGAAATAAGAAGCAGCAGCAGCAGGTAACGAGGAGACAAGGACACACGCACAGACAGAATCGAGCAATTGGAGGTGGCGAGGAGTAGGAGAAGCAATGCTGACCGTCCAGATAGGCAAGCAGCAGGATGAAATAGGTCTGCTCGCACGTCCGTCCTCGGTATATTACAGACGAAACAGTCAGGTAGACGAGATACGTGTACGTGCCTAGAGGGTACTCTGGTCGGAAACTCAGCTCCTCTTACTTCTCCGGTGGCATCGTTACAAGGGCGTCGCGTTTACGGCGTGGACGTTTCTCGCTAGCCGAGCTTACCACGACAGGAACGTCGCTGTCACTATCCACACAGACGAGACTGGCGCACGAGGCCACGATCGGTGTACCACGTACTTGGCTAAGAAGAAAGAAGAGGATGCGAAGGAAGGAAGGAAAGAAGGAAAGAAGGATGGAAAGGAGGGATTCGCAGGGAGTAATGTCGGGTCGATGGCGTGGGATTTGGTGCTACCGACACGCGCGGTGGTAACGGCTCGGCACGGCATGGCACGGCACGGCACGGCACGGCACGGCACGGCACGGCACGGTACGGTACGTCGCGGCACGGTCAACGCGATAGCATGGCATGGCTGAAGCTAGGGGATGGGGTGGTGGTGTGGTGTGGGTCGAGGGTTGAGAATCGACGCGGCGTGGGATGGCGTGGCGTGGCCCGACGTGGCGCGACGTGGCGCGACGTGGCGCGACGTGGCGCGACAAGCGCAACGCTCGACGCAGCAGGGGTAAACGGGGTTCGGAGGTGGTAGGTAATCACCCGGCGGCTCGCGTTATAGCGTCGTTACGCCGCAGCGCCGCTATCGTTCTCCTCTCCCTCGTCTTGCCAACACCCGTTGCGTTCGCTGCCGATCCTTCCTAACGTTTTCTTCCCGTCTAACCCTCTTCTTTCTCGCTACCCTTCGACGCCGCGCCACGCCGCGCGCGGCCCTCTATCTTTCTCCGATTTAATGCTCGCCTAGCTGCCTTCTCCCTCTTTGATCGTTTCAACTTCTTCTCGCCTTACTCTTCTCTTCTACACATCTATATCTTATACTCGTACGTACACATACATACATACATATATATATATATATATACATATAAGTGGTTGAGATGGCTTTCTTTCGCACACCACTATTGCTATGTGGAATTCCACTGGTATATTGTTGAAAAAGAAGCACGTTTTAATGATTTCGCAAGAACGGAAAGGAATCGTATGTTAACCAAATCGTTCGACATCTTCTACCTTCCTGTCGAGGTGTAGTCGATCGAGTACGATTGATCAAGTGGACATATGTTCTTTTGAAAAAACAAACTTTCACTGAAATTCTGATTAAAGTGCTGAGGTATAGTATACGCCGATTTAAAGAAGTTTTACAAGCGATCCGAGTATCCTAGCAAGTGTTTCTCGGCAGAAGATATCCTTCGAGGCTCCCTGTCCTCGTAGATAGTAAGGGTAGCGCGTGGCTGCGAACACGGGTGTGCGCGTGCAAACGCAAACGCAAACGCAAACGCAAACGCAAACGCAAACGCAAACGCAAACGGAAACGCAAACGCAAATGCAAACTTAAAGTGAAACGCAAACGCGTACAGATAGAGTATGGAGCGAGGAAAGTCTGTTGGTAGAGAGGCATGTACTAGTACGTACGAAGTCGTAGTCACCCTCCTGCGCCCCCGTTCCCTGGATCACAGCACGGCAACCCTCGCTCGACCGACGTGTTCCCGCCCTCTTCGTGTTTCCGCGGACCGTTCCAACCACCCCGTTCCGTGCTGTGTCCCGCAGGGCATGTCCCTACGCACCATCGGCTTTCTATTGTCCGCTTTACCGTTTATGCGGCTGTTTATTTTCTCAATTGGAGGTTGGAGAAAAAAAATCTATCTCTCTGATTCGTTTGAAAAGGTAAGAAATGTTGCTTTCCTAAGAGAGACCGTTTCGCAAACGCATCGCTTGATTTTTTCCCGATATTTTCAAGAGAATCGGTCGCGACAATAATTTCACTGTCCGTGGAAAATTCTCATCCCCTTTGGTGGCACGCTCCGCGGCACGCCCGACCGTCTCTGTTATACTGCCGGCAGCGACCCAACTCCCCTGCCCCTCGGTTTTTCGTTCGCCCATCCCGATACCACCTCACCCTACTTTGCTCTCCTGCTACCGCTTTTACCACCGCCACTACCACCCCCGTTCCACCTACCTTTTCGTTATCCCTAGTTCGTT